CCCCCTTTGTCTCCCCTTTTGCCCCCTTTGTCCCCCCCTTTTGTCCCCCCTTTGTCCCTTTTTTTCCCCCCTTTGTCCCCCTTTTGTCCCCCCTTTGTCCCTTTGTCCCCCCTTTGCCCCCTTTTTGTCCCCCTTTGTCCCCCCTTTTGTTCCCCTTTGTCTCCCCTTTTTCCCCCCTTTATCCCCCTTTGTCCCCTTTTTCCCCCTTTTTTGCCCCCTTTGTTCCCCCCCCCTTTTGTCCCCCTTTGCCCCCCTTTCCCCCTTTGATCCCCCTTTTTCCCCCTTTTCATTTAATTTATGCAGTAGCGTTTAAAAACCATATTCTTTCTTCTATTAGCTTATCTGTCGAGTTTATTCGCTTATTTATCAATAATTATTTTCAATGTGTTGTAAGTTTTAGTATAGAATAACGAGTTGCAGACTCATGGCTATAGTCCTATCTTGTCTTTCAAGTTAGCTAGCACCGAAAGTTTTTCCCTTTTCTCACAATCTTTAATGTTCAAGAAACACCACAGAAAAAAATTTTTTACTTTTGAAGACTTTTCTTTTTAATAACAAATGCAACTGGCCAACTGCAAAACTCTCCGAAATATACATTTTTTTTGTTGCTAACCTCTCAGATTTTTCTAATGCTTGGGAAGTTAAAATTTAATTAACTGCTAACCGCTCAAATCAGATACTATAATTTCTAGCCAAGTATCAACTCGTTACAAATGTTACGACTGTGCTTTTCATCACTTTTGACTAGCCTTGTTTATAATACCCAATTGCTAAAATTGAACTCAACTAGTAAAAATTTGAGGATGAGTATTATTTGAATTTTTTCGTTATGCTCCTATCATATTATTTTTTCAGCACTAATAATAATTTTCCATTTTTTACTACCTACTACTAACTCATTCTTTATACCTAAATAAAATCGTTTTAATTAAAAAGATTTTATTTAGGTAAGAAACAACTTATAAGTTTATTCTACTGATTGTTCAAACTATTCTCCACAATGTTTTTTACTTCTTTATTACTTCCAGATTATCTCTCCATTTAAGTTATAATAAACTGAATTCAGTTTACTTCGAAGTAACTTTCTATTCGCTTATACATTTTCAATTGTGTTTAATTTTTAAACTGTTCAATTAAATTTATTTCCTTTTTTTCTATGAAAACTATTGTAAATATTTAAATTTTTTTTAATATATTAACTAATCTTTATTGGTTTTAAAACTTAAAAAATAGAAAGAATTAAATATTTTATAAAACTAAAACTAAAGTCAATGCAACTAACATCATAACTTTATTGAAAGATAATGAGTTACCATAGTTGACTTGAATAGGCATGGTACTACTAATCGAATTATTTGTGGATTCCAGAGATGAATGCGTTACTTGAGAGGCATTATCAATTGAAGATGAAAATATAGTCTCCGAATTAAATCCTGGGGAAGCTGAATTAGTAGCAGTAGTGGTAAATGAATTGGAATTGGTAATTATCGAGGAATAATCATAAGTTGGTGTTGGAAGATTAGAACTAGAAGAATGTGACGACGTAATGACCAGGTTACTCGTTTTTAATGAGTTTTGCAAGGAGCTGTCGACTTCAGAAGTTTGAATAGCGGAACTAATAACTAATTCTGAATTAGAAATAAAAGAGTGTTTTTCCGAGTGAAGAAGTTCCAACGTTGAGAAACTCTTGGAACTAATGGAAGAGCTATAAAAACTTGAGGTAACAGGTAAAAGGCCTGATTCATCAATGATATAAGTAGTTTCACAAGGCTCAGTAATGGTCACAGTGCTTCCACTCAATATTGTTGAATAGGTTGTCACACCTGATTCGACAATAACAGAGGGTTTTACATACTTTGAAGTAACAAGACTTGCAAGTGTAACTGAAACGTTTTCACTGGTAGCAACAAAATTTGAAACAGATTCAACCAGTTGGGTTGATAATTCAATCGGTGTTGAAAGAGTGGAAACAGTACCAAATGATGATGAAGGGAATACAGTAGGAGCAGTGTCAGTTATATCTGAATTCAATTCTGAATAACTGTCAGAAAAGGCTGAAATTGTCGATGTGGTAAAAGCACTAGAAGCTGGAGACAAAAAGACAGATTCAACAATGGTGTATGTAGTTTCACAGGGCTCCGTAATAGTCACAATTTTGTCACTATGGATTGTAGTATAGGTGGAATACCATGATTCAACTACAACAGTAGTCTTTAGACTTTGTAAAGAATCTAAACTACTAGAAGTGACCAAATTCTCTTCATTAAGGGCAGAGGAAGTCGTAACAGACTCAACAACTAGAGGCAAAGTTTCAATTGGAGCTGAGACGCTAAAAATAATTCCTAATGATGATGAAGTGGAGAGTGCAGTGCCAATTTCGGTCGGAGCTGATCTCGTTGCTGAATAACTGTTGGTATTACTGGAAATACTAGAAATAGTTGACGTCGTAAGTCCACTAGACCCACCAGATGTAATAACTGATTCAACAATGATATATGTAGTTTCACAAGGCTCGGTGATAGTTACAATCCTATCATTAGATAATGTTGTATAAGTAGTAACCCCGGACTCGACAACTTCAGAAGTTTTACACTTGCTGCAAACTTCTGTAACAGTAAAATCATTATCTGGTTTATCAGATAGAGTTGTTGTGACAACTGTGTAAACAGATTCAGCAGTAGTAACTTCAACAATTAGTGAAATCACTTCTGTAGACGTGACAGTAACTACTTGATCATTCGAATTAGTCAATGTTAATGTCACTACTTGATCAGAGGTAATTGTAGTAGCGATACATTTAGGACATGGTTCGGTAAGAGTAATAGTGGATTCTGGACTGATAATAACTGTTTCCAACGATGTTTCACAAGGGACGGTTGTTGTGATAGTAACTGATCCGTCAATTTGCGTTGTAGTAGCGTATTTGGTGACGTTTTTAGTTTGAGTTTCAACAATGGAAATGCTAGTAGATAGGGGCTCAATTGAATATCCATCAGAAGAAATTGAACTTGTAAAGAAATCATCAAAGCTAGAAGTTGAAGGAGAAGAAGTGTAGATATTTTGAGTAGAAACCATAACATCGTTAATAAAAGAAGACGATAATTTACTAGTGTTAGAATGGTTACTTTGAGTAGAAAGAGTAACATCGTTAATAAAGGAAGATGATGATTTACCAGAGTTAGATTGGGTATTTTGATAAAGAGCAGCTGATATATCAGTAATTAATTGATCAAACTGCTTGTAAAATGTAGATGAAACATCGGAGAAATTTAAATCCTGATCAACTAAATTAGAAATTATAGATTCCGCAGAGGAAAATGTTGAAATAGTGGCAATTCTAACATAAGACTCAACCAATGAAGGTTCTGCAAAGTTATGGATTTCAGCAATAAGGGATAGAAATTGTTCATATTCAGAAGTATTAAACCAGGTGGAAAAAGATAGAATAAGTTGCTGAAAAACTTCAATAGCGGCAGAAGAAGCATCACGTTTAAGAAGAGACCTAGAACCAAATAGGAAAAGGAAAAGAGTGTTAAGAGCAGAACCAAGAGCAGAAACAAAAAGAGAGACTATGGAATTAATCAAAGAAGAAAATAATTCATATTTGTTACTGTCATCAAGAGCTGCTAAAATGGAATTAATAATATCGTTAATGAAGGAATCGAACGAGCTACTATAGGTTGCTTGAGAACTAGTAGGAGTATTGGTAGCTGTGGATGGAACTTCAGAAGAAATTTCAAAAGATTCAAATTGAGAAAGAGAGGTTGATGAAGATAAAGGTAAAATAGTAGACGGCTGACTAATAGTTTCGGAATCAAAAGTTTGGGACGAAATAATAGAATCCGATAATTGACTAAAAGATAACTCAGTATATGTAGATTGAAAATCAGAATGTTCAGTCAAAAAGTCAGAACTATCAAAACTGGATGGTAAATATGATCGATCTGTAGGAATAGAAAAGGTAGAGTCAGGAAGAGATTCTGATGACTCAGTAAAGACAGAGGTAGTATGAGAGTAAAAAGCATCAGACGAAACCCGAGAAGAAACTTCAGAAGAAACAGATGATGCAACACTAGAATAAACTTCGGATGACGACTCAACAGGTGGCCATGTTTGAAGAACCGATCCATCACTCAATACTGGATTAATTGTAACTAGTGTTCGGTATTCAACTCCTCCACCTTGAGCCTTCCCAGTTCCCAAAACATATAAATCATCAACACTACCTTCAGGGAAAACATGGAAATTGTACAAACCATAAAGTTCTAAAACACCATCAACAATGGTCCAAGGGGAGCATTCTTTCCAAGCACTTGAAAGCGCTTGAGTCGACAAAAAGTTGCGACCATCACCAGTAACATTTCCTTCAACAACCAACTTTTGATCATCACGAATATAACCAGTAATAGTTTTGTCAACCTTGGAAATATAAAATCTGCCATCATCACTAAGGTAAAGACTGTAACCTTCAAGTTTAGTGCCAGTAGCATTCAAGTAGAGAGTGAATATATCAGAACCAGAAACAGATTCAGAGGGTGTTGCAGAAGAAACCTCGGAAACAGATTCGGAGATTGAATCAGAGACAAGAGGTGAAGTAGTTGAGACTTGAGAAGAAATATCAGAAGAAACCTCAGATGAAACCTCAGAAGAAACCACAGAAGAAACCTCAGAAGAAACCTCAGAAGAAACCTCAGAAGAAACCTTAGAAGAAACTTCAGAAGAAACTTCAGAAGAAACAGATGATGCAACACTAGAATAAACTTCGGATGACGACTCAACAGGTGGCCATGTTTGAAGAACCGATCCATCACTCAATACTGGATTAATTGTAACTAGTGTTCGGTATTCAACTCCTCCACCTTGAGCCTTCCCAGTTCCCAAAACATATAAATCATCAACACTACCTTCAGGGAAAACATGGAAATTGTACAAACCATAAAGTTCTAAAACACCATCAACAATGGTCCAAGGGGAGCATTCTTTCCAAGCACTTGAAAGCGCTTGAGTCGACAAAAAGTTGCGACCATCACCAGTAACATTTCCTTCAACAACCAACTTTTGATCATCACGAATATAACCAGTAATAGTTTTGTCAACCTTGGAAATATAAAATCTGCCATCATCACTAAGGTAAAGACTGTAACCTTCAAGTTTAGTGTCAGTAGCATTCAAGTAGAGAGTGAATATATCAGAACCAGAAACAGATTCAGAGGGTGTTGCAGAAGAAACCTCGGAAACAGATTCGGAGATTGAATCAGAGACAAGAGGTGAAGTAGTTGAGACTTGAGAAGAAATATCAGAAGAAACCTCAGAAGAAACCTTAGAAGAATTCTCAGAAGAAACCACAGAAGAAACCTCAGAAGAAACCTCAGAAGAAACCTCAGAAGAAACCTTAGATGAAACTTCAGAAGAAACAGATGATGCAACACTAGAATAAACTTCGGATGACGACTCAACAGGTGGCCATGTTTGAAGAACCGATCCATCACTCAATACTGGATTAATTGTAACTAGTGTTCGGTATTCAACTCCTCCACCTTGAGCCTTCCCAGTTCCCAAAACATATAAATCATCAACACTACCTTCAGGGAAAACATGGAAATTGTACAAACCATAAAGTTCTAAAACACCATCAACAATGGTCCAAGGGGAGCATTCTTTCCAAGCACTTGAAAGCGCTTGAGTCGACAAAAAGTTGCGACCATCACCAGTAACATTTCCTTCAACAACCAACTTTTGATCATCACGAATATAACCAGTAATAGTTTTGTCAACCTTGGAAATATAAAATCTGCCATCATCACTAAGGTAAAGACTGTAACCTTCAAGTTTAGTGCCAGTAGCATTCAAGTAGAGAGTGAATATATCAGAACCAGAAACAGATTCAGAGGGCGTTGCAGAAGAAACCTCGGAAACAGATTCGGAGATTGAATCAGAGACAAGAGGTGAAGTAGTTGAGACTTGAGAAGAAATATCAGAAGAAACCTCAGATGAAACCTCAGAAGAAACCACAGAAGAAACCTCAGAAGAAACCACAGAAGAAACCTCAGAAGAAACCTCAGAAGAAACATCAGAAGAAACCTCAGAAGAAACCTCAGAAGAAACCTTAGAAGAAACCACAGAAGAAACATCAGAAGAAACCTCAGAAGAAACCTTAGAAGAAACTTCAGAAGAAACCTCAGAAGAAACTTCAGAAGAAACAGATGATGCAACACTAGAATAAACTTCGGATGACGACTCAACAGGTGGCCATGTTTGAAGAACCGATCCATCACTCAATACTGGATTAATTGTAACTAGTGTTCGGTATTCAACTCCTCCACCTTGAGCCTTCCCAGTTCCCAAAACATATAAATCATCAACACTACCTTCAGGGAAAACATGGAAATTGTACAAACCATAAAGTTCTAAAACACCATCAACAATGGTCCAAGGGGAGCATTCTTTCCAAGCACTTGAAAGCGCTTGAGTCGACAAAAAGTTGCGACCATCACCAGTAACATTTCCTTCAACAACCAACTTTTGATCATCACGAATATAACCAGTAATAGTTTTGTCAACCTTGGAAATATAAAATCTGCCATCATCACTAAGGTAAAGACTGTAACCTTCAAGTTTAGTGCCAGTAGCATTCAAGTAGAGAGTGAATATATCAGAACCAGAAACAGATTCAGAGGGCGTTGCAGAAGAAACCTCGGAAACAGATTCGGAGATTGAATCAGAGACAAGAGGTGAAGTAGTTGAGACTTGAGAAGAAATATCAGAAGAAACCTCAGATGAAACCTCAGAAGAAACCACAGAAGAAACCTCAGAAGAAACCACAGAAGAAACCTCAGAAGAAACCTCAGAAGAAACATCAGAAGAAACCTCAGAAGAAACCTCAGAAGAAACCACAGAAGAAACCTCAGAAGAAACCTCAGAAGAAACCTCAGAAGAAACCTCAGAAGAAACCTTAGAAGAAACTTCAGAAGAAACTTCAGAAGAAACAGATGATGCAACACTAGAATAAACTTCGGATGACGACTCAACAGGTGGCCATGTTTGAAGAACCGATCCATCACTCAATACTGGATTAATTGTAACTAGTGTTCGGTATTCAACTCCTCCACCTTGAGCCTTCCCAGTTCCCAAAACATATAAATCATCAACACTACCTTCAGGGAAAACATGGAAATTGTACAAACCATAAAGTTCTAAAACACCATCAACAATGGTCCAAGGGGAGCATTCTTTCCAAGCACTTGAAAGCGCTTGAGTCGACAAAAAGTTGCGACCATCACCAGTAACATTTCCTTCAACAACCAACTTTTGATCATCACGAATATAACCAGTAATAGTTTTGTCAACCTTGGAAATATAAAATCTGCCATCATCACTAAGGTAAAGACTGTAACCTTCAAGTTTAGTGCCAGTAGCATTCAAGTAGAGAGTGAATATATCAGAACCAGAAACAGATTCAGAGGGCGTTGCAGAAGAAACCTCGGAAACAGATTCGGAGATTGAATCAGAGACAAGAGGTGAAGTAGTTGAGACTTGAGAAGAAATATCAGAAGAAACCTCAGATGAAACCTCAGAAGAAACCACAGAAGAAACCTCAGAAGAAACCACAGAAGAAACCTCAGAAGAAACCACAGAAGAAACCTCAGAAGAAACCTCAGAAGAAACCTCAGAAGAAACCTCAGAAGAAACCTTAGAAGAATTCTCAGAAGAAACCACAGAAGAAACCTCAGAAGAAACCTCAGAAGAAACCTTAGAAGAAACTTCAGAAGAAACTTCAGAAGAAACAGATGATGCAACACTAGAATAAACTTCGGATGACGACTCAACAGGTGGCCATGTTTGAAGAACCGATCCATCACTCAATACTGGATTAATTGTAACTAGTGTTCGGTATTCAACTCCTCCACCTTGAGCCTTCCCAGTTCCCAAAACATATAAATCATCAACACTACCTTCAGGGAAAACATGGAAATTGTACAAACCATAAAGTTCTAAAACACCATCAACAATGGTCCAAGGGGAGCATTCTTTCCAAGCACTTGAAAGCGCTTGAGTCGACAAAAAGTTGCGACCATCACCAGTAACATTTCCTTCAACAACCAACTTTTGATCATCACGAATATAACCAGTAATAGTTTTGTCAACCTTGGAAATATAAAATCTGCCATCATCACTAAGGTAAAGACTGTAACCTTCAAGTTTAGTGCCAGTAGCATTCAAGTAGAGAGTGAATATATCAGAACCAGAAACAGATTCAGAGGGCGTTGCAGAAGAAACCTCGGAAACAGATTCGGAGATTGAATCAGAGACAAGAGGTGAAGTAGTTGAGACTTGAGAAGAAATATCAGAAGAAACCTCAGATGAAACCACAGAAGAAACCTCAGAAGAAACCTCAGAAGAAACCTCAGAAGAAACCTCAGAAGAAACCTTAGAAGAAACCTCAGAAGAAACCACAGAAGAAACCTCAGAAGAAACCTCAGAAGAAACCTCAGAAGAAACCTTAGATGAAACTTCAGAAGAAACTTCAGAAGAAACTTCAGAAGAAACTTCAGAAGAAACAGATGATGCAACACTAGAATAAACTTCGGATGACGACTCAACAGGTGGCCATGTTTGAAGAACCGATCCATCACTCAATACTGGATTAATTGTAACTAGTGTTCGGTATTCAACTCCTCCACCTTGAGCCTTCCCAGTTCCCAAAACATATAAATCATCAACACTACCTTCAGGGAAAACATGGAAATTGTACAAACCATAAAGTTCTAAAACACCATCAACAATGGTCCAAGGGGAGCATTCTTTCCAAGCACTTGAAAGCGCTTGAGTCGACAAAAAGTTGCGACCATCACCAGTAACATTTCCTTCAACAACCAACTTTTGATCATCACGAATATAACCAGTAATAGTTTTGTCAATCTTGGAAATATAAAATCTGCCATCATCACTAAGGTAAAGACTGTAACCTTCAAGTTTAGTGCCAGTAGCATTCAAGTAGAGAGTGAATATATCAGAACCAGAAACAGATTCAGAGGGCGTTGCAGAAGAAACCTCGGAAACAGATTCGGAGATTGAATCAGAGACAAGAGGTGAAGTAGTTGAGACTTGAGAAGAAATATCAGAAGAAACCTCAGATGAAACCTCAGAAAAAACCACAGAAGAAACCTCAGAAGAAACCTCAGAAGAAACCTCAGAAGAAACCTCAGAAGAAACTTCAGAAGAAACCTCAGAAGAAACTTCAGAAGAAACAGATGATGCAACACTAGAATAAACTTCGGATGACGACTCAACAGGTGGCCATGTTTGAAGAACCGATCCATCACTCAATACTGGATTAATTGTAACTAGTGTTCGGTATTCAACTCCTCCACCTTGAGCCTTCCCAGTTCCCAAAACATATAAATCATCAACACTACCTTCAGGGAAAACATGGAAATTGTACAAACCATAAAGTTCTAAAACACCATCAACAATGGTCCAAGGGGAGCATTCTTTCCAAGCACTTGAAAGCGCTTGAGTCGACAAAAAGTTGCGACCATCACCAGTAACATTTCCTTCTACCACAAATTTTTCATCATCACGAATATAACCTGTTATTGTTTTTTCATCTTGAGAGATATAAAATCTACCATCATCACTTAAATATAGGCTATAACCTTCGAGCTTAGTTCCAGTTGCATTTAGCTGTAGTGTAAACAAAGAGGAATCAGCCTTAACCAAATTCACTATAGCAAATAAAACTATCCAAATTAATTGTGTCAATATTTTCATTGTGTTGTCAAAATTATTTTATTATTAATAAATATTAGTCTGTATATTTCATTACAATTATTCCATTGAATAAGTTGTTATTTTAACGTATTTTAAAACGAAGGATATATTTTTGCAACAAATGATCTGTCGATAATAAATAACAATAGGTTTCACATTTTTTGGTCTATTCAATTTATATATAAGATTTTTAAAATTCAGAAGGGAATTGTTGTTAGCTCATTTTAATGTCATTTCGTATTTTTTTCAATCCTCATCTATGTGAAATATACATATTTCAAATGAGTAAATTTATAATTTTTATTTTTCTTCTTAAAACAGTAATCCATTGTACCTAATAAATTGCATCTCCCCTTATTTAGATACTAATTTGCTCTTTTATCCTACGGTGCGCCTATCCTACCTATTATTTTTTTCGCGTATTCATTATTATCAATTATTAGTCTTTCTTTTTTTGAGATCCCTAAACTAACACAATTCAACTCAAAAAAAATCTTCTTTAGAAAGCATTTTAGTTTTATTTAAATTTAAGGAATTAAGAATCAAAAATATTGTTATTAATATTGTGTTATTGATACTTACATCAAAAAAAAATTAAAACCAATTTGGCTTAATTTTACCATGTCTATATTTCAATTTAATTTTTTCTAAAATTTTTATTTGATGGAAAATACTTCAAACTGATTTAAATAATAATTCAATTTATATTAATAAAAACGACATAGTTTGGGCTAGCTAATATTTTATCTTATATTGAAGTAAAAATCACGACAACTTATTTAAGTTAAAAATTAAAACATCGTGATAGAAATATTTCCCTTTTTGTCAAGATTTCAGTAAATAAGCCAATCATATTCCTTAAATTTAAAGTTTTTTTGACCCAAATAAGAGCTCAAGATATTATATGTGCGGCTCAAATCCATTTTTTATGCAACATTAAAATTTACTATATATGGGAAATTTGGATTTTTCCTACGTTTTGTTTTTTAACAGTGATATAATTAACAGATCTTTAGTTTTATTAAATGTCTTCAAGCACGACAAGTAATAGATATAAATTCATATTTTAATTTTGAAAAATAAGAACCTCATTTACAATTTTTTAAACGATATTTTTAAGAAAAGTGTATTTAGACAACTACCCACCTCGCGCAATGTGTTCAAGTTTAAGAAATAAATCTTAACTTTAGGATAAATTGATTACTCCCCGATTTTTCCTTTTAAAAAAAATTTGTTTTAATATCCATGATGATAATTTGGCTTAACCCTTGAATAAAAAAAAGATAATTTGGCTTGCTATTAATTTATTTTTGTATTGTAAAGTACCACTTACAAAATCAACATATATTTGTATATCTTTTATCCATTTTCCCAATAATTATTGGAATTGCTTATAAGAAATTTTCATGGGAACGTTCAGCACATGAAACGACTATAAATAATAATTATTACTCATTGAGTGAATATCTCGAGTCTTTCAAAAAGCTCCAAAGAATGGTGAAAATACATAAAACTGATGTAGACTGTAGCCCTTTATCTGTCTCATAGATATATTTGGGACAACAAACTAATGAACAATTAATTAATTAATTGTTCATTAGTGTATTTTAATTTAAGATAAATAACATCAGCGCCAACAATAAGAGAAAGCAATATCATTAATTGGGGGTAAAAGGGCTCATTGGTGTGATTACATTATAATTGAAAAAACATTTGTATGGCTGTCCTAAAGACACTTAATTCGATTGCAGATACAACTCCCATTTCGTTAAGAACTGTAATACAGTTCATAACTTAAATGAACATCTAGAGTACCCTGGAAAACAGGAAAACATACTATTTTATTTAGAAGAATTATTTTGTATGTGATTGCAGGTTGTATCCTTGTCAAAAGCAACTGAAAAAATCTATTAGCCTATGAATCAGATAGGTTTGTGACCCACTGACTGTTTCTTCTTGTTCGATGTATTTTGGCATCAAGAGTCATTCTATGGGCTACCTGCGGCGTACTAATCGAAACCATTGATAGTGTATCGATTCACCCTTAAGAGGACAAGTTACCATATTTAGACAATTAAAAGGATAGCAGTGATTCTGATATCATTCATCGCAATGCTATAGAGTTCTTCACCCCTTAAATAAATATAAACACACCAGCAATTTTCAATATGAAAAAATGTAATGGCTTGATTACTGCTACTCCATAATTTTGAATGATGTTTTTGATTTTTCTCTTATTTTTATTATGGTAAATTTTTCTAAAATCTTACTGATTCTTTTGAGAAAAAAATGGAACTATACTATTACTATACAATCAATTTAATTTTTATTATAATATGAATCGATGAAGCTTGACGTAACATAATATATACCAATAAGAGCTTGCAACTTTTAATTCTTATATAGAATTTCATAAGCTCACACCTTAGCCAATTCATTCATACACTTTCTGCTTTGTTATTAGAATAATTGTTCATATGTATATTATTAGAAGAAATTGCTTGTTTTCGAAGTCGCAACCATGAAAAAACACCAACAACAACTAGTATTACCACTATAATAGGGACCACAATGGCCGCGGCAAGATGACCATGACTAATACCAGATTTGGGCCAAGTTTGAAGAATTTTTCCATTACTTAAAGTCGGTTTAATGTTGACTAAAGTAATACCTTTGTTGGTTGACTCCTCATCAGCACTAAGCATATATATGCCAGTTGAAGTGTCAGGAACAGCATAAAAGGTCGAGTTCCCATTTAATTTTAAAAGTCCTTGGGAAATTGTCCACGGAGACGTCACTTTCCACGTTTTTGATTGAGGTGAAGTTGTCAAATAACCTCTTCCTTCTCCTACAACCGAACCACTAACAAATAAAGATCCATTATTGTGAATATAACCCGTAATGGTAGTGGTAACATCATCAATAGAAAATAAAGATTCATTCAAATAAAGATTATAGTTATCAAAATCTGTTGATTCAGGTGCTACCAGTTGCAGCGTAAACTCAGCAGAATTTCCAGCATTAACGCAGAGTAAACCTGTCAACAGAAACAGCATGTATCTGAAGAACATCTTGACTGAATTTGCGAATAAACAATTTCAACGAGAACAAATGGGAAAAAAGAAGTAACTTTAATTGTTTATATATACATAAACCATTGGTCTGCCAATATATGTTGAAAATAATTATGAGCATATTATGTGGCTGAGCAAATAAATTTGAAATCACCCTTAAAAAAACATGGCGGTCTTCACCAAATAGTATAAATAAGCTTATTATGACTTTTCCTTTTTTTACGAGCTTTTTTTATTTTATTTCACTTTTAAGTGTAAAATATTAACGATATTATTACAATTAATGGAAATTTAATTGAAGATATTGAAACCAGAATAAATATTCACATACCACTCATATATGTGATTTATATGAATAATATCTTGGCACAATTCTATTGTGTAAATTAATTAAAAAAATAGTTTTTTTATTAAAGAGCAATTTTTGAAGGACTTTTGTTTAAAAAGAATTAAATGCAAATTGTGATTGGTTGTAAAAAACGGGTATACAACTGAAATCATTAAATTAATCTGTGTATTCATGGTATTCATCAAAATTTATTACATTAATTATCAAAAAAGGTAAAAAATTAACTTTATCCAAGAATAGTCCGAAAAAATTGATTGTATCTATTAAATAAGTACATACTAAATTTTATTCAAAGTAAATGATAGGTTATGTTCTAAAGAAGTATTTGTATCCGAAATTAGAATAGAATGGGATTTTTTTTAATTATTTTTGTCCAATGAGTTACCAAGCTGGTAATAATTTAAACTCAATTTATTTTGGGTCTTATCATTAATAATAATTAACATCAGATTACTTCTAAAAAATTCAACATATTAATATATTGATTAGAAAATCAATCAAAATGCGTGCGATAGTGATTTTATTTTAATACTAATTAGTTAGTATATATACTATTAACTGGTGATCATTATAATGATCAATAATAATTACGATTTGAGAACACCAGTAAAAATTGGGAAGACATTACCTCTGAGACTTCTTAAGAAATAAGTATTTAAAAAAAGAAACGCTTGTATCTATATAATTTGATTTTTAACCTTGACGATAATTATTATTAATTATTATTAATTAATATTAACAAATTATAATTAACACAGGCAGCCATCTGAAATTTTAATGTACGTCGTAATTTACAAATTTTTCAATTAATTTTGTTATTTAAGAGGATGTCACATTTAATTCTGTATTATGTTATAACTATTTCATATAAATAATTTTTTTCAAAAATTGACTTACCAGAAAAACTTTAAATTTTGATATTTGGGAATTTTCTTAATATAAATGAAATTTTTAAAACATTTGATATCTGATCAGACATAACATTTTTCAATTAGCTATATAATCGCAATTACAAAGTATTAAACATATTTAAATATATTTACTATATGTAGTAGATATATATCTAAGTGGTCTCTATAATAGATGTTTTATTTAAAACATAGCAAACAGCAGTCCCATGAGACCAGCAAAAAGCCCAGCGTTACTTTGAACACTAAGATTAACAGCGGCACCAGAAGAAATAGTTGTAGAAGCGGATGAAGTAGATGAAGCAGATGCAGAAACACTAGCGGCAACTGTGGCTAAAGTAGATGCCACAGTAGACGAGGCCGTCATATAAGCAAAAAACGTCTGCGTATAAAGAACTGAAGAACCCAAAGCATTGATACCAGCTTCAACTGGCCATTCCTGAATAATATAATTAGTTTCCAGTTCTACAGGGATGATTTGAATTTCAGTAATATCATCACCAGAAGAAATAGCATTTCCAGTACCCAAAACGTAAAGACCATCAACAGTTCCTTCAGGAATAGCGTGAAAATAGGTGTCATTGTACAACTCAAGAAATCCATCAACAACAGTCCAGTTGGATGCAGGTTTCCAAGCAGTAGAATAAGCAGCTGTAGACAAGTAGTTTCTACCATCACCGACGACTTGACCTCCAAGAATCAAAGTACCATTCTCATAAATATGAGCTGTGCAAACATCAGCAGTGGCAGACATATAGAGTTTGCCATCATCCTTTAGAAACAAATTGAAACCATCTAGTTTAGTATCCGGAGCATAAACTCTTAAAGTGAAGTCGGGAGAGTTATCAGCAAAAACGCCAATGATGGCGGAAAGAAAAAGGGAGAGAAGAAAAGAATAAAACTTCATGGTAAACTATATGAGTGTGACGTATGGAGAGCAAAAAAAATTACTAAAAAGTGAGAATGTACGAATTATTTATAAGAAATATAAGAAATATTCTAAGGCCTTTCAGAATTATCAAAAATATGCTTGGGCCTATGGCGATAATTTTATGAGCATATTATTTTCTTAAAAGAGAAAGGTTGCATCTCACTCACCCATGCGTACTTCTTATTTTTACATTCAAATTTTAAATGGGTTGATAATACTTCATCATTTTTAAATTCGTATTCAGCTTGAAATTTTGAGGTATTTGTCACTTAATAAACTTCAGCTTTACACTTCCAAAGAATAAAAATTTAAAAACACCAGATTTTTATGACTGAATACGATTTTATATTGTTATCTATTTAATTGGCATGATAGTTAATATTAGGATTGTACTTAGTAGTTACATTTTACCCTCACATCAATAGATATTTAGTCAATTTCAACCATTCAGTGAACCTTGTCAAAATGAAGTTTTTGAACTTCTAAAAGATCTTTCATACCATATTTAAAAAAAAAAAGTAATTTTGAAATTATGACAATTTTATAAAAACCCTTTTTCGCTAGATTCTACTTTAAACTATGGTATAAAATAATGAAAACTTGCTATGAAATAAATATACAATTGATTTTTACCAGTTATATCTTATAAGTAGATGTGTCTACTATCTATAGCCAATAAAAATGAATTTGCTTTCGAATTATTCTATAGTATAAAAATTGTCAAATTTAGTTAAATAAGTGGATTTCAGTTTTCATTTTAATATTTAATCGAATCAAAAGTCAAGAAATAAATTAACCTTTCAAATATTGCAATAATCATAAGTAACTTATTTTCAACTCATAAAAATTATATACGTAGGAGGTCAACTATTTAATTTGAGAGCAACCAATAAATATATATTATGCTATTTAATATACTAATTAATTAATTTTTATAGTAAATTGAAAAGATTATCTTTATTTTAAGCAAAATTGAATAGACTACTTTGTCAAAAAAAAAATTCTATTATTTGTAAAGTTTAAACAAACTAGAATATTAAAATTTAAATTATCACAGTTACTAAATAATTAAAATTTATATAATTGAAAAAAATACGCTGTTTAAAAAAACATTGCAAAAATAGAAACGAAAACAACAGCAGCAGCAGCAGAAAGTTGAGCAGCACCATTCACTTGAGCAAGTGAACTAGTAGGAATCAAACTTTGAGTTGCATTAGAAGTTGAAGATGTTTGAACAGAAGAAGTAGAGGCACTGTGTGAAACTGAAGATTTGGTAGTTGCAACAGAAACGGTTGCAGATGAAATAACTGAAGATGTAGCAGCAACAGAAGTTGAGGCAACAGAAGTTGAGGCAACAGAAGTTGAGGCAACAGAAGTTGAGGCAACAGAAGTTGAGGCAACAGAAGTTGAGGCAACAGAAGTTGAGGCAACAGAAGAAGAGGCAACAGAAGAAGAGGCAACAGAGGAAGAGGCAACAGAGGAAGAGGCAACAGAGGAAGAGGCAACAGAGGAAGAGGCAACAGAGGAAGAGGCAATAGAAGAAGAGGCGACTGAATTGACACTAACAGAAGAAGCAGTAGTAGCAGGAGTTGAAGATACTTGTGATGTAGAAGCTACAGAAGAAACAGAAGAGCTAGATGAAGTTTCAGGCCAAGTTTGAAGGACTGAACCATCGCTCAAAACAGGGTTGATTGTAACTAAAGTACGATACTCGACGCCTCCTCCAACAGCATTGCCGGTTCCCAAAACATATAAATCGTCAACGGAGCCTTCAGGGAAAACATGGAAATTGTACAATCCATAAAGCTCCAAAACACCATCGACGACCGTCCATGGAGAACATTCTTTCCAAGCACTTGAAAGTGCTTGAGTAGACAAAAAGTTGCGACCATCACCAGTAACATTACCCTCAACAACAAATTTTGTATCATCACGAATATAACCAGTGATAGATTTTGAAGATTGAGAAATATAAAATCTTCCATCATCACTAAGATAAAGACTGTACCCATCAAGCTTAGTACCGGTAGCATTTAAATAAAGAGTAAAAGTAGGAGAGTCCGCCTTAATTACTCCAACAAGAGTAATAAGCAACAAAATAAAATATTGACTGAAAGATCGCATAATAGAAACAAATAGTAATTAACGAGCGGCAAAAGTTAGAATTAAGAAGATAAGTGAATTTAGTTAAAAAAACTTGATTGATTGAAGTTGATAGATTTTGTAGAATTAAATGGGTATAATGGATTTATTTATACATTGAAATTCTACAGTTAACTAATGTTATGAGCATCTTTAATTTCCTCATTTCATTGTTTATATTTTACATAAAAAATGGTATTTCCTTCATTCTTTCTAAAGAAGGAGTATTACGTTTTCTTTAAAAATTTTTGAATATGCTTATTAAGAAGCTTAGACTCTAGCTTCGCGCGTGTAAATGTGAAATAAAACATCAGAATCGAAAAATTAAATGTCAATTAATTTTTTCTTAATAAAGAAAAAAATAATCACTGTAAATACCCCATTGTTATTTGGAAATATATCAAACTTATCATTTTTACAGCTCAAATCACATAATCTGTGTTCTTTTTTTTTATTTTTAAAAACTCGCTAATAATATGCGTTGTTTGTGGGACTAATTATAATATCACCGTTTTAAGAAAGTTATTTGCTCGTATTCAAAATTGAGTCCAAATCAATTCAAAAGAGATGACTATTTTTAGGATTAATGACTATTATAATATAGGTAACGCTTTTGTATTTCTTTCAAAAAAGACGAATGGTTGGGTTATTTAAAAATACACATCATATCATGTTTTTATTGCTAAAAACATTTTTATTAATAAGAGTTAAATATATATTCGGCTGAACTCTGGCCAAAGTATTTAAATTTTAAATGTCGAGTTCCAATTCAGACAACTAATTTGCTCAAATCCCAATTTGTTAAGACGTTCGGTTATTTTTTTGGTAGTCTTTAAAAGCAATGACTTTATAGTATTATAAATATTACAAACATTCTCTCTATTTAAGAAAATTTTTTTGCTCTTTGAGCTTTGGCCCAATTACAATTTTAAAATGAAATTTCTTACATCTGTTTTTTCAGTCCTTTTGACTTCTGCGCTTTGTGTTTCTGCTGAGAACTCTCCTGAGTTCACTCTCCAATTTTATGCCCCAGCAATTAATTCTCTATCTAATTTTAATATCATTTTGTCTGATAGTATTTTTTCTGTTAAGGACGTTGCACAATCAGTCAAGGGTTACATTCATGAAAATGGAACTTTGTTTGTTGATGGATACGCAGTTGGTAAGGGTAGAGGATACCTTACAACCACCCCCCAATCCAAGTCTTGGGAGGTGTCTTCTCCATGGACAATTTCTGAAGGTGTTTTGGAATTAGAAGGTGATAATGAATTTTTTGCTGTTCCTGAAGGAACCCCTGGTTCTTATGTACTTAGTGCTGCCAAAAAAGCTGAAGTTCGAGGTATTACTAAGATGAATATTAAACCAGTTCTTTCTGATGGTTCTATTATTCAAACGTGGCCCAAAACTTCTACTTCAACTTCAATTACTTCTTCAAATTATCAAGTCGACATTCGTTTAGTTTTGGCCCCCATTGCAGCTCTTATTTTGGTTTCAATGACTGTTTTCAGCTTCATTCGTCTTCGTCACCGCAGAAATCAAGTTTCTCCCAAAAACGAATGGCAACCAGTTGATGAGAAGGCTCTTTTGGATGAAGATGTTGAACAGGGTTTTGCTACTGATGAAATGAAGGATTCTCCTATCTTTCAAAATGAGTAAATGCGCCTGGAACCAAAAATTGTAATTTTTACACTGAGAATTATTTTAAATATAAATTTATGTAGTTTTTTAGTACAAATTTTTATAATATTTGGAAATCACCTAATTTTGTGGTTGTATAAATAACTGCCTAATTAAATTTCAATTTAGTTTAAATGCTATAGCTTAATAGAATGAGGGTTAATTATTGTACTTTAAATCGTTATAAATTAAATAACAAGATATTTTTTTAAAGATCTTTGAAATTAGAATCAATAATAATTTGAATAACTCATATTTGAGACAGTCATTTTATCTCAATGTTAGTTTTTTTTTTTTTTTTTTGGAAGAAAATCAATCTATTTGAAAGTAATCCTAGCAATTTTTTTCTAACAAAAATTTTTGAATTGACTGAATTATTAATATATAATAGTTTACACTTAGACTTATTTGTGTTTAAACATGTCCTTTTAATTATGTATTTCCCAATATCCAAATACAAGTTATCAAATTTTAAAAGATAATTGAAGATAATAACATGTCATATAATGAAATATATGACTGTCTGATATACTAATGGGTAATAAAAGTCTAGATTGATATGCCCAATATAAAAACCATTAATGAAAATCAAGTTGCATAGAATTAATTAATTAATTATTTATTCACAACATTTACATCTTTTTTTTTCCAACTGAATAAATTCAGATACAATATTACTGTGAAAATGACTCATATTTAATTTAATGATGATGTAATTATTATAACTTTTATATAACAAGAAACAAACTATGATATGGAATGTAGGAAATCTACAGAACCAAAACAGATTCATATTTGAAACCAAAATAACTGAACAAGAATTATAGGAATTAAGAATATTAATAGTTGAATTTAAGTGAATAGAAAAAATAAACACCAAAACTGATATAATTATTAGGGTTCAATGAAACATGAGCTGAAATGGAAGATGTTTTTGATTCTCTATTCAGCAAACTTAGAGAAGAAATATTTAAGGACAAAATAGCTACTACATTAATCATAGGACACTTCGTGACAGGTAATGCAGTTTCAGGCGTATTTGTGACAGTGAAGATTTCGCTACCTATGTCAGTTGAAACTGATCTCGATGCTGAATAACTGTTGGTATTGCTGGAAATACTAAAAATGGTTGATGTCGTAAAACTACTAGAAATCAGATGAAATAACTGATTCAACAACCATATATGTAGTTTCACAAGGCTCAGTGATGGTTACAATCTTTTTATAACAGTAAAATCATTATCTGGTTTATCAGAAAGTTGTTGTGACAACTGTGTAAACATATTCAGCAGTAGTAACTTCAACAATTAGTGAAATCACTTCTGTAGATGTGACAGTAACTGCTTGATCATTTGAATTAGTCAATGTTAATGTTACAACTTCATTAGAGGTAATTGTAGTAGCAATACATTTAGGACATGGTTCGGTAAGAGTAATAGTGGATTCTGGATTGATAACAACTGTTTCCAACGAAGTTTCACAAGGGATGGTAGTTGTGATAGTAACTGATCCGTCAATTTGCGTTGTAGTAGCGTATTTGGTGACGATATTAGTTTGAGTCTCAATAATGGAAATGCTAGTAGATAGAGGCCCAATTGAATATCCATCAGAAGAAATTGAACTTGTAAAGAAATCATCAAAGCTAGAAGTTGAAGGAGAAGAAGTATAGATATTTTGAGTAGAAACAGTAACATTGTAAATAAAAAAAGAAGATGATGATTTACTAAAGTCAGAATAGGTATCACCTCTATACCTGTCGCTTCTACTCTATTTCTATGAATTGAAACAATAAACTGAATTTAACTTGAAACTGTGTATCTTAAACAGCCCAAAAAAATTTCTGGTGTTAGCTTACCAGGGAGTCAAATACAATACCCTACCCAACTTATTTCCACTTGACTTCATCATCAATTTAATCTTGTTCATTAATCCCTTGAAACAGGGATAAAGCTTACAATTTCTTGCTAACCATTTAATATGTTTAAGAGAGCCAATATGACTGTCTAGTGAAATATTCGTTTCAATCAATTTTTTTTTTCTTTCATCATACAGCAATAAACAAAAATGTGTAAGTTTCCAGTTAGTCGCACTAATAATAATAGCTATTCTTTTCAACTTTTGAAAAAATTAGCCAAAGTTTCAACAGTTCGTACAAAACTTAATGATGTCACTCAGGATCTCTCGACTTGTAAATTTTTTCTTTCAAGATTTTGTGCGATTTGTTACATATAGCAAGTTGCACTTTTAATATTTGGCCTCAATAGTTTTTTGTGAAATTAATCAAACAGAATTTATTGCTGATATCGATTTTGGCCATAATGGATTTAGTGCAATCGCAACATTTTTTTTTTGATATATTGCTCAGGATTTTGGTATCTTCTTCAATATTACTTTTAATTTGCACTAGTAATTGCCAGATCATAAATTAAGTCAAAACCAATTTGAAATGAATTTCAGATTTTTTTAAGACACTATATTTGCTTTCGTTATTATGTTTATAACAAGTTATATTGATTGAATTTTAATATTCACAATAAAGTGTGAAGGGTGAGTGTTTTGACAGAAAACGAAATCTATGTTATCAAATATGACAGTAACAAATGGCTTATTTAATTTAATGATATTTGTTGTTTCGTGAAATATCTATCATAAAAAAATATTTAAATAATCAGTGTTAGCAATATGTTTGCTATTTTAAACTATAGGATTGGACTCAAAAAAACAAGCGTTACTACTGAGAATACAACAGCTTAGAATTGAACATAATTTGTTACATATGATATTATAAATGAAATGAAAAAATACTAAATATATATTAAAAAGGCTTCACTGAAAACTTCATCTGATATTGTTCCAAAAAATGTAGAGGATAAAAAGTTGTGTTTTTACTGTCCCGCGATGATTCTATTCCCATTGTTTAAAAAAAGCTGTATTTTTTTCAATTAAAAATAAACACGTCTGGATTCATCACATGTAGATGTAAAGGGACAATATGGACATTTCATTTTACCTGTAACTGTATCTTTTTTCATGGAACTAAGACTTTGGTCAGCTATAATATGACCACAGGGTAACAACTTTGGAGGGTTTAAATCTGTAGTTTGTTCTTTGGATACTGGACAAACGAATATTTGATGAAAAATTAGGCTGGAAGGTAGTTCAATCTCTGTAGGTAATTCATTTGCAGATGTCCATTCTGCTTTTTGGGACTTCATCACAGCCCCCATCTTTGCTAAAACAGGTAAAGCCATAGTCCCTGCTAAAACAGCTAAATATATAGGAGATTCAGGACTAAGTCCCATTAGCGAACAGAATTCCGCGGCAAATAACCATGATAACTTATCATAAGATGGAACCTCAAAAAGTTTCCGATAAGGAGAAGTATAGCCACTCCTATAATATAAGACAGAAGTTATTAGTTTAGATATCTCTGGTAAGTACCTTTCTCCAAAATAGGACATGTTGGTTTGTGCATATGCTAAAGCTTTTAAATCATTGTTTTCCTCTTGTAATATTCTAATAAACTCAACTTTATGCAAAATAAATTCCATATTACTACCATGATCTAGTAATTGACGTCTTTTAGCTATAGCCCACCCGATTGCTAGTGTCAGATCTTGATTTTGTATCGACTTCACAATTGAATACATTACGGAAAACTGGTCCAGTAAATCACTGGATAAGGTAACGTGTGCTTCATCACGAAAGTCATAGGCGACTTCAAAGTATCCAGATCGTGCAAGGTGCATCAAAATTGCTTTATCAAGTTCTTCTTTATGTTGAATAGGAAAAAGTTTTGGATTATAAGCAGAGGATAAATCTAATTTAAACACTTTATCAAGGCATTTCCCAAATTTTGATATTGATAAATAAATCTCCTTCTCGGCACTTTTAACTTTAGAAGAAAGAACTTCAACTTCCTTTTTTAAAGTTTCAAGATAGATGTTGGCGTTATCAGGATCTTAACTGCAAATATTAGAAATCAATAAATGACTATCAATTATAAAGTATACTTACCTGATATTATTTTACTTCTGGTCTGCTCCAAAACGCTGATAAATTTATCAACGTGAAAAATACATTTCTCAAAACCGTTCGAATGAGAAAGTTTATTGAACTCTTTAATTATTTGCTCCATGTTAACCAAGATCAAGGGATTTATTCTTTACTTTTGATCCTTTAAATTTACTATTTAATACTTTTATAAATATATAAGATAAATTGTATATTGATTGATAATTAAGGTGATAACGAAATTTATATTAACAAGTCAATTACAGCACGTGACTAAAATAAAGTCACATATCATTATAATGATTATTACAGAATTTTGTAATATTACAAATCATTTTACAATATGCTTGGTCGTATTTTTATAGTAAAAAATGGGTTTTGTGGAACCATAAAATAGCTCATGTTTTTTTCTTTTTAAACTTTTTAATATCTCGACCTTTTTTAACAGTTAAATTAAAACAATACCAAATAAAAATTCATTTACCTTGTTTTTTAAAAGAAAAAAATAAAAGGTAATTGCTAGCTGTTTTCGCAATGTCCCAACATACAGAATTTGTAAATACTATTCTTTCATCATATAAACCAATTGATGTTTCAAGCATTGTTCGCCATCGCTATAATCATGCCGAGTTATTGAATGAAGAAATTTCTGACTGGCTTAGGGAGCGTGCAAAAATTGAAGAAATTTATGCATCATCTTTAGCCAAGTTAAGTCAAAAGAAAATTAACGAAATATCTAATTCAGGTATTTTTGCTGGTGTTTGGGCAAGTGTTATTAACCAGACCAAAAATGCCTCTAAAGCATCTGCTTCTTTTGCTGAGAAGGTCTCACAAGACATTGAACTACCGTTGCGTAAATTTTGCACAAAATCTGGTCAATGGTCAGACATTAAAGAGTTGAACAGCCAGCTAGAATCCATCGCTCAAAGCTTTAATCAAAATGACGAAAAGGTTGAAAAGCTTAAACGAAAGTCAATGATATCCAAACACAATCATCAAGTTGAAAATGCACAAAATTCATTAACAGAGAATCGTAGTCAGTGGGAGAGTCATGCTCCTTATATTTTGGAACAGATTGCCACAGTCGATGAGTCTCGCTTAAGTATCTTGAAAAACACTCTAATTAGTTATGAGACTTTAGAAGCAGACCTATCCCAGAGAATTATGAAAAGTACGGAAGTTGTTTTGAATAATGTTCTTTCATTTGAACCGATTGATGATATTGCAGCTTTTTCTGCTCAAGCTGGTAGATCTTTAGAACATGCACCTCATAGAAATTTTAATCGAGGGAGTGTTTCAGAATTTTCCGACGTACATTCAAATAAAACCGACAGTATTTATGAGTCTCCTCGTTCTTCCACCAAAAAAGAAGAGAGCGGATCATCTAAACTAAGAAGTAAAGTTGGTTCTATTTTTCGACCACGGAAGGGTAAGAGTGCCAGTATTTCTTTGTCAAGCTCCCAGCATACTCCTACATCGTATAATAAACCAAATACCTTTACTCCCCATCCTAGCAATACCATTTCTGGTTCTCCTGTCAACATATTCTCTTCAACAAACGGAGATTCTGATGTTTCGAATCTAACTAGAATTTCAAAACCTGCGCCTCCTCCAGCTCGAAAATCAACGAATGGTGTCACACTTTCAACATCGCCTAGACCTGAAGATCTCAAAGAGTCTATTTCATATAACACTGATAACTTTCAAACAATAATGGGAGAAACTTCACAAGGAATTCAATCTCCCTCACTTGATCAAAGAGAATATGGAAACCAGGGATTAAAATTTACTATTGAAGATAATCATATTGCTGATGGAAATTCAGAAGAAGATAGTGCTGCACTTTCAAATGTAGCCACTCAGTTTGAGTCTCGCTCTACTCAATCTAGACGTGGAAAATCTAGACGGGACATTCAGTCCACCTTATTCACTAATATTGTCCCTAGTGAAGTTAATCACTTTGTCCCTACTAATACCCAGATAACTGAATCGCCAACTTTACAATCTGGGACACAAAATCACCAGCCAATTTTAGGCGTTACATCTGCCGAAAACGCAATAGAATTGCCGATAACACCCACCTTGAAAACAAATCTTCCGATGGGTATGGGACTTAAGGCTGGGGTAACCGAACATTTAAGTGCAAATGTTATTGATGGCCAAGTTGAGCGATCTAGTTTAGTAGGCGAAGTTAGCTTTGCATTTGAAGGAGAACCTCAATCTCAATTTTTTGATATTAAATTGGATGGTTCTAATGCCTTGGATAAAATAACACCTAATTATGCTATTATGAAGTCTCTTGGACCTACAACATTTAGACTCAGTTCTCAAGATGTAGTAGGCCCCGATGGTAAACTTGGCTTTAAGCTTTTGTTGAAAAACTCGCAACAATTTGTTCCAGTTGATTTTACTCCGTATTGGAGAATAGAACCCGATAAATCGCGACTCATGTTAACTTATAAGCTTGCAGATTCTTATCTCGTTAATAGTCCTATTATTTTAAAGGATGTTACAATAACTGTCCCGGTGGAGGGGGGAAATGCAATAGCTGCCCACAGCCGTCCAAAAGTAGTATTCAATCAGCATACTCAGTCTGTGGTATGGAAATTTGATGAACTTTTGGTTAGAGCTGGCGTTGAAGAAAAACTTCTTTGTCAATTTGATACAAATGGACCGGCTGTTGAGGGCCGTCAAGGTATAGATATTAAGTTTTCCCTGGTGGGGTATAATGTCTTTTCACTCTCCTATACTTTGGGGGATTCAACATCCGAGGAACCTGAATGGATACCTGTTAATACTTTAGTCAGCATGTTTTCAGGAAAATTTACTTTACATGCCGATAAGAACTTGGAGACTCTGGCCTAATAATTTAGTCCTTTAATTTTTATTAATTTTCTGTTTGTAGTTTTTTTCTGTTTCTTTAATATTTAATATATTTAATATATTTAATAAAATAATATTATAAACGTTACAGGCATTAAATCATAATCATAAGGGTGTAAGAAGATGCATAAATATTTGAATTTTTTGTAGATTACTCTGAGTGGTGATCCTTAGAAAAGGTGGTATTTGTGGGTCCAGAAATATCACTAACAGCCGAAGCAGAGTCAGCATGAGGAATATGATCGCCCTGCTTTTCCAAAAAGTCATAAGATGCATTAGAACCAGCGACAGATACATAACCTTGTTGAGAATAGATCTGAGGGGAAAATGTCTCTGATGATTTTTGGGAGTACAACTCTTTTGTATTAAAGGGAGACAAGTTTCGGTTGAACGTATGAAAAGATCTCGCGGCAGATGTGTGAAAGCATTTAACAGACGAGAGTTCAGAAGTTTGTACGATACCAGCGCAATTGACTCTGATTCTCATTCTCAGCTTGTTGTTTCTCAAGGTTTGAGTAGAAGAAGAAGTGGAAGGTGTAACAGCAGCAGCTCTTGAAGCAGCTTCAGAAGAAGCACGAAGAGTGGACTTAAATAAAGAGGTAGATTTTTGCATTTTAAATTAGATATTTTTGATAATAAATTAAAACAAATGTGAACTTTTTTTAAGGTATGAATAGAATGGTAAATGGAATAGTAGAATATAAAACGGATAATAAAAAAGAATATTTGATCGTGGGGAATTTCCCCATATTTATAATTCACTGGTCCTATGCCTAATTTCTGGGGAAATGATGAGTCAATAACGTTGACTATCAAAACTTTCTTTACCCCAGAATAATCCCCAGACTTGTTTATTGTTGATTGTGCCGAAACCTCGGAAAATGGTAAGTAATTGTAAATTTTTTAAATTTTAAAATATATATTTATTATGTAATCATTGATAAATTATGTAATTCGGAATTTTTCGCCGTCTTTTGATGAAATCCAATGTCAAAAGCCGCAAAAAGTACAAGTTAGGAATAATTAGGTTTATCGCAAACCAAAAAAATAAGGCCATATCCAAGTATGAAACCATACATCCGGGTCCCTTAGGCCGACAGGATTTTCATGCCGAATTTTGCGAAAGAAAAAATTTTTATTCAAGTGGGCGCATGTTTATACTTACAAAATTTTTCCGGGCAAATGCAAAAGCAAAACGGAATGAAGGACAAATGCTTCCGAAGAAAATATAATGAATTTTACAACCTTCTTTGTAACTTAAAAATGTAACTACACTCTAGAGATGTCCTCGTATTTCCAAATTCTGGCCTTACAATCACCACTTCCAGTAGCAAAAAGAGTACCACTTGGGCTCGGAGCAACGCTGATAACACTATTTTTATGTCCCTGCAGCATTAACTGAACCTGAGCTGTTTGAGGATCCCAGAATTGGACTCCCCGATCTTTGGAACCAGACAAAATCCATCGACTATCAGGAGTAGAAGCGACAGATAAAACAAAATCTTTATGCCCAATGAAAGTTCTCTTACAGACTCCGGATTTGTTTGTAGATTGTTCATTCCTTGGAGTTTGTAGCTCCCACAATTTAATGGTTTTGTCCAAAGACCCAGATACCAAATCCTTTCCATCGGGTGTAAAGGCAACGCTATAAACAGAATCTTTATGTCCATCAGGTGCATCAAGGCGTTCAACTAAAAATCCAGTTGAAGTATCCCAAACTCTAACAGTTTTATCCAAACTTCCCGCGGCAATGTATTTTCCATCTGGAGAGATCGCAACAGTGGTGACACCGTCAGTGATGCTTAACGTCAAAACACATTGTCCTGTTTCCATATCCCACATTCTCACTGTACGATCTCCAGAACCAGAAGCAATGTGACGACCATTACGAGAAAAGTCTAACGAATAAATATCTTGCTCGTGACCAGAAAATACATATCTAATAGCTTGAGAGTGGATATCCCAAACACGAATTAGTTTATCTTCTGCACCAGTTGCCAGGTATTTTCCATCGGGAGAAAAGCAAACTGAACGAATATATAAATCTCCATCACGTTCAGCCCTTTTATCTTCTAAAAGAGCAACACGTTCACCAGTTTGAACATCGAAAATTTGTGCAATTCTATTGCATCCCGTAGCGACAAAACGGCCGTCACTAGAAAATCTAACACAGCATACGACCGAATTATGTTCAAGACTATGAACCAAGTCGACATCAAGAATTCGAGGAGCCCTGTCATTATAAACTACAGTCCAATCATCTTTTTGTTTTTTAAACTCAGGTCTTATTCTCTCAATATCCCCAAAGATATTTCCAAGCTCCTCAGCCTTTTTTTGAAGTTGGCTTTGTGTTTGAGGGGTTGGAACGGAAGTTTGTGAAAGCTGGGTTCCAACAAAACCATTGGATCCTGAATTACTAGTAGACGTATTTGATGCAATAGCAGGTGTAGAAGATGGTGTAATTGCTGAAGTTGTTGTATTTGCTGTATTGTTCGAACTCGTTGCTGTTGGAGTTGAACTTGAAGGCCCATTGGTACCATTTTCGGTACGTTTTTTTGAACCAGGAGAAAGAATTGGATTTTGAGCACTAGGTGTTGTTGCTGAAGGAACTCCAGGAAGTTGAGACGAAGTGCTGGGTGGTGGAGGTCCATTAGCCGGTGTGCTGCTGGGATTAGGATATACATTAGAAGGATATCCTGGATATGTTCCAGGACCAGACCCCTGGGCAGGTAAAGGCCCTTGGGAAGTCAGCTGAGGTTGTTGTTGCTGAGGAGGCTGTTGAAGAGGCTGTTGCTGTGGTGGAGGTGGGGGCTGCTGTTGAGGAAGTGGCATATTATTCGAACCAGGCATTAGTCCATTAAAGTTGTTACTGCTGGATCTTGTCAGGTTGGGTGGTTGAGGTTGTTGGTCTGCACCTGGACCCCCAGTCAAATTTTGACGGGGACTAGGCTGGGGTTGAGACGAACCAATTGGTCCAGCCTGAGGTGGAAGTTGCTGAGGTCCTCGGTTTTCCAGTTCTCTTTTTAAACGGGTAATCTCTTCTTCATATCGTTCTTTCATCTTTCTATGAGTCATTTCCAAATCCAAAACAGTTTGCCTTATCTGTTGCATTTCCGCAGTTTGTTGATTGACTTATATAAAAAATTAGAAGAGATCCAAATATCGATATATCCATATATACATACATTTCATATCAAACTCATCTTTGTGCATTCGATAAACAGAGGCCTCAGTATTAACAGTTTCAAACACTGCCTTGATATCATCAAACAAATCTAGCAATCGCTGTCCAGGGGGCGGCATTATGCGAGGTTGTTGCTGGTAGCTCATCTCTAATGAATGTTTCTAACAGAAAAGTGGGATTTTAATTATAATGTAACGCGTTGTTAAAAATTAATAATTTAATTGGAGCCACAGCACCAAGTTATTTATTAGAACTGTTGTGGCAAATACTGATTAAGAATACTGGTGTAGCTTCAAGATATAAAATATAAAAACATTAAATCTTATAAATAAATTGTTTATAAAATAAAAGTGCTAGCAAAAGAATCACAAAATGAAATAATATGCGTGGCGTTGGGCAAATTACAATTATGGTGAAAGTGGTAGTGGAGGTGACAAAAATATGAAAAAAACAAAAATAAAAATAAAAATAAAAAAGGGGGTGGGAAAGTTGTTTTTATTTTTAAAAAGTTTTTAGCCTAACAAAACAAATTAGCTAATTGTAAATCATTTGTCATTATTATATAATAATGTACAGCACTCATTTTTAGTGTCCTGCATTCTACAAACCCCTAAAAAAATATATATATTAATTTAATACGTTTTGAGATACTAACAAATAGAGTAAAATATGTTCAAAAAGTATGATAAGAAATGTTAACAACTTAAGTCATATTAACAGGAAATTTGAGATAGATTTTCAAGAGAAGATATAAACTCTCGTTCAAATATAAAATCTTCTGTTCAAAGGACCTTAAAAACTAGGGTTAGTGAACAGTTTCCAGGGTTTGAACATTTAGCTGATGAAATCGTCCCAAAAAAAAGTCAATTAACTCAAATCAAATGGTAAGTTTTATTAAGAGGGATTCAATACCGGACCTAACATTTTTTAAAAAAAAAAAGTTCTGATAGAATTTACCTCTATTCTGTAGGCCCCGAAGTATTATTCACTCAGCATGACACCGACGATATTATTCCTACTTTAAACTTGGTCCATAAATGTAAGTCAAATTTTTAATATTGAAATTTATTTATTAATAGCTTTTTTTAGATCCCGAAATTCTTCCTTCTGTAAGAGTTGATCGTGGTGCTATAAAGTTCATTCTTGGGGGTGCCAATATAATGTGCCCTGGACTTACTTCTAAAGGTGCACAATTACCAGAAAGCCCTGGCCTTGATAAAGGTCAGGTTGTAGCAGTTTATGCTGAAGGAAAAGAAAATGCGTTAGCAATCGGGCGATTGACAATGTCTACTGAAGAGATTAAATCAGTAAACAAGGGCATTGGTGTAGATCTCATCACATATTTGGGCGATGGTTTGTGGGGTCTTAAAGATTCAGTTTAACTTTTCGACGTACAACATGTCATTATTTTCTATACTATAATATTCGAGAGTTTGATAATCATCATTCATCATATATTTCTTATTCAAAACTTTGTCATAATAACTTAAAGTAAACTGAAATGAATCTGAGTCGTATATTTTACATTTCCTTAAAACATTTCCTTTGATTTTTTGAATTGAATCGGTTTTTAAAACTCGAATTTTCTTGATATTGTTTTTGTTTATTTGAACAAATACTATTATGATTCGTGAGGAAGACTTCCCAGCTTCGATAAACTGTGTTTGGAAAGGAAATACTTTATGTTTGTTGAGAAGATGGTTCCAATGTTTTGAAGTCATATCGTATGGTATTTTTTGTGAAGAAACCATTCCCATAAAAAAAATTTCTGAATCGAACGTTTCTTTCTCACTATATTTTACTCCATTTATTTTTTTCAACCCATATTCACCAGCCCACCTTGCAAGGCATATTGAGTCAAAAACATCATCATCATCACAAAAACATACGTAATTTCCCCTTATTCTAAGTTCAGTGATTGATGGATATAAATCTCCTAGTTGGTCATAAATGTCCCATTCAGTAATTTTATTATATGAAACATCAAGATTTTTCAATTCAGTTAAAGAATCACTGATTTTGCAGATATTATTATGGGCTAAACATAAAATCTGTAACTTTGGAGGAAGTTCAAACGATGATGGCATAATCTTGATACAGTTGTAAGATAAATCTAATCGAAAAACATTTGAAAAAGTGGAGAAATTTAAATCTCCGTTACTGTAATTATTATAGGGTACAACAAGTTCAATGATATTTGGAAATAATTTAGACCATGAATCAAATTCGGATGAATCAAGAAAGGAGTTGGAAAGAGCTAATGATTTTAGTTGAGGGCAGACAAAATCTGTTGATAAACCTTTCATGAATCTGTTACCGTTAAGAATCAATTCTTTAATACTAGGCAACCCTTGGCAAAGGTTTGCCACAGAATTGATTGAAGAAATCAAATTGTATGAAAGATCTAAAATAGAAACATTTGTTAATTTATCGCTTGACAGCTTTAGTTGTTGTGATAATGGAATATTCTGATCTTGGATATATCTGTGATCCAGGCTAACTGTAGACAGAAGTTCTAGATTTGAAATTTTAGCATTTATCTTTTCTGTTCCGTAATTTTCAATGACTTTAGAACCGCTGACTTGAATAAGAGGGATCTCTCCATTGGTTTCTTGATATTTATTTTTTAATGCATTAATAAACTCAAATGAAGAATCAGTTTTTTTGGTGCTCTTTACAAAAGACCCAGCTCCAGGTTGCTGGCACTGAAAGTATTGAACACCTTCTAGAATCCCATCGTGTTTTCCTTTTCTAATATTATCCCATTCCACTCCATATGCTAAAACTGACCATTGTGGAATTTTCCCAATGAAACGAACAGTGCATGATTCTTGATCATAAGATATTCTTGATCCAATTCTAATTTGATGTGACGTCATGAATATTAATTAAATCACACTTGAGTATAAATTATGGGAAATAAAAAAATGTTGTGTATTTTTTTATTTTTGTTTGTTTTTTTTTGTTTTTTTTGTTTGTTGTTTGTTGTTTGTTGTTTTTAAATGAATACGGCTCTATTGAGGGCTCAGTTTGTTTATGGAATGTAGATATTTGTAATTTGTCAACCCCTTATTTTATTTAAATACCAATTTATCTCCTCAGTTAGATATCAATATTCAAATCCCATAAGAAAATCGATATTCATATTAAAACAAAAAAATATGCATTTTAAATCTTTAATAACATTGCAAATACTTTTACCTTTGGTATTTGCACTCATTCCCATTGAAGTTAAAAATTTTAGGTTTATCCGACCTTCAACTAATGCTTCAGATGAAGGGGAGGTTGTGCAAATTATTGGGTTAGACTATCAACCTGGAGGCTCATCAGGATATGACCCCAACGGTGACTCGGATGTTCTTTCTGATCCTGATCAGATTTTAAGAGATACCTATCTTTTTAAACAATTGGGTATTAACACCATTCGGGTTTACTCATTAAACCCCTGGATTAATCATGACGAATCCATGTCTATTCTTAACGCAGCAGGGTACGTATACACTATACGCTATTGCAAGAACCAAACAAAATTTACTGACTTATAATTATTAATTAATAATTTAGAATTTATGTCATTCTTGATGTTAACAACCCATTTCAAAGTTTAGCCCGTTTACATCCAGCTGACTCATATAACTCGGATTATCTCAATCATATTTTTGGAATTGTGGATGCATTTAAAGGATATCCTAATTTGTTGGGTTTTTTTGCTGGAAATGAAGTTGTGAATGATGCGGCTTCTGCAAAACTGTCTCCACCATATGTTCGTGCTATTATTCGAGATTTAAAAGATTATATTAAGTTACATGCTAATCGTACAATTCCAGTTGGATATTCTGCTGCTGATGACAAAGACTTGCGCGATGTAATGTTAATGTATCTGGAATGTCAAAATGGAAACGACTCATCAGCTGCCGATTTTTATGGTTTAAATTCATATGAGTGGTGTTCTGGTAGGGATGATTGGCAATCTTCGGGTTATGGAACACTTTTAGAGACTTTTAAAACGACTTCAATTCCAATTTTCCTTTCAGAATACGGTTGCAATGTTAATAGCCCTCGTAGCTTTGATGAGGTTTATGATGGTCTCTATGCTAATTTGTCGACAGTATTTTCTGGTGGTTTAGTTTATGAATACTCCCAGCAGGAAAATGATTACGGACTTGTTGAGATTCGAGACGATGGTTCAATCAGAATTGATCAAGACTACGCAAACCTACAGGCCGCATATAATAAAATTGTTTGGAAAACAGAGTATGAATCAGACGTTCCTGATACCTCTCGTCCTGTTTGTAATAGCAGTTATTCTAAAACAATTACGGATTTAAACGCTAATTTCAACGCTTCATTTGTTTTACCCGCCTGTCCTGATTCATCTATGCTTAAGAATGGTGGGGGGAATAATAATATTGGGAAAATTGTTGATTTATCTAACAATACAAGTACCTACAAGATTTACAACATTAATGGCAATACCATTTCTAACATAACAGTCGAATTTTCTGAAGATAACCAGATTAACAGTCCAGCAGGTCTTTCGATTAATGACACCCAAACTAATTCATCTGATTCAGATTCTGTTTCTGCTTCCAACACATTACCTTCTACGTCACCCACATCGTCCATTGAGCCCTCTACCAGTACTGGTCTCGCATCAACTTCAACTTCTAAAGCCATGGCTTCTATTAATTCCTATGGGTTTGGGTTATTTTCTTTTATGCTCAGTGGATTGATTGCTTTTTCTTAAATGTTTATTTTTCGCTTTTAAAAATTCTTTTCAATTCAGTCAATAAAGAATAATAGTAATTTATTAATATGCTTTTACTTTAAAACGGAAAAACTCCCTTGCGTTATAGATTGTGATTAATATTTATGTAATAATTTTTGGAGAATTTGTTCAATGTTTATATATTCAACTAATTAGTTTCTTACTGTTTAACCATTAACCACTTTTTATCTTTAAATTAACCGATTTAAATAGTTAAGATACTGACACTTTTTGATAAAAATATAGTCACAATTCTTGTTTCTGTCTTATGATGTTTTTCTCTATCATATTCATAAAGCAAATGAGAATATTCATTTATCAATCTTAACAGTTTTTTGGAGAGTTTATTACAATTGCAAGTCATTTCCATGAGCGGATTTTGCTCACCGTTAAATTGACTTATGATCTTTCTCGATTGAGAATATACATAAGCATAAAAATAATGACCGGTTGGCTGGCTTAATAAAAGTAAATCAAACTCGGAAAAAGTATACCTTATAGTAAATTTGTGAAAAAAAAAATCTGGCAATACTAACACTGTTGAAAATACGTGGGAGGGAAATGGGAAATGCCCCTAACAAAATGGCCGATTTCTTATAAATCTGCAAGAAATTTTGATTTTTATCTCCTCCTCGTCCTAATTCGATCATAAAAAATTACCATCTTGGGAATTCTTTGATAATCATCCACACAAACATTACTAAGATTGATTCAATTCTTACTAAAAACCAACACAATCCAGACTAATTTGTCACGTGAAACCTTTCCATTTTCCCACCCATTTATTTTCAAGTGTGTAAATACAAGTTACCCGTGCTACTATTATTTGCAATTAAGTATTCCTGCTATTTGTAATTAAATATTACAGCTATTCGCAATTAAGTAATAGTGCTGGTGGCAATTATAAATAGAGTATGCTTACCCTATAAAAAAAACTGGTCCGAAAAAGTCACGTTTTCGCCCGATTAGTCTTTGCTTTAGGCTAGAAAAAAAAAAGGCAGGATCAAATATAAATTCAAGAACCTAACCCTGATCTCATTTCAAAAATCACCTAATTGTCTCAATCTTGTAGGCCCTTTAACCACAACACAAGATGGGTAGAAAATCAAAAGTTGATAATTTAAATAGATTGATAAAAAATTGCTTTGATATTTTATAGGTTTGATATTGCAGATGAATACAAATAAAGATTCAGGCATCCTGGAAAACCGGTTGAGATTTGTCGGACGTTGTTCTATCTCTTCTTGCAATCACTCTCCATCTTGAAATTAATATACATGGGTATCCAGTGTAAAAACTTCATGATTTTAAAACAGAAGATCAAATAGGTCTTTAATAGCTTCTGTAATTTCCTTATAGATTGTTTTGAATATTGTTTTTAATTCATTTTTGATGACTTGATAAGCTTGGTCATGTCTATGTGAAGAAATATCCATAGTTAACTTGATGAACAAGTAGGGTAATTTTACCCATTTATTTTTCTTTGTAGAACAATACAAAATTTACAGGCAGCACACTTGAAAATAAATGGGTAGGAAAATGGAAAAGTTTCACGTGATAAATTAGTCAGGATTGTGCTAGATTTTAGTAAGAATTGGATCAATCTTAGTAATGTTTGTGTTGATGATTATCAAAGAATTCCCAAGATGGTAATTTTTTATGATCGAATTAGGACGAGGAGGAGATAAAAATCAAATTTTCTGGCAGATTTATAAGAAATCGGCCATTTTGTTAGGGACATTTCCCATTTCCCTCCCACGTATTTTCAACAGTGCAGGCTTATTTGTTTAGCTAAGAATAATTTCGTTTCTGGCTTCTATTTCGTGCTGGCTTCTGTTTCCTATTTGAGCGAAATAATATTTTTCGGGCCAGTTTTTTTTATAGGGTAAGCATACTCTAATAGGGATGCTTAGAAGAAAACCAATTTTTTTTTTGTGAAATGTAAAGGAGAAAAATTATTTTTCATTCGCCCCATTACCAATTAAAGACCAAAATAAGCATTCTGTAGGAGTATGGTTACCGGAACCCCGTAGATAACCAAGAACCACTTACCCGGACTTCAGTAACCAACTTCAAATAGTATAAATAGCTACATAATTCTGTACTTTCTTCTAAATCCTTATCGATCCTTTGTGAATTGTTCCACACATTCCGATTTATTAATTAATTAATTATAATGGGCGCGCGCACGCGCCACTGTTAAAAAAAAACATAGGAAAAATTCAAATTTCCCATAGTAAATTTATTGTTACATAAAAAAAAGGATTTGAACCGCACATCTGATCAAACAAGTTCCTATTTGGGCCAAAAACTTCAAATTTAAGGAATATGATTGGTTTATTTACGGAAATTTCGACAAAAAAGGAAATATTTCTATCACGACGTTTTAATTTTAATAGTGTATATATATGGGTAAGGGTTTATAAACATTATCCAAACAATCATAATAAAATAAACATATTGTTATATTAAAAACAAAATCTTATTATTAGAGAAAATTTGGAACATCATTAAGGGCTTACATTGATTTTTAAAATTAATAAAGTTTGGGTTTTTATTTTTTTATTTTTTTATTTTTTTATTTTTTATTTTTTATTTTTCATATTTCATATTTCATATTTCATATTTCATATTTCATTTTTTTGCTTTTTGCTTTTTGCTTTTTGCTTTTTGCTTTTTGCTTTTTGCTTTTTGCTTTTTGCTTTATCGAACAAAATGGAAGTTCCACCACCTTACGCACCAACAACATATTCTGGGGGTAGTCTTAGTAGGTCTCAAAGAAATGATGGAATTCTTGATCAAGAAATAAAGCTCTACATAAATGCCAAACAAAGAGAATTATATGAATCGTTAGCAGAAATATACGCAATAATCGTAACACTTGATTTTTTAGAAAAAGCTTTCTTAAGGGATTCAATCGACCATAATGAGTATACACCTACCTGCTTAAGACTTATTGCACAGTATAATGCAATGCTGAAAAACGAAGCTGTTAATAAAGAGTTTGGCTCGTTAGAAAAATTTAAAGACCGTTTTGGACTAGAGTATGTATTAGGAATTGAAAGATTAAAAGTCGGTATCCCAGTAACTTTTGGCGAAACAGTGTCTACTGCTAATACTGCAATTCAAACACAAGTATCGGATATTGATTTTAATAAAAATTCTGGTAATGATCTGTCAGGTGGCAAAATGAAGGGTGGTGCCAAATCTATAGCTGAAATTACTGGGAATTTTATTACATGTATGGATGCTGTTAGGTTGAAATACAGAGCAAAAGATCAGCTCCATCCTTTGTTAAGTGAGTTGGTAACTAGTCTTAATAGAATTACCATCGATGGGAAAGACTTTACAGGAAAAGGGACGTTAGTTCAATGGCTTATTACATTGAATGGCTTAAAAGTCGATGAAGAAATAACTGATGAGCAGGCTCGTCAGTTTTTATTTGATTTACATTCTGCATATAAAAATTTTTACACAAATTTAGAATGATACTTTTTAGCTCATTTGCAAATATTAAATAAATTAAGCACATTTAAATTTAAATTTACTATATATATTTTGTACTGTACGTGGAATGTAACGGATGTCCCAATATACGTTACATAAACATCTTATGATCGGTTTTCGCTGGCAAGGCAATAAATAAAAATGAATGTTAAAACAACAATCTTTTCATTTTTTAAAAATATAACCATAATAGTTACATTTGTAGCTATTATTTTGAATTGTTATATCTATCAATATTATCGATTCAAACCAAGCTCTTGCTATTGGAAGGATGATAAGGACCTCGTTCGTTTAGTTGCTTTTGGAGACCCTCAAATAAGAGGTGTTAATTCTGCTTCTTCTTTAAGAACAAAGATTGACATTTGGGGGAATGACTACTATCTTGCACATATATATAAAGTCTTAGTTCAGTTTCTTGAGCCTACACATGTTTCTATTATGGGAGATTTAATTTCCTCCCAGTGGATATCTAATAAGGAATTTTATGAACGAGAACAAAGGTTCTCTAAGAAAATTTTTAGAAAAGACATTCTTTTGAAAAACACACATTTTTTTAATATTTGTGGAAATCACGATATTGGATATGCTGGTGAAATGACTAAAGAACGAGTTGATCGATTTGAAAAGCTGTATGGCTCTGTCAACTTTGTGAATTATTACCCAGAGGGATATCGAATTGTGGTCTTAAACTCATTGGCAATTGATGGACCGGGATGGGAAAATATTTACTACGATCAAACTTTAAAATTTCTCCATTCATTAAAAAAAGAGGAATACAAGGGTCCTACTATACTATTAACACATGTTCCTATGTATAAAGAATCCGGAATATGCAAAGATGGCCCGTTATTCAATTATTACGGCAGCGAGTATAGGAATGTGCTAAAAGAACAAAATCAACTTTCGCAAGAAAGCACTAAAATGGTTCTGGAATGTGTTTTCAATTTAGAATATGGAGGAGTAATTCTTACGGGGCACGATCACGATGGTTGTGTCATAGAATATGAGCACAATAAAACTGAATGGATCATTATAAATTCAAAAAGTGGTTATAGGGTTACGAAGAGTACTATAATTGGTCCTAAAATCCTTGAAGCTACTGTTCGAAGTATGATGGGCGAATTTGGAGGTAATGCTGGTTTACTTTCAGCATCGATAGATCAAAAAAATCAATGGATGTTTAACTACCGACTTTGTCCTTTCCATGTTCAACACCTATGGTGGGCAACTCAAGTAATTACTATTTTTTCGGCTATTTTGATTGCAACATTTTTTGTTTTCCGTAAACTTAAATAAAATTCAGTGGAGGATGCAAGAAAAAAGAAATCGCATCTGCTTAATAAGCAATCATCACTGAAAAATATATGTTTTGACGTGTTCTTTCAAAGACAAATTCTTGTCCTTGATTCTTTTCTTCTCCCTTTTAATGTCACATTATATTTATTAAATCAACTGGAATTTATCATTTTCTCTCATAATCATTATTATTATTATTATTATAATTATTATTATTATTATAATCACCATCAGTTTAGTTAATTTTTTAAAACATGGTCAATCCAGCTATTTCAAATCTGGTCATCATGTTGGGGCTGACCCAACTTTCCAAGAAAATACCTTTTGAAGACGAAAATGTTCTTAATATTGCTCGCGGTATTTATATTCTTTCCAACGTTATCATATTTGGACTTTACTTGTACACCAAATCTATTATCAATAAGAAGAATGATTTAACAACTCTTAAGTATGTCCAGCCAGCTAATGCGTTTCAACAACAAGAGGAAAAACTTGTTACAACCACTATCAAAGAATACGATCTGCAACAAGTTCAAAGTGCCATCAGAAGTGTTTTTTCAGGGATGGCTATGGTTGCTTTCATGCATATTTATATGAAATACACCAATCCATTGGTTATCCAGGCTATTCTTCCCCTTAAAAGTGCATTTGAACAAAACATTGTTAAGATTCATGTTTTTGGAAAGCCTGCAATTGGTGATCTGAAGAGACCTTTTAAGACTGCTTCGCTTTTTGGGGCGGCTCAAGGCGAAGCCAAAGTTGATAAAAAAGCAGTTTCTGCAGCAGAAACCGCTGGTGCCAGTGGTGTTAAGGAGGATTAATGTATTTAACTTATAACTAATTAGTTACTGCTTAAAAAAATCCAGAATTTTCTCTAATCTTTCTGTATGAAGACTTGCTTTAGGTATTTCAGATTTTTTCAAATTTTCGATTTCTCCCAAAACTTTGTAGTATTCTTCTTGCAAATGTTTAATGTTTTGTTGAATGATTTTTTCATCTCTTGTAAAATTCAATAGATTTTTTAAGTCATTTTTATCGTTAAATTGTCCTAAACTTATAGTAGAGTTGGTGAATATTTTCAAAATCTCGTTTGGAAATTTTTGCCTAAGATTAGAAATGTCTAAAGTAAGCTCATCAACAAGAGCATAAGCTTCCCTAAGATCATCATTTAGTTCTTGATTAAAAGGCTCAACATCATTATTTTCCATCTGTTTCAAGGTTTCGGCAAGAGTACTTGATTTTCCACTAATATCTCTTCCATCGACAACTAAGCCATACCGAGAAATTTCAAGTGATTCATAAATAAATTGATGAACGAGTTCTTGAACTTGACTTCTCATGGGATCATCTAATTTCTGAAATTCTCCTTTTTCGAATTCAGTTTGAAATGGTAAATGAACTTTAATTTTCAAATCAGCAGCTTCAATTATCTTGTTTCGAAGAAAACGTACATCATCGTGAGAAAGGTGAAGTTTTAATTCCATGTTTCCTTTCATTTTTGATATTAGTGTTGGAGCTTAAGTTTTTTTGTTTACATTTCACACAATATTTTAAATTATATTTAAGCTTATGTAACACAAATGTTTAAATTATTTTGGAATTCAATTAAATATTCTAAATATTGAGCACGTGATAAATCATTTAAAGCTTTGAAGCTATTGCTTTACCAGCCCTAGATCCGTTTGATCGACCTATTGTTGTAGATATCCATTCACCAGTTTTTGAAAGAAAATCCAAATCAATTCCAGTTTGGTAACCAGAATTATGTAGGGAATACACGATATCTTCTGTTGAAACGTTTCCAGTTGCTCCTTGTGCGTAAGGACATCCACCTAAACCGCCCACACTTGCGTCTACCACTCGTACACCCATTTCTACAGCCTTTAATACATTAGCAACACCTTGACCATAAGTATCATGTGCATGAATCGCAATTTTTGATGGTGCAACTTTTTTGAAAACTTCCATTAACATTTTTTCTGTAGTTTTGACAGTTCCCACTCCAATGGTATCACCAAGAGAAAGCTCATAACATCCAATCTCTTCCAAATAACGTTGAGACAAATCTGCAACTTTTTTTGGATCTGTTGGTCCATCATATGGACATCCAATTACAGTCGAAAGATACCCTCTGACTTTAATTCCATTTGAATGAGCTAGATCTGCAACCTCTTTTAGGATTCTTATTCCTTCGTTAACGCTCGTGTTTGTATTTTTCTTACTAAACCCTTCGGAGGCTGCACCAAAAATTGCTATTTCTTTAATAGCTATACCTGTTTCAAGAGCCCTTTCTAGCCCTTTAGTGTTAGGTATAAGAATTGGATAGGAAGTTCCATTCCCTTCATATTTTGACGATACAAATCGCAAAATATCTTTGGCATCAGCCATTTGAGGTACCCATTTCGGGGATACAAAGGAAGTTATTTCGATTGAAGGGATGTTAGCTTTAGTAAGTCTATCAATAAGCTCAAGTTTAACTGATGTTGGCACTATAGTGGATTCATTTTGAAGGCCATCGCGTGGGGAAACATCAACAATTTTAACAAAATTTTGAGAAATTGAGCTAAATGGTCTCAATTGAGGTGATATTTTGAAAACGTTTAATATACCTCTATTTTTAAGTTTCAGCATATTGGTATTTTTTTGAAAAGTCCTGTAAGGATTCATATAAAAAACAAGGTTAATTTAAAAAATTTCTATGCATTTTTGTTGGCCTTTTATAACTTGGAATTGTGGGGTTAACTGTAAATCTCCCCGCAAAGTATCCGGAAATCATTCGGGAATTTTGTCGTTTCCCCACTTAAGTTTACGTACCGTTCCTAACCCATAATACAAAACACAAACGGGTATTTTTTTGTACAAGTGGAAAAAAAATCAGGACCGAACCGGTATTTAAGATTCAAACCCGAATACCGATAGTTATATGTTTTTTTAAATTTTTTTTTTAAATTTATTATTAATGACGTAAATTAATTTATTAAAATTATTTTTAATATCAAAAATTATTGTTGCTAATTGGTGCAAATTAACCGATCGACACCGTGAATTATAGGGTACCGGCACACTACTTTGTGATTGCATCACGTGTTATATTCACATGAAAATTTAACGAAATAAACAAATCTATCTACTTTATGAAAGTTTTTCTTTCTCTTTTAAACATCATAACTTCACCACTGAAAGAAGTCTTTTTTTTTTTTGGAAAAAAGAACTGATTATTTTTATAATTTATGCCTTCAAGTTATGTTAAATTCGACTAAATCAATACAAAAACTTTCTGACCGTAATTACGAGGTCAAAAAATTTGAAGACGATGAAATTACATTGACTCCTCATACTAATACGCAAAAATCTTTAAATCATCAACTTATAGATTCTGAAACTTCAACTATATCATCTTCATCTTCATCTTCATTTTCGTGTTCTTCTACCTATATTTCGGAAAACTCTAGTCTAAGAGAGAACTCCAAATTAAAGAATAATATATCGAAACCTATTACCATCCCTTCACACATACGTTTTGGATCTTTTATTCACAAGAATGAGATCCCTAGAAAGGTTTTTCACTCCTCAATAGGATTTTTAACTCTATGGCTATACGCAGTTGGAATTCAGTTTTCACAAGTAACTCCCATTCTTATGGCTATTTTGGTAATTGTTTTATCATCTGATTTGATCCGTTTTCGATGGCCTGCATTTAATGAAATATATATATCGGTTTTGGGACCTTTGATGAGACAAAAAGAAATCAATAGTTATAATGGTGTCATATTTTACCTTATTGGACTTATTTTTGTATTCTCCTTCTTTCCTAAAGATGTTTCATTGATTTCTCTCTTACTTTTATCGTGGGCAGACACTGCAGCATCTACTTTTGGGAGAGCATATGGTCATCTTACTCCTAAAATTGGAAATGGAAAGTCACTTGCAGGTTCTTTAGCGGCATTTGCTACAGGTGTTATTTCTGCCGTGCTGCTTTATAAATACTTTATTCCGAAGTATAACTACAATAATTTACCTGGCGACATTTTTTGGACACCCGAAACTTCATTCATTCCGTTCTCCTTGTTAGTCTTAATTTGTGGATTAATTGGAGCAATATCTGAAGCTATTGACATCTACGAAATTGATGATAACCTAACAATTCCTGCGCTCTCAGCGATAATCCTTTATTTCATATTATATTTCTCACAAAAGAAATAAAAATGTATTATTTTTTGTCTAGTGATAAATGTTAAAAGAAGAAGAAAAATTTCTTTTTATGTAATTTTCGGCTCAAGGCTTTGTAATGTTCCATTTCACCCCAACAATCACGGCCCCATTCACACCCAGCCATGTTAACAACAAAGTCACGATCAGCATCGCTATAGAATAGTCGTTTATCATCAGCCATATCAGAGCAAGCACCAGGAGGGAACGCGTTAAACGCCCGAAGCGGCATGAATGCAACTCTACCACGAATCCATGCTTCGTTTGTATATAGATACTCTAAAGCATCTTGTTCTTTATGTTCCCATTCCATATGCTTTTGTTCATAAAACACAGGATCCCACCAAATATCTAAGAGCTTCTCCGACCATTCACTTCTGCGAATAAAAAATGAACCAAGATTAAATCCACCACAATCCTGCGTAATGATAAGATCAATTGGTTGATTGTAATCAACATAAGGTATATTAACAGGAATGTTAAGAGGGTTAAAATATGAAACATCGTGGTAGGTGTTATTTTCAAGCTTTCTAAAAATTTTTTGATCAAGACTAATTTGAGGTTCCATAATGTAAGTGTGAAGGTCAAGCCACCAAAACCATTCTGCATCCGGAAACTGGCGCATAGTCTGTTTGATAATGTCAACTTTTTCCCAAGATTCTCTCCATTCATGAGCGTATCTCTTTTTAGATGACATATCTTTTATAGCAAGATGATAACCATGTCGTGCAGCATAAGCCTTTTTATTTGCAATGCTTGACCTCTCAATAGACCATTCCCTAGCACCCTTCCATTGCATTACTCCTCCTCCTTGATTTGCGGCAAGAATAATGACATATTTTCCTGATCCCCATCTGTAATGTGGTAAAAATGGGACAGATGTGAAAAGAGAAAGTAATGCAATCACAGTAAAAAGCAAAACAAAAAACTTTCGTCGGTTAAGAAAACTAATTGAAGATGTGGTTAAATATTCAAATAATTGAGAAGTTTTGTAGATGAAAACTTTTAACTTCCCTCCGGAGGGAGAAACGCCTTTGCCTTTTCTTGACCAATACGAAGTTGATGACTTCGGATGCCATGAAGAAGAGGATCCCCATGGTGCCCAGAAACTTTGCCGGTCGTTGTCTTTTGGCATTTTAGTTGGTTTTGGTAGAAGAATCAATCACAGAAATCTCTTTATTATCTTTTCGGTGTTAAGGGGTAAAAAAAAATCGATGAAGCTTGAAATTATGCAGAGATACATTATTATTATTATCTTAGTACGTGTTTCTTTTTTATTACATTTAAGTGTAGATTACAAAATATTGTAATGAATTGATTACGAAGAAATCAAGCCCATCTTGATGACACAATGATAATTGTGTTATTATTCCCCTTAAACATTATTATGTCATAATTATGACATAATGTTTAAGGGTTAACTCCTACTAATTATGATAATACTGTGCTCATTGTCAACCTTAACTTATATATACAAATTGATGATTATCAAAAAATATAATAATTGGTTATATACAATCTACATTCAATTGTTATTTTAAAATAAAACTAAGCTCATCCAGAAAATGGAAACCCTTCGAATGTATATTAAAAATCAAACTCTGAACGAAATGTGTTTAAATCCATTCCAACGCCAACTTTAGATTCTAAATCTTTGCGATCCATCGCAGAAAAAACTCTTTTTAAAGTTGCATAGAGATTTGTACTTTGATTTGCTAATGCTTGATCTTCGGGTGTATGATCCATTGATAGAGCAGTAAGTAAATGTTGAGCAGCCTCGTGATAACAACCAATATTTATGCATGACACACCCAAATTATATCTTGCTCTTGCAAAAGAAGGCCGCAACTGCAGTGCTCTAGAATATGCTTCAATAGCTTCTTCACTCTTGTTAAAATTAGCTAAGGTAGCGCCCAGACGATTCCAAAGTAAAGGATCATTAGGGCGAGCTGCAATCGCCGCGTTAAAACAGTCAATAGCCTTTTCATAATCCTCATTTCCATAAAAGAGAACACCAAGTCCGTCTTGAACATCAGCGTCCATATTAGCGCCATCAGGGGAAATTTGTGCTGCCCGAATGAAAAGTTCAGTCACACGAGCATGGAGGTGATACTTGTCTTCAATGCCCAATTTAGGCTCTTGAGCACGTGCTTGATCAACGACATCAGGATATTTAGTTGAAATCCATTTCTCTAAAGTTGAGTAAGCCGCATTATCATAGCTTTCATTAACGTATGAAACCGCCAAATTCATTAAGGCGGTAAGGTTATTAGGGTCCAGGGTGACACATCTTTCAAGCGCCCGTATTGCTGGATCCTCTTTTTCATTTTGAGCTTGGCAAGCTCCCAAGCGGCCCCAAGCTTCAGCGTGCTCAGGATTCTTTTGAACTGCAGCTTCAAAAGCTAATGCGGCTTCCGAAATGTTTCCACCAGATTCCATAAGTTGAACACCAATTTGGAAAGGATCGGGATCGTTAATATAACGATTATTAGACTCAAACTCATATTCACCAAATTCAGACCTGTTTCTTGCAAATTGATCAAAATCACGATCCCATGAATTATCTAAATTCCAGTCATCATTAGCATCTAAAACCTGAGATCTAATGTTTTCCCAAATATTATCAAAGTCGGAAACAACTGCTTCAGTATCTGAATTTTGTTTCAAAGATTCATGAGAGACTTCAGCCGTCTTTTTTTCCACATTATTGACACTTTCTTCTACTTGACGAAACTGCTCCTCCCAATTTTTATTATCCAATTCAACAATTCGATCACTTTTAGGGGTAACAGTAGCAGAAGTTGAAATCATAGATGGAGCAAAATGTCTAGGCATATATCCTAAGCCTGCATTATTAAAGCCTTGAAATCCTGTTATCGGAGGTCCAGTTACAGAATCATTAAGACCTCCGGCAGTAAACTCAGCACCCCACCTAGCATTATCCATAACAGATCTAGAAACATGCTGTGAAGTTAAGACATCAGGAGTGATACTAGGACCAGAAACACCTTTAGCAGTAAAATCTGCGGCCCAACCGTCTTTTTTTGCAAGTCCTAAAGAAGTTTGATGATGTTGAATGTTCATGAGTTCATGGTTCATTTGGTCAAACTGAAAAGAACTATGACCCATAACGGGCCCATTTGCTTCACTTTTCATAAAAGAATCCATAAGTTGTCTGTCTTGCGCCGCTATTGACTGATTTGAAGATCTCATAGAAGCAGATGCCTGTCCAGAGGGGCCAAATCTTTCATGTTGCAATGATTTATCATCCGAGGCATGCTTGGTAAACTGAGAAAGAGGGTTTCGGCTACTTGAACACTCTGCTCCCGAGTTCATAAAAGACATTTTGGTAAAAAATCGATTGGTAGTTATAAATATATAATAAATAAGAATATGAATATGAATATGAATAAGAATTAAATGAAAATGAAAAACAAAAGTAACAATGAAGCGGAGTCTATGTGTTATTAAAAGGAAATTTAATAAGTGGGGAGAAATAAACTCTCAGTTACCCTGCCTGTAATCAAAAACCCATTTAACCCAATCCGACAAGTCTGACAAATCATGAAAGCCACTTGTTGACATAACCCTATCCGGAGAAGACCATTGATAAGATAAAACGCTGTAAAGTGGAGCGTGCCATTGTAGCGGTGATCCAACAGCCACTACTATAACAAACTTTTCTGGAATGCTAATAGTGATGTTAGATGCCGGTTGAACAGCAAGTCTGCCTAAATATAGTGTACTGCGAGTTGCTGTATTATTTGGAGACGCTTTAGTAGACGGGAAAGAGCCCGATATTCGTGGGCTTACAGACTCTTGTTCTATTGTAATTGGTTTGCTCGTGTCAATTTCACCCAATGAAGTTTGTACCAAAAGTTCAAGAGCTTTCCTGGTTCTTTTCATAATCTTTTCATGAAGAACGTGTGCTATTAAAGGTTGTAAAATATACACTCCAGATTTTTTTGATAAATCATTTGTAATAATATTTACCGGTAACTGACGTCGTTTCTGTAAATTTCGCCGATGAAGATTTGATAACAGTATTCGGAAAACCGCACATATATAATTAGCTCTGGTTGAGTATTTTACAGATTTTCCGATATCCAAGTTAGTGTTATTAATATCAGTGTATTCTACTTCAAGAATCTCATCATATAAATTGATAATAATTTTATGATCGACTACTTGAACTCTGTGTGAAGCAAGACCCCGCGCTTCCATAGTCATTTGATGAAATAGCTCTTCTTCAAAAAGAAGATTTCGAGCATTTTTGATATCTGTTTCAACATTTCCCTCTTCTTCAGATAATATACCAACTCCACAAATTGAGGAAGAAACTCCAACTTTAATCCTCTCTCCACCCAAAATTTGAAATAAAGTTACTTTAACAACTTTAGTACGCTTTGAAACTTCTGTTTGAAATGACAACGACCCTTTATTTTCTCGTTTCAAGACTGCTATTCCTTTATCTTGATATTGGGACCCAGCTAAATAAAAAAGGAAATTTTATTAGATGTAACTTAGAATAAGAATAAAAATAAAAATAAAAACTTACAATCATCAAATCCATATTTTATACTTAAATCCCGTAGATCACCCTTTCTAATTTTGAACAAAATTTCTCCTTTAGAAACAACAGTTAAAATTGATTTCCAATAAAGTACTTCTTTTGAAGTTTCTTCATTCAACTTTTGAGCTGCTGCTTTTAAATCATTAGCAGCATTATCCAACGATTCTAACTTCCAACCAGCAGAAACAAGAGGATCATCTCCATTAATCATAGACTTTGAACTATCAGCATTTAAAGATCCATTTGGGACATTTGCTCTTAAATATGGTGACATTGATGTTGTTCCAGACGCAGGTTTCAATCCAGACATTAAAAGAGATATGAAATCTTGTGAAAGTGCAGATTCTCCTTGAGCTATTTCTATTAATAAACGAAGATCTTGGCGAGCTTTTTCAAAACTTTCCTCGTCCATAACTTGTAGATTTTTATTAGATATTTGATTGGAAAAGTATTCAGTTCCTATATCGCCAATAACTGTAGATCGCATGGGCATATCATTACTTGCTTCTTTTTTCTTTTGTAAACTTTCAATTTCTTCTAATAATGAGTCCTCAGATAGATTTGCAAAAGATCCTTTTTCTTGGGATATCCATGAAATAAGCTGATCTAAAGATATAGAATGTCTTAAACCAGGTCAGCAAAATCATATAATAAAATAAACAAACATACTCATCAATTGAAATGGTTTCATCTTTAGAATTAGGCTCTATTGATATTAATATATCTTTTATTGATTCTGTCATTACTTTAATAATGGTAATCTAGATGATTGTTCATATACGCCAAATTATAATGGAATTACACACCTAATACTGAATAAGTATTTTTTAGTTTGTCTTAGTAAGCAATCATACTTAATTATTTATTGTAATAATAACTGATTAATGTTAACCTAAGTTTAAAAGATGTCTCATAATTTCATTAGTTATTATTAATCACTTTGTCAAGAGTATCATCATTTAAATCAACAAGGACATTATTAAGTAATTGAACGACGTTTTAAGCAAGTTTTGGAGATTTCTTGTTGCTTGATCATTTGGTTAAATAAGGCTTCTTTATATATATTACCATCATTTTTAACTTCTTACAATTGACAGCGTAGCCATTTTAGTTTATTAGATCTAACTAAAACCATTCGACCTTTATGGTTCTACATATGAGCCGAACAAACTATTTTTTTTTGAAAAAAATGTTGTGGATACCACAGGTTTTATTTTATAATCATAGTTTTGATGATATATATTTCAAAAAAAGAACAGAATAAGCCTATTAACTTCATCTAGCGAAGTTCATACAATAATGAAATTCATATTTCAGCCCAAATTCAAATTCAAATTCAAATTCAAATATATATTATTAAAAATCAAATTACCAATATCAAATATCAAATATCAAATATCAAATATCAAATATCAAATATCAAATATCAAATATCAAATATCAAATATCAAATATCAAATATCAAATATCAAATATCAAATATCAAATATCAAATATCAAATATCAAATATCAAATATCAAATATCAAATATCAAATATCAAATATCAAATATCAAATATCAAATATCAAATATCAAATATCAAATATCAAATATCAAATATCAAATATCAAATATCAAATATCAAATATCAAATATCAAAATTCCCGTCGTCATCCTCTAAATCACTTGACTGTAATCCATTTGCAAGCTCCTTTTCCCTTTCTCTAGCCTGTTCAGCATTTTTCAAATCGGTGTTGTGGTTGCTCAAAACATAACGCATAGCTTTAACGCTGTCGTTATGGAGAGCAATGCAAAACTTGATACGCTCATGAAATGCTTCTTGTGGTTGCAGTGTTGAGTAGACATCTAAAACTTCGTTACTCTGCATATAGCCGTGTTCGTGATCAATAGTAGCATCAATAACACCATCACGAATAGCCTTAGCAATGATATGTTCGGTTGATTCTTCGCTATCCAATTGAAGTTTGATGCAAATATCTTTCAAAGAAATTTTTGAATAGGATAAGCTGATTGTTCTAATACCCGTTTTGATAACATTCTGTCTAAGTCTAAGAACTAATGTATAAGTACCGTCTTTTTTAAGAGATGCAGAATGTTTTTTAATGGTTTCACTAAACTGAATGATATCACCAATTCTAACAGCCTTAGCAACATCAAAGTAAGGAAGTAGTGGTTTTTCCAAAAAAGCTTGTTTAAACACCGACTTTTCTGGTATAACACCCATAAGTAGCTCAACAACAACATTCAATTTCTGTGCTGTTTGGAGAAAACCTGCCGCAAGAGGCGTTTGAGGAGCTTTTCGAATTGCAGCAGTAACATGTTCATGGGCAGCTGAATAATCAAGTTTTATGGCATTAATCTTTGCAAGGTAATAAAAATAACGAGCGACAAGTGCATTAGCAGCAGACTCTGGAAATGTGATTTTGGAAACAAGATTTTCAGCCTGAGAAACGTGATGAGTGGCAAGATAACTTCTCAGTAATAATGTAATAAGAGAAGCTTGGGTTTCCATATCATGCCGAAGAGTGGCACTACGAAGTGCGTTTAATAACAAGGGTCTAGCTTCTTCAAGTTCATTGTTTAATTCCTTTCCCCAGGAATAATAAAACCAAACCTTAGCTGCCAAATAATCTAAACTGCGACGGTTATAAGAAGCAAGCTTTTTAACAGTTTCTTCATTAAAGTCTTTGAATTTAGTAAGATCGTTTTGGTGCAAGAGCCAAGTTTGAACTAACAAATGAAGAAAGATATCAATTTCAGGGAGAATTGTTTTTGTGTCGGATTTGTCAATATCCATCGATTCATCAAAAGGTATTTCAGATAAATGACCGTCAATAGCACTCAAAAGCACTGCTCGTGATGGGTTTGATTTTGGATACACAGTTTCAATTGTTTTATAAAGAACAGTAGGAGTTATATTCTTGCGAAGAGAAGGTAAACCTCGTAAGACTTGAAGCATATACTTAGGATCAAAATTGGAAACGGCTTTCTCAAGATATACAAAGTTTTCAAGTACATCTAAATTAATGCCGGTTAGATTTTAAAACAAAAACTAAAAGTAGAATAAACATACCATCAACAGTGAGCGCTTGACCTTCAAAAGTCACATTGCTAACAGAAGGTTTATTATTTAACAAATGATCAAGTGAGGGCTCTGTTAAAGTCATGGTAATAGTCAATTGAAAGGAATTTAAAGAGATAAAGAGTCAAATAATGAAAAAATAAGATAATACTAGAAATTTTATAAGAAGGGTAAGTTGACAAGGGTGGCGTTTAAGTTGATTTCATTTATTTGAAACCTATGTAATGTAATACAATTAGCCATGTAACACTGTCCTTAACATCATTTTCAATTCCAGTTTAGGTAAACAATAAACAATTAGTGAATACTTTTAGAGCTTAAAAAAAGTTAACAGTTTGTCAAAACAAGATAAGATCAAAAATCATATTTCAGATGGTTTAATATTTGTTTTCGTGTGTTTTTATTTTTAGTTTTCGTTAAATATTAGACAGGTTGCGATTATTGCTGATTCACAATGCCTTCTAATAAACCAAAACCTATATCTATAAATGATCTTATTAAAAAAAAAAAAAACGAAAGTGAACGCCAAAAAGTTCCAGTTTTTCTTTCGAAAGCACAACGCGATAAGTTAGCAAAAGAGCGATCGAAAATTACATATAATATAGACAAAACTCTATCTACAAATAGTCCACAACAGCATCCTGAATCTAATGACGTTCTCTCTGGTGTTGGTCAAACTAATCAAAACATAGATAAAACTTTGGGATCTAAATTAAAGCCGTCAAAAAAAAGAGAAACCAAATTTAAGTTTGAGTGGAATAATCAGGACGATACATTAGATTTAAATGATCCGTTATATATTTTCAAAAGCAAAACAGAAAGACGTGAAAAGCTAGAAAATAAAGCAGAAAAACGAGAAAGAAATTTAACATCCCATTTAAATTTTGGAAAAAGTAAAAGGCCTAAGATTGATTATAATGATTTACATTGGTCTGAAAAACCCTTGGGTGAGATGAAAGAACGGGATTGGCGCATTTTTCGTGAAGACTTTGATATTTTGACAAAAGGAGGAAATATACCACATCCAATAAGGTTTTGGGGAGAGTCTGATATTCCCCAAGAATTACTCAGTATTGTTCATAAACTTGGATATAAAGAGCCAACTCCGATTCAAAGAGCTGCTATACCTATAGCACTATCTGGTAGAGATGTTATAGGTATTGCTGAAACTGGGTCTGGAAAAACAGCCAGTTTTGTTATTCCATTACTTGCGTCAATAATGAAATTTCCAATCTTAAATGAACTGACCAAACGCGATGGTCCTTATGCTATTATTTTAGCACCCACACGTGAACTAGCTCAACAAATTGAGACTGAGACAAAAAAGTTTTTGAAACCACTTGCATTTACTTGTATGTCTATTGTAGGTGGTCATAGTATTGAAGAGCAGGTACATAAATTGAATTTAGGTGCCGAAATTGTTATTGCAACTCCTGGCAGACTCCTTGATACTTTAGAACGTAAGGTTCTTGTTCTTAGTCAATGTCGATATGTTGTTATGGATGAGGCCGATAGAATGATAGATTTGGGATTTGAAGAACAAGTTAATAAAATATTAAATGCATTACCTAGCCAAGAGAATAACTCAGACAGCTTATCCATGTCGAATTTTAAAGGAAAATCTTGGCAGACAATGATGTACACTGCAACTTGGCCTCGTGCAATAGAGCGATTATCCGAAAAATATTTATGCTCTCCTGGTGTGGTTACTATTGGAAATACGGGACAAGCAACTGAAAGAGTTGAGCAAAGAACTGAGTTTATTGGAAATGAAGAGAGAAGATTACAACGATTATTAACCATACTTAACTCCGGTATCTTTAAACCTCCAATTATCATTTTTGTTAATTTTAAACGAAACTGTGAAAATTTAGCGCAAGAACTTAATTATAATAAATGGCGAACAGTCACAATGCATGGCTCTAAGTCACAGGATCAACGTGAAGCTGCATTGTCTCAACTTCGTTCGGGTGATGCAGATTGTTTGGTTGCAACAGACGTAGCTGGGCGTGGTATTGATATTTCTAACGTTTCTTTGGTTGTGAATTTTCAAATGGCTAAAACAATAGAAAATTATACACACAGAATCGGACGAACAGGGCGAGCAGGAATGTCTGGTGTTGCAATAACATTTTTGGGGCCTGAAGATGAGGAAGTGATTCCAAATTTGAAGCAAATCATTTCAAAATCCAAGGTTAGTCATCTCTCAGATGATTTAAAACGTTATGACACCAGTAAATTCGCATCTAATATAAAATAATTTTAATTTTATTCACTATCATAATCGGCAACAATACTGGCTGTGACAGGGGATCCATCTTTACTGCAAAGAGACCTAAGTACATTTAATGTTCCAGATGAAAATAATCCTGGTTTCTTGTTTGTATATTCTTTTTCGGTAATTTGAGATCTCATGTTTGGAGAATTAGGCCCTAAAGAAACATAGGATGAGGACTCTTCAATGATTTTATTGTCAGCTGTTTCGTTACCATCTAAATTTCTATCTTCCCTTGATATTTTTTTTCTCTTAGAACTTAGTCTTGTAGTTTCAACTTCATTAATCAATTCTTTAGGCAAAAACTTTCTGATGGCATCCGCCGCTTGTTCTTCAATTCTTCGCTTTTCCCGAGCTTGGGCAAGAGGATTGGGATCTTCTGTAGCCCAGCGTAAATTGAGTATCTCATTATTATCTAATGATTGATGTGCCATTGCTTCTTTTGCGAATTGACTATTTGCTTCATTTGCATAAGTGACGAAAGCCACACCACGATTGTTTAAGACACGAATTCGTTCAATTTTACCCCATTCTTGAAAATGACGAGAAATGACATCTTCTACATTGTCAGATGAATTAATCCTACCCACATAAAGTGTTCGTGTTTGGCGTAAAAAAGAACCCACGCCACCCATATCGTCTCGGTAATCAGCAAATTTGTCTCTCCCAAAACAATCGACATTTTGGGAATAGATATCATATTCAGTAGGTAATCTGTGAAGATAATCACAGTTTTTCCCCCTGGAACACATTCCACGAGCAAAATATAAGCAAATATAAGAACCAGGGACTTCGTTTGCTTTGGTGTAACCAGAATCTGTCGATATGACACATCTAGAATCAGCTTTCCGCTGGTTATACATTCCATCCTCCTTATCGCCACCGCTCCATTTTAAATACCATATGTTGAAAACTGTCCCTGTTTGAGGAGGTTGATCATCCACAGTTCCAGGTTCTTTTTGAATTCTTGCAGGTCTCAATTTTTTTTTCTTTGTTTTTTTTGAAGGCTTTATTTGAAAAAGTTCACCATTTATTCTATCATCATTTTTGTTTCCATTATATTGATCATGTTGATCAGTTAAATCAGGTTTCGAGTTCATTTTAATCATAATTTTAAATAGAGGTTATTAATATAAATTGTTGGTCTCTGATACTCAAATTAAAATGATCCTCTTGAGAATAGTAGGGTGAAAGGGATGTGGGTTAGGAAATTATTTTTAAATACTTACAATAGCAAGTATTTCACAACAAGTTTTCATATATAATATATGATATCTATTTAAATAATATAGCATCATTTCAAATACTTTAGGGCTTATATAAGCATTTCATCTATAAAAATTTTATGGACTTTTGCCTATTAAATAAGGCTTTACCAAGAAATAATTGTGAGTTTATCGTTACAAATCTTTTATACTTATCATATCAAATTTAGAGTTCCCATTAGTTCGTTAAATTTAAATTATTATTACAGAATTATTTTATTTGATCCAAATGAATTTGATCCAGGATTTTCTTAGCCCCATTCTCAATTAACCGCTTGGCTAATAGCTCTCCTAGTTCGTTGGCTTCCTTATCAGTTGTGACTTTTCCAGTAACTGTTTCATTCACATATTCAGTTCCATCAACTGATACAACTATCCCCGTAAACTCGAGATTACCAGGTGAAATAAAAGAAGTCTTAACACCGATAGGTACAGAACATCCACCTTCTAGCGTCCGTAAAAGTGACCTTTCCGCAAGACACTTTAAATAAGTTTCCTTATGGCTAATTTTTTCTAATAATTCCTTCACTTTTTCATCACTACTTCGAATCTCAATACCAAGAGCACCTTGTCCAACCGCATAATACATATCAGGAGCGTCAAGACAAGAAGTAATTCTATGACCCAATCCTAAGCGGTTAAGACCAGCAACCGCTAATATTATGCAGGAAAATTTCGAAGAAGGATCATCTAATTTTCGTAACCTAGTTTGAACATTTCCTCTAACAGATTCAAAAACTAAGTGTGGAAAATTCTTTTTAAGTTGAGCAGAGCGACGAATAGATGATGTTCCAACAACCGAACCATGTGGCAGATCCCTCAAATGAACATATGGGGAGGAAGCTTTCATAACAACAGCATCACGAGGATCTTCTCGTTCCGTTATAGCACCAAGTATGCAACCTTCGGGTAAGGCTGTGGGCATATCTTTTAATGAATGGACAATAATGTCAATCTTTGGTAAATTTTCATATTGACCAAGCATAAGAGTTTCCAGTTCTTTTGTCCATAAGCTTTTCCCACCAAACGAATATAAGGGTTTTCCTTGTACCAAATCCCCTAAAGTAGAGAGTGCGACAACTGGAAAGGAATGCAGTGGGCAAGCAGTATGAAGTTCTGATGCAATACATTTACTTTGAACCACTGCTAAAATGCTTTTGCGTCCCCCAACAGTGATAATATTTTCAGATGATACATCACATCGAGTATAATCGTCATAAAAGACTATATTAGAATCCTTCTCCGGTGAATCACTTTTGGAGGTATCGTTGTTTGTTGAGGGTTTTTGAGCAGACTTAATGCTGGTCTTTGATAATATTTGAGGCTCCATTTTCGGAGAAAGCATCGATGTTTTAGATATAAACATCTGATTTTGATGCTCACCAGCAGTATTGGTGAGAGATTGAAGAAAAATGGCAGGGGGAGAAACTTGGGTGAACGACATTTTGAGTCCGAAAAAAAAAGTACCTGCTAGATATTAAGTAGTTAGGTAACGTATTTTTTAAATTGGTTTGTAGCAGAATATTAAATAGAGAAAAGAGAAAAAAAAACTAAAAATTATATTTTTTTATAAAATAAAATTTAATGGACTTTTTAGAATATTTATTAAGGAAAGAAAAAATTTAAAAATCTAGTAGTCTAGGTAAAAAAATAGACCGGACAGTAAAATCTAAAACCCCGTATAACCGTATTGAAAATTGAAAACCCTCAAAAAATTTGAAAACCTTCATTTTAATTATTTGATTATTATTTAATTGGTTGAGTTTAATTATTGGAATTTGAAATTCTTGAAATTCCTTCTGTCCAACCAATAGCCATTCAATGAAATGTAATTATTAACAAAATTTATGCCGTTTAAATCAAGGTTAGGGTATTATTATTAATAAATTACAATTTAATAGAGGAAGGAAAATTTAGATTATCTGCCTAAAAAGAGTAATTATATATTGGTGTTCTCACGGGGCAAGTTCCGATTGGCTGTTAACTTTTTCACCCGTCAAACGCCGATTTTCTCATACTTTCAAATTATCGTATGTAGGCAGACAATATTATTAGTAACATATTTTATAAGATGAAAGGTTTTTGAAAACACATTGTAGATATTTTGTTGTTAAAATCATAAATAGTAATCAAATAAGAATAATTGGCAAATTCGCCAATTACTTTAAAGTAGTAAAATACTTATTTACAGCGCCATTTTATGAAAAATACGATACGATATAGATGTCGAATATGTTCATCTGTGAATAATCTTGAGAATTACTTAAAAGACTAAAGTTATTAGTAATAATCATTTTTAACCTTTTTTCATACTGTATAAAAAATGTTGTAAATGGCGATAATTGTATATCTTGATAAGTAACACAGAACTGCTATCACTCTTTTTGGGCAATTTTTTAAAAGAAAGTGAAATGAACTCATTTTCAGACTCCTTGGTTCCTAATCCTTGCTTAATAGCGATACTTTTGACTATATCAACTCACAACGGTCCACAGTTTATTCTTCACTATCCACCTGAACCTGACAATCATGATTACAAGGCTGCTTCTTTTAGAACCCCTTGGCAAGATTTTTCGTCATCATCTTCTTCATATTCAGATGCTTCATCTGATGCTTCGGATATTGAGATAAATTCTTCGGATTCTGATGACATTACTACAAATGAAAACAGCGATTATGATGTTCCTAACAATTATAATAATATACTTTCACATAAAGAGCCAGCAAGACAACATACTACCACCAATAACGCTAATAATATGTACTCTGATAGACTTAGTAAATCATTTAAGAAAACAGGGTTAGGACCTGGTTCTACAACCCACAATTTATCGAATCAATCTCAAAAACCCAAATTAACACGTTCAGAAAGAAATCCTTTAAGTCCGTCTTTAAAAAGATTTACAGATGATATTCAAAATATTTACAAAGAAGAAAACCTTCAATATTTTTTGTCTAACACACCATTTGATCTTATGGAAGACTTTTATAATAATAATAATAATAATTCTATTGGTGGTATTCCTATCAATGCTACATCTAAATTTGATGAAAGCAATCAAAAACGTAACGAACGTATCAAAAAGTTTGATCAAGATAGCAAAAATAACATCGAAAAAAATGAGTTGAAAAGAACTATTAATTTGTCTAGTCCTAAAATTCATGAATCCGCACTGAATGATCAACATGTGTTAAGAAAAGGGTCAAAAGTTGCCCCTAAGTTTATTTCAGATGAAAAAACATTTATTTCACAACTGGAAGATCATAGTTCCAATATTGACCATTTGACAGTTAATACTGGATCACACCCTGATTTCGTAGAATGCCCAGGAAGTTCGCAAAGTCTTGATAAAAATACCCTTAACCAGGACATTAATACGCCACATAATAAAGCAACTACATCTTGCGAAACTGTTTTAGGGTTTGATACCACATTCTTAAGCGAACTTTTAGTCCCCCCACGCGACATGTGTAATACGCTTTTTGAGCTTGCAGTGGATGATATGGTATTTTTAGGAATGCCTGTTCATGTTAGACACGATGGGCAATGGCTGAGAAAAAAAACTTCTCGTAAAAATTCGCATGATAAATGTTCATCTAATCCATTTTCTAATACCAATGCTTACAAAGACAGAGATCCAATATTTTCATTAGACTTTGAAAATGACCTCATTGATGAGGGAACGGAAGCTGATGACGAACATGATATCTCATTAAGTCAAGTTACTGGATCTGACACTGAACAACTTGGTAACAGTGTGTTAGAAAGTAGGAGGGCACTTGATCGAAAAACGAATATAAACATTGCACCAACTAATCACATTAACAAAAAGTATAGCTTTTTTGACAAGGAAAATCCGAAATCTTCGAATCAAAAACTTAAATCGTTTGATAAAACTTCTTTCGATAGCTCACAGCCCCAAAGCTTACATCATGATCTATCTGGAAAGAAATCTCATGGATTTATTGATTCTAAATCAGATATGCGAATGTTTCATGTGTCGTTTGTTGTAAACCCTCCTGTTCGTGAGTTTCCGGAACGTATTTCTCAGATGTATCAATGCATCGCATCAAGATTTGCAAGAATGCTTAGGTATGAACAGGCAAAGTCAAATTACGTTTGGAATGAAATCTTGCTTATTCTAGAAGCAAGAGAGAAAACTTTGCAAGAAGGTAAGAAAATTAACAGGATAGTTTTAAAAATATCTAACATTTGAAAAGGAGGCTCTTTAATTGATTGTTGGGAGGAGATTTCAAAATCATCATCCTTGGCTGCTGCTATTGGTCAACTTTACGATTCTATATCTCGCAGCGAGATAGCTAAATTTACATTGAATCACAAGTTGCATTCTCTTCAAATTCCGATAATTACACAAGTTGATTCTCTTCCATCTGTTAGCCAAAAAGTCTTCTCAGGGACAGAACTTTCAACGTTACCTCCATTTGATGCACTATATGATGAGCAAAATCCCAAAATTCAAAGTCTCGCCCTTTTACTTTTAGATGATCCTTATAATATCATCCGAGATTTTCGACTCAATGAGGATTCTTCCCTTGCCGTCTTATTGCATAAAATTTCACCGACAGAAAGTATAGCGAAACTGTCCTCAAAAGCCAATACTGATATTAGTTATTTGACTGATTTAGCGGCACATTTAATTTATTGGAGAAAAGCTCGTCCTATACTGCCTATCTCAAGGAGAAATATATATATTGTTTCCCCTTTAGCTCCATTAACACAGCTTTACAGTTTGTCCATTGTATTTAAGCAAATATTTCCGACGCTCCCGTCTTTGTCTTCTCTCTTATCAAGCATTTCATCTAACGAGCCTAAACAGTTTAAACATATTTTTCCAATTGATAAAAAAGATGGTGATCAGAAAAGACTACACCATGAGGCTATTTCTTGGCTTATAAAGTATGGGTTTATATCTCTCATTCAAACTTTTTTATTAGTTAAAATATCTAATGCAATTAAAACACTAGTCAAAAATGATATTCAACAAGGGGAGCTTCAAAAAGATATTCAATCTGAAGTTAAAAACAATGCTTTACAGAAAGTAAATGCTGGGTCTTCCAATTCTCAACTAGATGTCAAAGACATACTTAAAAATGATTCCATTGGGTTTAAAAATTTAGAAGGGTCTTACGACACTTCTATAACTGGTGCTATTACTATACCTAATATTGCAACTACCACTATTAATTTACGCAAAGGTGGCGCAGGAAGCACTGAGATATATTTCCAAGTTCCTGTAAGTAATGAAGAAACAGATTCACTTTTACAACAAAATAGTCATTTGTCCCGGAGCTTCAATTTTGAAAATTCACATGTCAAACAGGATTTTCGATCACCTTGCAATCCTTTAACTGAGGCCCCAGCTGTAATACAAAACTCACCTGGTGTAGCATCTCTAAAAAAAGGGAGTATATCAGGATTTTCTTTCACTCAGTATGGTTCTTGGTCTGAATCTGCAAAATTTGCTTCAAATACTAATTTCAAGCCTACTCATGATTTATCTGGTAACAGAGAAAATTTTATTCGATCCAAATTTTTTTTCAGTGCTTCTGTTCCCAACACTGCTCCAATTGCAAATAACGTTATTACAAAAACTTCAAACTTGTCATCTTCTCAAACTTCGAGAACTCATTTTGGAGTTAATCCACATTGTCTCCGCCGTTCTAAATTAGCTAATGGTTTATCAAATGATATTACTGAAGAAGAAAACATTTCCCCGTCTGAAGAATGGTCTGAAGATACAATAATTTTAGAACCAAGAAGCGCCACGGCATTACAGATGAGATGGATAGAAAAGCTTCTTCAAAATAAATCACCTAATGTTGTTGTAAATTTTCGAAAAACGATGAAATATATGGATGGACAAACACCTATGGAATGGGTATTATTACAAGAGAATATTAGTAATAAGGAATTTTATGAATTAGTAAATTGCTTGAGCGATAATTTAGTTATTGTTCGTCATTGGTAAAAGTTTATATATTTTATTAATAAAGAATTTGATTTTATCTGCAAAAGATCAGTGGTTTTTTACAATAGATTTGGCATCTTAAATTTAAAGTCACGACGAATTCCCTATCACTGGTAGGTTTAACTTATAAGTTATTATGCCATTTATGGTACATTTTTATGAACGTATATGTTATTAATATATTATGTAATAGATAAATAATAATTATTTTAAGCCAGAGGAGCTCCTTAGGACGTAACCTACACCCATCACTTTTTTTTTTCTCCATTTCACTCGCCCTCTTATTCAATATCTTGCCCGATCCTCTTATTATTATTTTTACTTGTTTAATACTGAATCTAAACTTCTATTTTAAAAATATCATTAATTTTAATTTTATTATAATGACTACTGAAGTAAGTTGTTTAATTTATATTTCAAATTAAAATTTTAATATATTTTGTTATAGAGAGAAACGAAAACCTTCCTTGCTCGACTTTGCGAACAAGCTGAAAGATATGATGAAATGGTTGAATACATGAAAGATGTATCAAAATCCGGTGATGAGCTTTCAGTTGATGAACGTAACCTATTATCTGTTGCATATAAAAATGTTATTGGAACTCGTCGTGCTAGCTGGAGAATCATTTCATCTATAGAACAGAAAGAAGAAGCCAAAAACGCCACTCATCATGTCGAACAAATTAAGAGTTACAGACATAAAATTGAGAATGAACTTGAAGATGTTTGTAATGATGTTCTCTCAGTTTTGACTACATACCTTTTACCTAAAGCGGAATCCAGTGAATCGAAAGTTTTTTATTATAAGATGAAAGGTGATTATCATCGTTATCTTGCTGAGTTTGCCTCTGGTGATAAAAGAAAAGAAGCAGCTACAGCCGCTCACGAGTCTTACAAAACTGCTACAGATATTGCTCAAGCTAATTTGAGCCCTACTCATCCTATTCGTCTTGGACTCGCCCTTAATTTTTCTGTTTTTTACTATGAAATTCTTAACTCGCCTGAGCGTGCTTGTCATCTTGCTAAGCAAGCATTTGACGATGCTATTTCAGAGTTGGATACTTTGTCTGAAGACAGCTACCGCGATTCAACTTTAATTATGCAGTTACTCAGAGACAATTTGACTCTTTGGCAAAGCGATTTAGACAGCTTGTCTGCACAAACAGATGCTCCCACCCCATCTACTGAATCAGTGGCTACTACAGAGGCTTCGGGAAAGCCTGTTGTGAAAGATGCTGATGGAGATGCAGTTATCGAAGATTAATATTTTTTATACCTTTAATTTTTTTATTTTAAGCCTACATATATTTTTTTTAATCATTGTGTTTGTAATAAGTTCATAAATACAAACAAAACTGAGTTATCTAATTTTTTTAAAAGTAAATAGCAGATACCTTTTGCTATTTCCGAAAGAATTTAGTTCATGTTTGTCTTTTGGCGCTATTTTTTTTTCCATGATTTGCCGGTGGATAATAACATCACGATATAGATTCTGAGTAACCGGTGAAGAGAAATCATCAAAATATTTTCGATCAAGTTCAGATTCAAGATTGGGAACAAATGGAGGATTATTTAGCAAATTATTAATCTTATTATTTTGTGGAAAAAAATTATCATGAAGAATATCAGATGCTGTTTGATACCGCATGCTAGAATTAGTTATTAATTTATTAACTAGCCCCCATGAGGTTGAATCCATAACTCGATATTTCAAATGAGAGAAAACTTTGGAACTTTTTTTCAAACCGTATCCAGGTGGTAAAAAAGGTTTTTTTGCCAACTCCCTTTTCCAATTTAAAATGCATTCGTAATCACCACGAAAAGGTGTCTTACCAACTAACATTTCATACAGAATACACCCTAAAGCCCAGAAATCAACTGTATGATTGTAAAATTTTTTTTGAAGAATTTCTACTGCCATATACTCGGCAGAACCCACTATTTCTTTAGCCCAGATTTCTTTTGTTGGATTTAAAAAATAAAGGCTAGAACCTATAACATGATGAAAATCGTTTGCTTCATTCGGTATATTTTGTAACTCATGTAAAACTTTAGTTGGCATGTTTTTGTTATGATCTGCATGCATATTTCCGCAAGCAAGCCCAAAGTCTGATAATTTAATATGGCCTTCCTTAGTTATTAAAAAATTCTCTGGCTTTACATCACGATGAATATAGCCTAAGGAATGTAAAACTCCAACTGATATAATCATTTCTGCAAAAAAAAATTGGATTGAATCAATATCAAGAGGCGGGTGAGAGTTCAAAAATGTTCTAAAATCTCCACCAGGAACATATTCCATAGCCATATAAAGATTTTCGTCATCTTGAAATGAATACATTACTTGGACAAGGTGAGGTGAGTTAGACATAGCTAAAATGTCACGTTCCACAAGTAACGAGAGCCGTTGATAAGCATGTAAAGTAAATCTTTTGGGAATCACTTTCAAAGCACATATTTTCTTGGACAAACCATGTTTAACAAGATAAATTTCCCCATATGCACCTTGACCAATTTGGGCTATACTTTCAAAGTCATTTGCACACGGTTTGGTGCGCCTTGAACGTAAAATGCAGTTTTGTTTTGTAAAAAAATGAGATAAATTAGTTGATGTGATATAATTGTTTTGTGCCAAAAAATACTTTTTTTGACTATCGAGACTTGTAAATTTTGATATGTGTCCTTGTTTGAGATTTGTTAATTGTGAATTTCTGGTACAAATAAATTGAAATAGATCTAGATAGTAGCTTTGGAAATCTAGTATTTTGTGTTTGTTATAAACGTTAGTAAAAGAAATTTCTTTGATCTGCCTATACTTTAAAAATAAATACAATATTCCAGGGCTGTAGTTGTCCTTTGTCTTTCAATGATGTTGATATTCTTTCTAGTATGTACAATATTCATTTTTATAAAATCTTGATCTCTTAATATTGTAGGTCTCAAATTGAAATTGTTAAATATTTCATTTGTCAAGTTTTCGTCATTTTTATTTTTTTTTAAATTGTTTTGGAAAAAACTAACTGAGTTGGTGATGTGGTTGAAGTCTTTTAGACTAGTGTCATAAGATGAAGCAGAGAAAAGATTGCCCTCGTCTTTAGATATGGTCAAAGAATGTGGCTGAATTTTAAATTTATCCATATGTAAATTGAATTTAGATAGAATAATAGAATAATATTTTTTATTAGATACTTTTAAAATTTTCTTTTAGAAATATTGACAAAAAAAACGTAACTACTGATATTTATTATGAAGATATAATTGATTTCAAAAGTTCAAAGGTTCATTAGTTTAATCTAGACCAATAATAAACTTGTGAACATTTTAGTAACTTATTATCTGTGATATGTTTCCCCAGATCTAAACAAAACAAAAAGTAAGTTATTGTTATTAAATATTCATTAACGTTAGAATTTTTTAATACAATTTCTTGGTCTAAGGACAAAATTTTAAAATTTTGTAAATAAAACCTTCATTAAAATATGTCTTTATCATATTTAGAAGCCGACATATCTCAATCGGGCATGGATTTTGACTTTGGAGATGACTACGAAACAAAACATTCTTATCTCAATAGTATAGGTTTAAACGGCTCTGTTCAACTTTCAACTACCCCAATATCAAGTCTCTTAGTTCAAGTGATATTTGTTATTGATATATCAATATCAAGCCATTCAATAAAGGAGTATTTGAATACATTACCTGCAGATATTTACTCTCTGAATCAAATTCAAAACTCTATTCATTTGAGTAGTCAACACCGATCGATTGTTAGATTGCAGGAGTTACCTGATTCCAATGATATTGAGCTTTCTAACGAAACCACAGAAAAAGATATAATGATGAATAACATTTTTGTCCCAGGGGAAAAGGCTTTTCATAAACTTATTTTGCAAGATTCAAAAGGATCCTTGTTCTATGGTATCGAAATACAAAGAATCGATTTTATTTCCATGCTATTACCTATAGGAACTAAGTTATTGTTAAAAAATGTTAAGTTTAGTGACGGAATGGCTTTACTAGAACCTATCAATGTCAAATATCTTGGTGGGCGAATTGATGCTCTTGATAGAAATTCTCGGAAAAATCTATATTCATATGTTTAATTAAGTTAAATAAATTTTCTCAACTATTGAAAAATCTTAAATTTATTTTTTAGAAAGGCTTGTGGCAATGTTTGTAGCTTCAACAACAGCATTAGCTACAGAGCTACGAACCTTACCATCTTCTAATATCATTAAACCGCCAATAGTGGTTCCTCCAGGTGTGCAGACTGCGTTACGCAAAACTGCCGGATGAGAACCTTCCAGCACCATTTGAGAAGCGCCATGAAGAACTTGAGCAGCACACTCTTGAGCAATTGGATAAGGCATTCCCATTTTCACAGCCCCATCACTAAGGGCTTCAATCATTAAAAAGCAAAACGCTGGACCACTTCCACAGAGAGCAGTAGCAACATCCATATACTTTTCATCCATTGAAATACTGCGTCCTGTTTGATTAAAAATCCATGATATCGAATCGCAAACTTTGTTCGTATAGGATATATCTGTTTTAGTAGGATAAGAAATAACGGTCATTCCAGCACCTAGTTTACTAGGCGTGTTTGTCATAGCACGAACGACTAACGCATTTCCACCTGTCATATCTGTGATCTGAGCAATCGTTTTTCCAGCAAGAAGACTAATCAGTATTTTCCCCTTGAAAAATTTGTTTGGAATTTCATGCAAAATATTTTCTGTCATAAAAGGCTTGCAGGCTAAGATTATTACATCAGACTTCTCAACAACTTCAGCATTTTTTCCGATCGTTACTTCAACTTTGTTACCGAATTGATCAATTAAGCGATCAACAGACTTTTGGCTATTAACCGTGGCAAAAAATCTAGAAGGAATGGGGCTAGTTGTCTCATTTTGATTAATACCGTTGACAATTGCGTTCAAAACGGCAGTTCCCATTGTCCCGGTGGCAATAACGCCAAGAGTATAACCATTGTTTAATGAGATAGATGTTGACATTATTTTAACGAAATGATGATATTATTCTATGAAGACAAGTTTAAAATTTAATCGGCACATTTGTAGTTTAAATTGTTTTTTATTTATTATGCTGGTATTCGGGGCCGGGTAACTCTTATATATAAATATATTTTTTTACTGATTATTTAATAGACATTGGCAAATATTTTATTTTAGGGTTGATATCATGAGATTTTTATAATCATTTTTATTTTTTTATAAAATTAAACAAGTGGTTAATTTAATTATAATGTCGGTAGAATCTTCATATATTAAACAAATAGATGCTGATAACAGCAAAAATAATACATTTGGGCTCATAGAGGCTCCGACATTTTATCCTTCTGAAGAAGAATTTAAAAATGCTTATAATTATATTCAATCTATTTCGCCTGTAGGCGAAAAATATGGCTTAGTTAAAATTGTTCCTCCAGCCACATGGAATCCAAAGTTTGCCCTTGACACAGGTGTTAGTATTTACTTATAATACATGTTATGTCGAATTAACATTTAAATTAGAAATTTCACTTTAGAACAAGGAAACAAACATTAAATTCTATGGGGGCTTTATCCAGACTTGTGATGGATTGGCTTAATCGACTTGAGAAGTTTCACACAAATAGAGGGATAAGTATTGAAAAGAATATATATATAAAGGGATTAAAATCATTGGACTATTATACTTTACATAAAACAGTTGAGAACTTAGGAGGTTTTGAAAAAGTTGAAAAAATGAATTCTTGGGACTTGGTGTGTTCCAAGCTGAGTTTATCTTCAAGTAATAAAAATATGTTAACATCTAGTATGGTAAAAAAAATTTATGTCGACCTGATTAAACCCTTTGAAAATCATATTGAATTTTTGAAATCATTGGGAATTGACGGCAATACAAATCTTTCGACTTGTGCTACTCATTCCAATAAAAATACAGAAACTAACAAGGCTAAAAATAATTATAATTATAACGTCCATCCTATTGTTATTAAAGCTTCCCACGCTGATTTGAACGAATTTGTTTGCGAGGTTTGTGATAATGAAATAACAGAAGACATTTTAATGAGAAGTTGTGATGAGTGTGACTGCACTTTTCATCGTAGCTGCATCAATAACTATGATGTCTTTCAATTTCCAAATAACAGCATATACCAGAAAAATCTCAGATCATCCTGGTATTGTCCGAAATGTCTTGTGGGATCGTGTGATTTTGCTTTTCAACAAGGTGATGATTATACTCTGTTTGAATTTGAAGACTTTGCCGATTCATTTGAAAATCTTTTTTTTGAAGAGAATCCACTTTTGTCTACTCTCTCGAAAGAGAAACAAAAAGTAGAAATTGAAAAGATGTTTTGGAATTTTGTTAATTCTCCTGGAAAAAGTTTGACTGTTGAATATGGCTCCGATATTCATACTGATACATCCGGATTTCCTTCAAGTGTTGAAATGCATCATAATAAGTATTCAAAAGATTCATGGAATCTTAACAATTTGCCTCTACATAAAGATTCACTTTTTCATAATATCACAACCGATATATCGGGTATGACTCAGCCTTGGATATATATTGGTATGTTGTTTTCAACATTTTGTTGGCATTGTGAGGATCACTATACATATTCTATAAATTATCAACATTTTGGTGAAACTAAAACTTGGTATGGAGTTCCTGGTGATCATGCTGAAGAATTTGAAAAAACCGTTAAAAACACTGCCCCTGAACTATTTGAGAAACAACCTGATCTACTGTTCCAATTGGTTACAATGGTATCTCCAGATGTTCTTCTTAAAGATAACGTTCCATGCTATACAATTAAGCAACAACCTGGCCAATTTGTGATTACTTGGCCAAAAGTTTATCATTCTGGATTCAATCATGGGTTTAACTGCAATGAAGCTGTAAATTTTGCTCCTCTTAATTGGTTACCATATGGGGCTGAATCTTCAAAAACATATAAGCTTTTGAAACGTGCCCCAGTATTTTCTTTCGATAGCCTTGTTATTCGTACTGCTAAATTAGATCATAGAAAGGTGGCATTTAAATGGTTATACCCATATTTAAAAAATATTATTAATGAAGAAATAAGTCTCAGAGAATCTATTATTTCCAAATACCCTACTATCCCTGTTTATTTATTACCCAGCGACGTCCCTGAAGAAAAATATCAATGTGCAGTATGCCAGTCATTACCTTATCTTTCTCGGGTTGTTATAAAAAAAAAACTAAGCATTTTCAAAAAGAGAAAATATCATAATGGAACTTTGATTTCTGGTAGGAGTCATAAAAATTTGAAATGCAGAGGCAATATTGCTCAGAATTCACAAATACGTAAAAGAGGAAGACCTCCTAAAACAGCTACAAATTTATCATCCAATAAAATTTCTGAGCACAAAACTAATGACATGTCTAGTTTATATGGTGTCTTTTCTGATGAACTTGGGAACAAATATGAGTTTGAAAAAGATTGTATTACAGTTTGTCATTCACATGTTCCTAATGACTATTCAGAAAATTCTTTGTTTGATATAGAGCTTCATTTGAAATGGACAAATTCGGAGTTGCAAAAAATTCTTAGCGACTTTAAAAACCAAGTCAATTAAGTATTAAATAAAAACATATATATTTATTTCGGTTACTGAAGTAATGAAAGGAGTAAGTCCCATAATGCTTCTTCGCGCATGTACTCGTGGTGAACTACGGTAACTAAATAATAGTTTTTGGAAATATCATCAAGTAATATATATGAAGCTGAAGTTTTTGGATAGATGTATTTCCATTGATTCCAAAGAGAAAAAGCTTCTTCTGCCCAAGAAAGAAAAGAAATACCCTCAATAATCGTTGACTGAAGGATTTCCCTATTTGGAAAAACGCCCCATGTAACAACATTTGAAGAATTTTTGCTTGTATTACTTATAAGTTTCAAATCATTACGACAAGCATAATATGATATTGACTGTGAAACTTCATCTTTATCAAATTTATTTTTTAATGTTTCCCATTTCTCTGGAGAAATAAAAAATTCAACAAAGGCTTTCTGAAAAACTCTCCCCATTGGAGGACCCCATCCAAAAATTTTATCATCAGATTTAACTGCGTTACATGCAGGTTGAGAAGCCACAGTCCATAGCTCATTCTTGTTTAAATTGATCAACTGTTCTTGAATTAAAGCTGTTTCTCTGTCTAAACTTTGGTCAGACCAAGGGAGAGCTTCTAGAGTTCCAGTAATATGAGAGATAAATAGTTTGCTAATATCTTTTCTATCAATGGGATACCCCCATATATGATAAGCTTTTGTGTTATCAACTTTCAAACTTGGTCCATACCCGTCAATTTCCCCAAAAGCAGGAGATCGAGAATCTCCGAACCTCCCGTTTGGAAAATCATCCCAATTAGCCTCGCGGCCTAAAGAACCCTCACCAGTAGAAATAGCTAAAAACTCGCGTGATTTAGATGGGACAGATGACGAAACTTGAGAGGCTTTGACTGCATTGAGAGGATCAATCGAATTTCGAATTTCGGAAACAATTAATCTGTTATGTGCATTTGTACTAGAGCGACGAGGCTTTTTCTGTATTACAGAAATTTCGTTTTTTTCTTCTTCACAAGAATCAATGGCACTAGAGAAATCTTTAGGACTGATGATATGAATACTATTACAATTTTCAATAGTTAATGCCACTGACTTTTCTAAATTAAGAGTGTAAAAATGAAATCCTCTAACTCGGCTGTTAGTTTTTGTGTAAATCTTGTCAATGATATCTGTGAGAATTTTGACTCCTTGAAGTTTAACCTGTTCATCATTCCCTTTAATATTTTCAAATATTTTAGTAATGGAACTAGGAATTGAAACGTTGCTCAATTTTGATACTCGAATGAATGATTGATAAGTATTAATAGGCATTAACCCAGGAATTAACGGAATTTTGTTTGTCAATGGGTTTTCTTTCAAAACTGACTCATAAGCTAAAAATTTCTCAACATCATAAAAAAGTTGGGTAATTATAAAATCAGCCCCAGCTTCAATTTTTTCTATAAGATAAGGGATATCTTTTAAAAAATTTTGATTTGAGTTATCCGATCCATCAACATGCCCCTCTGGATATCCGGCAACTCCGATACAAAAATAATCGCCGTAGTTACTACGGATATAGCGAACCAAGTCAACAGCGTGAATAAAGTCAGAGTTTCTATTTGTATTGTATTCACCATCCCTGGGAGGATCTCCTCTCAATGCTAAAATGTTACGAATACCGCTTGACTTAGCACGTTTGAGAGCATTCTCAAGTAGAGATTTATCCATATTTGTACAAGTCAAATGAAGGCATGTTGTATAACCTGACTTCTGGATATATTCGGCTAAATCTATAGATTTTTCGGCGGTAGAACCACCTGCGCCCCAAGTGACTGTAATAAACAAAGGCTCAAGTTTTCCCATTCTCTGGACACGAGACTTCAAATTTTCGAGACCCTATTGTAAAAATTTTGTTAAAAATTTGGTGCACTAAAATTTGATTCAATGATACTTACTTGTTGAGTTTTTGGCGGAAAAAACTCAAAAGAAAAAAAAGTATCATTTCTTTCTAAATTGTTGATCTTATCAATCAGCTTCAAACTAGAGTCATTACCCATTTTTATTAATTATAACTTTAATAAAATTTTAAAACATATATTTATTAATCATAAAAAAGTTCCTATTTTTTGAATAAGTAAGAGAAGTTTCTGAGTCTAATCGTCATGAAAATATTTAAGAATAAACGCAATGATGACTAATTCTGAGGTATCTTATCATCTTACAGAGTTTTGGATGAATGATAAGTTTTCCCAAGAAATAAAAATAAAAATGAACACGAATCCAACCCTAACCCAACACCGAGTGATATGCTTTTTCCAGTCTTCTATTCCTAAAAACTATTTAAGGCTAAGTCATTAGAGATCTTTGCAATTTAAATAATTGTTTTATTAGTTTTTCAGTATAATAATTAGCTATATTTGAAATTTTTACAAGCTTAGTAAAGCTGTTTTATTTTAGTGTTGAAATGACGATTAAAGATAAAGAAACTTTAAAAGAAAATGAAAACTTCGAAAAAAATGAAAATGATGATTTTAATACTTCTCTTTTTGTCGGAGAAAGTAAAAATAATGATTTAGACATTAGAAAAAGGCTGAATGATTCAAAAGAAAATATGGCTATACCTATGGAAAATGAATGTAGATCTAATGATATACCAAAACTCTTAGAAATTTCGACATTAACTGAACGTGCGAAATCAAGCGTTTTAGAAAATCAAATATATGATTATTTTCAAAAAATGCCACTAACATTTTCTGTTGTTTTGCCATTTCAAAAACGGATAGTGATTGATATGTTGAAAGCCGACAGTTTGCTTATTCTTGGTCGTGGAATGGGTTATTTAAAAATAATATCAAATTTGATTTATGCTTTAGATGTTTCTAGTTCATTTATTTCAAATTCATTTGAACGTACTAATAATAAAATAAACAAAAATAATTTGATTATAGTATTAGGTACCCGAGAAGGTGAAACTGATTTTATAACTCAGGAATTACGTGAACTTTCCATTATTGACGAAATTTTCATGAAATATAAAAGAACTAATGGTATTAAAATCATTAATACTGATTCTACAGGAACTATAGAGAAACGCAAAAAACTTTATACACAGGGTGGAATTTTTTTTGTAACTGCAAGGATTTTTGTGGTTGACTTACTTTGCCACGTCGTTAGCCCTACAGTTGTGTCTGGAATATTGGTTTCGCATGCAGAACAAGTCACAGAGACATCAGCAATATCATTTATTTTAAGATTATATCGACAACAAAATAAAGCTGGATTCATCAAAGCTTTATCAGATGATGCTGAAAAATTTTCAGGATTTTCGCTGTTGGCCACATACTTAAAAAATCTTCATATCAGTAAAACTAATTTGTGGCCAAGGTTTCATGTAAGCGTCACCGATTCAATAGAGCTACAACATCTAGTCTATCAAAATAAAACTACTGGACAATGGATTAAGCCTCATGTTATGGACGTCAAATCAGTAATAGAAATTGAAGTACAATTAACTCCATCCATGGCTATCATTCAACAATCAATTTTGTCCTGTATCGAGATGTGCATTTCTATTATTCGAAAATTTAACAGCAAAATAATTGATATGGAAGAATGGAATTTAAACAATGCTCTTAGCACAAATTTCGATTTCATTATTCGACGACAATTAGAACCATTTTGGCACAGAGTCTCACAACAAACAAAAACCAATGTTTTTGATTTGTCAACTTTACGCCAGTTGTTATCAAGTCTTCTTTCTTTAGATTCTATATCATTTTATAAGATGCTGGAAACAATTTGGATGACGAATTCTTCAACTGACAGCTTTATAAGAGAAGTTCAAAATTCTTGGATATACTTTGATGACGCAAATCCTTTGTTTGCAGCTGCAAAAGAACGTGCATTTGGAAAGAAAGATTCTATGAAATCTAATACTAGCAGTCCTGAAAATCATCGCACTGAAATAAGTTTAGATATTGAAGAATTGCCAAAGTGGGATCAACTTGCTAAGATTTTAGAAGAAGTGGCATTAACAACAAAACATCAAACAAATACCGGTCCAATATTGATTATGTGCTCTAATCGGTCTACTGCTCGACAATTGTCTTTGTATTTGAAATATTCAAAAAAAATTGAAAAATCGGGTTCCATTTTTTTTTCGGGAAATAACTATATGAAAAATGTACTTAATGACTACCAAGAATGGAAGCATGGATTTCTCAAAATCAAAAAGGAGCTTTCGGGATCAACAAAAATTTCAGCAAGATATGACAGTGTCGAAACCAAAGAAACTGAAGGTACCGATAAATCGTCATCATCTTTCAATTACAATAAAAGAAGGAGAGTTCGCGGTGGGCTTCAAGCAGTTTCTATCTCTCGCTCCCACAAGCGATTTAATTATGATCAAAATAAAGATAAAGAAACTCTTGAAAAATACGAGGAGGATTTGTAAGTGTTGTTCAAATATTAGAATTTAGTGCTAACCCAAATTTAGGAAAAACTTAGAAATGATTTCTGCAGTTTTAGATAATTCTTCTTGTGAACCTGGCCGAGAAGATATAAAAATAGCCAGATCAAACGATTCATTTACTGTTTTAAATAATAAGAGCCTGATTGTTATTCAAGTCTATGATCGATTAAATCTTGAGTTTCTGCTTCCTGAACTTCAACCATCCTGCATTATCATGTATGAACCTAACCCACCATTCATAAGAAATGTGGAAATTTATCGATCCTCTAATCCTCAATTACAAGTCAAGGTTTACTTCATGTATTATGGTTATTCAGTTGAAGAACAAAAGTATCTTGGTTCAGTTAGACGAGAAAAAGAATCATTCACAAAACTGATTCGTGAAAAGTCAAAACTACCTGTTGTCATTTCAAATGATATTGGAAATAATGGCTCTAGTGAAATTTTTCGTCACAGAGCAGCATTATCAAACAAGGCGACTAGAATTGCTGGCGGACAGCTTCCTCAAATTTTGGACGCAATAACTATTGTGGATTTTCGAGAATTCCGTTCAAGCTTGCCGTTTTGTCTACATGTTAATAATATGAGAGTAGTACCGGTGATGCTCGTTGTTGGAGATTATGTTCTCTCACCTCGAATATGTGTTGAAAGAAAATCTATACCCGATTTAATATCAAGTTTTCGTGACGGAAGAATATTCACACAATGTGAATCAATGTTTCGTTTCTACGACAAACCAGTTCTTTTGATTGAATTTGATGAATCGAAATCTTTCAGCTTAGAACCATTCAGCGAGGCACCGGGACTTCATGGACCCGGAAAGTTCACAAATATTCCTCCAGATACAGTCAAAGTGATTCAAGAAAAAGTTCAGGGAAAGTTGATGTTACTCCTGTTACAGTTCCCTCGGCTAAGGATTATTTGGTCTATGTCACCTCGGCATACGGCTGAGATTTTTTATGATCTTAAGTTGTTGGACTCCGAACAACCAGATCCATTGATTGCGGGGAGCTGTGGGATAGATTCAAATATGTTGATTTCTAAGTCAGATCAAAAATACAATCGCCCTGCTATTGATATTCTTAAAACAATTCCAGGAATTAATCCTCATAACTTTCGAACGATTATCGATCGTTTAAATTCATTGCAAGATCTTTGTTCAATTTCTAAAGCTGATTTGACAAAACTTATTGGAAACGAAAATGCACAAAAAGTATTAAACTATCTTAATAAAAATTTACTTAAATAAGAATTTCAAGATGTGACGTTTAACCGATTAGTCGGATCGATAATAAGCAGAATATTCTTCCTCAAATTGGCATAACTGTGAAATTATTTCATCGTTCATATTATCAGTCAAAAGTGCACCAAACAAGAACTCTGTTGAAGGAAATATTCCAAGAGGATATTTGAGTACTGTTGGAAAATTGTGTGCTGAGTTGGAAAGTTGGTCGTTGGAAATTCTGTCATTGCTAATAGCAGATTGAAAAGAAATTGATTTTTGAAGCAAAGACCGAAGAATTGAAATAGATTTTAAAGTGATTTTAAGAAAGGGATTCATTTCTGTCGCAGTATAATTACTTGTGTTAGTTGAACTAAGTGCACTGGTTGCTCTCAGTAAAACAGGTCCCAAACTTTCAACTGATTCAAGCCACCAATAGCTGACGTTGAATGATTTTTGAAGTTCAAGAACTGCAGCGATAGGATTAATTGAGTTTTTTTCAACATCGAAAGATAAAATAATGTCATCAAAACATCCATATTTTGGGATCATAGATACCAAATTATCAGCTATCAGAAAAGTTTGTTGTAGTAAAGATGCTCGTAGCTCTAAGGATTTCGGAATGAAGCTGAAGTCACTCCTAGGGATCACAGACATAGTAAAAGCAAAAGTTTTAGTTAAAAACTCATATGGGTGTAGAGTGCGACCCTTAAGATATCGATTTAACAAATTTAAATATTCTTCGTCTTGACATGTGTTAAGCAAAACTTCTTTAAGATATGAGCGGTTAGGTGGATCTCGAGGTATTATTTTTGCAAGTGCATCAACTGCACAAGGCAAATACTTATCTGTTGAAGGATCATATTCTTTAAATAAAATGCAACCGTTGTAAGATGGTGACATTTTTTTGCCATTAAAAGGGTCAGGTTCTGAAGAAAAAGACAAAATTAAAAGAAGTATTGTAAATGCGTCTGCAGGAGTTGGTAATATAATATGAAGACCAAGTTGAGATAAAAGTGTGATAACATCTTTTTGAATATTAAGTTGTTTGCGTTTAATGGACATATTTTCGGAGTTATTTGCTAAATATCGAATCAAATTAAAAATAAATTTCATTATAGAAGATTCTTCGACAAGCAGAGCTTGATTTGAATCACAAAATGATAAATTGCGTAAAATCATCGTGATACAAACAATTCTGTCAAACACTGCATTGTCCCAATATATATCGAAGTAAGACATATCTTTTGAATGGAGACTATCAAGTTCATTCTTGCTCATTTCTAAAAGATCAATATATGACTTAAACCCAAAAGGTTGCTGCTCAAGTTCAAAATACGACCTATTGATAGTGTTTGTTGTTATTTCCATTTCGTTATTAAAATTTGTATCATCATCTTGTATAATTTTTTCCAGTCGGTTGATAGCGTTTTCGTTTTTGTTCTTTACTGCAGGGTCCCCTGTCATAGAGTCCACATGAAATATCAAATCTTTGTCGGATGTTTCCCAATGTCGATAAGCGTTAAACACACTAGATATCAAATCGGAATCTTCATCGTCTTCTTCTTCGGATGAAGAAAGCGGTTTTACAGTACTTACTGTGTCATTTGCTTTGTTTTGTTCCAGATTATCAAGTAAATCAAGACCTAAATTGCCTAAAGCATGTGTTAATCCGGGAGACTCTTTTAAAAAGATATTCTGACTAGGATTAGAAGACACAAGAGCTAATTTGTCTAAAGCTTGTCTAACCTCACCAGGGATTTGAGATTTTAGAGCTAATGTGATAGCATGAATGTTTACGGTACCTAATTCTTGAAATAAAGGAAACTCTGGACTCAAAGAATCAACATCTTTTCCTATTCGCGAAAGCACTTGAACGTCATATCCTCCCTTGAATTCAATTTTTCTTTTTTTAGGCACATAATTATCACCTATTTCAGGAATTCGAATTAGCGGTCTTGGCTTCAAGTAATGGCTATCATATGAAGATAGCATCTTGTGACTTGCTATTTCATGTTTACTTTCGGGCTCAATTATAGAAATATTATTTAAAGAGCTCTTTTGATAATCCTGACGACTGATTTCGCTAGTGTAGGTAGGAACAAAAATAGAGGATTTGTTAATTGAAGTTTTCGATTGTTGGTTAAATTTTAACATAGTATAATGGTATAGCAGTTAACTGCAAATTCAAAATAAAGAAGAATGGCAAAAGTTTAAATAACTGAAATTGTATTTTTTTCCTTCTAAACAATTAATTTTCTTGTATTTATCTACTGTATTTTTGGTTGATATTTCTGATAAAATAAATGTTTTTTTCAAAGTTTTGCACTAATAAAAAATTACTTTCTCGTTTAATTAATTAGTTAGGTAATTTAAAATATTTTTCGTAGAATTCAAGAATGTACAATAGAAATGAGCTTAAACTGTGAGGCTAACTATATTAAAGTAAAAATTATTTTTGAAAGGGAGTTGAATTAATATTTACTGAACCCTTACCCACTCCCTCTCCAAAATGGATTGAGTAATTCTGCTTATGTAAGTATATATTATTTTTTAACCAGATACACTTTTAATTAGAATGTCTATACCTCCCTATAAGCGGCAGCAATATCAACATGGCTGTGATTTCAGCAAAAACTGCGATACTATTCAGATCATGTTTTCTTTGGTCATTTGGTTATATGCTTGTTGCAAACCCTAAGAAAGTCACAGGCCATCCACTTGTTGTTCTTATTGGTCAAGCAATGCGATTACCTGAGCTGGAAATTCAAAAAGGAGATCCGTTAGTTGGTCTTTTAGCTATATGTCTTATAACAGGAGGATTGTCCGATATTCCATTATTAGCTGTTGAAGGGTCCAGTTATTTGACAGTGAACTCTGTGGTTGGTATGTGCAACTCAAATTTCTTTATTTTTATTTTGGACTAATTATTAATTATTGATGAAATTATCAGTTCCGATCCGACTCTTAATATTTTTTGCCGTCACAGGATGGTGCTATCTCGATTACAATCCATATTTATCAAATGGATTAGTTTTTGCATATGGATTTGTTGAAATCGTCATAAACTTTTGTATCTATGTTGTCGTAAGAGAAGAAAAAAATGAGCTTGTTGGTCAAGAAGTCAGGAAAAGACATGGAGAATGAATAGAAACCTACGAATCAATTAAATAGAATATATAAATTTTAATTTATAAAACACCATATTTGTATAAATGTTTTGAATTGCCAATTGTCAATTGTCAAAATCCAGAACCAGAAACTTTTATGTTGTCCCCATTCGTTTACATACGTAGTTTTGGGCTACAACACCAATTGACAGGCCAAGTCCTTCCTCAACCCAATCAACAACCCACTCTCGAGGATCAACATTACTATTTTCAAATTTGCTATCAGGACTGTCAAGCCATTCGGCCCATTGAAGAGGAAATGACTGTGATACCGTAGAAAACTGAATTTCATGATCAGGGTCATTCAGATAAATCACAAATTGAAACGTACGAGGTGAAGAAGATGAGATGATAACAGATTTATCATTTAATGCATCTTTAGATTGGTTTGTGTTTTCTGTGTCTGTAGAGCAGGGTTGAATCGAAAGATATATATTAGACGATCGAACAAATGACGTTTGGTCAGGAATGGTAGATGATACTAGGCCTTCTTCATCAATGATTATGGTGTCTTTAGAAGGTGTTTCATCAGGTTTCCCAGGTTTAATTTTTTCTGTATTATGCAAAAATTCGTCAACGCTAGCTGCAGCAAGCTTTTGGGCATGATCAACTGGTCCTTTAAAAATATTAAGTTCATGAGTTTCTACTGTATCAGACCCTCTTCTGTGACGTTCCTTTCCTTTTTGCACATTCATAACAAGAGGGCCACCACCCTCAACTTGTTGCATAACCCTTTCAAAAATTGAGTATACAATATTGTCAATCGAAGGATAACCCACCATATCGTGAAAAACATGAATATGAAGTTGTTCATGTCTGACGATTGGAGGTGCAATGGTTTCAAGGACGGATGAAAGAGTTGAGTGTAGTAAACCGCTATTTAATTTGAACTTTGAAATAGAATCATTGAGAGATTCCATAGCATGCTTTTGAGTTTGTGAAACCTCAGGTTGAAGTTCTCTGACTTTGGCCTCTGCTTGTTTTACTGCAGTTGTGGCCGTATCCCATAATCCGCCTTTACTTTTATTCCACCAAGAAGTCAATGAAGAAATAGGATCAGGTAAACCTGGTATTTCGTCATTATCAACTTTTAACTCATCAATCAAAGTAGAATTAGCTGAATCAGACGTAGTTATATTTTTTGTGTTTGTTTCCTGAATTGCACTATCATTAACCACTTCATCAGATTTAGTTTTATCATTAGGTGTCTCAGTTAAAGAATCCAAAAAGCCCAAAATATCGTCGTCTTCTTTGTTTCTTTGGGTACTGTCCTCTGTAGCTGTAGAGTTCGCCTCTACAGAAGAACCATTTTTATCTAAGGAATTTAAAAGTTCAAGAACATCGTCTTCGGATTTATTGGTGCTCATACTAAATTTTGTAACAATATTTCTTAATAAGAAATAATAAATAATATAAAATCAAAATCAAAATCAAAATCAAAATCAAAATCAAAATCAAAATCAAAATACAAATAAATAAAACCAACTAATTAAGTAGGTTAATTATCATAAGGAAAAAGGAGCCAAATTATAGCAATAAATAAAAGTAGCAGGTAGTGGGGTCAATTGCCTGTTCACTTAAAAATTAATTATGATGACTTGTTGCTAAATATACTAGCTTATGTCATTGATGACTAAATATATTAATTCAGGCTAGAATAGATTAAGTTAAGTGACACTAATGCCGTGCTATTATTTGAGTTATCAGCATTAGACATTTATGATAACATAAACAAATAATTCTTTAGTAAAGATTAGCTGAAATTTTTTTTTTAAAATTCAATTGATCATAAAAGTATTTTTTATATTAAGTATTGTAAATTTTGTAAATTTTAATATATAATAAATATTGTTCTTTATCAAACACTTCTGTGTTAATTTGTGCCTGTACAAAAAAATAAATGTTTCATCTGAAAACAAAAAAGAAAATGGTTTTACCTTACATATGTTAGATAGGTTACTACACAAAACTTAGTTTTTAAAAGGCTGAAATGTCAAGACATTTTTATTTATTCCTAAGGTGGAGGAATAATATTGAAGGTCCTATCTGCTATTAAACTATATAAATAGATGATAACTATTTTAATTAATAGCAGATGATTTTCACCATGTTTTTTCATGATGCCGTTGACGGTTTAAAAGTGTTAATCGAAGAACTGTTCTCTTACTTTGTTTTTAACGCTTGACGTCACATAAAGTGATGAACTAACAAAATATTAAAAAAATAATCTCAATTTTGGGACAGTAAAAAAAAATACTGAGCTAATCTGTCTAAAAAATGGTAATACAAACTTGACATAGTTACAAACTACTTCAAGATAAAGTCATAAAGCTTCATTGATTTTCAAAATTACATTATCCCCTACCTAACCACTTAGTTAAAAGTAGAGGGTCTCTTGGCAACAAAGAGCTCAGCCTCCTTGGTGACACGGTGAGTAAGAGGAAACTTAAGGTCAGGAGTGATGAGCTGTCTAATGTATTGACGCTTGACATCTTCGGGATTCTCAATCTCAGCAACCTTAAGAATGTGGATAGATCTAAATCTAGCTCTGTGACGAGCAGCCAAATCTTGGTAAAGGGCCTCAACAGCGGCAGCGCGAGAAAGCTCACGGTACTCCTTGTACATGTTGTGAGTACCGGAACGAGAATCGTAACGAATCCAGATACCAAAGTTCTTGACTTTGGTAGGAGTCTTCTCATGAATCAAGTTGACGGAAACAATCTCACCAGCAGCCTTCTTAATTCTTCTGAGCTTGGTCAAGAAGTACCAGAATCTAGACTTGGCAACAACAGTGTTGGGAGCAAAGATTCTCATGCGGTAGAGCTTTGGCTCAGGCTCAGACTCGCTTGGAAGTCTTCGGCCAATAATCTGGTATTCATTGAGACGACCCACTAATTAAAAAGTTAGTATTTTCCAAATGCCAAAATTTATTAAATGTGATCATCATAGGTTTTCAACAAAGGTATTCGTCTTTTTATAGGATATTAAAAGCGTAAACAGGATTTCAAGATAAATAACCCATAACTAATAAGTAACATTTGCAATAAGATATATGTTCAATACATACTCTTTATCTGTTTTGCTGGTGGCGATGTACAGGTAGTATTGGAGTTGCGAAAGGTCCAAGTCAATAAGGGGATATTCCAGGCAGGTAGATAAATTTTTGATAATAGTTCCAGATGGACTCATTCATTATAGCCAGTAGGTTACCAAATTAATTTACAAATTTCAGGAGCTAAGTATATTTCAGCACTTATAAATATTTAAGCATATGTCATATTTTTGTAATATTTATTTTGTAACAACGTTTTAAATTTATTATGTGACTGTTAATTAGGGTATGTCACATGAGTTAAATAGGGCAAAGTAAATTTTTATTCAAATACGACATGACCCAAAGATCATCCAAATTCTTGACTTTGAAAATCAGAATAGGTTATTTTTTACAAGCTTATCTTCAAGAGAATTTGTATATTTAAAATATACAAATTTAATTGCAGTACAGTGGACTTAATGGTAGTATATTAACTTGTATTTACAAAAAAAAATACTTATTTAGTTTGAAATGTAATCCAAATTTAATAAAAAATACAAATATCTGTATTAACAGATATTGACTGAAAATATTGTTAATCTATTGATTTCTGCCCTATGTATACTGTACTACAAAATAAATTACAAGAACTAAAAAAATTATTTATTTCCCATGATCTATTATGCCAGCTGTGAAGGCGCATGGTTGCTAGTGTGGTTTTTGGATTTGATTTTTGATCTGCCAAAACTTGGTCAAAATAAAATTGTTAAACGTGGAGAAAATCCCAGCGGCAACTCGGCGTTTAATAAAATCTATCTTGGGTGTCAAGTTTTGCAGTCTGAACGATTTGTGAGGTTATGTCATAGGAGTCGTTTGTGAAAAGGTGAACCTAAAAAGATCCTATGAAAATATCTGGGTAACCTGTAAAGCGATTGTCTACAATTTATCGGGCATTAAGTAATAATGCTTGTTCTTAAAAAAATTCCATTCAATAAATTAGTAAATCTTGGTGTTGTTTTTTAATAGTAGATTTAGTATTAAGAAATAATTCATATTTTTTTTAAAATTTGAGAATTTTAAATATTACTAGGGCTGATTAAATAGTTTAATGGTATTCATTATTACTTTAGCAATTGTTTACTCATTTCTTTACACAAATACCTATTACCTGAGAAAAAAATGGATGATATTATAATTTACTTATAAGTAAATTGAGTTTTTCAAAATATAAAAACTAATTTCTTGAAAATACTCGAAATTATTTTTTCTAATGTATGAGTTTGATTAATAACGAGAAATAAATTAATGCGACCTATTTTAATTTGGCACTTTGTTCATTTTAGTAATTTAATAACCAGGTAATTTATATGTACAGGTGAACATATAAGATATTCGAAAAATGAAGCGTAAACGTGACTCTGTGACACCTGAAGAACATAAAACTTTTTTGATTAAAGCCATTACTTCTATCATATTTTATTCATTGTTTTTAGAAAAAACTACAAAGCCAAGAAGTGATGATGGATATCCCTTATACAAAATTCCACTTTCATCGTTAGAAATAAACGATCAAGCTATAGCATATCAAATTTCCACAATAACTAAAGAATGTATATCTTTACAAAAAGTTATGGGCACCGATATCTCAGCCCCAAACGACAACACCTTTAATAATTCCAAATATCAATTTGTCATTAAATTGAAAAAAATAGACACGGGAAAGATGACGTTGACATCAATAAAAAAAAAACTAATGGACATTCGAAAGTTATTTATAGAAGAGATTGATAATATTATTAAAAGTCAGGGCGATAAATGTCTATTTTCCTTAGAAAATAGTTCAAATAAATTTAGTGATGAGGTAATGCCACGAATAAGCGAGTCATTTCTGCCCGAAATTTTTATAGAAGAAATTCAGCGTTTACCATTTTATCAAGACCAAATTGTCCCGAAAGGACATTTTGTTATACCTGCTAGAAATGCCATTGTTTCTAATGTTTATGACATGCTGCCCGAAAACTTCATAAAAGCATTATCTCAATACTGGGGAATATCTTATGATGATGTAGCATTTTATAATCATCAGTATATTGCTTTAAAAAGCATATTTTCTGGATCTTCGGTAGTTGTGTCAACTGATACTTCAAGTGGAAAATCTTTGGTTTATCAGATTCCTGTTTTCAAAGCGCTGCAAGAACATTATGAAACTGCATCATCTGATTTCCCACCGACTGCCTTTTTTATGTTCCCTACTAAAGCTTTAGCACAGGATCAATTAAGATCTTTTCAGGTTCTTTCAAGTTTAATTTTTGGAAACAAGTTTAATATTTCTTCTCATACATATGATGGTGATACTGATTTTTCTTTACGAGAACAACTAAGAAATACAAGTAGTATCCTTTTTTGTAACCCAGATATTTTACATTCAGATATATTGCCAAGGTGGATAAAATGGGAAAGATTTTTGAAGGCTTTAAAATTTATTGTTATTGATGAAATTCACATTTACACTGGAGTGTTTGGTACTAATGTTGCTTATACACTTCGAAGGTTAAAACGAATTTGTCATGAATTAGGAAATTCTAAAGTTCAGATAATTTCTTGTTCAGCAACAATAAAACATCCTGAAAATTTATTGAAGTCAATTTTTTTGATTAATGAAAATGATTTGGTGGTTATTGATGCTAATTCAAACGGTGCACCTTCAGGAGATAGACACTGGTTAGTATGGAATTCACCTTACATAAATGGAACAAAAGGACCATATTGCCGTGCCCATCCAATACAGAATGGAACAATACTTTTTGCTGAGCTTCTTTGCAGAAATGTGCGAACTTTAGCATTTTGTAAGACACGCAGAGAATGCGAACTTTTTATGAAATCAATTCAAAACGAGCTTGAGTCTCGTGGTTTGTCACATGTTCAGGAAAAGGTCATGACTTACAGAGGTGGATATTGCACATCAGACCGCCGTGAAATTGAATATAAGATGTCTACTGGATGCTTTATTGGTATTATTTCGACCTCTGCCTTAGAACTTGGACTTGATATTGGTGAAATGGATGCTATACTCCATATTGGATTCCCTTATAGCATAGCTAATTTAAGGCAACAAGCTGGTAGAGCAGGACGACGAGGAAGGTCGTCACTATCAATTCTTATAGGAGGTAATGGACCAATAGACCAATACTATATGTCGAATCCGTCTGCTTTACTTGATGAAGACGATCCAGAAATAACGCTAACATTAGGTGATAATGAAATTTTAAATCAGCATTTGCAGTGCGCTGCTTATGAAATACCTATATCTATTGAATCCGATAAAGAGTATTTTAGTAATGAAATTGACGAAAATTTTTCTAAAGGGAAATCTTTTAAAGACCTCGTGAAAGAAAAGCTTGTGCCTATAGATGATAAAAATAAAGAGTTTGTGTTCTATGGACCAACACCAGATTTTATGCCATTTCCTTCATCAAACTTCTCATTGAGATCAAATTCAGAAAATGAAGGCATGTCATATGTGGTTATGACAAGTGAAAAAATACTTGAAAATATTGAAATTGAAAGAGTTCCATTTACTTTATATGAGGGTGGGATATTTCTTTCTCAAGGAAATATGTATTTAATCGAAGTATTGGATATTAAAGGGTAAGAACTTTTTTTTCTAAATAATTATTTATTTCTAATATTGGAATTTAGACGGTCAGCTTATGCAAAAATGGTTCAAGTAAACTATATCACCAAAACACGTGATTATACAGATGTTGATCCATATCATATTGTTAAATCGAGAAATTTGATGTTTCATAGCCCCAATAATTTAAAATTACCGATTAAATTTGGACTGGTTAACGTGAATACGCGTGTTTTTGGTTTTTACAAATTAGGAAAAAGCAAAAACGGTGGTTACAGCCGAATCATTGATACTGTTGAAGTTTCTGAACCAAACCAAAACATTTTTTCCCTTAAATGTTCAGGTGTATGGATCTCCCTTCCTTCTCATTTAATGGAAATAATATCTAAAAAAGGGCTTTCAGTTGCAGCTTCAATTCATGCTACAGAGCATGCCATTGTTTCAGCTCTCTCCATTCTCCTTTCTAATACGTTTAATGAATATGACATTGGAACGGAATGTAAATCACCTGAAAAAGAGTTTAAAAAAGGCTCTGTTCAAAGAAAAAGACCTGCTCAACTAATATTTTTTGATCCTAGCAAAAAATTAGTTGATGAAAAATCTTCTAAAAAATTAGCTGCAACTGGTGTTATGAAAAGGCTTTTTGAATGTATGGAGCAAATATTAAGTCTTGCTGAGACTAGAGTAGGGAACTGTAACTGCAATTGGGGATGCCCTAACTGTGTGGCAAGTACCTATTGTCGTGAAAATTCTGTTGTTCTTTCAAAACCCGGGGCTTCAATAATTTTACGATATCTTTGTGGTATTCCTTTAGATCTTCATTCAGTTTTTAATGGGCCCGAACCAAATCTCAAGAATAGTAATAGCGGTGAAACCATTGTTTATTAGGTATATCAACATATCTCAATTTTTACATAGATCAATACGATCAATAGAAATAAAAGATAAATAAAATTAATTTGGAAATCCCCTTTACAAAAACAATTAAAATTAAGGGTCATCAATTTAATCGTATGGTTGTAAAGTTTTAAAGTACTCCAATCGCTAACAAATATGCCCCTTTTTAAAAAACAACAGAATCAAAAAAAAATAATTTTGAAAGAAATGAATTAATCAGTATATTAAAGTGATATCAATTAGATGTTTTCTTTTTTTTATTCTTCTTTTGAGAAAAAGAGCTAGTATTACTGTTAACAACAATGTTTAAGCATCAAATTGAGAATTATTTAATTATTGCGAAATGTAATATAGACAAGTTATACCCCTGCTACTATAATTTTCAATTAAGTATTTATCTGTGTTACTGCTATTCGTAACTGTTATTCGAATGATGTTTGTATTGTTGGAGTTGACATTTTTTTTCAAAAAATGGTGGCTCGCTACGCTCACATCTAGGCTCTGTTTCCATGAATTTTGGGGGGTTTACCCTAAAAATGTACAGTTTATACAGCTCGAAGAAAGAGAAAAAAGAACCGGGTTGGGGGATTACATAAACATAATAGGGATGCTAAGAAGAATACCTTTTTTTTTTGTGAAATGTAAAGAAGAATTAATTATTATGATTATTGTTTTTAATTTATATTTTTCTGGTTATTTTAGTTGACTCTTAACGATGTTACATCATTGATAATCACCAATTTGTAATAATAGTTTACCTATTTAAATTTGTTATGTTTTTTTTCTTAAACGTATCATTAAATAGGTATTGAGATTACCTATCTAAACATAACATGCTAATTTCATTTTTTTATTAATTGATTAATTGATTCAATAAAGGATTTTACTAAAATGATATCTTCTACTCAGTTATCACGTATCCAAAGGTGTTTGAAAAAAAAAAATATGTTTACTCGTCAATTTAATTCAACATTTTTTAAGCTGAACGAAGTTAACAAACCCTATTACGTAACTACACCAATATTTTATGTGAATGCTGCACCACATGTTGGACATCTTCATTCTATGGTACTTGCGGATACAATCAAAAGATGGAACGGTTTTTTAAGTGTTACGAATACTCCAGCATATCTCACGACTGGAACTGATGAGCATGGCCTTAAAGTACAGCAAGCAAGTGCAAATGCTGGTGTTGAAACAAAAGCTTTTGTAGATAACGCAAGCAAAACATTTAAAATATTGGCAGACAAAGCGCATATATCCTATGACCGATTTATAAGAACAACTGATGATGATCACATAGAAGCCTCTAGACAGCTGTGGAAGATATTGCAGACGAACGGATACATTTATAAAGGTCAGCATTCTGGTTGGTACAGTGTATCTGATGAAACGTTTTATCCGGAAACCCAAATTGAAAAAAAAAAACTTGAGGATGGATCAGATCAATATATTTCTATTGAAACTGGAAAAACTGTTGAATGGTCGTCGGAAGAGAATTATTTTTTTGCTTTATCAAAAATACAACCTCAGTTACTGGATCATATCGAAAAAAATAAGAGATTTATTTTTCCTCAAAAAAGATATGAACAGATCCTTCGCGAAGTTAAAGAGGGCTTAAGTGATTTGAGTATTTCTCGACCCAAATCTAGATGCTCATGGGGGATTCCGGTCCCAGGTGCAGAAGACGTGCAAGTTATGTATGTGTGGCTCGATGCTCTTACGAATTATCTTACAAGTGCAGGATTTCCTAACTTAAAGCCAAACTCTCCTTGGCCTGCCAATGTTCATGTTATTGGAAAAGATATTATTCGATTTCACGCTATATATTGGCCTGCATTTCTTTTGGCTGCTGGCTTGCCACTTCCAGATCATATTGTTGCTCATTCTCATTGGACAATGAAAGGATCAAAAATGTCTAAGTCATTAGGAAATGTTGTTGACCCTGTTCAAACTTTAAACACTTTCGGTGTTGATTCTGTGAAATTTTTCTTAATGAATGACTCATTTCTTTCTCGCGACAGCGACTATTCAAACGATAGAATAATTCACAGGCATAACACTGAGCTCGTTAATAAATATGGAAATTTGGTTGTTCGGGTCTGTGGTAAAGCATTTAACATTCCAAGATCTATTTCATCTGATTCTAAAATTTTCAGAAATGAATCGCTCATTCATCAAATAAATGATCTACCAGAAAAAGTTGCAACTCATATGAAAAACTTTAATACTGCCCAGGCTTTATCTGATATTTGGTCTTTAATTTCTTCTGCAAATACATATGTTCAAGAATCTGAGCCATGGACTCTCAAATCCAATATTGAAAAGCAGGATGCAATTATAAAAGATGTCAGTGAGGCTGCACGTGTATCTTCTATTTTATTGAATTCATTTATTCCTGAGATTTCATCAGCAATGCTTGATCGTTTAGAAGTTAGTAAGGATAAAAGAAATATTCTGTTTGCTTCCTATGGCACTGATACATCTTATGGTAAGAATGCAAATAGAAAAGGAGATTATCCCATAAAGTCTATTGAAACAGACTAACTTCGTATATCCTATTTTTGTATATATTTAGCAAGTATATGTAATTATAGAATAAAATAGAATAAACTAATCACACGATAGTTTGATAGTTGATGTTTCAAAATTCCTTGAGGTTATATTGATAAGAACAATCTGGCCTGTTTTTCTAAATTCTGGAACAGTTAATAACCGGGTATAAACAGAGTTTCCAAGCTCATCTAGCCCCTGAACAATTCGAGTATCAAAATATGGCTGATTACTTGAAAAATATATGTGTGGGGTGGATTGAATTAAAAATGGATCGGATTTAATAAAGGGATAAGAAGCTAAAAAATTAGAGCTCAAGCACATAAAAAATACTAGCTACGATTTTTCTTTTCTCGCAGCAATTTTCAAAAACTTACCTAATGTGTCAGGTGCGGTTGGTGCGATCGTTTGCCAGCGTAAGCATTGATTCATCAAGTCTAAACGGTCAATATCGTATTCATGTAAATATTTATACATATCATTAATTGGTTGACCAGAGTCACCCAATAACGTGATACCATTAAACGACCAATAACTGGGGTTGGTAATGTTGAAAAACGAGTTGAATGGTTTTAGTTCTCGGCTTAAATGAAAAAAAGCTTTGTGAAGTGGTTGTTGTGGTAAGGTAAGATTAGAAAAATCGAATTCTCCAGGCATGATAGAAGTAGGAATACAAAATGCAATATCCTTAATTAATTGATCAAGGCGCTTTAATGGATCTGAAGCAATTCTAGAAAAGTCATTTATTTTTTTCAATGGAATTTTTGGAATTTCACTAGCAGATTGTTCATCTGATATATTTGAATCAACATCAGTTTTTGTATTTAGCGAGTTTCCAGCAATAATGAGATGTACAATATTAGAAGAGAGCTTACGATCCTCATCTCCTCCAAGCTCCCCATTAAAAAACTCAACTAAAGGTTGGAGATAATTTTCGTTATTAGCACTATTGTCTATGGATAGGCCGGAAATAATTGCAACATATTGAGCTTTCTTATAAGAAACCTCAGGTATGGGTTGTTGAGGTGCATATTCAGTAAATCTAATGTCCAATACTTCAAAATCACCGGAAGGAAGTTCGCGTCCCAAAATTGCAGCAACACATCCCGTGACAAGAAGGCTGTTTTCAATCAAAGAACCAACAAGTCTCACTCTGCCAGATTCATCTTCTAAATATGTTTCATCATTAGTGGCATCAGTGTATTTCGGAGGGGGGGGCGGAGGGGCGCCGAAATACTATTTCATAAAGCTAGTTAGATTGTGTATATTGTGTATTTTTTCATTATTACATAAAGTAAAACTTACCGACGATGAAATCTCATCAAAAATGCTAGGTTTTAATTTCATTTCTTTAAATATAGTTCCTATTGTCCAGTTTATTTTTTTGTTACCTAAATCCAGAACCCGTTCTGAATGATAAACTGTTGAACCTTCAATTATCATATCACACCAAGACTTATGAGCAACGTCGTAAACCTTTCTTCGTAGTCCATTTAATCTTTGAAGATAAAAATTGGAATACTGTTCTATGTATTCTCTTTTTTCCATTGGAAGAATGAAACTAGCATTCTCATTCACAGGTTTATTAATTAATGAATCTCGTTCATGACATGATGAGCCACTAAAAAGTTAATAACAAATAAACAAATAATAAATAAGGTAAATAAAATTATCTTTACCTTTCTTTTTTTAAAAGATCCATTGAAAACCTATTCGTTGTTTGTAGATATAGTTTATTATTGAGATATTAATGAAATAAATTATTTAAGGAATGAAAAACATACGGGATACTCTTTACTATGGAAGTATAAATTTAAAAAACTAAATAAATAAAATAAAGACAACATTTTATGTTTACGTGGTTTTTTCGTGTTATTTACTTATACATATTGTAGATACACGTAATTACGTGTATCTTGTTTTAATAGAATTATATAATCCATTAATTTATGCTATATTTCTACTGTACTACAAAAAAAAATTTTAAAAAAATTTTTATTTATTTATTTAATTTTCATAATATATAATAAATAATAAATAAAGAATAATTATTTTTCATAATTATGAAGATGAAAAGATATTAAGAACAAAAAGGATAGTGCAGATGCTGATGTTATTTCTATCCATTGAATAAAAACAAACAAACAATAATAAATAATAATTTATAATTTATAATTTATCATTTATCATTTATCATTTATCATTTATCATTTATCATTTATCATTTATCATTTATCATTTATCATTTATCATTTATCATTTATCATTTATTATTGGTGGAAATTGCATTAACATTTTCTTGTTTTACAATAATTGAATGATCATGTAATATAATGATGAATATCAGATTTTAGTGCTATTTTCGGCAAAAATAGTCATGAAAGAAAAAACACCGTAAAAAAGAATAAGGGGGTATGCAACAAGAACTCTCATTTCGGATAGTTGAAGTACAGCAACAAATATTGCTGATGAGGAATAGGTGCACCATAGTATAGCTAGAGAAGAAACGGCATACCCAATTGCGTTACTTATGATGTTCGTTAGAAAGTGAAACTTTTACACAATGTCATTACTCACTCCATAGATAAAAAAACTGCAAGGCTACTGTTTGCAACAAGTGGAAGAAGACAATAGCCAAGGACACTCGCCACTCGAATAAAATCAATTGATTTCGTTAAAGACATTAAATTAAGAATTGCGTATAAAGATAGCGTTCCAATTAAAGCAGCACCATAAATATAGCCAAAATGTATTTTCCCCGACTTAAAATGATTGTTAATAAATCTCAAGTAAAAAAAAATTCCATTACATACCAATAAAAGAAAGGTTCCAAATAATAAACAAAATAGAATAGGGCCAGCGAGATCCGAATCATCCATAATATTTTGCTCAATTTCCTGGAATGGATTTAAAACAGTTAAGGTCTACAATTTATCAGTTAGGAAAATTAATGTAATATATTAAAAAACTGATTTGAAAGATTAGTATATACCTTTTGCTTGATGTGTGAAAAATTAAATCCAAGTTCTTAAGTGTGTTAGTTTCCTAGTTTTGTAATTCTAAAAAAACTTACCTTCCAGCAATGGAGGTTCATCAGAATATCCTTGGGTACCAAATGCTGCTAAAATGCCTGTCGATAGAGGTTCTCTTACTCCCTCTCCATACCCACTATATGATCCGGTACCTTGTCCAGACATCATACCTTGTGAGGTAGAACTACTTTGAGTAGAAGAACTAAACTGTGTGGGTAAAAATTGAAGGCCACTGCTTGATGATGGAGGTTGGCTATATACATTCTGGGAATAATAAGACATAGTGTGATGAACGTGTGCTTTTCAATCTTTATCGATGGATATCTTGACCTGTGATTTAGTAGTCAGTTTTATTTGAAACAAACTGAGTAAGCTAATTATAATAATAATTATGAGCTTTCGCAATGATATTGAAAAAAATAAACTGAGCCTCAGCCTTTTAAAAATTAATATACGTAAAGTTAGAAGCATACGTATATTAAATTACTGTTATTATTTTTTTAAAAATTACGTAAAGTATTGAAACATAATAAATTTATTTAAATAAATAAATAAATAAATAAATAAATAAATAAATAAATAAATAAATAAATAAATAAATAAATAAATAAATAAATAAATAGCTACTTTAAGTAATTGTCTATTACTTAAAGTAATCTAAGATTAAAATTGACATTAAAATGATTATTCTACAATTATGGAATACAGTAGGTTATCCTACTGCTGAACCAAGACATACATTTTTAAATTATTATGTACTGCCCATTAACATAAATAACTTACATAAACAGTAACTTGAGGTACACACAAACATTAATGTAAATGGGATATTACAACTTTGATATGTGATTTATATTACAGTTACAATTACAATATCTTCAATCTCATTTGTCCGCTCATTTTAATCCATTTTAATTTTTTTTTTACCACCAACCTTTTTCGTACTTAAAACTAAACCCTTGACATAACAAATCTACAAAGTTTGCACATGCTTTTTTATGATATATAGTATGGAAATCACTATTTTTTGAGACAATCATATTTTTCATTTACTTGTCTCATTAGCTGTTTTTTTTTTATTATTCATCAAAAATAGTTTCATTACCTATGTCCTATTCCCAGTCTGTAGTCCAAGATCAATATCACATCAATATGACAGTATCTCCCGAGGAACGGGAACGCTGTATCGAACGTTTATTTCGAACACTTGACAACTCACAGTCTGGAACCCTTGATACAGATGCATTATTAGAGGCGTTTCGCGAACAATATAACCCACTTCCCAGTTCAGAAGAGAGCATAGATGCACTTGTATCTGAAATTTCCTCTCAGAAAAATGGATATTTTTCGTATGATGAATTTAAAGAATATATTACCAATATAGAAGATCGAATTGCATTATCATTCAAAACATTAGATCAAAATAATGATGGCAAACTTGATTTCAACGAAATTCGTGACGGTCTTGTGGCACTTGGAATGGATGCTAATGACGAACGTATTGAGCTTTTTTTCAATTTACTCGATACTGATACAGATGGATATATTTCATATGATGAATGGCTTCGGTTTTTACTTTTTGTGCCTCTTGATACTAGTTATGATATCCCTTTAAGAGCAGCATATGAATTTTTCATTGATGAGCTCGACCTATCAGCAGAAGGCGATTTTTTTGTCAGCAGTGAAACTCTTAATGGAATTGGGTATTTTCTTGCTGGGGGTTTAGCTGGTGTCATTTCTCGAACTTGTACCGCCCCATTTGATAGACTTAAAGTTTATCTTATCGCCAGCTCTGGTCAACCACTTCAAACAACCACTACATCGACAGGAGGGTCAATAGGAAAAACTGTGACTAAGGAGGCTATAAGCTCAGCTTCTAAATCCCGGGAAGCAGGACCTCTTGTTCGGGCGTTTAAACATTTATGGAGCCAAGGCGGAATAAGAGCCTTTTTTGTTGGAAACGGCCTCAATGTCATCAAAGTTTTTCCTGAGTCAGCCATGAAATTTGGTTCTTTTGAAGCAGCAAAGAGATTTTTTGCCCAAATTGAAGGCGTAGAAGACACTTCTGAAATTTCCCGTTTATCTACATTTATTTCTGGTGGTTTAGGCGGTGTGGTTGCCCAGTTTACTGTTTACCCAATAGATACTTTAAAGTTGTATGTGCGAATACTCTGAACCTTTCCTTTCTTAACAACTAACTGATCTTTTTATAGCCGGATACAATGCGAAGCACAGTTTTCAAATCTACGAGGAAATCAATTATTATTTGAAACTGCGTCTCAAATGTGGAATACTGGAGGAATCAGGATGTTTTATCGAGGCCTTTTGGTTGGCGTTTGTGGAATTTTTCCATTTGCTGCTCTTGATTTAGGAACCTTTGCAGCGATGAAACGCGCACTAATTGCTAGGGAGGCCAAGAAGCTTGGCGTGGATCCAACAGATGTTCGGCTAGGCAATCTCACTGTTCTAACCATGGGTGCCGCTAGTGGATGTGTTGGTGCTTCTGTGGTTTATCCTATTAATCTTTTAAGAACAAGACTACAAGCCCAAGGAACGCATGCACACCCATATAAATATACTGGTATTGTTGATGTATATCGAAAAACCGTGGCTCGAGATGGCTATCGTGGCCTCTGGAGAGGTTTAGCACCAAACCTTGCAAAAGTTGCTCCAGCTGTCAGTATAAGCTATTTAGTATATGAGAACACAAAGACCCTCTTAGGTCTGGTTTGATGGTTACTTAGACATGATTCCATAAAATAAACTGCATAGATTTTAATTTTTTCCTCTATAAAATTTCAGGAAATTCCACAAAAACATTAAATCCGATCGGCCCGATATCCACTACACTGATAGGGTATGATAATGGAATATTTTCTTGCTTTTTCTTTGTGCCAGTTTCAATAGAAATCCACGGTAGTTTAATCTATTTGGTTAATCACTCTCAATAAATAAGATATGGGTTTGGTGGATATAGGAAACATACGTCAGACTCCAAAAATGAGCTCGAGTTAGGTAAATTTGGATTCTCATCTTCGATACTAATGGTTGTGGTAAAAGTGCTACTCCCTGGAAGATCATTAGGAACATTGGATTTAGAAGATAAAAACGTCTTTAAAAACGCAATACACGACCTATACTCTTGCATAATATCACTCCATGTCAAGTCAAAATTAGAAATAGCAGTTTTTTTTTCGTTTTCGGATAGAATATTAGGAAACCCCTCCATATTTAAAACATAACGCTCAAGTACTTGATTTTCCTGGGAAATTATGACAAGTGCTAGAGTTTTGACTTTATACTATTTAAAACAATGAGTCTCTGCTTGACAAAAAGTGAAAATAAAATAATTACATACTCTAGAAATATAAATGATGCATGAAGTCGCCATACCTTCTACCCATTCAACAACCATGGGATGTCTCGACTTTGGAACTGGAATATCATACATTCGATGTGTTTCAAATGAACCAGATGGATACAGCCCACGAAGATTAAGTACTGTATGGGTAAAAATAATGAAAAATTGATGAAAAGAAGCTATTAAATCATCGTATCTGATATTTGTTAAATGTTCATTTATAGGAGAGGCCATATTTTAAAGGCTACGCTAAGATTGAAGACCAGTATGGTCAAGATTTGACTTTTCTTGCCTGTGAAAAAAACAAAAACAAACAGAGGAAATTTTTTTTTTCTGAAAATGACGGGCTTGAATAACAATTTTGTATCTACCTCAATAGACTAAAAAACACATATATTAAATATATATTACTAAGTTTATCCTCATTTTATTACAGCCTGTTATTTCTTATGTGTATATAAAAATCACGTGAAGTAATATGATGTTAAAAACTCTAGAGTTGTTTTGATAGTAAACATGAAATAAAACAGCTTAATTAAGCTGTTTTGCTTATAAGCAGCTTAAGTCATGAAACACGAAACACGAAACACGAAAAAAACGCGAATATATGTAAATAATATATTACCTTGTGCCACACGATCATCAATTGAATTCTTTATCCTTTATCCTTTATCCTTTATCCTTTATTTTCAATTTTTAAGATTTAATTTTTTGTAATACCCACCTCACATATATTATTTTAAAATAAAAACGATAAGCATATGGACAAACGAATGAATTACATTAGCGTTGAAATAAAATGACAGAAGGAATCCAAAAAATCAATTCTACTTTGATCCATAGCATCACATCAGGACAGGTAATAATCGACTTAGCTTCTTCGGTCAAAGAACTAGTTGAAAATGCTGTTGACTCTCACGCATCTGTTATTGAAGTGAGATTTAAAAATAACGGAGTTGATCTATTGGAAGTTATTGACGATGGTGATGGAATAGCTAAAAGCGATTTTATCGGATTAGGTATTTTTGTTTAATTTAAAAGTATTGATTAATTCTAACGTTATAGGACGAAAACATCATACATCTAAGCTTAGATCTTATGATGACTTATTAATGGTCCAAACTTTAGGTTTTCGAGGCGAAGCAATCAATTCACTTTGCTCCTTAGCCAAGGTTGAGATTATAACTTCTACAGTTAACGATCTTCCATTAGCTACGAAAATATTATTTGATTTCAATGGGGAAATTATTTCAAAAACAGAAACTTCCGGCAAAAAGGGAACACATGTTACGGTATACAATTTATTTGAAACTCTACCGGTTCGACGAAAAGATTTTTTGAAAAATTCCAAAAGGGAGTTTTCTAAAGCGATAAATTTATTACAGGCTTATGCCATCATATGTACCAATGTAAAGATCGTTGTTTCAAACTCCTCTAGTCAAAGCAATAAAAAAACAGTGTTATTTTCAACAACGGGAAAAGGAGGATTAAAGTCGAGCGTTGCAAATATATTCGGGGTTTCAATATTTGAAAAACTAGTACCAATTGACATTTCTTTTGAGCTTCTTTACTCACTTCCTCGACTTTCAAATAAGTCCACAAAACATTTAGAAAAGGAATTGGCTAAAGTTGAAATTAAAGGGTATGTTTCTAAACCAAGTTTTGGAAACGGAAGATCAGCTTCTGATCGCCAACTTTACTTCATAAATTCTCGTCCTTGCTCTCTTCCCCAAATTACCAAAGCAGTTAATGAAACTTACAAAATGTTTAATTCTGCTCAACTGCCTGCTATTGTAGCAAATATCAAACTTGACACTACAAGATATGACATTAATGTATCACCAGACAAAAGGACGATTTTGCTTCACAATGAAAACGGTTTAATTGAGCTTGTTCGAGAAAAGTTTGCAGAACTGTTTGAACAAGTTGGCCATTCAGTTCCTTTCAACAAAATGGAGACAATAGATCTCCCAGAAAAAAAAATAAAACAGGGAAATTTATTTTCTTCTTACTCGAACCGCAACGACTTAAAAAAAGATGCAGAGAACCTAATTGATACCATTAACAAATCTCCTATTGTAGAAATAGAAGATAATCAAATTGATCAAAGGGAATACGTTTCTAATGAAACAGAGATATCACATTCTCGATCAACTCGAAGAAATATTACCGAATCAACACTTGAAAGTACTGATATTGATGAAATTTTGATTGACCATGACAATATACCCCGGTCTAAAACAGCTAAAGCAGCATCAAGAATATCGGAGCAAACCCTTTTTAATTTTCCGGATCCATGTCTCCATAAAAAGTGTTTGCACGAACAATCTGAAGAGTGCGGTACTAATTTGAATATAGAGAAAAAAATGAATAAAAACTTTTACATCACTGACACTACTCAAGCTGATGTTTGCAATCTTAATAATGATGAAAGGAAAATTTCAAATATGCAAGCAGCTACAAGACCTGGCTCTCATAGGAATAGAACCTATAATTATGACATGCCTCTTAAAGTTTCTAGTGAATATATTGGAATATGTAAGAGAGAGATCATTAAGTTGCAAAAAATAACAAAAAAAGATTTTTTCCAAGTATCACATTCTTCTAAATTTAATAATCAAAATTCTAAAAAACCTCTTTCTAATATTACCATATCAGATATTTTGGAAAATACTGAAGTCGCTGAGTCAGTATTAGATATGGCTATTCACAAAAAAGATTTTCTAAATATGAAGATAATAGGCCAATTCAATTTGGGTTTTATTTTGGTGACTAATTACAACGAAAATAGTCATAAAAAAGATTTGTTCATTATTGATCAACATGCCAGTGATGAAATATATAACTTTGAAAGATTACAAAAAGATACAGTGATTCAAACCCAACCTCTAATTTTCTCTCTACCTATTGAATTGACTGCTATGGAAGAAATAACCCTTACATCTAATTTGAAAGTTTTTGATGATAACGGGTTTAAAATTAAAGTTGATGAAAGTGCACCTCCTGGCCAAAAATGCCGATTAATTGCTTTACCGACTAGCAAATCCACCAAATTTGATATGAAAGACCTTCAGGAGTTGATTTATTTTTTAGAAACACAGCCTGGAAGAAAAAATATTCGATGCTCTAAATTGCGAGCCATGTTTGCCATGAGAGCATGCCGCAGTAGCATCATGATAGGCAAACCATTAAATAAGATTATAATGGAACGAATAGTTAGCAACCTTAGTACTCTTGATAAACCTTGGAATTGTCCTCATGGGCGCCCTACAATGAGACATCTAGTCAGCCTCAGCCAGTTTAACGGGTCTTTTGATGACTACTTAAAAATTTTATAATTATTTCAGTCATAATAGAACAAATTTTTACGGTAGTATTACTTAATTAAGAATACAGAAAAAAGTACATAGCTTGCTTGTGAGGTTAATAAAATAAAAAAATACTCTAATAATTATCTTTAAAATGACCTAGCCAATTTGCGTTTCAAGATACCGGAACTCTTTTTTTCTGAGATTTAATAGTTAAAGAAAACCTTACTATCTAATTATAAAAATATATGGCGAATTTTGCTAAAACATTAAGCACTTCTAAATATTCATCGGTGCCATCCGATAATCGTTTGTCCGCCTCTGAAATTACCCAAGAAAATTTAATTTTTTTAGAAGAACTATAGTTATCATCAAATATTATTCTGTCATGAAGTTGAGCAAGAATCTGGGTTGCACTCCACCCATCCAACATGATTTTTTCAGTTAAATCCAAAACATTTTTGAAAACTTTGGAACCAAAATCTGCTGCAGAGTTATTTGATGGACTTTTAGAAGTACATGAAATAATAATGGAATCAATGACATCATCAGGGATAACACCTGCTATTTCTTGTATCATTTTTACAGTAATTGAAGGCGGTGTGGATTTAGAATCTTCAGCCATAATAACATCTCCATCTTGATCGGCAAGATTAATATCATTTAAAGTTTCATTAGGTATCGGGACAGTCGTAAGTCGTGCAACTGATTGAAGAAAAGTAATGGCTTTGCGTAAATCACCTCCAGAAATTTTGAGCAAAAATTCGAGGACCTTAGGTTCATATTTTAAAGATTCTTTTTGCGCTATAAATTCGAGTCGATAAAGAGCATTAGTTTCATCAAGTGACTTGAAACGAAATTTTGCACAGCGTGAAGCAATAGGATCAATGATACGAGTAACATAATTGCAAATTAGACAAAAGCGCGTGGTATCAGAGTACAACTCCATTGTACGTCTTAATGCGGACTGAGCGTCAGATGTCATAGAGTCGGCTTCATCAAGGATAACAATTTTATATGGTGGACATGGATATTTTTCACGAGCAGTAGCTGAAACCTGAGAAATTGCTATTTTTGCAAAGTTTTTTACTTTTTCTCTTACAATGGAAATTCCGCGTTCGTCAGATGCATTAAGCTCAAGAACGCGTGTTTTCATAAGATCAGGACCAAAAAGGTCTTTTGCAAGCGCAAGTATAGTAGAGGTTTTTCCGGTTCCAGGGGGGCCGTAAAATAACATATGAGGAAGCTAAAACGTATCAAGTTAACCAAACTAAAACTATTAAACATCGAATAATTTATCTTACATTCTTAGAATGCAAAGTCTTCTTAATTACAGAAACCACATGCTCTTGAGCTGTTATCTGATTTAATCCTTTTGGACGACTAAAAAAATTAGTAATTGTGTTGATCTATGTATTTTATATATGTTATCTTACTATTTTTCAACCCAAGGAACATTTTTTTGTTCGAAGTTATTGCTTTTTTTAAAAGTAGAGTCAGTACGATTCTTGAAATCAAAAAATGACATATTTATATTGAAAAGGAAAACAAAATTAATGTTTATTGCCAAGTTGTAATAAATAATAGGTAGAGAAGCACAGAGGTAAAGGTAAACTTGATTGCCCATAAACGTTAAAAATTGTTGATTTAATTTGTTTACTTTTGTTTAAATCAAGCTTTTACTTCCGGGTAACTATTATTGCAATTTCAAAAAGAAAAAAATAAAATAAAAATATATACCTGCTACCCCATTTTTTACTACACTTCTTCCATAAGTTATAAATCAAGAACAACTATTTTTTTGATTGCTTGGACTACTTTTCTTAACAACTACTTTTTCCTTGTTTATATTTTAAAAATGTCGGGAATTACATCTATTTTTGGTTCTTCAGGGTCTAATAAGACAGAGTCCCCCCTTTCAACTTCAACTTCTTCGCAGTCTAGCACAGAAATCAAACGTCAAATCCAGGAAAAGATTCAGCAAGAGTTGGCCATTGCTAATGCCACAGAGTTAGTTAACAAGATTACCGAAAACTGCTATACAATCTGTGTTCCCAAGCCAGGATCGTCCCTCAGTTCTACTGAACAAACTTGCACAAAGCAATGCATGGAAAAATACATGCAAGCCTGGAATACTGTTTCACGAGCTTACATTTCTCGCATTCAACAGGCTTCTGCTCAAGGTCTCTAAATATAATCTTTGAAAAAAAATTAACGGTTTCGGGGAAAATTCCTCCTAAAATTTGTATATATATTTATAAATAATTTCATCATCTGTATTAGAAAATATGATTTTAAAAACTGAGATTCAAAAAATAAATTTAGCGAAAAGGATTCAATGTATTGATCAATATATATTGATAAACTTAATAGTTTATTCCTATTTTAGATGCTTGACTCTTTTTACATTTCTGGCTTTCAAAGGTTTTAAGGTTCTAAGAAGTAAGTAGTTAGGAAAGTTAAATACTAAAGTTATTTTATTGACAAAAAAAATACACTGCACGTTAATTTTTTTTTTATTAATTTATACTAAATACAAATTGTATTAAAAATTAGAACCAAAGAAAAAAGTAATTAGTTTGGCATATCAATAACCTTCAATTTGTCAGAAATATTAATTGATTCAATTATTCAATAGATTATAAATAGATGAAATTAAATTATTAAGAATAGTTGAAGTTGAAAGTTGGAACCATGGAAATATCGACTTATAGAATAGAACAGGTTGCTCATACTCCCTATAGCTTTCGTGGGTTTTTTTATGGATTTATTGTAAGTATTGATTACTATTTATTATTTGTTCAGAATTGGGACACTAAATTTTTAACAGATCGGTCAAATATCTGTGCTTATAATAATTGCAGTATTTGTACGATTTTTTTTATTTTCGGCTGCTCAGCCACCAAAAAAGCGAGTGATTAAAAATCAACCAACAGCACCGGTACTTGGTGTTCAATTTTCATCCCATATCGCAAATTCTTCTCCTATTTCGTCAGAAAATACCAAGGCGACATCATCTTCTCAGTTTCCAACTTTACTTTTTAGTCGACTTAACTTACCAGTCTCTACATCCAAAAATTTGACAAGCAATGGCAAAAATCAAAACGAAGAAATACGAAATGACCCATCTGCACAAATTTCAAAGCTAATTTCTTCAGTTATGAGAGATGAAAGCAAGCGAACTCCGGAATCTCTTGATTGGTTCAATGTATTACTAGCACAGATAATTAACAAATATCGCAATGATGCTCGCGATAAAGGGAGACTTGTAACTTGGCTAAATTCAGTACTTAATGGAGAACGCAAACCGGATGTATTGGACGATATTAAGATAACAGAGATCAATATTGGTGAAGATTTTCCAATTTTCAGTAATTGCAAAATTCATCGCCGTGATAATCAAGGCAATTCAACTACAAATTCATCTTCTGGGTCAATAAATAATCCCGCAACTTCACATTTAGCGTCAAATTCATCAAAAACAACTTGTTCCAACGGAAACACAAGTTTAGGTGATAAACCTTTTAAGGACAATTTACATCAGGATTCAGATCCGTTAAAAGGGTATAAAGATGCCGGAGACTTTGTTGCAGAAATGGATGTTGACCTTTCTGACACTATTACACTCGGAATTGAAACCCGTTTAATGTTAAGTCAACCGCGATGGTTTAACACTGTGATGCCGGTGTCTTTGACTGTCAGCATCGTACGATTTTCAGCTCGTATGATTGTTCGTATTTCTCGGGCCAGCAACCTAGAATCTAACGAACGTAATTCTCAAAAGGACATGTCTGAAAATTTTCAAGAACAAAAGAATACAAAGCTAGTTTTATGTATATCTTTTAATCCAGATTTTACTTTAGAAGTTGCTGTGAGGTCATTATTAGGTGCTCGATCTAGGTTGCAAGATATGCCACGAATCGGTCATATAATCGAAGGCCTTCTTCTCAAATGGTTTACTGATCATTTTGTAGACCCAAACCACCGTGAAATTGTTTTGTTCAGATACAACACTGAAGAAGTTCGTACTTCTGAATCGGACCACTATGAGAACAATATTTCTGCTACTGATCTATTATCAGAAAATGCCGATGTTCCAGAGGTTCCAGATAATATGGATATTCCTAATGGACCTCGAGGAACTAATTATACTAATAGTTCAAGAGACGAATCACTTTCACCATCTGGGATTAACGAGAATACTAATTTATCTACTAAGAATCCCGGTATTAGTAACGACAGAGTTCATATTGAAAAAATTGATGAACAAGAAACATCTGAACCGAAGTTTCCGTTACAGGTTCTTTTAGGAAGTGATGGAAATAATCTTCAAGAAACAGGGTTATGAAGACATAATTTTAATTTAAATTGTTTAATTAACTTAAAAATGATTCACTTTTCTAATAATACAAGCAATTTATCTGATTTGTGGATACATACTAAATTTGGTAGTTGGGTGGAAATCTGGTGGTATTTTATAAACAGCTACATTTCCAGACTCATCAAGCATGCACCCATCGGTTGAAAATAATATATAAGGATAATTTTGATGAATATCCAAACTTTGATCTCTGGCAATTCCTAGCTCGTCATCTGCAACCCATATACATGGTGTACGGTCATATAATGCGGGGTGACTAAAGTGAATCGAGTTAATATAATGGTATTTAACAGAGGTATTTACTGGCTCATTATTCATATTAAGGAATTTTTGTTGTATTTGGCCATAGTTATTTATAGAATTTTCCTGATGCGGGATTCCTTCCTTATTATCTTCTTTAAAAGTAAAACTGTTTCTATTACTTCTATTTTTTTTATAGCAATCATGACAATAATATGAACTAATTTGATAATTCTTATCTGGAATTTGATAAATATCTAGTCCAACATTATTACCGGTTGAAAAGCTGCGATTTCGAGATAAATTTACTGGAGATAAGCTACCAAAGGATTTACTGTGTTTTGTTAGTAAAATTCTGCTAGCAGCCGAGTGTATAGAATCTGATGTTGCCTGAATAATATTTTTAGAAGAACCAACAGTATTGATATTTTCAGAAGGTATTTTTGAAGAAGAGGTATTATTTGAGGGAGGATATGTTTCTGAACTTGTTGATGTTTGATTGGTTTGGTAAGAAATTATTTCATCCGGAACATCATAAGATGAAATTGGCATAAATTTAATAATGGGGATGAATACTGATCTTAAACGATAATGTAAAATAGATGTTGCAAATATAGCTGCAATAAGAACCCCAACACAAGTTAAATGTAAATGTTGATTTTGACTGCGAGTTGAAAGAAAAAGTCCAACCAAACAACCTTCAAGGCAATAGATTCCAATAGTTAGTTGAAAAATGGCCTTTGGGAAATGCAATCCTCCAGAATCAGAAATGGGATCTAATTTTTTTTTTTAAAGTCAGTATACTAAATAAAACAAAATAGAGAACCTAATGTTGATCATTAATATCTTACTATTGCAATACAGAATTCGATATTTAAAGGCGAGATAAAGCAAACCAAAAGTTATCATAGAAAATAATGTTATGAGAGGTGCAATTATAGAGTACACAATACCTATTATTGCTAAACATGTTATATTGGGATATATTGAACCAAGTTGAAGTGCTCCAATATTTGATAATGTAGTAAATTTTTGATGTGGCGTTTTGTCAATAAAAGGACGCAAAGTATATACTCTAATAAGTCGGCCAGTTTGCAAAAATATATCACCAGAAAGAGATAGACCTTGGAGAAAAATATATGAGTAAAAAAAATTAGCTGCTTTTGGAAGGTTTGAGGCCAATAGCGAAAGTGCTGAAAATGGAGAAAAAAAAACGTGGGCAACAACTGCAGTCATTCCGCGAGATAAAGATATAACTAAAAAAACTTGTATAAAAATAAAAACAAAGAGATATTTTTGAACATCAAGATCAACTTCGGTATAGGAAACAAAACCTTTAACACGGGCCAAGTAACGAAATACCATAGGGGCTATTCGCATAAGCCAACTAACAACTATTGAAGGAAGAATAGCTGAAATCATTATTCTGAACCGAGCGGGAATGTTGTCTATCCAAAGAAAACCTTGAAAAAGTTCCGGTAGATAGTCGAGTTGACTCAAAATTGCAATAATAGCTACAGGAAATGTCCAACCAAGAATGATGAGAACATTGAGAATCGTAGCTAAAATTCTTCTAACAAAGCATTGAAGCCAAGATAAATCCAAGTTATCCCAATTAATATCATTAGGGTCTATTTCAATAAAACTTTGATCAGATAGCTGCGGATTTTCAAACACAATAGATTGACATACTAAATGTGCATATACCTGATGACGAAATTGAACAAAACAAGAATTAATTGCTTTAAAACAATCTTGAGACTCTTGCATTACTTTTATTTGAGCGTTAATTCGATTTAGCTCTATTTTATACCAAGACAACAAATCAATCTGAAGACCACAAAACGGGAATTTAATTGGATATCCTAAAATTTGAAATGATGGCAACCGCACTTTAGGTATTTCACTTTCTTTGATATATTTGGTCCATTTTTTACCAGCGACAAATGCATATTTCTCAGTAGGTTTAAAAAAAGAAGTATCCAAAAGCTCTGTGTTTGAAGAGGACTCATGAGTCACTCTTCCATTTTTTTCCAAATGTGAAGACTTGGAATGTTTGGAATTATAAAGTACTCGGGAACTAAACGAATTTTTAGCAGATAACCTGTTCACCTTATTTGCCTTCCACACAATATAATTCTCCAAGCATTCCAGCTTTTGAGCCAAAATTGCACGTTCTTTAACGAGCTTCACTAGGGGAGAGTAGTCTCGATTAATCGAAACACTTTCTATGCATCCAGGAAAAATATTAAACAGCTCCTTAATTTTTATTTCAGATAAATATTTTGACGGGATAGATCGAAGCAAAATCGTTTTTGATGAAGGTTTTTGATGGTGGATTGATGAAGACAAAATGCAGTGTCGTATTTTAATATATTCATTTAACTCAAAATACATGAGCCAACAAATAAATGAAATTAAGACAAGTGCACATGCTATATGCGCTGTGCGTCTAATAGAATGCTTTGGTGAAATATTTGTCCAAGAAAAGTTGTCAATCGTAGAAGAGTCGTAATCTGAATAACCATAACGCTCACCACTTATCCAATTAATAACACAAAGAAAAGGCAAAGTCACACTTGTTGTACACGCAAACAAAAAAAATAAAAAATAAAGAAAGCGCAAAAAAAAGTATTCATCTAAGGTGCAATGAGTCTTGATACTATCCAAAGAGATCGACAAAAGAGGTGCAACCCAGCCAAATACTGATGATGAAGGACTAGGTATCAAGGACCCAGATTTTCTAGTAGAGATAAGGAGTGATTTTGGTTCATAAATGTGTGGAAGATAATGACGAAAACAGAGAAACAATGTCATTTGAATGAGGAATATTCCTAGAGAAATAGAGAGGGAAGAGAAAAAAGCTGAAAATGTCATCCCTTGAGAACCGTCAGCACTTCCGACACCAAACGATCGCTGAGTCATTATTTGACAATTTTTGATTATTCTTAGTTTTAGTTTTAGTTTTATTTTTAGCAAAGGTGTGTTATGTGTACAAAAGAATTGGCAAAAAATAGTACTAAGACTATGGTGCGATTGCCAACATTTTCCAGGTGACACTCCTTTTTGTCTTCGTTAATGATGGATATGATAAAGTTATTTTTATTATGATTTCTTTTTAGGTTGTGACTCTCTTTTTTTTTTCTTGATCATGATCACCTGTAAATATGAGCTAAGCTTAGAAACAATTTCCTAAGAGTACCACTATTAAATTCTTAATTAAGGACAAAGAAAAATCTATATATACTACATAATTATGTTACTTTTGAAGTTATATTTAGTTGAGATAATAATTCTTTGTAAGCTTAACAAGCGATTATTGAAAAGGTTGCAGTGTTTAGTGTTTAGTGTTTAGAGCCATGTAATTTTAGCCTCAGTTAACCCAGCCATTTATCATATTGAAAGCCTAGAAAACAAGCTTTGAAAAATCCCAAAATTTCAATTAAAGTTGTTTTCAACAATATGTTTTTGCTAATAAATATTGCGAAGGATAGATATATATCTATATATGGAAAATTTATCGAAACGATCATCTTTCAGCCGTATATTACGAGCGGCTTCACAAAACTGAGAAATAGATTGACCTAATTCGGTGCCGTTTGGGCCACCCAGTCAGTCCAGTCAGTCCAGCCAGTCCAGCCAGCCCAACCTCAACCCCCCAGAGCAATCCTTCACTAACTAAATTAGGATACCTCATAATTATGACCTTATGGTAGGGCATGAGGCTTTCTTTACCTTGCAACTGGGTTTCTTTTTCGCTTATCATATGCGACCTTATGATATCATTAATATGAAAAAAATTATTAATAGTAATCTCTATTAAAACCCTTGTAGGTTTCATGTAAATTGAAATTTCCACATGTTTTTTTTTATTTTTTTTTTATCACATTCTGCATGTTTTTCTCAATTATATAAAGTACTCAATTGCTCATCACAGACTTTTTTACTATTTTTTTTTATATACACTCCTATCATTTCTTCCTAGTCAATTATTAATTACACAATTATCCATATCTTGTTTCTAATCAAATAAACATGCTTCTTTTATATTTTCTATCAAGATCTATTCCCTTTGCTTGTTTAATATCTACTGTATACGGACAAACGTTCACGGATTGTAATCCATTAATTGCTAAATGTGATCCTGATCCCGCTCTGGGGACTCGTTTTGATTGGGATTTTTCTTCTCAGGGCGCATCTGATAAGTTTAATGTCATAAGCTCAGCGGGGAAAATAGCGTATGACCATAATGGAATAAATTTTATCATTGAAAAAAGTGGAGACTCGCCAACAATCGCCTCTAACTTTTATATCATGTTCGGCCATGTTGAAATAGTTGCTAAAGCTGCCCCAGGGGTCGGAATAGTTTCATCAAGCGTACTGATATCGGATAACCTAGACGAACTTGATTGGGAATGGCTAGGAAAAGATATCAATGAAGTTCAGACTAATTATTTCAGTAAAGGTGATGATTCAACTTTTAATAGAGGAGGCATCAGCCAAGTTTCTGATACACAAAACCAATGGCACACTTACTCAATTGACTGGACAGCTTCGAGTACTACATGGTCAGTGGATGGCCAAGTTGTTCGCACTCTAGATAATCCAAATACTGGCTATTATCCACAAACTCCTATGCAAATAAAAATAGGGCCGTGGTCTGCAGGCGATCCAAGTAATAGAGAAGGAACTATTGAATGGGCAGGAGGAGAGACTGATTACTCGCAAGGTCCATTTACTTTTTCTGTCAAATCAATCTCGGTACAAGACTACTCCACTGGTACAGCATATTCTTATTCTGATCACTCGGGTTCTTGGTCTTCTATTCAGGCAGCCAATGGTGTGATCCGGACACAATCGGAGGACTCTACAAATGAAGAAGTATATGCTCAACAAGTGGAACAAAACGAAGCGAAAACTGAGGCTTCAACCCAACTAACGCCTGTTGTTTATGTTTATACAACAATCATCCAAGCAGCCACTCAAACATCACAAACAACTTCAAGTGCTATTGCAACAAGTTCGAGCGGTCACTCTTCATATGATAATGGCCAATATCACCCAAATCCAAAGTACGATGACGGTTCTTACAAACCAGATCTATACATGGTGAAAAAATCATATGTGAGTACAAATAGCTCTCAATCAAGTGTTGTTGAACAATCAAACTCAGGCACGACTCTACCAATGAGTAAGGAATTGTTTTTAGTATTATTAGCTCTTTTAATTGCTATCATTTAAATGGTCTCAACAACTTGAATCATATTGGGAAATCACCAATTACATTCATATTCAATAATGAATAATGAATAATGAATAAAGATAAACATATTCACAAAGCACATAGTAATTCGTATATATTAGGCACATGAACAAATAGACTTTAATTTACTTTGACTGACTTTTTCTTTTCCAAGGTGGTATATACAAGCTCTTTTTATTAACTTCTTTTTCAGTAGATTGTGATATACAAAGCCCTTCCATAAGTTTATCTATATTTTCTGTGCGTAGCTGTTTGGTATTATTCCTCTCCAAAGTTTCATTGGTATTTTCATGCTTGTCTTTTAGCTTGGTTTCAGAAGATTTACTTCCTAAAGCAGGAAATTCCTCCAAGTTCTTTACAGTAATTTTTCCAGATTTTATTGGCTCAGAAGTTCCTTGAAATCGTTTAGCTCGGGGTACATAACGTTGAACTTCTTCGGGAGGCGTATACCCTGGTCGAATCTTATAAGTTTTGCGAACAGAACCATCAGCCCTAATAGAGCCACCTACCATACGCTGGTTTTCATATTTCTCACATTTATCAGGTACTGGTTTTTCCTTGTTCATTATAAGCTTGCAAGTATGTTATAGAATATTTTTTAAGTATGAACTTAAAGCTAAACTGATGCAATTAGCTTTGAATGTTTTATGTTTAGAAAAAAAAATTGTCGACAAAAGAAGGTAAGATTTATTACAGATAAATCACGTGATAAATTCATGATAGGATTGAGCCAATCATGGATTGGAGAAAGAAGCTTGAGTGATTACTATTAGCGTGTTGGACATGTCTCCAGCCAACCTTCAAAAATTTTACTTGCCCCATAATAACGCTTGATTTTTTTTATTCTACTCCCATCCCCTTCTTTCTTTTAACCACAGAACTTTTTGGACTGTATCTTATAAAATTATACAAAAAACATTCACAATGGTAAGTATAATACCAGTGCCAATTAACATTTTCTATTTTTATTGATTCCCATTTATTGAAGTTCAAACATTTCAATTTTTTTCTTTGTCATTGACTAACATTCTTAATATCATAGGCTAACTTCGGCACCCTCGTTTACAACACCTTTTTCAGACGCAACTCTATCTTTGTCGGCACTGTTTTCGGTGCTGCATTCTTTTTCGATGTGTATGCTTTTTTTTTAAAAAAATTTTGTTTATTGATTAACTTTGTTTTTTTTTGTATAGTGGCTACAGCAAAGCTGTCGATGCTTACTTTGACAAGATCAATGCTGGCGTAAGTTTTTAAATATGTTGAGCTATACGGAAACTAACAATATTAGAAACAATGGAAGGACATTAGACATAAGTATGTCGAGGAGGAGGGCGACGATGAGTAAATAAATTCAATTACTATTTTTCAAACTACCCTCCCTGCCTACACAAATCAATAATGAAATACACTATTTTTATTTTTTTTTATTTTTTTTTATTTTTTTTTATCTTTTTTTATCTTTTATTTCTGTCAGGTTAAATTTTAAACGGGCAGATACCATTATTTGTTTTTTTACAAGTTGTAGCCTGTGTGGAATAATATTGTAAGTGTTAGTGTCACATTACACTTATTGAAGATATCCTTGTAGGAAAGTCAGGAAATTCAAAAATTTTCACTGCTTTTGGGGTTGTAATGTTAGTCGCAATTAGACAACAATCTTTTGTAACCATACAAACTTCAATTGGTGATCAAAGTTAAATTTTCGTTTTGGTAATTAACATACTATATAGGTAATAGGTAATTTAGTAAGTGGTCGACCTCTCTATTCTTTAAAATTAATGACTGATAGTTTAAGTCTTGTTAAGGCCAATGAACCAAATAATTGTTTCTGTAAATACAGTGTGAATTTATCTTTAAAATAATCAAAAATTTCATGAGTGTTTCTGCAGATTTTCAATTTTAGAGTCTACAATTTAGAGTTAAAATAATTTAGTTAAAATAACTATGATTAGGATGAGTGTCACGATAGCGACTGACTACAATGATTTTTTTTGCCACAAATATAAAAGCCGGGTAACCATAGACAATATTTATTAAAACTACCTGTCATAATTCATCTGTGAGATACAACATAGCTTTTTTACACACTTATCTACTTGTTTATGTGCTTAGAATAGTTTAATTATTTCCTCCCAAGATATTGAAATCATGGACCCAAATTTAATAAACAATCTTCGCAGATATTTTGTGGAGTGTCCAAAAAAAAATGACTTTCGTCTTACTAAAGAGGTCAGAAAAGATATTCGGCGTGCCTTATTTGAAGCAGCATCATGTAACGGAAAATATATCGATCGATTTTTCCCTGATATTGGCAACCTGGAATTAGATTCACAATCGCAAAAATCCTATCCTTCTTCATTAGCTAATCTTCGAATGTCTTTATCGCAACCATGTACAAAAGGTTCTTTTGATTGGATTATTAAAAATGATATAAAAGTTGACCCTTCTCATCCTGGTCGTCCTTGCGTTCGAAAATTTACTAAAGGCGAGCCAACATATCGATGCTTGTAAGTATTAGAGGTTTAAGTAAAGCGGTATGTTTGTTTCTAACATACTTTAGAACGTGCGGTTTAGATGATACGTGCATTCTTTGTTCATACTGTTACAATCCTGAGGATCACCAAGGTCATCAGGTCATCATTAACATTAGTGCCAGAGACAGCGGTGGTGTTTGTGACTGTGGAGATCCAGAAGCCTGGGTGAACCATTTTTCTTGCAAGCACCATGAAATGAAAAATTTTTCTAACAATCCAATTTCTGAGGATTTAGAAACTTCGCTCCTTGCTACTATTGAGACAGCATTAGATTATGTCATTGATGTCTTGTCTAATTCCGATATTACTACTCAAGTATTTAAGTCTGAAACACAAGTCATGGAGCATAGTCGTATATCGGAATTGAGCACTGAAGTTTACGGTGTTCAAGATAAGCCCCAATATGACAAGTTTGTTCTTAATCTTTGGAATGACCAACGTCATTCTTTTAAAGACGTGATTAATATGCTCAATATTCATTTAAACAAACCTAAACACTTTGGTAAAATGATTGCCACACAAGTCGATGCCTATGGTCGAGGTAAAATAGATGTTTCTACAAATCTTGGCGAACTACTTCGTCTTAAAAGTGCAATGGAGTCAACACGTCTTGTTTTCACTATTCGTTCTGCAAAAGACGATTTTAGAGAGGATATGTGCGACGCTATAATTTATTGGCTAGAAGATATATCAAAAATATCCATCGAAAATAACTACTTTATTGTCAGAGAACTTATTTCGAAGGCATTATGTTCTCCATGGAACGTTGGCAATGCGATCTTTCGTAATGAAAGAGACTCTTGTGATACAGACTTAATTCCAAAAGTCAGCACCTCCTTAAACGGTGCATCTATTCCTGAACTAGGCTCATATCCTCCTCAATTTCCTCCCTTGTCAGATATTCAAAAATCCCCACCTGTGATCGGAAAATCAGAGTCAGTTCCAGAGTATTGGTTAGATGATGGTCCCGACCCGCCTAGTTTTTCACGTAACGGGATTAGTGCTCGCGTTCAGTATCTTATTTATTTTGATATTCGACTTTGGAAAAGCTTGCGAGTAACATTAAATGATTTATACATTTCTGTTTTGATATCTCATCCAGAGTATAAAAACATACTTGGTCATTGTTATGCCCAGTTGTATCTGCAAGTTGTTGAGCATTATATTCTTGTTGACAGAGAACCTGAAGTTTCAATTTTTAGTAGTTTGTCGACTCAACTTTTTACCTCGCCTAAAATTGCAACCAGCATTTGTCAGTACAATTATTTTTCAAAATTTATGGCTGGACTTTATACCCTTTTCACTCAGTTTAGAGTTGGTCCAGTGACTAGTATTAATACCAAGGTGAAGGAATTCGATATAGCTACTCCAGTAAAAAATCGTCGATTTACTCAATTATTTCACGATTTTGAGTATATACTTAAAAGAAATACAAACAAATCATTAGTGACTGGTAACAAGAATCGCATTAACCAACTTTGTGATTTTTTGATTTTGTTTCAAGGGATTTTACCCATGGTTAGAGAGAAGGATAGTCATGTTGAATATGAACCGGATTTGTGGATTTCTTATTTCAGTTGTTTACCTTCAGTTTTGCAACTCGCTAAATCTATTGCAGTCGGTGTTTCTGAATCTACTGATGACGAAATTGATTTAATTGAAACACAAGCTATATCTACTATTGCTTCCGCGATTTATAATTGGTCACTTGGTTCATCGCATATTTCCAACACAGAAATTGCATCAACTCCGTTTTTTCAGGACACCATATTTGATTTGGGCATTTACAAAGCAATTATTCGAGACGTTCCTATTAGAATTGAAAATGATGCAACCAGTCTACACCATCCATTGCATTCATTCTTATCTTGGATAATTCAACATGGCGTTTGGAAAAGTCCCGAATCTATAAAAGAAAGCTTATTAAAGGTAATTTCTAAAACATCACAATATTCTGAAAAAGAACATCTTTCCATTCTTTTTGATTTTCCTATGAGAACTGTTGTTCTTTTGTCTCAAATCCGCATAGGGCTTTGGGTAAGAAACGGTATCAGTGTGCGAAATCAAATGACTTTTTATCGTGATATGACTCTTCGTGATTACTCTTTTAATCGTGATATTTTCATGCTTCAAACAGCTCTTGTCACTATGGACCCACAAGTTGCTTTTCTTCAACTTCTTGATCGATGGGGTTTTTTGGGTTTAAGCATAAATTCAGCTTTTGATGAAGAACAGAAGTTATATATGGTAGAGGCGTTAATTCATCACTTGATTGCTCTTCTTGTTGAACGCCATCAACTTATTCCTCCAGGTGATTGGCATCCAGCTAATAATTTGCTTAGTTCACAAGAGCCTCATCCTTCTAAAGAAACTCACTATACTCAAGAGTTTGAAAAAAGATACATTTTCCAAGAAATCATTCAATGTTTAGGTTTTGGTCCTCTTTCTTTTAGCGATATTGCTAATATTATTCCTGATTATCTTATCATAAATGAAATGTTTGAGCCTATGCTTTTAGAGCTTTGCACCTTCAAGCCTCCAATCGGTATTCGAGACACTGGAAAGTATGAATTGAAATCTCAATACTTTAAGTATTTTGATACTCGCTATCTTCACTTTGCATCTTCAAAAATCTACGATGCTGAAAATATAATCAAGGCTCAAATTCACAAGCAAACAAAAAAGCCACTGGAATCCATTGTTATCGAGCCCTATCTTGATTCGGTAACATCCGGAGCTTTTCAAAACATAGGTGGATTTACTAGAACTCCGGCTTTTGCTAGTTTTGTCTTTAATATATTGACAATGGCCATTGGTATCACTTTAGACACTGATAAAGGGGTTGATAGCATTCTTGGTCTTATTTTGCATCTCTGTCATGCTGCAGCACTTGATGATTTGGAAAGAAAGACTCCCGGACTATCTTTTGTTTCTGTTTTATGTCAAAATTACGAAATGTCTGTACCAAACAATTGGAACTTTCCCCCAGAGATGAGTAAATTCGCTAATCCTGCTGCATTATTATTTTATTTATCTTTTCAAAGTAATTTTGCACATTTTAAGCCCCGTATTTTGAGAATATTTGAGATTCTTAAAACTAAGGATGGTAATCTTGTCGACAGTGTACTAAGCCCTATTTTTTCAGACTCATATCTTTATGATACAACTGATAAAGATTCAGTCGCAGAGAAGCCATCTAAAAGTGATCTTCAAAAAATTGCTAAGCGGAAAAAAAAGAAAGCTCTTGAAAAAATTCAGAAACAGCAACAAAGATTTGCTAAACAGTTAATGAAGGCAAGCATGGAAGAAGTAGCAGATGATGATAAGGATATGACTGATGAAGATGCTGAGACAGAAGAATGGCATTTTTCTGGAAGCCAATGCATTCTATGTCATATTCCTTGTGATGAAAAAAAGATTTTCGGCATTGTTGCACATTCTCAAATTTCAAATGCCTATCGAACTGTTCCCTTTCAGAACCCAGATTGGGTTATGGAAGCATATGGAATGGAGCAAGATCTTTGTGTTGAAGAATCTGAATCTAAAGAAGATGTGATTTATCACCGTAACGATACATGGAATGAATACCGTGAAAAGTTTTCCGAGAAAAATGTTATTGGACCTGGTTTTCCTAAAGGAAACAACTATTTCAGACCAGTCATTTCCAGTTGCTGTCATGCAATGCACTTGGATTGCTATACTTCTTATCTTAAGAGTGCTTCCAATAGGCCAAATGAGTTAACAAGAAACAATCCAGACAATCCTAGAATGGGTGAAATTTTATGTCCGCTATGTCGCTCATTAAATAATACATTTATACCTATTCTTTGGAAATCTACAAATAGGGACTCATCTGCGGAGTTAAAACAAACATTCAGCTTTTCTGAATTTGTTGAAAAAGCATTTTCACAAGAGGTTCTCAACTATGCACAAAATCCCCAAAAGCATAGCTCCAGCTTGTTCAAGCAATGTGTGGATTCTGCATCCCCCATATATGCCCCTGTTTTGGGTTTAGATGGCTCTCCATTTTCTCCTCTTAGAAACTCCAATCTTTTAAAGGAGCTTGATCTTTCTATTCTGGCTGTTGACCGAACAATTATTAGAGAATGGGGGCTTGTATTTCAAGGAGGAACGCTTCATACTGACACAATTTCTCTTGACATGCTTTTCAAATGTCTTGCTGGGACAATAACTGACATCGAGTTATCTCTTCGTGGTCTCAAAACATCTGCAATTTTTTTAGAGCAATTGACACCATTGACTGTGACCCTACTTCAAGTGTTGATTGAATTCACTGCTCTTTCTGTTTGCTATAGTGTAACAGATGTTTTCAAAAATACAGGCAATAGCGTTTCTTCGGAAATGTCAGTGTTTGTGCCTTTTCAATCTTCAGGAGACCTCACTCCTTTTGAGGAGTTGGTCACCTGTTTATTTTATTATTCTCCAGCATTTGATCTTGATAAAGTTCATTTTATCAAAGGATACTTATTGAAAGTTCTTGTCAATTCATTAACTGTCCTGATTGGAGAGCTTTGTGATGGTGCTTTATGGACAAAGCATAAGGCTTTTGCTTCAATTCCAATATTTGAAAAGGTTGATGAGGAAACAATACAAAGCCTTAGTCAAATAGTTCTTGAAATAAGAAAGACTATTCGATCCAAGTCTGTGAATGTTCCACTAAGTAATGCACCCGCTATTGGTCACATTCTTTATACCATGTTGATTAAATCGGTGACTCCTTTTTTGCGCAAGACAGCAATCTTCATTCATGCTCGATGCACAAAGGGGTTCAATACAAGCAAATATAAGTTTTCAGATTCCGAAACAGAAGCAGATAGACTTTGTCAATTGCTCAAGGTACCTACTATTAGTAGTCTCATTAAAGAGATTTCACATGGCGTTCCTGGGACTTTTCAACTGGCCTCAAAGTTTATTCGAGATCATGTTGAAAGTTCCACATCACCCAAAATTGACTACCCCGCTATCCAAAAACTCATTAGTTTACCACATCGTCTTGATCAATTTTTCACAAATCAAGACCTTTGGATGAAAAATACAGAGAGTGTTGAATATTTTTCGGAGCCAGCTGTTTGTCTTTTTTGTTGTCAAACGGTTAACCTTCAGTCCCCTACTGATATATCGGGTCGTGGACCGTGCAACAATCATTGCTCTTCCTGTGGAAAATCCATTGGCATGTTTATTTTGCCTAAACGCAGTTCACTTTTGTTTTTAACAAGAACTCAAGGTTCTTTTTATTGTGCTCCATATTTGGATGTTCATGGAGAGGAAGCGGAGAATTACAAGAGGCAAAGACCCCAATATCTCAGTCAAATGCGATACAATCATATTCAACGTGTATTTTGGTTACAACACGGTATTCCTGATTATATTTCAAGAATGTTATATTCGAATATTGATGTTGGTGGTTGGGAAACCCTTTAAAAAAAAAGGCAAAACTTTTATTCAAAACCCATAATAGCAATAGCAATAGTAAAATCATTATATATGTTAATATTCTAAATAGAAGTTTTATTCAGAGCTTCACCAACCTGCTCTACTTCGGATTTGGAACTAGAGCTAGGGACAGAAGAATCAGATCCTTCGGTTTTAGCTCCAGGGTATCTAGTGCCAATCTTCTTGGCCTTCTTTGGCTTTTTTGTTTGTTCAGGAGGAGGATAAGCCTTCTTTTCAAGTTCTTGAAACTCAGCATCAGCTTCAAATTCTTTTCTAATAGGTTCCAATAAGGTATTGATAGAGTCAGTGACACCAATCTTAAGGTCTTGAGGAGAAAGCTTTTGGGATTCGTAATCTTGCTTCAGCTCATCAATAGTAGAATAGTTCAATGGGCCACCGTATTGCTCTGGACGGTTAATGTGGAAAAGAGGCTTTCCGGTGGAGATTTCAGAAATGGGCAAAACAACATATTCGACAAACGAAATAAGGCCGTTTCCTTCAACAATGCCAGGAGCGGCAAAAGCAGAACCAATCTTTTTCTTAACCTGCTTAGGCTCTTCGAGTAAATCAATTTTGGAATTAGGGTCAGATGCAGACATCTTTCCACCTTGGGTCAGACCAGGCACCATGGGGTTCATAAGATGCGCACGCTTCTTGTAACCAATGGTAGGAAGTTGTTCTTCAGCAAGAACAAAAATTTTGCGTTGATCAAGACCACCAAATTGTGCATCAACATCAAGGTATTGTTCATCAAGTGCTTGCATGATGGGATAAATGAGGCCAGAAAGAAGTGGGTTGGAAACTTGCTTAACGACGTCGGCACCAGCACGTTTAGCGTCGTTTTGGGAAACGACATTAGCCATTCGGAAAATGTCGAGAGTGTAGTCGCCATTAAGCTGATAAGAACGACCAATAGTAAACTTAAGTTTCTCAATGGGAACACCAATAGAAGATAAAATGGTCTTGACTATACGTTCATAGTACTGTGAACGGAACTCAACGAGTTCAAGAGGGGCCTTCATATTATCCAAAAAGGCGTGAAGGTCAGCCAAGAGGATGGTCACTTCGGCGCCGGCCTTCAAGAAGTGAGCAATTTTGGTCATGGGGACAAAGTAACCACAGTGGGGACGTCCAGTAGGAGCGGTACCTAGAGAGTTAGCATATTGATGAGATTTTCAATTAGACGCATGTACCTACCCCAATAGATCTTCAAAGGTCTCTTTTCAACCTCAAGGACTTCCTTGATGATTTGACCATTAAGAACCTCCTGAAGGTTCTTAGTAATGAGATCGTACTTTTCTTCTGGAGTTAGATCAGTAGCCATTTTGGTATATGAAGAGATTTTTACAGAGAGAAATCAAGGAGAAGAAGAAAAGAAGCTGGCACTATATTTGTGATATGGTATGGCCAGCAGTTGCTACCTTTATATATATATATATATATATACTGTGGATGTGATTAAAAAAAAAATTTAAGGAGGAGCAGAGAACCCTTCTTAAAAGAAAATTCGTAAAGACTCACACACATGCATGACACTTGTGAAAGATCAGACCCTAACCCAGATGTTACCAAGCATAAATCCAAAACAAAAGCGCCTTGCAAGACGTTATAAGAAGAGCAGGCATAACTTCTTTCTGAAACAAATTGCATCAATAGTAAAGCCTGATTGATGGCTTGATGAATTGATTGATTGGAATTCAAACGCTTTGTCTTTTAAAATACCTTGCAACTTCCTGTACATTAAAAGTTTCTGGTTCTTGCAGTAAACGTTGATGTAATGTAATGTAATGCAATGATATTTTATTGAAAAACTGGAGTTGTAACAACAGCCCAAATTTTTTCAGCTTCACCACCCATTTTTTTTCCACCACCAAGTCCTCCTCAAGGCTGCCCCGCCATCGACATTACCATTAAATCAAAGAATGAGCACTTCCACTTCTCCACCTGTAGGAAAAGAAACTATAGTCCCCATAATTGAGGGTCATGGTCAGCAAAATGCCGAACCCCTTTATGTGCGCTACTACTCTGGCCATCAAGGCCGCTTCGGACACGAGTTTTTAGAATTTGATATCCGCACAAACAGTGACGGCAAATCAGGTCTACTACGCTACGCAAACAATTCTAATTACAAAAACGACACACTGATAAAAAAAAATGTCACTATAAGCCCGGCGGTTCTGAATGAAGTGCGGCGGATAGTCAAGGAAAGTGAGATAGAACTGGAAAGCGACGAGCGGTGGCCCGAAAAAAATCGAGACGGCAAGCAGGAGCTCGAGATCAGACTAGGGAAATACCATATTGCGTTTGAAACGGCTAAAATCGGCTCCCTGAACGACGTGCAGAATAGTGATGATCCAGAAGGTCTGCGTGTATTTTACTACTTGGTAAACGATCTGAAGGCTTTAGTGTTTTCACTTATTTCATTGCATTTTAAAATCAAGCCTGTATAATAATTAGAAAAAAGAAATAAATAAGAAACTTGTTGTTGTTGTTTTTTAAAATACCTGTATTGTTGTATTTAAGGTTTTTAACGAGAGAGGTTTGTTTATTTGTTTGTTTACATTTTAGCTTCATGATTTAAATGACAACATTTATAAAAAAAATTTTTTGTTAAGTAAAAAAAACTTGACTTCTTCTTTTTCTTCCCTAAAGATTCCTTTTGGGGTTTCAAAATTTTTATCTTAATTCTTTTTTTTTTGTTATTATTCTACATTTTGTTTATTTACAAGCCATATTCGTTTTTGCCTCTACTATCTTTGGTTGTAAAAACAAATTTTCTCCATGTCCAGATCATCGTCATCCAAAAATGACGCTTCCAACAGCAACGTGTCTTCCGGAGCAAGACTGGGATCTTTAAAGTCAGGTACTTTATTTGGGAAACCCGTCAATAAAAAGCCTAACCTGCTCAATAGTTTCTCCTACAACAACTCACATTCCTCTTCTCTTAACTTCTCCTCCTTTAAGCCTTCGGTAACTACAAAATCTGTTTTCGATCGCTATAATAACACCCATGATAGTGCAAGTTCAAAGCGCACTTTAACTACCCCTGTGTCCAGTATACCCTCTTTGGACGCTAAGCCATTGACACGAGATGAGCTGCATGTTGTGAGCAAACTTGAGATTGTCTTCACAAGCGTTCCTACCAAAATGTTGCACTATGCTGTTCGTCAGAAGCAAACATTTGAGCGGGCTGCAGATTGGCTAGAAGATCAAGATGAGCTGTCAAGCATCCGCCCAGCTTCAATAGCTGCTGTCAATCAAAGTTTCACTAGTAACATTTCGAAAAGGGAATCACCATTTTCTAGTACCTTGACATCAAAAAGAGAAGTTTCGAAACCTCATAAATCTATCCGAGAAAAGTTTAGTGCATCAAATAATTCCAAACCTGCTAAACGCAACGATAGTCTTGAAGAAATAGTACCCCCTCAGAAAAGAAAACGGCGGCTTTTAAAGAGACCTAATTCACCTGTCGTTTTATCCGACAAGGACGAGGATAGTAGTGAGGTAGATGACGAAGATGATATTGTTTATACGGGGTCTCGGAAAAAGAAATCACACACCAATCCTGCATCTAAACGAAGACTTTTAAAGAAATCAGAGTCATCGTCGCCAATTGAGCTATCGGAAGACGATTCCGATGGTATTGTTGAATATAAACTTGAAGAGGAAGAAGTTGATTTCGATACTCGTATTCTTCAATTTTTAAACACTGCATCACTCGAAGACATTGCGGATATTTCAGCAGCAGAGCTGCCTGTAGTAAAAGCCCTTGTGGATGCCCGACCCTTTAATACTTTAGATGATGCAAGATTAGTCACAGATCCTTTTCAGAAAAAGTCTTCAAGGTCGAAAACAACTGGCGAAAAAATTGTGGACGCCTGCTCTTCAACGTTAAAGGGTTATGACGCTGTTGATTCGCTTATACAGAAATGCGAAGAACTTGGTAAACAAGTTTCTCGAGATGTCGCTAAGTGGGGTATCAGTATTTTTGGTGAAAAGGGCGAAATCTCGTCCAGACCTACTGATCCAGATGTTGAAATGACTGACCAAGAAAATGAAGACGATGAAATCACTTCTAGGTCTCGCTTTCGACGCAGAAATGTTATTAATACCCAAGTTTCAAAATCTTCAAAATCTTCAAAATCTTCAAAATCTGAGGGCAATGGAGGATTTTTCAGTGATCCTCCTACACTTTTGGGACCAGATGTTACCCTTAAAGATTATCAGCAAGTTGGTATCAACTGGCTTTCTCTTCTTTACAGGAAAAAACTCTCGTGTATTTTAGCTGACGAAATGGGTTTGGGCAAAACATGTCAAGTTATTTCATTTTTGGCACACTTAAAAGAAATTGGCAAGAACGGCCCACATTTGGTTGTTGTTCCTTCCTCCACCCTTGAAAACTGGCTTCGTGAGTTTCAAAAGTTTTGTCCATCCTTAGTTGTTGAGCCTTATTATGGGAGTCAGGGTGAGCGTGCAGACATTCGAGATGCTCTTAGCGGTCCCGATGCCTCTAATTTTGACGTTATGATTACTACATATAATCTAGCCTGTGGATCACCTGCAGACTTTTCATTTCTAAAGCATCAAAAGTTCAATGTATGTGTGTATGACGAGGGTCATATGCTGAAGAACAGCTTGTCAGAGAGATACAATAAACTCATGAGGTTAAATGCTCGTTTTAGACTTCTCTTGACTGGTACGCCTCTTCAAAATAATCTTAAGGAATTAATTTCCTTATTAGCATTCATTTTACCAGACATTTTTGTTTCTCGAAAAGACGACTTGTCTGTCATTTTTAAGCATAAGGCTCGATCTACTACTCAGTCAACCAGGGACTCTTCTCCTTCCATGTCGTCAGCCGCTGCGTCACCAGACCCTAGTGGAATAGAAACAAGTGCCAACAATACCCCTGTGCCTGAAAATGGCAAGGATCCTTTATTGTCGGAACAACGAATTGCTCGTGCAAAAACTATGATGACGCCCTTTGTTTTGCGACGGAAAAAAGAGCAGGTACTTCAGAATCTGCCTCCAAAGACACATTCGATTGAATATTGCGATCTTACTGATCAACAAAAAGTTATTTACGATCGCGAGCTTGAAATCAGCAGAGCTGCTATTCGAGCTCGCATGGCTGGCGAGAAAAACGCCAAAGTTGTTGGTAATGTGTTGATGCGGCTCCGCAAAGCATCTTTGCATCACTTGCTTTTCCGTGAAATTTACAACAATTCGGTTATTCACAAAATGTCTCAGGAAATTTTGAAGGAGCCTCGATACCTCGATGCAAACCAGCAATTTATTTTTGAAGATATGGGGGTTATGACTGATGCTGAGCTCAATAAACTTTCTGAAGATTTTCCTTCTATTTCTCATCACCGATTGTCTCAAGATGAATGGCTCAATAGCGGTAAGATTGAAAAGCTCAAAGAGCTTTTACCGGAAATGAAGTCTCGGGGGGATCGAGTGCTTATCTTTTCACAGTTTACGCAAATGCTTGACATTTTGGAACGCGTTCTCAACAACATGGGCATTACCTTTTTGCGCATGGACGGTCAAACGCCTGTCGACATGCGCCAGGATATGATTGACAAATTCTACGAAGAAAAGGATATTACCGTCTTTTTGCTTTCTACAAAGGCTGGTGGTTTTGGTATCAATTTGACTTGTGCCAACGTTGTTATCATTTACGACCTGAGCTTCAATCCCCATGACGACAAGCAAGCAGAAGATCGAGCGCACCGTGTTGGTCAAACTCGAAATGTACAAGTGATCCGGTTAATAACACGAAACACAATTGAGGAAAATATTTTGGAACTTGCCAATACAAAACTTGCTCTTGATCGTAGCATTAGCGGAGAAACTGAGACGGAAAGTGAGAAAACTAGTGAGAAAAATGCATTGTTCATTGCAGATCAGTTATTTCAAGATGTCGAAAATAAAAATGTCGAAAAATAATTTGTACATTTATAGTTAGAATTCGAATATACAGTTTTTTTTTCAATTTTTTTTTTATTCCGAATGATTTAATATATAGATTTTTTTCTAGCCATGAATAAAATTAGTGCAAATATTGTTATAAATGTAGCAAAGGAGTGATGATGGGATATTGATTATGGTATGTTTATCGTTGAGTACGCTCGGAAACATCATCAAAAAGAACGACCCGGCCAGTGGGAATAGATCTAGGGCCAACCTCAGCAACAGCACTATAAATGAGTTAGTAAAAAAAAAAATAAAAACTTTGGTCCATTTTTAATATGGAAATGTTTTTTTTAGCATACTTAATGTTAGAAGGAACGGTGTACTGTGGCTTTTCTGTGATTGATCTCTCAAAAAGCTTGTCCTTTCGGAATTTCTCGAGTTCGGCAACGCCCTGCTCCCAGTTCTTCTCGGTTTCTTCGACCTTGGTAGAAGGAACAAGCCAGTCGCCAATAATAGACTTTCCAGTCTTGGAGTTGAATTTGTCGTTCAAAAGAAGAGCAGTGGTGAAAGTAGTAAAAGCGACGAGAAAGATAGAAGTCTTGTTGAAAAGCGACTCTGGAGGGTATTCCGGGTCATGGTGGCCGTGGCCAAAGCGCTTAGCTGCAGCCGGCGAGGATTTTGGCAGAGCGGTAGCACGGTGTGTGAGGGCCGACGAGGCAGCAAGTCTTCGGGAAGCAATTTTTCGAATCATACTGGAAGATTGGATGAAATGTATATGTGTGTGAGGATGTTTGTTTGTCGAGAGAGTCCTATCGTGTGGGAAATGGGAGGTGGAAGGGGAAGTGTTGGCTACAGAGAAAAATCGTAAAACCAATGTATTGCGTTGGAGAACCAATCAGCAGAGCTCCAATAACGACGACCTTTTTTTTTTTTGTTAAATAAAGCAGTCGAGGGGTTTTAATTTGGGTTGTTACTTTTTCCTGTCACAAAGTTGTTACAATCTTTTATCCCCTAGCCCTAGCACAAGCACAAGCACAAGTACAAGTTTAGCTTGATATCTAAGATATATGGTATTTTCACAGTTTCCTTGTATATTTACATTTTTTGTTTAAAGAATCTAAGGAAATGGTAAGCTGGTTGCAATTGACCGTGGCGCAAATGATTTACTTACAGCCCCATTCTTGATAAGACAACTGTGCATGCTTTTGGTTCAAATGGATCTGGGCAGTTAGGCCTTGGCCATGTTGAAGATACAGATACACCCCAGCCTGTTTTGCTACCATTTATGTCTAACGATAGACTCTCATCTTCTATTAAAATATCCTGTGGTGGGAACCATACTATTCTTGTTGATATCAATCGAGGCATGGCTTACGGTTCCGGTGATAATGGCTCGCATCAGCTTGGTCTTGATGGAATTCAATATACCTCTTTTGTACCATTGTCAAACAACCCTGACGGTAATGAGATAGTAAAATGGGTGGCCGCTGCAACCACCTGGGAGGCCTCGGCGTTAGTGGATGCGCGTGGATTTATCTATACAAGTGGTTTAGGTCTACATGGCGAACTGGGGAGTCCCGAATTCAACTCTCGTAAAAGCAATGAATGTTTTTCTCGGGTTGGTAACGTACAGGTATCCTCGCAGGTGATTAAGACTGCAGCCGGGTTACGACACATTTTGCTTCTTTGTGAAAATGGTGACGTCTGGGGCTGGGGTGCCAATCGAAAGGGCCAGGTTGGTTATAGGGATGCTATAGTATCACTTCCTCGTAAGATTGCGACTGGAATTAAAGACATAGGATGCGGTAAAGATTTTAGTGTTCTTTTGAATAAGAACAATACACTAAAAGTGCTGGGAAGCCCACGGCATTTGGATGAACACTTCTACAATTTAGTTGATTCCACAGCGTTTCAACTAGAGGTAATGGCAGTTGCTTGGACCAGCATACATCTGCTGATGAGAGATTCTCAGGGGAAACAAAGTATACAGTCCTTTGGCAACAACTCGCATGGACAGCTATACAAACATTCTGGTGACAACCATGAGTTTTTGGTAATTGCGGCTGGTACAGAGCATTATCTTGCAGTAGAGTTAAGCTCTGAATCATGGACTATTTACTCGTGGGGTTGGGGCGAGCATGGCAACTGCGGAAGTCAGTATAAAGAGGCGGACACAAAGTCACTCTTTAAAGTATGTGAGTTTGACAGGAGCTTAAGCCAGCCCATGATACATGGCGGCTACTCGAGCAGTTGGATTATTACAGAATAAAATAATTTATGCAATGTACCGGGGATCTTCTTTTTTAAAATACATCAGGACGCTGGTTTAAAAAAAAAAGTCAGAGCCAGTAGATTAAACAATATGTATTGTCCCGGTAATTTTTCTACGGCAGGTGTATCGAATAATCCTAGTAGGAAAAATAGACTAAACCTCAGTAAGAAAAATGAATTCCTACTGGAAGGGTTCATCTCTAGGTGTTATTTTTCTTAGCCTGCCTTTGGTTGAAAAAGGAAAGAAAAAAAAAAAAAAAAAAAAAAAAGGAAGAAGAAAACAAAAAGTTGAAAATTTTTTGAAGGCTTGAAAAAAAAAAAAAAAAAAAAAAAGCATTTAGCAGTAAGGATGTTGATTTGATCACATGACCAATGATATTTGCCCTAACTATAGTTTGCAACAAGAGCGACTATTGAAAATGCAACAACAAACCATTCAATTTGAACATTTTTTATGATTCCAAAGAGTTTTTTGATAGAAACAGTTTGTTTTGAAAAAGCTTATGCCCTTAAATGCATTTATTTATTTATTTATTTATTTATTTTTTCTTCTTTCTCCTTCCCTCCCACCCCAATCTGACACCATTTATCTTGGATCATTGTTGGATTGGTTTTGGTTGTGATTACATAATTTCTTATGTTTTTAAGAATATTTACTCCATATTTTGGTGGAACCTTCGAAAAACTTCCGTATTGTTCCAAGCAAACCCATGTGTGTTGGACCGCAAAGGCAATAAAAACGGCCTGTTTCTCCAAATATTTTTGTTTTGTTTTGTTTTTATCCAAATCTTATCTTTTTTTTCGCAATATTTACCTTAATCTCTTCAGTTTATCATAAGTAATTTTACATTTTAATATAATCATAATCATAATCATAAAAAATGTTTGGAATAATAGCGGCAGGACGACAAAGTATGTTTTGTTTGCTATAAAAAAAATACCTGGTATAATACTAACTAATATATCAAGTGCAGGCAGTTAATCAAATTGAAGCGACCAAGTTCGTTCTTTCAATTGAAAATTCGGCAAAAATACATCACATTGTGGTCTTTTTACTACCAAACATGAATCTAGACCCAAACGTTGCAGCGTCAGTATATTTCCAGCTGCCAGGGAAAGATTTCCAACTATTAGGAGCGTAAGTGTGAATTTATTTTAAAGTTTCTTGACTTGTAAAAGGCCTCCTACTAACTGATAATAATAGGATTTCCAACGATAAGCCATCAGCAATTTTTAAAATCAACAACAATGTGCTCAAGCCATCGAGCGGGGTGTATGACCTGGACGATATGATGGATGTGGGCGATGGCGTTGCGGATCCCAATTACGTCATCAACATTGGTATTTCGCTGGAACCCATGAGTTCTGTCGAGCAAGCCATGGCCGCGCAGAAGCAACAAACTGCGCTACCGTCAAATGTTCCCATTCCATCAATTGCAGAGTCCAATGCGTCGTCAAATCCAATGGTCGTTGGGCAAGTCGCAACCAAAATATACGAGAACGCATACAACTTTATGGGCGGGTTTATTACGCCTGACGGGCGGGTACCCATGAAAGCTTTTGAAGAGTGGTGGAACAAGTTCCGGACCAAAATTCAAAATAACCCGAGATATTTAGAAGAGTCGTCATAATGAAATATATATATAATATCAAGAGTTCTTGTTTTGATTGTTTTCTTCTTTTCTGCTTTCATTGCTACTAATTCCAGTACTGGAAACTTTGGAAATTTCCTGGACTCTTGCTACTTTTGCGGCAGTGATTGCGGCTTGAGATCGTACCTGACCAATGACCTGCATTAGCTCAGTGTTGGGAAGCAAGAGTGCACCGCTGAGACGCATTGCCGGATTATTTGTAAGACTATTTTTAAGATGTCTTGTAATTTTACGTTGGGTTTTATTTCGTGCAAACTGGCGTTGATATGTTGAAAGCAACGCGTTTAGTTTTTCACTGAGTTGAACGTCCTTGAGTTGGCCGCTTTCCAAAACAATGGTTGTTATTTTGAGGAGCTTGTGATGGGGTATGGCGCTGTAGCGAAAGGTGTAATATTTCTTGAGAGTTTCAGGAGTGAAATTGGATAAGCATTCTATCTGGGCAAGGGCTGATCTGTTAATGAATTTGAGTGACTTGTTTTCAATGTCAAGGAACTGGAAAGAGATGTGGTTGATTGCTTGGTTCATAAAGATGTTACTAAAAAGAGCTTTGCGCCGCGCATTAAGTTTCTTGATGGCGCGTTTCTTGTGTTTTTCAAAAAGGGAGATATTGTCAGCATTAGAGTTAGTTGTTAATGGAGACGATATCTCGCGTGTCTGAGCTGAGATGAATCCTTTGACATGGGAAAACCGGTTCGAGTTCATTATTTTTTTTTTTTATTTGAAAGAAGGATCGAGAAGAGATTTTTTGTAAATTTAAAAATGCATTTTGTTGGTATTATTAAATTTATTGACACGTGATTTTGATGTAATATAACTGTTACATGTATGGGTAATCTTCTAAAATCCATATTTTGGACCCGTAGCCTTTTAGATTTTTTTTTAATTTTTTTAATTTTTTTAATTTATTTTTTTTTTTTTTCAGAAATTTACTTGATATTTTTCTCTCTTTTTTTATTTTTTTGGTTTACTAGTGCACTAATAAGAATAATAATGAAGCCACAGCTTTTATTACTTTCTACTTTATCCGTTGTGATTGCATCTTTACCTGTGGATTCAGTTGAAATTCGTGTTCGTGGTGACTCAGTTTGTTCATTAAAAGAAGGAAAAGAAACATGTTACCCAAAAGTTTTTGAGCCATCTTCCAAGTGGCAAGAGATTTTGCCTGGTCAAGAAATCCCTGCAGGTGAGTAAATGAAAAAAAAAGGGAATACATGTATATATTAACGTCAAGCAGGTCTTCATGTAAGAATGAATGTTGAAACAGGGCTACGAGAAGCTAAACTTCTTGATTCCGGTGACGGAAGCGAAGTCAACGCTGTGGAAGTCAAGTTGCCCGATACTGAAGCTGTTGTGAAGGAGCTCAATAATGTGGAGTACGAGGATCTCACACAGCAATCGGAGGTTGATTTGTTGGCAGAGATTCCCGAGGTGGAAGAGGAAGACAGTGAAGCCGATAAAGAGCTACGTGATAAGATTCGACTATCGAGTTCAAGTGGCCAAGCTGGGCAGCTTTACGAGTCGATTGAGAACATTAAGAAATACCAAAAGATTGAGCCTCGGATACTTTCTCAGTCGCTGGAAGTTCTTGCTGATTTGGGACATGAGCTAGAGTTTGGCGAAAGAATTGTAAGCAGAAATACTAAGGAGCTGCTTGAGATTATTCAAAAGAAGCAGATTCCACCGCATATTCGGGAAATTGCAGCAAGGGCTTTGGGTGCGTCAATGCGGAATAACCCAGGAGCATTGGCCAAGGTTGCTGATCAGGGAATTGTGAAGTCGCTGTTGGAGACGATTGATTCATCTGACAATGACAAGTTGAGTGGTCGATTGATTTATGCTCTAGGAAGCGTTGTAGGCACTGGGGAAGGGTCTGATTTGATGGGGAAGCATGATGCGGAGTACCTTGAAGGCCGTGGTGGTGAAGTGTTTCGCCGGGCGTTTGATGAGGGCACTGGTGAGCTAAAGCGCAAGATTAGCACGTTTGTGTTTGATCGGGCTCTCAAGTTGGCCTGGCCTGACAAGGAGTTTTCTGAATGGTCAGACACGTTTCAGGGAGCACTTGTGAAGAAGAGCTTGAATGGAGAGGACAAATTGCGGGTATTTGAAGCGCTTACTCAGATTCAAGAGTATATGGTAGATCGAAGTGAAACTGGTAGTGGAGGGGCTGGAGAAGGAAGAATTGTCAAGAGAGATGTTGCAGAGATGCTTCCTGTACGAGATGACTTTTTGCAATGGCTTGCCAAGGAGGCTGACGAGTACAGAGACCGTCAAGCCATTAATGATGATGATGATATAGAGGAGCAATTCAAAGAGATATTGTTACAGTCTCGTCATAGTGTGTTTGGTAATCCGATGGCTGGTCGTAAGAATGAAGAATTGTAAATATAGATAGAAAGAAAGAAATAAAGATGGATTATTTAAATTTCATTTATCCTTCATCCTTCATCCTTCATCCTTCATCCTTCATCCTTCATCCTTCATCCTTCATCCTTCATCCATCATGATGGATAAATGAAATTTTTTGCAAATTAGTAATTTGAACAAGGGTATTTCTGAAAAACAATGAGCGGCAACAGGGACCCGTGGTTAATTTTGACAGTTTGGGGAGATTCTGGGGTAAATAAATAAGGTGGTGGTTTAGATTTCTGATGGTGGTGGTTGTGATGATAATAATGTTGATGATGATGATGATGATGATGTAGTATGCTGCGGCTGCGGTTGCTGGTATGGTGCCATAAAGCCGAGATACTTTAAAAAAAAAAAGGCGCTCCATGGAAGAATCGGCAGCAGCCGTGGTATATATTTTTTTTTTTTCGCGGGGTGAAGGGAGCCTCGGAAAAACAGTGGAACAATTGGTTTTTTATTTATTTTTATTTATTTATTTTAAGCAAAGAAAAAGGTCTGGGGAAATAAACTTTTATTTTTTTGGTAAACTGGGGTCCCCTCGGTAACACGGGATTTTCGGGAATATTAACTAGTGGGAAAATATGATAGTAGGAGGGAAAAAGGAATCCGCGGATAATTTAATGCATTTTTTTTTTTTTTTTCAAGAGCCTAGGCTAAGCCTTTAATTTTTGGTGGCGTTGTGGCGCGCAGAAAGGTTTTAAAACAACCGAAAAGGGTAATGCAGACGCACTAAAAAAGATGACTAAATGATGATATAACGTAAAATATGGGGTAATTACGTAAGTTTTAAAGATTAGGTAACACCGGTGATTAGTCCGAGAGCCGAGCTAGCTCTAATAGTAGTAGTTAGTAGTAGTAGAAGTAATAGTAGATAGTAGAAGCAAAAAAAAAAAAATATGAAATAAATATTTTGAAAAAAAAAGTCCGGGCGGTTTGTTCAAAGACAGGACATAAACATTGGAATCAATAGAAGTAGCTAGAAGACTTGAGTCATTGGTTATCCCCAGAATTTAGAATCGAGGTTTTAGAAATGACAATGAATAAAAAAAAAAAAAAAAGTATATCTTCAATTGAAAAGATAAGTCCTATGACAATCAACATTCTTTTTTTAATATCTGGAACTGCTGCAGCTGCTGCTGCTGTAATAGCAGCAACAACAACGACAACAACAATAACAATAACAATAACAATGGCCTCCTTAGGTGTTTTAATTTCTCAATCACAGAAATCAGCATCTCGTTTAAGGGACGACGGCTTTTTTTTTTTTTTTTTTAATTATTTTTTTTTAAATTCCTTTGTCGTGCGATATGGACCAATGGTAAAGGCTCCTCGGGCCAATGGCGGGGAGGTGGCTTTCCTGAAACAAAGTCTCGTGTCCTTCAGTTGGCAGTAGGCAGTAGGCAGTTTGCTAAATATTTTTATGGTGGCTAAATAACATTAGCATATAGTCATACTTTAACACATCTGTAACACCAGTGTAATAAACAGCCAATCTATTCCCCATATATCCGTGGAAGATTTTTTAACTGGCCTATGAAAAATTCCTGCTGCCGCCCAACGAAACCTCCATAATCCCGGTCTCATAAAAACAAAAAAAAAATAATAAGGTCTGTCCCTTTGGCCCAAAAAAATACATAAAATATATACATCGATATAGAAATAAAATAACAAAAAAAAAAAAAAAAAGAGAAAAGTATATAAGTAAAGCCAATTCCCCCAAGTTTTTTCTAATTTTTTCTTTTCCTTTTTCTCCACAAATTTTTTTTTTCTATTCTATATCCCCCCCATACATTAAAATATCAAAAATGACCAAGATCGACATTCAAGCTGAACAGAAGGCTTTCGAGCAGGAAGTCAAGGAGATTGAACAATGGTGGTCCGAGCCCAGATGGAAGGCCACCAAGCGTATCTACACTGCCGCTGAGATTGCTAAGAAGAGAGGTACCATCCCCTCTGCTTTCCGTTCTTCCGTCCAGGCCAAGAAGCTCTACAAGCTCCTCGAGGACCACTGGGCTAACAAGACTGCTTCTTTCACCTACGGTGCCCTCGACCCCGTCCAGGTCACACAGATGGCCAAGTACCTCGACACTGTCTACGTCTCCGGCTGGCAATCTTCTTCTACCGCTTCTACCTCCAACGAGCCCTCTCCCGATCTCGCTGACTACCCTATGGACACTGTCCCCAACAAGGTTGAGCACCTCTGGTATGCTCAGCTTTTCCACGACAGAAAGCAACACGAGGAGCGCATGAACCTCACCCCTGCTCAGCGTGCCGAGCTCCCCTACACTGACTACTTGAGACCTATCATTGCCGATGCCGACACTGGCCACGGTGGTCTCACTGCTGTTTTCAAGCTTACCAAGATGTTCATTGAGCGTGGTGCTGCCGGTATCCACGTTGAGGATCAGGCCCCTGGTACCAAGAAGTGCGGCCACATGGCCGGTAAGGTCTTGGTTCCCATCCAGGAGCACATTTCTCGTCTCGTTGCCATCCGTGCTTCCGCTGACGTTTTCGGCTCTGACCTCCTTGCTGTTGCCAGAACCGACTCTGAGGCTGCCACCCTTATTACCTCCACCATTGACTACAGAGACCACTATTTCATTGTTGGCTCCACCAACCCTGATCTCCCTCCCTTGATTGAGCTCACCACCGCTGCTGAGGAGCGTGGTGCCTTTGGCGCTGAGCTCCAGAAGATTGAGGAAGACTGGGTTGCCAGTGCTGGCCTTAAGCTCTTCTCTCAGGCTGTCATTGATGAGATCAATGCCGGCTCTTACCCCAACAAGGCTGCTCTCATTGCTGAGTTTACCTCCAAGGTTGGTCCTCTCACCAACACCCCTAACAAGGAAGCCCGTGCTCTTGCCCGCAAGCTCCTTGGCAAGGATATTTACTTCAACTGGGAGGCTCCCCGTGTCCGTGAGGGCTACTACAGATACCAGGGTGGCACTCAGTGCGCTGTCAACCGTGCTCGCGCCTACGCTCCCTACGCTGACCTCATCTGGATGGAGTCTAAGCTCCCTGATTACGCTCAGGCTAAGGAGTTTGCTGACGGTGTCCGTGCTGCCTATCCTGACCAGTGGCTCGCTTACAACCTTTCTCCTTCCTTCAACTGGACCAAGGCTATGTCCCCCTCTGATCAGGAGACTTACATCTCTCGTCTCGCCAAGCTTGGTTATGTCTGGCAATTCATCACTCTTGCTGGTCTCCACACCAACGCTCTCATTTCTGACACTTTTGCCAAGGGTTACAGCCAGATTGGCATGAAGGCTTACGGTTCTTTCATCCAGCAGCCTGAGATTGACAATGGTGTCGATGTTGTTAAGCACCAGAAGTGGTCCGGTGCCGAGTACATTGACAACATTCTTAAGATGATTACTGGTGGTGTTTCTTCCACTGCTGCCATGGGTGCCGGTGTCACTGAGGACCAGTTCAAGAGCAAGATCTAAGCTGCTTGGATTTTAAAATGAAGATTTTTGATGACTTGTACGTAAAAAAATAATGAATTTAAAAAAGTTAAAGAATTAAACGTTTTGATTGGTCAATTGCTGTAGTCTGGGCTAATTTTTTTTTTTTGGTCTGTTGACCCTCCAAATAATTTTTTTAAATAATTTTTTTTTGAGGGGATACAAAGAACTGGGTATATATATAGACTACCCATTATGTGAGGGACTGGGAAAGATTTGAGAAATGGAGACTGTCATTTTGCAATTGATTTTAAAGCTGGTAGATGTGTAAAACACATGATTTGGAGTTTATGATATTTTTTATTTGTTTGGCATTTTTGATGTTTTACAAGAGAATATCCTCTAATGAAGTTACCCATAATGGATTTATATGAAATCGGATTTGAAAATAATTTATGATTTAGAGACATATGAAGGCAGAGAAGTTTTGAATCATAATGTCTACAGTGAATTTTTTATTTTTTTTTCCAGTTATTCGAATCATTTAAAGAAAGAAAGAAAGAAAGAAAAAAAAAAAAAAAAAAAAAAAACGACATTTACAATATCAAAAGTTTACTTTGATGATACATTTATTTTTATTTTTTTTTGAAAAATTTTAAGTGTGGAGTGCATGGATGACATAAGTTGATTTGTGGGGGAGAAATAATAATAAAAAGATATAAAAAAAAAAGAATGGAAAGCCAATAATAATATTTAATTATTTATTTAATCAATATAATTAAAGAACTTGACAATATATATATATATATATATATATATACCATTCAATCAAATATCAAGCATGCTTTTAAACGGCCTTTTTAGAAGAAGGGGAGTGGGAAGTCAGAACAAAGCATGCATGGGGGAGTATTACCGAATGGATCAAAGTCATCCGAAACCAACAACAACAAAAAAAAAAAAAAAAAAGAAAAGGCATGTCAGATTGATATGAAAATTTATGGTCATTTAAAGAGGAAAAGGAAGAAGATGAATTTTGAAGAAGATGTTGTTTGAAATGATAAATTGGTACTCAAGTACTAAAGGGTTGGGGGTTGTGAACAAAAAAAAAAATAAGACCCTGAGTTATGATCTGGATAAGATGTTTAAGATGAGGTTAGTGGGGGGGGGAAGAGTGGAAAAAAGATATTTGGAAATAGTTGAAAATATTGCAACAAATCAAAATCTGTAAATCTTCACAAGGAGAACTTTGATGATGATGCCGATTGAAATTAAGTATCCAGTTTTAATGACTGCTTTTATAGAAAATAATTAAAAAAAAAAAAAAAAACTATAAATAAACTCTTAAACGGTTTCTTTTTTTTTTTATTTTTTTAATCTTCATTTCTTTTAAAAAAAAAAAAATTTTTTTTTCTTCATCTTCATTTTTTTTTTTTTTCCTATTACATCTACAATGACCTCCAAAATCATCAATGAAGAGCCCCATCGCCGATATAACCCATTGACTAAAAGTTGGGTTCTTGTCTCGCCGCATCGAGCAAAACGGCCTTGGCAAGGCCAGCAGGAAGCCCCACAAAAGGATGACCGCCCTCAATATGATCCCAAGTGTTATTTGTGTCCTGGAAATACACGCATACAAGGTGACAAGAACCCGCAATACGATGGGACTTTTGTATTTCGCAATGATTTTTCTGCTGTACGAACCAAACATGAGTTGGAGGGAGAATATGGAATTGATCAAGTGGCTGCAGCATGTAACGAAAAGGTAACGAGCAATGATAATAATAATAATAATGATGATGATGATGATAACTCATTGTTTAAATCAGAACAAATGACGGGCAAATGTGTTGTGATTTGCTTTTCTCCACGACATGACCAGACACTGGCCAAAATGAGCTTACAAGAACTGAAGCGTGTGGTTAAAGTATGGCAAGATGTGTATCGAGAAGCGGTGGCAGATCCTGAGATTGGGTATTGCCTTACTTTTGAAAACAAGGGCGCAGCTATGGGGTGTTCAAACCCACACCCACATGGACAAGCATGGATGACGAGTGTTGTACCTGAGGAACCCGCGGTTGAAAGAGCTTCGATGGCTGAATACTGGAGACGAAGAAAAAGTGAAGGAGGGGCAGGATTACTTGGTGATTATGTTGCTCAAGAGGTAAAGAGAGGAGAACGGGTAGTTTTTGCCAATGGTGGGTTTGCAGCTGTTGTTCCTTACTGGGCGGTATGGCCGTTTGAAGTTCTTGTGATTGCACGACGATCCGGTGTGACAAATGTAACTGAGCTGGCTGAGCAGGAAGTGGCTGATTTGGCTGAGGTGTTATCTCAGGTGACCATTCGGTATGATAATTTGTTCCAGACCAATTTCCCATACTCTATGGGGCTTCATCAGGCTCCGACAGGAGAAGGGCAGCTACATAAAGAGGAGGAAAAAGGAGCTGACCACTTGCATTTACATTTTTACCCGCCATTGCTACGGTCTGCGACTGTAAAGAAGTTTTTGGTTGGGTTTGAGATGCTGGGGATGCCTCAAAGGGATTTGACTGCAGAGAAAGCCGCAGCCATGTTGCGGGAAGTTTCAGGGACAGAGCGGTATGAATAAATGTTTATTAACCATGGTTAAATTTAAATTTAATTATAATTATAATTATAATTATAACTGGGTTGGAATTTTAAAATAGATTTAAGATGGCATGTGCAACTATATATATAATAAAAATAATGAAAAAAAATATTAAAATAAATGGTTTAGTAAGTCCGGGAATTGAGGTGCCGGCCGTGCGCGCGGGATTCACGGAAAAGGGGTGCTGGGGGGGGAGAGAACAGCAAGAGTTGTTGGGTGCGGTTAAAGAGGGATTGACTATAGTGCTTTGTTTTGATTTATTTATTTATTTTTTTGTTAAACTTGAAGTTATTGAATTGATAATTGAATTGATTGAATTAATTTTCAATGAATGAAATCGAGGTCAATTGGGAAGTTTAAAAGGTTTTTTTTTTTTTTTTTTATGGAGTAAAATGTTATTTTAAATGTAAAGTCACGTTAACTAACTATTTATCTAACTAGTTAGTTAGTTATTTAGTTAATATTTTTATGAAAATTTTGATTGATTTCGGCCGTCTTCGGGGAAAGTTTAGGCTGACTCAGGAAGATTTGAAAAAAAATTGAAAAGTTGAATATATTCAAGTTGAATACCAATGACAAGCCTCAACTTTAGTTGTTGCAACTTTGCGGCAGCTTTCATTGGACCAAAGCTAACTTTTGAGCTTTTAAAAAAATTTAAAAATTTAAAAATTTCTTGCCACCACCACCACCTAAAGCTTATAGTTTTAAAAAAAATTTTCCATATTTATTTATTTATTTAATTAGTTAGTATATATATATATATAAAATAAAATCATCAATCAATCAATCAATCAATTAATCAATTAATCAAATTGTTTTTTTATTTAAAAAAAAAAAAAAAAAAAAACCACCAAAATTTTTGCAAAAGCCCTCGTGTATTGAAATTTCTCTCATCGGGAAAACCAGCCACTTTAATTTTTTTTTTCTTTTCCTCCCAACAACAACAACAACAAAACTAAAAAAAAAAAAAAAACAATAAAAACCTGGGAAAATCCACTTTTGGTGACTTTTTTTTTTTTTTTTTTGTTTCTTCCTTAATTATTTATTTCTATTAAATCTTTCAATTCTTTTTTTATTTATTTATATATATATATATATAATATACATCTACACTTTCTTACAACATATACAAAATGATTCGCATTTTGGCAAAACAGCCAATTCTAACTCAAACAGAGTCTAGAGCTCTCGGCCGCTCCTCTGCAATCGCTTTAACAGCATCATCATCATCATCATCATCATCTACAATCTCTTATTCCCGCTCATACTCTTCAACTACACAATCACAGCTGTCTCAATTAAACCCTTCAAATCACCCAGTCTCTCTTCTTTTCCAAAGTACCATCGGTGCCACTGCTCTTCGCACAAATAGAATTGATCTTCTGCGACCGCTACTCGCCTCCAATGCCCGCTTTAACTCTTCAAAGCCCTCCCCTAGTAAACCTACTGCTGAAGCAAAGCCCACAGAAACCGCCGTGGCTTCTCCTGCCCAAACAACTCCTGATACCACTACCCCTCCTGCTCCTGAAAAGAAACTCACCATTTGGGAAAAAGTTAAGCATGAGGCCCAGCACTACTGGGATGGAACCAAGCTGCTTGGATACGAAATCAAGGTCTCTACAAAACTAGTCGCTAAAATGGCTGCAGGCTACGAACTTACCCGCCGTGAAGACCGCCAACTCCAACGTACCCTCCAAGACATTACCCGTCTCGTTCCCTTTGCCATGTTTGTCATTATCCCCTTTGCCGAACTCCTCCTTCCTGTTGCTCTTAAGCTCTTCCCCAATCTCCTTCCCTCCACCTACGAGTCCATTAAGGATAAAGAGGCCAAGACAAAGAAGCTCCGAAAGACCAGAGACAATGTCTCCACCTTCTTAAGGAAAACCCTCTCGGAGAGTGGCATGCGTCTTCCTGATACCGTCACCCCAGAAGAACGTGAAAAGTTTGCCCTCTTCTTCCATAAAATTCACTCAAGTGTTGAAACCCCCTCAAACGAGCTCGTCGTTTCTGTCGCCCGCTTGTTTAAAGATGACCTGGTCCTCGACAACTTGTCTCGACCTCAGCTCATTGCTATGACCCGCTACATGAACATGCAAGCCGTCGGAACAAATGTCATTATCCGCTACCAAATCCGTTACCGCATGCGTCAGATTATGCGTGATGACCGTGCCATTGACTACGAAGGTGTCGAGTCTCTCACTGTCCCTGAACTCCAGAGCGCTGCTGCCTCCCGTGGTATTAAGACTTATGGTGTTTCCCCTGCACGTCTTCGTGATGATCTCCGCACTTGGCTTGACCTCAGACTGAGACAACGTGTCCCTCCTACCTTGCTCGTCCTGAGTAGTGCCTTTAACTATGGTGAAGCTGATACTGTCGAGACTTACTATGATGCTCTTCGAGCTGTTCTTTCTGCTCTCCCTGAGGAAGTGTTCCATGAGGCTGAGCTTGATATTAGTTCCGATGCCGCTACTCACAAGCAGCGTCTTGAGGTTATTAAGGAGCAACAAGAGCTTATTAAAGATGAAAATCAGCAGCAACAGGATAGTGGTAGCATTGTTGGTGTCAAGGATAACCTTTCTCTTGATGAAGAGCAAAATGCTGCTGCTGCATCTGCTGCCGCTGCCGCTGCTGCTGCTGCCGAGCCTACTACCGAGGCTCCTAAGGCTGAGACTGAAGCCCCTAAGGCTGAGACTGAAGCTCCCAAGGCTGAAGCCCCAAAAGCTACTATTGAGGAAAAGTCCAAATAAATATATAATACAATAGATTAAACGTAAATATACAAGAAAGATAAACAAGAACAAAAAAAAAAGGATTAATAATAATAATAATAATAATAATAATAATAATAATAATAATAAACCGCTGATTCCCATGGATTAGTGTTTAGTGGCTTCTCCGCTATAACCTGTGCTGCCAAATCCTCCTGCCCCACGTTGAGTCTCAGGTAGTGATTCGACAACCTGGATCTCAGGAGTTCGAATAATTTCCAAAATAAGCTGAGCAATTCTGTCTCCTCGAGCAACTAAAAAAAAAAACAAGTTAGAAAGAATAAGGTATTTTTTTTTCAAATAATTTTATATTTTATATTTTTTTATTTTTATTTTTATTTTCAACATACTCTCATAATCGACATTTGAATGGTTGAATAAAACAACCTTTAAAGGGCCTCTATAATCGGCATCAATAACTCCGGCACCTGTATCAATTCCATGCTTTGCAGCAAGGCCAGATCGAGGAGCAATGCGTGCATATGTATCTTCTGGAATAGCAATTGAAATGTCAGTTTCAACAATTCCCCAACCTTTTGCTGGTAAAGTTTTCGCTTCTGAGCTAAAAATATCGTATCCTGCAGCAGAAGCTGATCCACGGAGAGGAGCACGAGCATATTCAGAAAGAAGTTTAACATGGAACCCGGTGATTGACATTTTTGATTTTTTGATTTTTGATTTTTTTGTTTTGTTTTAGGGGGGTTTAAATTTATAAAATGGATGTGAATTAAATGAATGAAAAGAGATGTGGAATATTAATTGATGAAAGAAAGAATGTAGGAATGAATAATTGTTTTGTTTTGTTTTGTTTTGTTTTGTTTTTTTTTCAAAGTAATAATAAACAAACAAAAGATTTAGAAGAAGTTGGCCCAAATAGGCAATTCGGTAAACACGGCGGGTTCAATAAATCCGCACATTAAAAAGAACCGGGTAACTCATTCCTATAATATTCCACGTGACTAAATGTTTAATATATTTTTTTAATATACATTAATGATTTAACTTTCATAAGAAATAGTGTAATTCCCTTATTTTTATTTTATTTTATTTTATTTTATTTTATTTTTTTACTTCTCCACATTATCTTAAAACGCGTCTTGATTTTAGGTGTTGTTGTTGTTGTTGTTGTTGATATAATAACTATATAATCCCAATGCCAATAAATTTTACCAATCTTATAAATAACAACAAATCTGCTGAAATTCTTGATGTTGTTCTTACTGGTGCTCTTGTTGTAGGCTCATGCACGTTGATGATCCGGATCATGATTGCACAGAGCAGGTATTGGGAAGCTGTTTTTGAAAATTTTGTTGAATATCCTGAAGGGGTTAAAGATGAACCACCAGCAACTCTACTACCATCAGAACAAGATGATGAAGCCAATGAATCTAGCAATGGGTGGCATTGGTTTAATGGATGGCCAGGGATGCGTGAGTTTCTTTTCCGAGAACAATTTGGGTTTTTTTTCCTACGAAACTCTTCTTTAGACTTGGCTAGTGCGCGACAGTTTTTAAATGCACATAGTCTGGGCCAAATTTTTGAAAACTTTTCTACCACAGGTTCCGAAAACACAGCTTGGAGAGAGGTTGAAGAAAATGAAGATAATGAAGATAATGATGGTGAACAGCATCAGCATCAGCATCAGCATCAGCATCAGCATCAGCATCAGCATCAGCATCAGCATCAGCAACAACAACAACAGCAGCAACAAGGTGAAGGAAGATCAGGAGAACAGAGGATAGAAAAAGATACAATTTCTTTAAACCCAACTTTACGGTATGAACGGAGCGATGTACCTGTAGAAACACTAATCTATCTTATGGACAAGAGTGGTCCCGATATTAAATACAAGTAAGTTCAATTATTTTTATTTTTATTTTTATTTTTTTTCTCTTCATCAAAACTGACAAATAAGTGCCTTTAATATATTTCTAAAACGCGTGTTGAGAGATCGATCAACAGTCAAGCGTCTTATCCATGATCTTATGAATGTGGACGACTTGGATCGCTGGGAATTGGCACTTGTGGCACTCAACAAGCCTACTGTTCTAATCAAATATATGTATATTGATAAGGCAGTTGCATATATATTTTCATTTACATTTGTGTTACCAGTTTTACGTGGACTATCGACCATGGCTCGCATGGATCCGGTTAAGCTGACAGGTTTGCATTTTTATTGTGCGTCAACGGCTTTAGAATTGTTTTATACAATGTATGATATATTAGTACTGGATGAAGAGGGACCAGAGTGGGAGTTAGTAGCATCTGTCATTTCAAACCGACCTTCAATAAACCAGGAAACATTGGCTTCAGAATGGTATACATTTGAACGACACCAAGAACTTTTGTCTACAATTAAGAGAAAGTATAGTCGGTTTGCTCGCAACTATCGCAAAAATCTAGGCCGTTCAATGTTGCCCATAGAGCCTGTTGAGTATATGGATGATTTTACAATTAAGCGCAAGATGCAGAATCCTATCACCAAGTTTGCCATGAATTTTGTTGGGTTGGAAATTAGAATGGGTATTTTGCCAGATTATAATCTGCCATAACTATAAAAATCTTTAATGATTATTTAAAGCATTTAAAGCATCATGATGTTTTCATCACACCCACCCCATCTTACAAACTCTTTAAACAACGTCATATCCGGTTAGTAATAACCAACATCTCTGCCAAACTTACCCATAAATTCTTTACCGGGTAGTTGTTAATTTTTTTTTTTTTTTTAAAATAAAAAAAAAAAATACATGTCTTTGTTGGTGGATGTCATGACTGCCTTTAAAAGGGGGGGGGGAGGAGGAGGACAAAAAAAAAAAAAAAAAATTCAACTTGCAGCGGCTTTTTTTTTTTGTTTAGCTGTTTAGCTGTTTAGCTGTTTAGCTGTTTGGCAGTTTGGTTGGCTTACCGCAACAGTCCAGCACCACGTGATAATAACCCTAGCCCCATATTATTGAGTCTGATAGTGTACTTTACAGAACGTTATTCCGCCGCACGCTAGTTTTACCAATTTAGGAAATTCACCGTTGTTGCTTACAAAAAAATTTTCTTTCTCTTTTTCTTTCTCTCTCTCTATGCAGTGTGTACTGGAGGAAATTTTTTTTTTTTTTTTTTATTATAATATTTGTGTGTATATGGGAAGGAAGGGTAATTAGAAAATTATTATGAAAGAAAGAAAAAAAAAAAAAAAATTTTTTTTTTCTTCTCTTCTCTTCTCTTTTTTTTTTTTTTTTTTCCTCTTTTTTTCCTTTTCCTTTTCCTTTTCTTTTCTTTAGCCATTCCTCCTTGAGAGTTGTCTATATTGGAATAACTGAAAATCAAGGTATTTATAAATATAAAAACAATCATATAATAGCTTCTTTAATGTTATTCTATAATTTTTTTTTTCCCCCCCATTCCTAGAAGCTTTGCTCATTTCTTAGAATCTCTTTTACTAACTATTTTTCTTTAAAAAAGATGTCTTCTGCTGGTGACGGAACTTTTGCTGGTGCCATTGGTATTGTAAGTTTTGAAAATTTTTTTATTGCTTAAAATTCTCTATTCATTTACTAACATTAATATCTTTTAGGATTTGGGTACCACCTACTCGTAAGTGCAACTATTTTTTTTGCCTCTATTTGCAGTTTTGAATGAAATCTTTGTCAAAAAAAAAAACTGCCTGAAAAAAATTTTCAACCTTTTTTTTTTTTCTCCCAAATTCCTAACCTTTTTTTTTTTAGCTGCGTTGCTACCTACGACAACGCTGTCGAGATCATTGCTAACGAGCAGGGTAACCGTGTTACTCCCTCTTACGTTGCCTTCACTGAGGAGGAGCGTCTCATTGGTGATGCCGCTAAGAACCAGGCTGCCCTGAACCCCGCCAACACTGTCTTTGATGCCAAGCGTCTCATTGGTCGCCGCTTCGATGACTCCTCTGTCCAGAAGGACATCAAGACCTGGCCCTTCAAGGTTGTTGATGACAATGCTGCTCCCCTCATTGAGGTCTCTTACCTCGGTGAGAAGAAGACCTTCTCTCCCCAGGAAATCTCCGCTATGGTCCTTACCAAGATGAAGGAGATTGCTGAGGCCAAGATTGGCCAGAAGGTTGACAAGGCCGTCATCACCGTCCCTGCCTACTTCAACGACGCCCAGAGACAGGCTACCAAGGATGCTGGTTCCATTGCTGGCCTCAACGTCCTCCGTATCATTAACGAGCCTACTGCTGCTGCCATTGCCTACGGTCTTGGTGCTGGCAAGACTGAGGAGGAGAAGAACGTTCTCATTTTCGATCTTGGTGGTGGTACCTTCGATGTCTCTCTTCTTTCCATCCAGGGTGGTGTCTTCAACGTTAAGGCTACTGCCGGTGACACCCATCTTGGTGGTCAGGATTTCGACAACAACCTCCTTGACTTCTTCAAGGGTGACTTCAAGAAGAAGACTGGCATTGACATTTCTGACGATCCTCGTGCTCTCAGACGTCTCAGAACTGCTGCTGAGCGTGCCAAGAGATCTCTTTCTTCCGTCGCTCAGACTGTTGCTGAGGTTGACTCTCTCTCTGGTGGTGAGGACTTCAGCTTGAACATTACCCGTGCTCGTTTCGAGGACATCAACTCTGTTCTTTTCAAGTCTACTCTTGAGCCCGTTGAGAAGGTTCTCAAGGACTCTGGCATTGACAAGTCCAAGGTTGACGAGGTTGTTCTTGTCGGTGGTTCTACCCGTATCCCCAAGATCCAGAAGCTCCTTTCCGACTTCTTTGACGGTAAGCAGCTCGAGAAGTCCATCAACCCCGATGAGGCTGTCGCTTACGGTGCCGCTGTCCAGGGTGCCCTCCTTACTGGCCAGGCCACTTCTGCTGAGGCCCAGGACCTCCTCCTTTTGGACGTTGTCCCTCTCTCCCTTGGTGTTGCCATGGAGGGTAACATCTTTGCCCCCGTTGTTCCCAGAAACACCACTGTCCCCACCATCAAGAGAAGAACCTTCACCACTGTTGACGACCACCAGACCACTGTCCAGTTCCCCGTCTACCAGGGTGAGCGTGTCAACTGCGCTGAGAACACTCTTCTCGGTGAGTTTGACCTCAAGGGTATCCCACCCATGAAGGCTGGCGAGCCCGTCCTCGAGGCCATCTTTGAGGTTGATGCCAACGGTATCCTCAAGGTCACTGCTGTCGAGAAGTCCACTGGCCGCTCTGCCAACATCACCATCTCCAACTCTGTTGGCCGTCTTTCCTCTGCTGACATTGAGAAGATGATTAACGATGCCGAGAACTTCAAGTCTGCTGATGAGGCTTTCTCCAAGAAGCACGAGGCCAAGCAACACCTTGAGTCTTACGTCTCTTCCATTGAGGCTTCCATCACCGACCCTGCCGTCACTGCTAAGCTTAAGCGTGGTGCCAAGGACCGTGTTGAGGCTGCTCTCTCTGATGCTCTTGCTGCTCTTGAGCTTTCTGAGTCCAGTGCTGATGAGCTCAGAAAGGCCGAGCTTAACCTTAAGCGTGTTGTCACCAAGGCTTTTGCTTCTCGTTAAATGCAGTTGAGTTTGGGTAAAATATAACTCTTGATGATGAATGTGTGTTTTTTTGTATAAATAAAAATGAAATGAAAAAATTTAATAAGTTATAAAATACAGTCATTAGGCTTCGTAAAGATCACGGTCGTCGTCGTCGTTGTTGTTGTCGTCGCCGCCGACGTTGTGGTCATTGTTGTTGTCCTCAGCATCATTATGAGTGGAATCATTGCCCGATATTTTATTATTATTATTATCCGGGGCGATTATTCCACAACTTAATGGAGCGAGTGGAGGCGGAGCACTGGCTAGGGGCAAGTTTTTATGGTTGCCATAACCTTCCGGCTCAGACGGCAGAAGGGCGCGTTCCGCTGCTTCCAGTGCACGTTTTTCATCAGCCGCCGCCACCAGGGGAATTTGTCTTGTTGCATGATTTATAAGAGCAGGTGATGATGATGAGTGGGTATTCGGAGAAGATTCATGCGCGGCAGGCGGTGATAGAGACAATGCGTTATTGTTATTGTTGTTGGTATTGGTAGTGGTGTTGGTAGTTGTAGCGACAATTGCTGGTGGAGCCGACTCTTGTTCCTCGTACGCCGGAACATTGTAAAGCACACCCTCATCTTCGCCAAAAAGAACGGTATGATGATGATGATGATGATTGTCGTGGCCATTGGCCGTGGGTGTTGTGCTTTCGGATCTTGAGGCAGATGAAGACGAATGTGGTACACTTGGAGCTAGGCCGTTACCTGCAGCCAACACCCGGCCGAAACTCGTGGGTGTAGGTGCCGATGGGACTGAGCCCCGTTGTTGTTGTTGTTGTTGTTGTTGTTGATGTTGATGTTGATGTTGTGGTTGGAGTAGTTGTTGTTGTTCCGGCGGTGCTGGCACGTGTGAAGTTGAAGTTGAAGTTGTTGTAACAGTTAAATGATGGCCATTAAGCAAATCTGGAGGCTGGCTCGTGAGAGCCTCCAGTCGGCGCCGCTCAAGTTCCAACTTGTCTTCGGTAGGTGTCACGGGGTCTGCGTAGGGGTCATTAACGTGATCATTGTATACCATGGTGGAGGATGTTAGCAACGGTGGAGCTGAAGGTCCTGGTGGGGCCGACGGCCCTGGTGAAGCTGAGGCGATTTGTCCCAAAGTTGGGGCAGATGGAGCGGCCGTGTATGTTGATGAGGATGAAGAGGAAAAGGAAGAAGAAGAGGATGATGGAGCACTGTTTTGAGGCGGCTCTGATGGTAACAGCGCTTGCTCAAGCCGCCTTAGCCGCTCCTTTTCTGACATCACAGATGCAGGCTGCTGCTGCTGCTGTAGGCAAAGATGGTGGTATTCTTGGTCTTGGATGGAGCTTGTGCTTATTGGGGAATTTGCGCGCAGTCTATTTTGTGCGCTTGCTTGTAAAATTTGCTGATGCTGATGCTGATGCTGCTGCTGTTGCTGCTGTTGCTGCTGTTGCTGCTGTTGCTGCTGTTGCTGCTGTTGTTGCTGGTGCAGCTGGTGCAGCTGCTGTTCTTGGGGTATCGCTACACGCTCGGTGCCAATGACCACTTCCATCCATAGGGACATGACTCCACGATGTTTTTGAAGCTTATCGGTATCAAGAATGCCTGTTCGAGAAGATGATTCTTCGTCAGACATATTAAAGTTCCAGTTACCAACAAGGTCAATAACGGCCTCGACGCAGTACTGGAAGGATACAACTCTGTGTCCTGTTGTTGTTGGGAAAGTTTCTGTAGGGATACGGATCCGATTTGATATGACTGCAGAAAAGGTATTAATTTCAGTATAGAGAGGCGAGACGATTTGGGAGAGATTTTTGCGAAAAGTTTGTGGTTCTGCACCTGGAGCACGCACACGCGAAATACGATAAAAGGTGACGACAACGCCAGCAGAGGAGCGAATATGACGGACATGGTTAATTGTGATTGTGACGGGAATGTATTCACCTCGGAGGTAGCCTCTTGCAGGGATTTCGAGGATAGAGGTGATGACACCTGGGGGTTTTTGACGTCTAGGGCGGACTTCAACGGAGAAAATGGAGGGTGGAGGGGTTGGGAGGGTCGCGACGTTGAGAGGGACAATGACTTTAATGTCCTTTTTGCGAGTCACTGCCGGGGCCGGCCCGGGTTTGTGGTAGACAGTGGAGATCACGTAAGCGATGGCTCCGCGTTCGAATTCAAGAGAGTTGTAGAGGCTATGGTCTGGGAGTTCGAACTCAAAGGGGAAGTAATGTTCACCTCTTGGAAGGATTTGTGGAGAAGAGGTAGGATCAGTAATGGAATGTGAAGAAGATGAAGAAGAAGAAGAGGAGGAGGAAGATGCAGCTGAGGTTGTAATTGCGGATTCTGAAGAGGAAGAGGAAGCTGTTGTTGATGCAGAGGATGAAGAAGAAGCAGAGACAACAGATGCAGATGAAGAAGAGGATCGGATTGATGGAGCGATTGTATTTGGGCCATTTGTATTTGTTAAAGAGGAGCCGGTGGCAGGTTGTTGAATAGTAGATGCAGAAGAAGAAGAGGTAGTAGTAGTAGTAGTAGAAGTTGTTGATGTGGCCGGAGCCGCGGAGCTACGGTGTGCCAGGGAGGTTGGGCGGTGACCCCAAAGGATGATTGAATCTGAGAAGAGGGGGTATCTAAAATGTTTACCCTTGACTAGGGGGTTTTTAACGGTGATAGAGCCTTGAATAGAGCACTCGAGAAGGTAAGCTGGTTGGTCGTGATTGAGGATGAGTACAACGTTACCACGGATGGAACTTCCTGGGGTCCAAACGCGATGTGGTTCGTCAAGTTCGATAAAAAAGTCCTGGGAGGACAAGCGGTGAAGAGGTAGGGATGCACCTAGGCTATTTCTGATTTTTTGGAGCATGTAGTGGCGGTCTGTTAAGTAGGTTGGAGAGTAGGATATTTTTAGACAAGGCCTTGTTGGTGATGGCAACAAAAGGGTTAAAGGGAGTATTTTTTTATTTTATTTAATTTTTTATTATTATATTAGCTGCGTAATAATAACTGCTACAAACTACTATACAACTACTATATACTAGCAGTAAAAAAAAAAAAAAAAAAGAAAGCAAGGGTTCACTTTGTTACAACTATGTTACATTTCATATTACAACTATTATATTACATTTTCTTTTTCCCCACCAAACCTTCTTCTTCTTCTTCTCATTTCGATATTTCAAAAAAAAAAAAAAAAAAAATGTCTTTATTTTTTAATTTTTTAACTTTTTAATTTTTCACCATCATAAATCATCGTTATCATCTTTATCATATTTTCCTCATTCAAACCTCAAATAACAAGCTTACTCGCCACGGCATTGCTTGAGAGTGTAGTCAGTGATACCCCAGACTTCATGGTTGGCCTCGAGATCAGCAAGTGGAATGGCACGGGCTCCAGAGACATGCTTAATACAGGTGGGGGCACCGCACCAACAGTCAAAGGGCTCATCCATCTCAAGCTCAGTTGAAGGGTAGAAAAATGTAATGTCTTGGCCTGGAGCAATGGGCTTAAGGACCTTGATATTAACATTAGCAGCGCCGGATTCTGGGTCGACGTCAATGGTGAGGGCAGCGGTAGGTGCACAGGAATGGTTCATGTATTCGAACTCGTTCTCAAATTTCATGTGGCCCTTGTCTTCGATCTGGACAGTTGTGAAGTCACGGGTGGGGTAAAGAGGTGCTGGGTAAGTGAGTGGGGTTTTAAGAATAAGTTGGCCGGGTTCGAGGGCGATTTTAGAGCGCAGAGTGGCGACCTTGATACCACCTTCGCCATTGTTTTCAGGTTCGACAATTTCAACAATGTCAGAGTAGACAATTGGAGTACGGATAGTCATTTTTTTTTTTTGGAATTGGTGAGATGGTGATTATTAATTATTTAAATAAAAAAAAAAAATTGAGGTATTAGTGTGTTGAAGGAAAGTTGATTGTATTTATATATGTAGTGTGGTGGTTTATTATTTAGGAAATCTTTTAAATGGCTAAGAAAATCAATGAAAAAAAAAAAAATCGGGGGATAACCGGCTCTATTTATATGAAAGAAAAGAAAAAAAAAAAAAAAATTACTTCAACAAGATGATGATATTCAGAATGTTCACGAGAAGAAACCAAAAAAAAAAAAAAAAAAAAAAAAAAAACGAATTCCTTTTTTTTTTTTATTTTCTCTCTCCCCCGCAGGTCTTCAATTGCTACTGCTACTGCTGCTACTGCTGCTGCTACTGAGAAATAAATCTGCAAGCGTTACGGAACTCCTCGGCTTACAAGCTGGGCTTTTTGGGTCTGCCCGAGTTTAAGATTGGAACCGACATTACTGTCTATCACCTTTTATTTTTATTTTATTTTTTAATTTTAATTTTTTTTTTTTTTGATTCTTTGACTCAAGATCAAATGAGATATATATATATATATATATATCTTACTCAATTGCTATTGCTGTTGTTTCTGCTACTTCTGCTACTTCTGCTTCGGCTGCTTCTGTAGGTTTTCGTCGATTCACCACCGGAACTGCTTTTTTTTTTTTTTTTTTCTGTTTCTGTTTCTGCTGCTGTTGCTGCTGCATACTAGCCAGTCGCCTCCCGGCATTTTTTTTTCATAAAAAACTCCCCTTCAGCCGATGCTACGGCGGATACGTCCCACCCAAAAATGCTTTTTTTTTTCTTTATTTATTTACTTTAATATATATAAAATGTATGAAAATGTATGTAGGAAAAACTCCCTCCACTATGAATGATTGGCCAGTTAGAATCCGTCCTAGTTTGATTCATTTATTTTTCAATTGATTTTTTTTTAAAAAAAAAAAAAAAAAAAAAAAAAAAACTTATAACAATCGAATTCTTTCATTTCTCTTCTCCATTGAGTTGGTTCATTTTTTATGCGGTGCAACAAATTTTTTTTTTTTTCACATTAACAATAGCTTTCATCTTTTTTTTCAGTTTGAAAATTATATCAATTCAAGTAATACTAATTAGAAATTCGTTTGGATAAGTATATCCGCAAAATCCACTAAAGATCAACACGATTGATTAGATTAGACCTCGCAACAATGCAACATGTCAAGTTAATAATCGATATAAAGACTATGTGGAGTTTCATTAAACTTGAACACTTACCATTATGTTTCCTTTTCTAAGTCTTTGAAAAAAAAAATTTTTTTTTCTCCCTTCTTTTTATTTCAACTTTGGGATCCCTCCGCAATTGCCTCGGACACAAGTAAATTAAAACTAATAGAGAGGGGGGAAAAGACGGAATTCAATCTGCCAAAAAACTCAATTGATCCAATATATAATTATATATTGGACTTATAAGTCCAATTCATCTAGAGAAAAAAACTATTTGCGGACCAGCGGCTATGAAGTGTACTGCTACTACATTGTTAGAATTGACGTGAGCCATTGCAGAGAAAAAAAAAAAAAAAAAAAAAAAAGTTTTTTTTCAAAGTTTATTTATTTTGCACTGTTAAAAGAAGAAGAAAAAGTTCTAACGGCAGTCAAAATGAAAAAAAAAAAATGAAAAAATAAAAAATTTCATTTCCATTGTTTATTTTTTTATTTTTGGACGCGCAACACGGCTTATTTAAACTTGTTGCGTCTGCTCATCATCTACTCAAATTTTGTTGATTCGTCGACGGGCTGCAACAAAGCCTCATTGCGCAATCAGCCCATCCTTTTGACGTTTTTTGCACGTGAAAATCCGGGGGAACAAAAAAAAAAAATTTCAGGGGGGTAAAAAAAAAAAACGTGAAAAAAAAAAAAAAAAAAATGAGGGGGAAAGGAAAAAAGAAAGAAAATGCGGGTTAGGGATTTAACATTTTTTTTTTCTATATATAAATTGGCTTGACATAGAACTGGGTTGGAAACCATGTTTATCTACAGAACAAAAAAATATTTTAACAATTACCACCAAGCAATTATAAATGTCAAGACTTTATGTTCGAATCCTTAAAATTCCATTTAATTTATTAAAGTTATTTTATTTTATTTTATTTTATTTTATTTTATTTTATTTTTAATTTAATTTAAATTTTTTTTTTTTTTTTTTTTTTTTTTTTTTTTTTTTTTAATTATCTCAACAATACAGCAGTAGCAGCAGCAACAAACCAGCCAACCTCCATCGTCATCATCGCCATCACCTACACACACAGCCCATTCAACACGCTCAACAATTTTACAACTAACCAATCTCCTAAAAATCATTTTCCCAACCAAATTTCTTTACTTATACCAACACTTAAGTATCTTTAACTAAATCTCCTACCTCAAATATTCTTCCCCACATGTCCTTCACCTTCTCGTGGAACCCCTCCCTCGTCGACAACTCAAATTTCGCCCAAATCAAGGCAGCTATCGATACCGCACTGGCAAAAGGTCCTTCCCCAGAAGGTGTTGCAGGTCCTGTTGTTCTCCAGAGACTTTACCTAGGTGACACACCACCTAGTATCCATATCCAGGCAGTCGAAGATGTGGCTAGTGACCGTGTCAAGGCTGTTTTCGCAATGCAGTATGCTGGCAACGCATCTATAGCTTTGCGTACTTGTGTCCAAGCAAATCTTCTCCGTGGAGCCATGCTTGGTGAAGACGAACAACAAGATCAACAACTAAGATCCAAGTTTAACTGTAGTAATAATAACGACGCTGATAGTAATAATAATAGTAGTAGTAGTAATAGTGGTAGTGTTGGTGTTGGTGTTGATGATTACTATCTCTCCCATCTACAGCCCTCTCTAGCACTAGCGTTGCCGCACGTTCTTGGAGCCCTCACACCGTTAGCACTACCCCTCGAATTCACCATCCATGACTTACGTCTTAGCGGCACCGTCTCCCTTGTTGTCACCAAAAATAAAGGTGCCGTTATGGTTTTCGATAGCGATCCGCTCCAATCCCTCGAATTATCTTCTTCCCTTGATGATTTCCCCAGCGTTTCAGCACAGCTCAAGCGCGAGGTTGAGATAGAGATCCGTGAAGTCCTCAGAGACACTATCCCACAAATCGTCTATCAAATCACAGCAGCAAATAGTCCCACGACTACTAAAGAAATCCCAATCCCACCTGTTGCAGACCCTAAACATGTACCACCACCAATCTTTGATTTCCCCTTTCTGGCAACATCTGCTCTTTCAAAAATAAAAACCCTTGCTCAAACAAATGCTACTCTGGCTGCTCTTTCCACCCCTTCACCTTTCAATGATAAAAAATCAATACGTCCTGACCGCCTTTCCATCTCTACACCTATTCCTTCATTTGAATTATTCTCTGATCCGATAAGCACAACTAATACCCCACCACTCATCATTGACTTTGATACCCTTTCAGACACAACAGGTCTTTCAGACGCAGACTCAGATGTGTCTACATCGCTAGCCTCGCTTCTTCCTCCTCCCTCAGAACCTGTATCTCCCAGGCCGCGAGCTCGCAGAGTTATAAATCTTCGTAATGTTTTGCAGTCTCCTTCTTCGTCTCCTCATCTTTTGCGGCCATCAAACAAGCCCTCATCTGCAAAGTCCAAGTCTGCCTCTGTATCCCCTACAAGAACTAGACCTCACATTGATCAGTTTCGATTAGCCCCAGACCATCCAACCATGATATCACCTGCAAACCGACCCAAACGCAATGCTGGCCCGCGGCGAGTAGTTTCTAGCAGCATGAACAATAGCATGGGTATTATTGTCACACCCAATGGCCTTGGAAGTGCAATGGGAACAAAAACTGGAGGAGTAGTAGGAGGCCCGACACCGTCATCAGAACCTACCCACTATTTTTTGACCCAACAACGTTAATGACTGCTATGAAATGAATGAATGATGATGATGATGATGCAAATAAAAACGAAAACGAAATAATGAATGTAATGAAGTCTTTTTTTTTTTTAGTAATGACAATTCCTTAATTTTTTTTAATATATTCTATCCCGTTGTATAATACTCAATTTTTTTTTGTTTTTATATAGATGTTGAACAATTTTTTTTTTAACTTCCCTGAAGAATTTCATCAAGAAGCTGCTCCGCCATGGCAGTCACATCAATGATTTTACCATCGGGTGCCTTTAATACAGGCTCCGCACTTTCTTGTGGCCGAACCTGTCCCAGAATCCATGCTTCTTTTAACACTCGAGTGACTGCCAGCAGGTCCTCGGCTGCATGAACTATGGAAGCTGTACTGGCCTCGGTTTGGTATACCTCCGAGGCGACCGTTGCACTATCTTTGCCCGAATTCTAAAATATAATAAAATAATTAGTATGAAATATGTAATATGAGATATGATTAATAAAATACTACAAATGCAAATCTTGGTAATTACCCCTCCTTTGAAATCATTTTCATAATCAAAGAAATAAAACATACCTTAGATAAATCTATTATTTGTTTAAATTCATTGGCAAGTGTGACTGTTGCAATGTTGACTTTTTCTGTAAAGGAAAAAAAAAATTATATTAATATTATTATTTAATCTTATTATTATCATCATCAATCCATTTTTTTATTTTTATTTTCAAAAAAAAAAAAAAAATTTATTCCTCGAAATTTCATCGTCATTCCATATTTTTTAAAAAAAATATATATATATATTGTAATAAAAGTATCGTCATCAATTTTTTCTTTTATTATTCATAAAAGAAATTCTTTTCCATTTCATTTTTAAAATTGTCAATCATTCCACTTATTCGGTAGAAAGAAAAAAAAAAAAAAAAGGGTTCTTCTTTTTCAAATTATTCCTTCTCAATTCTTCATTTTCCCCTGACGATTATAATCTCGGAAAAAATTAAAAAAATAAAAATAAAAAATAAAAAGCAATATCAGTAAAATTAAAACATACGAAGAAGATTTGCTGTTCGTGAAGAAGCCGCTTGTTGTGACATGTTTTGGGAAAGCTTGAAAAATGAAATTTTTTTTTTATTAATTTATTAATATTAAATAAAATTGTAAAGAAAAATGGTGGTAAAAATATTGCGTTAGAAAGAAAAAAAAAAAAAAACCAAAATTTGTCTATATAGTGACATCACGTGAATTGTTCATTTTATAATCTTGAACACCTAAAAGAGAAATTTGCCATACTTTGCATGTTAATTTTTATTTTTTATTTTTTTCCCCCCGTAATAATAACAGTAGTTAATTTTTATTCTTTAATTTCCCATTTAATGACAACTCAAATAGAAGAAGAAAAAAGAAAAAAAAAAAAAAAAAAAAGGGATTGTACGCATCTCATATCAACTTCAACTTCAAAAAGCAATTGACTATTTTATTTTTTTTGCCTTTAATTTGAAATTATTTATTTAATAAATCAATAAATAAGTAAATAAGTAAATAAGTAAATAAATAAAAATCCCTTTCTACGGATAAGTTTTCAGACAGTAAAAAATGTTTTGAAGCTTGTTTAAAACGATTATTTTACAGATTCATGCGAAATGGTAAATAACTTATTCAAACTTTTTTTTTTCTTCTTCTTCTTTTTCTTCTTCCTATCCAATTCCTAATAACATTAATTCTTTGTTATTCTATTATCTTCATTTCAATCTATTCATCTTCTGAAATTAACTTAAATTTATAATTTTGTCTGATGCTAAAAAAAAAAAAATTTATCAAATATAATTTAGATTTTAATCTAAACTTTTTCGCTAATCTTGTTTTTTCTCAATCTGGAAAGAATTGAAAGAATTTATTTTTTTTTCTCCCCCTATTATCACAATCTTCTTTCAACAATTATATTCACTCTACCCTCAAATTGATATTTATTATTGGTTTTATTATCACTTGACTAATCCTATTAGCCTATTCTTTTTTTTTTTTTTTTAATTTCATCAATTATCATGCACTAATTGTTAACATGAGCCTTCTAATATCCCTTCTTTTTTTTTTTATTAATCTTCTAATTCTCAAAAGTATTTATATCCATTGAAAAGTCCAAGTTGATGATTTTTTTTTTCTCTTCTCTTCTCTTTTCTATATCAATCAATTAATCAACATTGATAAGCTTCAACTCAGTCTTCCAATCGACACTTCTCATTCAATCTTTTTAACTAGTTTATTTATTTATTTTTTCAATCTCATTCAAAAATGGTTGCCACTAAGTTTGTTCTTTCTTCTGCTCTCTTGGCTATGCTTGTTTCAGCTGCCGCTAACGAGCGTCGTGACCAATACAACCCTGTCGACGTCATTGTTAACGGTGCCAAGTCCGGTATGATCAACGCCCGCCAACAGGTTGAATCTCTTGTTCGTGGATTCCAAAGCAATGACGGCCACCCCACTGCCGACGCTGTTAAGGCTTTCATCACCGGTCTCGATGGTCAGATTGATAACTCAATTGGCGTTGTAGCCGATCTCTTGAGTCCCGTCACCTTTGGTGCTTCCAAGGCAGTTGAGGGTGCCATTCTTGGACCTTTCTTTCAATCTCTCACAGATGGTACTGAAGTCGCCATCTCCAACTTGGTTGGCATGCCTATTGATGCTGTTCTTGGTGGCTCTATCCAGTCTCTTGCAAACAACATGAATAAGTTGGTTGGCCAGGCCCAGCAGCTCCAGGTTGACCAGAAGATTGTCAGCAACATGGCTCGTACGCAGCAGCGCCTTGCTGCCAGAGTCCCCAAAGGTTCTCACCATAAGCGTGACGTTGGTGTCATGGAGGGTGTTACCTCCACTGTCAACACTGCCAGCCAGAGCATTGACACTCTTGTTAGCCAACTCCAAGCCCAAGGCCAGCATGCTAGCCCTGCTGCCATCTCTGCTGTCATTGCTGGTATTGATGCCCAGATTGACAATGCTGTTGGCAATGTCAACAACTTGCTTTCTCCCTACGCTAACAGCCTTTCTTCCACCGTCTCTGGTGTTCTCCTTAACAACTTCTTCCAGTCCATTACCTCCGGCTCTGAAGTTGTTCTCCTCAACATTGGCACTGGCCCTGCTGACGCTTCCTTGTCTGCTTCGCTCAACAGCTTTGCCAGATCTATGAAGAACGCTGCTGACTTTGCTGGCAAGTACAATCTCCAGGATCAACAGACCCAGCTCATCAACATTAACCACAGAATCCACCTTCTCATTAAGCAGTAAGTGGTATGGTGTTGATTACCTGGCTCGGTGCATAGTATTATAATATAAATTAAATATATATATATTTCAAAGATAGCTATTCAATTAATGCAAATTTTTATATATCATAACTCGTTAAATCTCTATAAAGTACAATATGAGTAAAATGATGTAAAGGGGGGGTATCCAAGTGTAATTGTAGAAATGCAAACAAAAAAAAAAAGTAAACAGAAAAGAAACAAAATGCAAAATATTTTAAGGGGTACCGTTTTTTAAGTCTGTGTATTGGTTGTGTGTTGTGTGTACCAATTCAAATGAGCTTCGATTTCTGCGAGACATTTTTCTTTTTTTTTTTTTTTGAGTGAAATATGTTCACAGGCGGAGAATGGTGGTTGAAGGGTTTTCATTTTGAACAAGGTTTTTTTTTTTTTTTGGTGGTGTATCGGGTTTTGACGGGATTGAGCCACACAGACAACACACACTCACGTCACCACACACAGAGTTAATAAGTTTTCGTTAAGACAATGACCTAGTAGGGACCAAATTTAGAGCTTAGCATGCTCTTCTCTAAAGACACCTTCTTGGACCTTTTCATAAATCTTGTTGAGAACACTGTCAAAGCCTGCCTTACCAAGCTTTGCGTTTTGGTTGAAACGCTCGACACTCCAGTCCTCAATCTTGTTGCAGATGCGCTTGAAAGATGCATAGGCTGTAATGCGTGCTTCTTGGTTGAAAAGAGTAGAAGCCATGGGGTTTTGAGGGTTAGGACTGTAGACGACAGTTTCGTAGACAGAAAGTAAAGTGTTCATGGTAAGGTTGACTGACCGCAGAGTTAGGGTCTTTGATTGAGGGTCGACTTCTGAGACTTCGCGGACATAAGAAATGTTGGAGCCACCGACCAAGGCGAGAATCCACTTGGGGATAGCTTGTTGGCAAGTGATAAGACGTTCAGTGCGGAGGACACCTGACTTGGGGTCGATTTCACGGCGAAGAACGTCGACGGCCACAACATGGCTTGACATTTCATTGGGGTACTTTTTCCAGTTGGCAGCAGAGACCTGTTCCCAGGAGTAGCCGAATTCGTGTTGCGATGAGAAAATCTTCATTGTGTATGAAACTGGTATTATATATACTGAACAAGTATTAATGAGATTGCTAATGCAAAATGTAGGGCTGGATGAATGGATATGGGAATATCTGAAAGACCTTTAGGGGAGAGGAAAGGATAGATAAGAAAGGGGGGGAAGGAAAAGAAAGAAAATAAATAAAATAAATAAAAAAAAAAAAAAAAGGTGGGATATCGTAGAATATTTATATAAAGAGTGAAAAAAAAAATAAAAATTTCGGCTAGGTTCGGGGTAACTATGAAAAAAAAAAAATGTCAATTTTCTAATTAAAAAAAAAATTTGCGGTTCTTCCTTTTTCTGTTCAGTTTTAAAGAAGAAAAAAAAAAAAAAAAATTTAATTCCAAATTTGGAGACTGCTTGTCATATGAAAAAAAAAAAAATTTTTTTATTTTTATTTTTTTTATTTTTATTTTTATTTTTTCTAGAATCGTGGTTGGCTGGTAAAACACTCGTTACTAAATATTCTTACAGACCATATACTACTAGGGAATTTTCTTCCGAGTCTCCGGAGCCGCACACGCATCAAATGATGCATTTTACCATAAGTTGCAACAAACTACTAACGGGTTTTTAGGAGGCCTTTGTCGGACTCTACAAGAGCGCGAGGCACCGCAAGGACACCGCACACGACTCATGACTATGTAAGGGTAATGTCCGCGTGATGATGATGATGATGATGAAATGCAAAAGAAAATAAGAAAATAAGAAAAAAAAAATTTTTTTTAATATTTCAAAAATGGAATGTCATCTCGTGGTATGTTACTAATTCAAGGTTTACGTGTGATTAAGGCCGAAGGTTCCGAAAAAAAAAAAAAAAACTAAAGACCCGAAAGAAAATATATTAAAGAAAAAATAATAAAAAAAAATAAAAATAAAAACGGGCTCTGTATGACCGTGACAAATGTATTAAAAAAAATAAAAATAAAAAAAGAGAGATAATTGTAAAAGATAAAAGAAATAGATTAAGTCTTATCGGCTGGTTTGTTGGTTGGTTATTATGATGATAGAGGACAAAAATTATGAAACCCCGGGGGAAGGAGGGAATTAAAAAAAAAAAAAAAAAAATAGGAAACGTTGGCTAATAAATTTAAATAAATAAACAACAATTGTTATCATGATGACCAGTAGTAACTTGGTTGGATAAAGATGAGGGGGAGGGGGAATATGAATAAAAAAAAAAAAGGATTTTCGCAATAAAGGAAGAAAAAAGAAAAAGAATGGTGTTTTTGTTTTGTTTTGAAATTGATATACGTCTATTTTACAATTGAGCCTTTGTTTTTGTTTTTTTTTGTTTTTTTTTATTATCTTATTATAATTTGCCCGTCTTTGCGCCATTTTAAACAAATACTAAAGAAACTAAATGTTTTGAAATGGTTGAAAAAAATAAAAATAAAAACTTAGAGACATTTCAAAAGAGTTCAAAACAATCTGAATAATTAGTTGCCTTCTTTTTTTTTTTTCTTTTTTTTTTTATTCATCAGTAACAATACTTATGAGCATTAAAAGTTAAGCCATGCAATACTAAATTAAACGGTATTTTTGGTTAATTTGGTGAAACTTTTAATAGTGTAAGTTTAAAATTTAATAATATGGGGGAAACCACTAGAATAGTTTGGCCATTATTGGGATATATTCAAGTCCCTATTTACAAGTAACTGTATTCTGTATTATCCCTTATGTACACACAAGATAGTATGTCTATCAGTCTGTATGAACGCGCCTTAAAAAAAAATTATAATTTTATTTTATAAATTTGTTAAGAAAGAGAATTTTATTATGATGATAATATAATGCGGAAAAAAAAAAAATAAATAAATAAAAAAAAAAGTGGGCAGTTCAAATCATCTCAAAATCAAATGAGCGCAGTTTTTTTTCTTTTTTTCTTTTATTTTCTAAATTATTAAAGTATAAGAAATTCCTCTATCTCTTCTTTTCATCTTGCCATCATAATAACGTTTGATTGATGAGCGGTTTTTGTGATGAACAAACCTTGTTTGTTTGTTCGTTTAATGTTTGTTTGGTGGTGTTGAAGATGATGATGATACCAATTGATGTTGTTGATCTAACCAGACTGAAGAATGTGTAGTGCCTTAATACCTGTTCTGATATTTACACAGTATTATTTATTTGAAAGACAGTCACACTGCTTAAAATGGTTATATTGCTTAGTAAATTTGTCAGCCGCACTTGAGTTACTTTGTGTTGTTGTTGTTGTTTTTCTTTCTTTTGTAATGATGAAATATTTCATTTAAAAGTTGCAATCAATTGTAACTGTAACATATATGTAACAAACTATTACTTAGTGTAACACATTTTTAAAAAATGTTGTAACATTATTACAAATCATTTTTCACTACCACCATTACTACAGCTTACCTCCCCCTTCCCCCTCATAACTGATTTGTAAGCATATAGAGAAGAGCACAGTCATCTTCAGTCACCGCTCACAAAAATTTTTTTCTTGTATGGCTTTTCCCTCCCACACAGACACTCACACACACTCTTCCTCTCTCTTTTTTTTTTTTTTTTTTTTTTTCCTTTTGAAATCCTTCCGTGTCAGTCTTTCTTCCCTCCGACCACACAGCACAAGTCCCCCTGTTAAGCACCTGGTATGTTCCCATTTGCCACTAAATTGATAATGACGATGATGATGATGATGATGGGAATATATATATATATTCAAATTACAGATTTCTATTAATATTATATTTTCAGTCTTGATATGACTATAATCATATTCTTTTAAAAAAAAATTGATGAAATACTTATTACCATTTGCCTTTTTTTTGATTGAAATAAAAGAAAATTTAGCAATCATGAAAAATTTTTATTAAAAAAATATATTTATACCTTGCTTAGAAATCAACTTTGGTGTCTTTGTAATTCTATTTTAATTGACGCCATCCTTATAAATACCTTTACCTTTTACTATATTTACTCTTTTACTTTTTCTTTTTTACCCATCGTCTCTCTTTCTCCCTCTCTTTTCATATATTCCATCTACAAATATTCTAATACATTTCCTTTAGACAAAATGGCTCGCCGTCCCGCTAGATGTTACAGATACTGCAAGAACAAGCCGTTCCCCAAGTCTAGATACAATCGTGGTGTCCCCGACGCCAAGATTAGAATCTACGATCTCGGCAGAAAGAGAGCTGAAGTTGACGACTTCCCTCTCTGTGTCCACCTCGTCTCTAACGAGCTCGAACAGCTTTCTTCTGAAGCTCTTGAAGCCGCCCGTATCTGCGCCAACAAGTACATCACTAAGGTCTCTGGCAGAGAATCTTTCCATCTCCGTATCCGTGTCCACCCCTTCCACGTCCTCCGTATCAACAAGATGTTGTCGTGCGCCGGTGCCGATAGATTGCAACAGGGTATGCGTGGTGCCTGGGGTAAGCCCCAGGGTCTTGCCGCCCGTGTCAACATTGGCCAGATTATTGTCTCTGTCCGCACCAAGGATTCCAACAAGGCTGTTGTCATTGAGGGTCTCCGTCGTGCCAGATACAAATTCCCTGGTCAGCAGAAGATTATCATTTCCAAGAAGTGGGGTTTCACCAACCTTGACCGTGATGTCTATGCTCAGCGCCGTGCTGCTGGTGAGATCAAGGATGATGGTTCCTTTGTCAAGTTCTTGACCAAGAAGGGCAACCTCTTTGACTCTCTTACCAACTTCCCTGACTACGTCCCTGAGTCTGCTTCTGCCTAAGCGTCTTTTTGTAAACTTTTAGGGTGCTTTTTTAAAACAAAAATAAAAATAATAAAAAATTTTGACTTGATGATGATGACGATGAATACAATTGTTTTTTTTTAATTTTTTTTTTTTTGTATTTATATTTGTATATTTACTAAAAGAAAGTATTTATTTTTTTTTGTTACAATTGTATATAATGTAACTTGAAAAAATAAAAAAAAAAAAAACTCCCTTCGTTTTCATATACGTGTTGTAATGGAAGCCTCCCATGCGTGGCTTACCAAAAATATACTCAAAATAATAATAATAATAATAATAAAAAAAAAAAAAAGAACCCCCTTTGATTGTATTGTTGTTGAGTTTTCTTATATTATATAAAAATAAAAAATTCTATCTTTAGATCCTTTTTTTGTTTTCTTTCTTCCTATTCTTTTTTTTTTTTTTTTTTTTAATTCTTCTACCCCCTTTTTTTTTCTTCTTCTTCTTCTTTCATATATATATATTTTCCACATATCTTTAATACATCCTTCTATATATCCCTTCAATTCCATTCACAATGTCTGCCGCTGTTACTCCCTTTTCCGAACGTGAATTCCCCGATACCATCTGCCTGTTTGATGTTGACGGAACATTGACCCCTGCCCGTCTGGTTGTTTCCGATGAGATGCGTGATCTGCTTAAGGAGCTCCGCAAAAAGTGTACCATTGGCTTTGTTGGTGGTTCCGATCTTGCCAAACAAAAGGAACAGCTCGGTAACGATGTCATTTCCCAGTTCGATTTTGCCTTTTCCGAAAATGGCCTGACTGCTTACCGTCTTGGTGAAAAAATGGCTTCCCAATCTTTTATTAATTGGCTCGGTGATGAAAAGTATAACAAACTCGCTCGCTTTATCCTCAGATACCTCGCTGATATTGAACTGCCTAAGCGTAGAGGTACCTTTATTGAATTTAGAAACGGCATGATCAACGTCTCCCCCATTGGCCGCAATGCTAGCACCGAGGAACGTAATGAATACGAGGCCTTTGATAAAGAAAATAAGATCCGCGAGAAGCTTGTTGCTGCTCTCAAGGAAGAGTTCCCTGATTATGGTCTTACTTACTCCATTGGTGGCCAAATCTCCTTTGATGTTTTCCCCACTGGCTGGGATAAGACTTACTGCCTCCAGTACGTTGTCCCTGAGGGCTTCAAGAATATCCACTTTTTCGGTGACAAGTCCTACAAGGGCGGCAATGACTATGAAATTTACACTGACGATAGAACCATTGGCCATGCTGTCAACTCTCCTGAGGATACTGCTCGTATTCTCAAGGAACTTTTCTTCCAGTAAATGCGTCCTTTTTTTTATGTCATCACCCCCCCCCTCTATTAATGTCTAACCCCCACCACCATTCATATTATTGTACTTTTATGTAAATTTTAATTTTTTTTTTTGTATCATTTTTCTTAAAAAAATTAACTTTTTTTTGTTCTATTTAGTTGAAAGCTTTTGAAAAAAGTTATATGGTATTTTTTTTTTTCAAGTCAACAGACGAATATAGGCAAGAACCAGTGCAAAGGCACCAGTGCAAACACCAATAAGCCATTGAACCACCTGCAATTTGGTGGCCTCAATCTGAGTCTTGAAATTTGACATTTCTTGATCTATCCTCGATCTGGTTTCTGCAATCTTAAGTTCTTGCTTAGATGATTCCTCCCTTACACGGCCCTTTTCAAGATTCAAGTCTAATCGTACAGATGCTTGTTGTTTTGCAATTTCCTCCTTGAACTTTTGACGTAATTTATCAATGTCTGTCTTTAGCCTTTCATTTTCTGTTGCAATTCTCGTCGCATCGGTCTTATCCAAAGTTTGCAGTTCACTCCGCAGCTTGGCAAAATCAACCTTTTGCTGATACGATTGTCGTGAAAATTCTTCTTTAGATACCAAGTTACGCTGTAAGTTCCCAATACCATCATCAATCACTGATGCAACTGCCTTGAGTACAGCTTCGGCTTGAGTTGCTGAAAATCCTTGACGCTCAAGTTGAATCATAAACCTCCGAGTATCGAAATGTGAGTCTCGACATAGCAGTGAAGATGAAAAATTGCGTTTATTGAGTAGAGTTGAAGTGATTGGAGATCGGACCAGTTGGCGTCGGCCACATGGTGCAATGCATCTTATTAGTGTGGTCATGTTGTAATGCTGGTAGGTGTTTGGATAAATTGTTGTTGGTTGGTCTAGTGGTGAAAAACAAGGGGGTTAAGTTGGGTTAAGTTGGGAATGGAAAGAAAAAAAAAAAAAAAAAAAAAAACGTGTGGCAAGTCAGAAAAATGGGCGGCTTTAAACGGCTGAGATTGTTAAGAGAGCTATTTAGCAATTATATGTGTGAAAAAAAATTTTTTTTTTTTTTTTTACCAGCCAAATGGCAAACACAAATCATCGCACGAGGATTATTAACCGCCACGGGTTCTCCCCAAATTTGTTTTTTTTTTTTTAAAGTCTAAAGGGCCCTTTCTTGAACAACTCAGTTTTTTTTTTTTCAAACAAGGATTCAATCACTTTTTTTTTTTTTTGACAATCATCTATCTATTTATTTATCTATCTATTTTCAAGTAATCAGAAAATCTTTTACATACCATGAACAGAATCTCATCTGCTCACAAAAAATCAATAACCTCTGCAGCTGTTCTTACCACAGCTGGCCTCCTCGCCTACTCACAGTACCTTCGCTCTTCTGTAATTGCAAACGAGGCCCCACAACAACAACAACAACAACAATCTACTGAAACAGATCTGTCAATCAAGCCAAAGAAAAAACGCTTTAGTCTTCCTGCTTCTCAATACCCTGTATCATACCCTGGTCTTTACATCTGGGGCTCTAATGCCGGTGGCGTAGTAGCCCCAGGCTATGAGTCTCTTGTCCAAGTCGTCAAAACACCTTACCGCATCCCATTCTTTGATGGCAGACTTTTGCGCGACGTGGTCCTTAAGGAAGATCTTGGTGTTGCTGTTCTTGATAATGGTGACGTTGTGCAATGGGGCAACGACTACTTTGGTGCACCATCCTCTCAATCCGAGGTCCAATCAACAACAACAACAACAACAGATCTTGTCAAAAAAAAATCAGTTGAGCCCACTCACCAACCTGAAGTTACACTAAAGGGTAAAAATATCACAAAAGTGACTGTTTCCGAACACAAGGCCGTCTATGGTCTCAATTCATCGGGCTCTAAAGTCTATGCATGGCCTGTAAGTAAGAAGGACCTCAAGACCGGTCCCAAACCTATTTCCGAGAGCTCATGGCTTAAACCTTGGAAACTCATATGGCGCTCAAAGGATAGCGTCTCTTATACCACTATCAATATGCCTGCACTTGGTTGGGGCGAGTACATCACAGATGTCCAGGCTGGTAACGACCACATTCTTGTCCTCACATCTAAGGGCCGCGTGTTTTCTGGTGCGTCCGGTGTGTTCCCTGAACATCAACCAAAGGAATCACATGGTCAATACGGTCTTGCGCGTTTTTCACAATTTGAGACCCCCCCAGAACCTGGTGTTGTCCATGAAATCAAGTCTTTTAAAAACAAGGTTGTTGATCAAATCGCCTGCGGTGATTACCACTCGATTGCACGTACACTCACCGGTGACGTTTACGTCTTTGGTGACAATACCCTTGGCCAACTCGGTCTACCTTACACTTATAAGAATGCAATTGCTGCTGTCCCCACCCTTCTACCTATCCATAAACTATACCCACGCAAGATCCTGCCAACTGTTACCAACATTGCAGCTGGTGGTAGCACCAGTTTTGTAACAGTTCAGCCGGTCCTCAACACAGCTGAATTTTACCGTGAGTTCCCAGGTGAAGAGGAAGAAAAGATGAAGGCACTTGTAGATAAAGATGTTCTTGATGGTGTTGCACGCAACGTGTTTGCGTTTGGTAAGGGACTTAAGGGCCAGCTCGGCAACGGTAACTTTGTACACGCTCAAAGTTCGCCTGCGTCTGTCAAGTACTTTGCCCAATTGAAGGAATACTCTGAGGACCTAGGAAAGAGAGTTCCTATCGATATTACCAAGTGGTCGATTGGTCCCTCTCACGTTGCTGTTGCTCTCGGAGGAGTCAGCAGTAGCAGTAGCAGTAGCACCAAAAAGGATGGCACCCCTGATCTCCCTGGTCAAGACGTGTTGATCTGGGGTGGCAATGATTTTTGGCAAGTTGGCACTGGCAAACGTAATAGTCTGCCGACTCCACAACGCATTCCTTCACTCGAAAGTTCCATTGCAAATGCAAGTTTGCCTAAGAAAAAACAACCAGAGATTGAAAACGGTGTAGAGGAGAGCACCGAGGAAGGTGTTCGTGCGGCTGTGGAATACATTGATAATGTGGATTCATACAATAACCGATTACAACTGGCTCACCACAAGCCTCTCACGTTTAAGGATCCAAGTGGACACAAGTATAAAACGACGGTGTCTCAGGATATTGTTGTTGGCGGATATGCGACCGCAATTTATACCAAGAGACCATGAAAAAATCTAGATTGTACATAGCTTTTAGGATTAATGAATGCAAAATAATGAAAAAAAAAAAGTAAATAAACACAATCATAAACACCTAAAGTTTTAAAAAGAGTTTTTATAATTTTATTATATTTTTGTATCATTTACTTAAATATGAAATTAATGGAATCCAATTCTAAAAAATAGACTGAAGTATCTAATTGAATGCAATCTTAACATATGGGTGCTCGATAGTAACATTCCCGGAAAACAGATCAATAATTAAAAACTTTTTAAAATTTCATTTTATTAAAGTATCTATAAATCACTGAAATCAGGCTCTTCAATGATTTCAAGTTTAATTTTCGATAAAATTTGACAACAAGTACAGCTCAAAAAAAAAAAAAAAAAATGCATTCTAATATTTACATATGGTTTAAATTAAAGCTTTGAATCTTGGGGGAAAAAAGTTTTGACCAAAGACTTCTTGTTCACTTTGCCCATTTGGTTTCGAGGAATCTTGTCAATCACAAGCATTTTCTTGGGTATTTTCCAACCAGCAAGCTTCTTCTTAAGCTCACCCTTTAGATATGATAGCGTAAATTCCTTCTTTTGTTGTTCAGTCAATGAAGGCTTCAAAACCAAAATGGCAGTCACGACTTCACCCCACTCAGCATCTGGAACGCCCACAACAGCGACCTCAGCCACCTGTGGAATACCCAAAATCTCACGCTCAATTTCAAGTGCGGAAAGCTTTTCACCTCCAGACTTGATGATATCCATTGACGAGCGGCCTAGAATTGACAGGGTATCAGTTTGGGGATCATATCGCGCAACATCGCCAGTGATAAACCAACGCTCGTCCTCAGGTGATTTTTGCTCCAGAAAAGTTTCCTTAGTGGCTTGTGGCTTGTTCCAGTAGCTCTGGAAAACGGTAGGACCACCCATGACAAGATCACCCTCCACAATGGTATCCGGACGAATTACAGCTGGACTGTCAAACCCGCCGTCACCACTTTGATACAAAATCTTGTTTCCGTTCTTAATATCCATTACACGTGCAACAATTGAAGGTGCTGGCTTACCAACAGTACCGCCAACACGCTTGGAAGGCTCGAGGGGCTGAGTAAGAGTGATACCTGTTTCAGTCATACCATAACGCTCGAGCAATGGGACTGCACCATCAGTAACACGGTCCCAAGACGATCGCAGAGGATCTGGAAGAGCAGCGGAGCCGCACATGGCCAATTGGAGGTTACGGATACCTTGCTTAAGGGCTGGAGAAGCAGAAAACTCGGTATTAGCAGGATCATCCAGAAATGTGACTAGACGTGTGTAGATTGTGGGAACAGCCGTGTATGTGTTAATGGGGGGTGATGGCACACGCTCACCAGATGCAAGAACGTCAAATACATCTGTACCAGCAAGACGATGCAGCAGAGAATCAGGCTTGAAGGGGAAAAGGAACTCGACACGGCCACCAGCCAAGACAGAAAGAGTTAGGGCAATCAGCACGCCATGGACATGGTGGAGGGGAAGTGTATGAAGGAAATTAGTAGTATTATCGATTTCCCATGCTGCAGAAAGAGCCTTGGCTTGAGCAGTAAATGTTGACAGAGGGGTAACAACGCCCTTAGGTTTACCAGATGTGCCAGAAGTGTAGAGCATGTAGCCAGCACCGCTGCTAGACACACTATCTGAAAACTCGACTGGTTCTTTGATTGTCTTTGCTGGTTCTGGCTGGAGTTGTTCAAAAGTCAAGACTTTTCGTGACTTTTCAGCGCCATCGGTTGTTTTGACAGCTTCATTTGCAAACTGCTCGACTTTAGGGAGAAACCGAACTGGAGTGACGACAATCTCGGCCTGCGAGTCGTTGAGCTGATACTCAATCTCTGCAGCAGTATGGTTTGTACAGAGAGGGACAGCAAGAGTATTTGGCAGGGCCAGAGCGGCGTAGAACATGACGGCAAACTGATATGAGTTTTCACCCATAATAGCAATACGTGCACTGGTACTGGTGGGCCCAGCCTTATCGGATACGCCGGTCAGCTCCTGGAACTTTTCGCGCCAGAAGCCAATGTCACGTAGCATCTGTCCATATGTGTAGGCATTTCCGGAGGGAACGTGACGGATGGCAACTGCATTTTCAGGATGAGCCGCAAGTTTGGAAAGAATAGGGTGATTTGCGGGGAAGTGATAGTTGCGGGAGGCCATGGCGAACAGATTCAATGAGGGAGATCTTGCAGACAATGGTCTCAGAGAGCTAAGCGGCCGTTTGACAAATGAGTTTCTGAGCATTGTACGTTGAGAAAAAATGTAGTATTTATAATATATATAACAAAACTTTTTGAGGAGATACCCAGCTCCAGTATTTTACCAAATATATGTAAAAAATGGTGTTTCTAATTAAGATTTGCAAAAAAAAAGAAAAAAAAAAATAGGGCTTCAGAAAGTGGTTGAAAAAAAAAAAAAAAATAAATGCTGGCAACATGGCCGTTTAAAACGAGTAGCTGGTATGAAAATACTTGAACAGCGGTGTTTTATTGGCCATTCAAAAAAAAAAAAAATGAGCGCTACGGAAGAATTAAAGAGCGATAACGGATAAAGAGCCGCGAAGTGAGCCGCACGTTAATTTACAACGGGACCTTTCACTACAGCAAGGAAAGTAGCAAACAAGAAAAGAGGCCAAAAAACAAAAAAAAAAAACAAAAAAAAAAAGACACAGGCCGCGGGAAAAAGAGGACCCGGTTTTGGGGATATCATTGATTAATAAAAATGATAAAGATAGTAGAAATGATTGCTGATTGTGCGTGATATTTGTAAAGTTGATGGGAAATGTGGGGGGCCATGTATTTTGAATCTGCTATGGCTAAAACTTGGAGATACACTATCTAGATGATCATTCACCCCATCATTTAAATGAAAACTAGATGAGAAGTGTACATTATAATGTAATTTATAATTATAATTCCAAAGAAATTTTAAACTACTTTGATAAATCAATTTGAGACTGTTGGAACTTTTTTTTTTTTTTTTTTTTTTTTTTCAATCGTGGCTTGCCTAGTACTTTGATTGAGTGAAGAAAAAAAAAAAAACGCTGTCATCACCATTACATAGTTTGTAACCGATTCAAGCACATTTTTCATCAACTCTGAATCCTAATGGTTCTTCGCTTTCAACGATCAACTTGACGTGAGAATCCTCTTTTTTTGAAATACTCCGAAAGACAACCACGGGGGCAATTGGGGATAAAGGACTGCCAGCTTACAAATGAAATGCAACTCTTTTTTTTTTTTTTTTTTTTTTTTTGAGCGGAGTTGCGAAATAACGTCATTTTAGAGAGCATTTGTAAGCAATTCTGCAATGTATATAAAGATCCCACATTCACAAGTGAAGTTGATATAATTAAAAACTTCATTAAGATCTCTTTTCTAGTCTCAATTCAATTCAATTCAATTCAATTCAATTCAATTCACCTCTGTTTAACTTTTTTTTCAACCCTTTTTAACCGTATTTAACCCGATTTAACTTTATTAAGCTATACTACTCAACTCACAATGGCTTTTGACAAAATTCCTCAACAATATGCACCTGCTTCCAAGGGAATCACTCTCTACTCACTAGGTACTCCTAATGGTGTCAAGATCTCGGTTGCACTGTCGCTCCTTGGTCTGCCATACAAGACTCATACCGTTGACATTTCCAAAAATGTTCAAAAGGAGCCTTGGTTCTTGGAAATCAACCCCAATGGCCGTATTCCAGCCATTCTTGACATTTCTGACGATGGTAAGATTGTCAATGTCTGGGAGTCGGGTGCCATTCTACTCTATCTTATTGAAAAGTATGACAAAGACTACAAAATTTCTTACCCCCGCGGCACTCCTGAGTACCTCCAAACAGTTGAGTGGCTTTTTTTCCAAAACGCAGGTGTCGGCCCGATGCAGGGCCAAGCTAACCACTTCAAGGTCTTTGCTCCAGAGAAAATTGAGTACGGCATCAAGCGCTACACCGAAGAAACTCGAAGACTCTACTCAGTCCTAGAGAAGCAGCTCGAGGATAATAATACGGGCTACCTGGTCGGTAACCACGTCTCTATTGCTGATATCACCACCGTCGGTTGGGTTGGAAGCTCCTTTTCACTGGGCATTGATGTTTCCAAGGAATTCCCAGCTATTAACAAATGGGTCCAGCGTGTTATTGATCTTCCTGGTGCTGCTGCAGGTTTCAATGCTACTGGCACTTGGAGAGGTTTCACACTGGGACCCTGGAAGAACCCCGATAAATCCAAGTAGATCAATCATATATATAATTTAAATAATAAATAACCAAACAAGTCATTACATTTTCATTACGAACACATTTTATCATGCAAGTCATTAATTTTTATATTATTTTTTTGTCATTCAACTACCATTAATTTTCTATTTTATACAAAATATAATTTAAACGGCAGTGAGAATGTCAGAGTCACCGGCATCGATGATAGCGAGGACACCAACACGGAAGAGCTTACCGCAGGCAGTACCGAGCTCGTTGTTGCCACCCTGGAAGTGGTGAACAGTGGTCTTGGAGAGAAGAGCGTAGTACTCAAGCTCGGACTTGCGAAGACGGGGGGTGTTGCCAGCAATGATGACAAGCTTGGCCTTACCCTGGCGGAGAGCCTTGATAGTGGACTTGTAGCCAAGGGTGTACTTGCCAGACTTGATAACAAGCGACAAACGAGAGTTGATGTTCTCTTGATCCTTCTTAGTCTTAGGGGCCTATTATATATAGTTAGTACAATTAAAAAATGCTTTCAATAGGCCACAAGATTACAAAATTTTACAAAAAATTCATCGTTTCCAGCAATGATATTCTAAAAATTTCACAAGACACTGTGCTCTTGAAAACTATAGAAATCAAAATGTTGAAAAACGTTAAATATAGTGTAAAGTCCCAAAATTCTAATAAAGGACTGCATTTCTCTCATGTTAATTATCATCAAATTTAATACTAACCATCTCTGCGAATTTTCACTCCGGTGTTTTGTGTGATGAGAAAAAAAAAAAAAAAGAGAGAAGAGAAAGGAGAAAAAGGACCGAGAAAATACAACCTTAAAGGATTTTCAAATATTGCGGCTTTCCTTCCAGTGCCCACTAATTAAGAAAAATTTTCAGCCATATTAGGGAGGTAGACTATTTTGTTACAATACTCTGTAACAAATATTTTTAACAAAGCATGCTTGTTATGTGTGTTGGTAGACTGGTAGACTCAGAATTAGTTCTGAATAATACTCCAGACCACAAAGTTATAAAAATAAAAACAACAGTCACATATACATACCATATCAGGTATAACACACACGTGACCTTTATATTCTCTTGCTACAACATCTACTAAAGAATTATGTTACAATGTGTTACAACGCAACACACAAATCTTTAAGTGAGCGCGAGAGAGGGAGGGAAAAAAAAAAAAAAAATTCCCGACTCTGGTTGCTCTCCCCCTTTGGCTCGCTTCTGGTTCCGTTTTGCCAACCTACCTTACCCAGGCTTCACATCCATCGACACCCTACCACATCAACAAGGTATGTACTCAGTATACTCTGTTATGTGATGTGCATTCTTTAAAATAATTAAAATACCAGTGACTTGATATTGTTGTTATAATCTTAGAATACCCTCTATGCTGTCGATATTATTATGTTGGAAATAAAGCTTGTTATACCTCGATGTAGTCGTTTTGCAACGATACGTTTTGTTAACTTTTGATTAATGAGATAATACTGAATGTTACGCTTAAACAACAAGCACTTTGAATTGCTAAAATGCTGATTATTTAGTTTGCACTCACAACTTATTTGTTGAAAATATTTGTCTAATACGTTTTTAATTCAGGTTCACAATGAAGATTGAAATTGACTCCTTTTCCGGCGCCAAGGTCTACCCTGGCAGAGGCACTCTCTTCGTCAGAGGCGACTCTAGAATCTTCAGATTCCAGTCCTCCAAGACTGCTTCTCTTTTCCACCAGAGACTGAACCCCAGAAAGATTTCCTGGACCGTTGTCTACCGCAAACAGCACAAGAAGGGTATCACTGAGGAGGTTGCCAAGAAGCGCACCCGCAAGACTGTCAAGAACCTCCGTGCTGTCGGTGGTGCTTCCGTTGAGGTCCTCAAGGAGAAGCGCAGAGCTGGTATTTCTGTTCAGTCCAAGACCCAGGCTGCTCAGGCTGCTAAGAAGAAGGAGCGTGCTGACAAGGCCAAGAGCGCTGTCGCCCACTCCAGAGGTGCTCCCAAGGTCTCTAAGCAGCAGGCCAAGGGTGCCCAGCAGAAGGTCCAGGCCACTTCTCGTTAAAGAGTTGTGATTTGCTTTTTTGTGTAAACTATTACGTTGAAAAAAATTTAAAAAAATTCTCTGCCATGCCTCTCCAGAGCAAAGACCAAAGGGTGTGCCATGTCGTTTGGGTTAGAAATGTTATTTTTTTTTTGTTTTTAAACTTTTTATTGAGATTAGACTAAATGATCTCTTTTCAAAATCTTTTTTTAAAAGTAGTTTTGGATCTTTTTTGCTCAAATCCCCATGAAATTTCAAAATTGAAATCAATTTTGATTGTTCACAAAGTCCCTGAAAAAAAAAAACTAATGTATAGAAAAGCGTAAATCATAAAATCATTAGTCATCATTACAAATATCACATGACAAATTACATTACAACTTTATTGTAACAAACCTCTACTTAGCCTTTCCTCAGTCACACTGCCTTTTTTTTTTCTTCTCAAGACCCGGCGATTTTTATTCATCAACTTTTTATTGGCTGACTTTTGGCCTACTGCTCGAGCCTATTAACCATCCTTTTATTTGGGAAAAACCCTCCTACGCCCGTAGCCCACACCCTTCTAGCATAGGTTCCCGCCCGTCTGTTTTCAACAAAAATTTCCTCTCTACTTGCCTAAGTCCTCAACACATACACACACACACACACACATACACATATATACACACAATGTCGGAGTTCAAGAACGTCACCCCCATCAAGGGCGAATATGAGGTATGTTGTGGCTCATCACTTTTATATATTATTGTTGGATAGACTCCCTCCCTCTTTGAAACCGACCTTTAAAATATCTCAAAGATAGACTGAGAGCTGGACCAACAAAGCTTCCCTAGTTGAACCAACACTAACATTCTTTTTTTTTTCCCCTCCTAAATAGCTGATTGATATCGATCCTCACTTCACCCGTGTCGTCAAATACTTCAGAGCCTCTGATTACCTCCGATGGGCTCTTTTCACAGCATCCGCACCACTTTTCCTTGTTTGGAGTGAACACATTCAATCCGAGGGCAAGAGCCGAAAAGTCTCGCCCCGCACCTTCCGCATTGCCACGTTCATTGGTCTTGCTTCCGGCTTTATCTTTTCTTACAACCGCTCCGTCCAGCGATTCCAGGGCATCGTTGAGAACGCCCCCGAGGTGACCAAGGACCGTTACGAAATCAAGTCCCGTCTCTCCAAGGGCCTCAAGCCTTACGGCGACTCGGACCTTGCTCCTTGGTTACAACGTGTTGCTGCCAGAAACTCGACATATTCTTCCACCTTCACACACGTTTTCCCCTGGTTCAACTTGGTTAACCACGAATATCACGGAGTCGATCTCAAGAAGTACTACGAAGTTAGAGAGGGCGAAGAGAAGTGGGGCTTTGATTTGAAGCTTCCTACTGACGAAGAGTAAATGTACTATACTACTAATACTACTACTACTACTTGCTAATGTATCGACAAATAATACCATTTAATACCATTTCATCTCTCACATATTACGCTTCAACAAATTTACATCAATCACCATTATCAACAAACTTTTTTTCTCTCCTCTTGAAAATAAAATGACAAAGAAAACATTACCAGGTCTTTTTCAATGGCTCAATCAATATATTATACGGCTTTGATAGTCAATTATATCTATTAAAATGTAAAAAAAAATCCAATAGAAATTGTTACATCTTGATATTAATGGATACCTTTTTTTTTTTTTTTTTTTTTTTTCTTTTGCTTTTTCAATGACATTAGGACTGAAGCGTAATTTGATCAAGACTAATGGAAGGATTTCGAAAGGGGGCTGGATGTTGATATTTTGAGTCATTCACGTTTAGAGCCGCAGTTTCCACAGAGTTATAAGTGTAGATTGCTTGAAGAAGATTATCAAATATACTCCGAGGAACATGGTAACTCAACTGAACTAGAGACCCCATAGTAATTGGTAATTCAATTTTCTTATCCTTTTTATTGTCATTATTTTGAGTGCTTGTAATTGAAATTAGAGCCTTCTTGTAGTCATCACCATCCAACGTTGGCAGATCAAAATATGCCGATGACAAGCGCCGATCAAAATTGTCTGGGTCCTCTTCGGGAAGTCGTCTGGGTTCTAATACACGTACCAAGCGGCGCGGACGGTAGTCACCAGGATCAAAGTATACACGGTTTGTTCGAGGGAAGAACGGCGACTTGGCCATATCACTGACGGAACGGAACGTGTTGATGGCCAGGTCCCCCATCATGCGCTGCGGTTCCCAGCTCCCATACTGGTAAACATACTCCTCGTAAACGTCAATGAAGTTTGCCCAGTTGACAGGAATGTTGTTTGTAGGGTCGCTGGGATCCGCAGACACCAGAATGGGTGCACGCGTCAAGGTCGAGCTGATGTGAATCTCTTCAAAGTGTGCAAACTTGCTGGCAACAAGAGGCCATAGAGGGACTGCATTTTCATTGACACACGGCTCGCCGTCGTCTAGTAGGTGTCCCGGACACAGAAATATTCCGCCGACCCATTCGCCTGCCGGGTACAAGCTAACTACGCGGCGGGAGGTTGTTTTGTGACGTGCCAGAATATAGCACACGGCTTTTTTATCTTTATTGCCCGTGCAAAACTTTTGTCCCCATTTAATATCCTGCGACTGTGGCAGAGGCAGGAACGCATCGTAGGGTCGGTCTTTGCCCTTGTGACATCGGGTCACTCTGAGGTGGTTTTGGGGTGGGTAGTCTACCGTGTATTGATGTTGGACAATGACGCCTGAAAAATCATTACCGTAAATGTCTTGCTGAGAACAGAAATTGCTTTTGGAAATGATTTTGGCTGTGACTACAGACGCAACCAAAATAAAGACCCGATACACAATTGAAAAATGCATGAGTTTTTTTTTTTTAAAGAATTGATTATTTCTAGATAAGTTTAAACAAGTATTTGAAGAATTTTTAGAGTATTTATAAGGAAAAGCTGTTTGTGACAAAATCTGGGCTGATTGCCTTTTATTTGGAGCTGTTGAAAATTTCAACTTCATGCGTATTGAGGCATTGAATAGTTCAATAATTGAAATTTCATGTAAAAATTATGAGAAAATTATGGAATCTAGTACAAAATATGTTCAACTTTTAACTGGTATTTCAAATCTTGCATATGTAAACTTCTGAATGGTTTTTTTTTTTTTTTTTTTTTAAAAGAACTCATATATTAAAATAATTACTACTTATGAAAACTACTAATAAGAATTGTCAAGAAACTCGTCAATGTTTGTAGGAGGAGGAGGATGTGAAAACATTGGATCTTCATGACGAATAGCCTCTTCAAACTTGACAGTCAAGTTCTTTTTATAATCATTAAGAACATCTTTGGGAATAAATCCATATGTTTTCAAAATTTGTGACGTTGAAATGGACAAGCTGTTTGAGGACATAAATGAACTAATTTCAATGTCATCATCATCAATAACAGCTACAAGTCGCTCGGTTTCAAAATTGTGACGGCGAAAAAAGGGAGGCTCCTTGGTCCAATTTTCAGCTTCAAACGGATGTCTGTCGGCAGTCATGTAAGTGTTTCTGCGAGGTCTACCGTCACCAAACTCGGCATAATAATCTTCTGTCAAAGGGACAAAAAAGAGACCTACATATGAATTGGTAAGAAAATAGTATCCATTGGCCATAAAGTCTAGAGCTAGACGTAACATGTTGCGCTCGTCATTGTCAAAAGTATAGGACTCATGAATGTCGATATAAGTCCACCAATTGTATGGGGCTTTTCTGTAAATATCCGCATGAGGGACACCACCTTCAGTAAGAGTCACAAGTAAGGGAACACGGCGAATCAAGTGTCGCAAGTCGGGCAAGTCTTCCCATTCAAAGAATGGTTCGTCAGCATAGAGAGGGAAAAGTGGCATTGCATTTTCGTTAGTGCAGGGAATGTGGTTATCATCAAGATTACCAGGGCATCGGAAGATACCTCCGACCCAGTCACCATGATAAAATAAGGCACTATTTCTCTGTGCAGCTACTTTACGACGTGCCAAAATGTAGCAAGCACCGTCATGGTTATGATGCGATGTACAGAACCTATGGCCCCACTTGATGTCTTGATTGCGGTTCATTGGGAAGTATGAGTCCCAGCCATTGACTTCGTTACGTACACACCGAGTGATACGGGTATGGTGATCAAACGGGTAGTCCAAAGAAATTTGGTGTTGGATACGGAAACCAGTATATTCTTGGAGACCCAGGAGGGAGGGTTGACAGGCATCATGGATGGATCCAAGGGGCAAGTCTTGGTACTTTTCCTCATCATAGGCAAAAGAAAAAGCTATGAACAAAGCAATTGTTATTGGTTTAATTAGGCATTTAGGTAACATCATTGTGAGATTGATAGAAATATTTTGGATGGTTTTGAAGATGAAATTAAGGACTTTTCCATAGTATTTATAGTGCTTAAGAGAATTACAATGGGAATCATTGTAAGAGGGTATCCAAGTTGTTGACTATGTGATAATCGTGTGAAAAATAAGAATTTAATGCAAGCAGGCATGAATTTTTCAAAAGAAAGGCTTGTATAGTAGTGCATTAATTTCTCAAATATCAAAACTTGAAATTCATGGGCCTAATTCGGTAATAAAGACTTCTAGCAGATATAGTTTTCAAAGAATTCCAAGCCATGTTACAGATAAAGCTTATCAGCAGTAACTTTGGGACTGTCTTCTAATAGTGAACCCTAACATCAAATAATGAATTAGGGTTAAATATAAAGCCACACACACTCACTAAGATTTTATTATCGTCGTCATCATGCATACCAAATTGTCTGATCTTCTCCTGCAGTGCAGACAAACTGTCCATCTTAGCGATCTTTAAAGGGCAAAACAGTTGATTTCGGGAAAGGAAAAAAGAGAGAGAAAAAAAGTGTTAAAGTTCTATTTCTAAAATGTGTGATTTTAGTTCAAATTAAAGGCTTTTAGAAATAACTTTTGTTTTTTTTTGTTAAAATATGCCAAGGTCTTTTAGCCATAGAAGAGACAATTTGGCATAAGAAATACTTTATTAGGCGGTATTTAAATAGGCACGTTTTTTTTTCTTCATTGTTCTTTTCATAAGTTTATTTGGAGATCATTGGTAACCACTTTCTTTTTTTTTTTTTTTTTTTTTTTTTTTTTTGTCCAATTATCAATGGTAAAGGAAAAGTTTAAAATTGTTAAAGTTGACTAAATAGAAAGATATCTTATTTCCTTGGATTACAGCTCAGATTAATAAAGGTTGTATATACATGTGTATGGATATTTTATGAGCCGAAAAAAAAACAAATTCTGTCAGGTTTCTCAGTGTGCAGAACAACTATTAGTGAAGGGCATATCCATACACAGTATGCTGTCTCGTATTTATGTTTTCGTTGTTGCTTGAGCTGATGAAGGGAAAAAAAAGCTCATTGTGACATGTGTATGGGTTCTGTAGAATGAAAATGCACTCGGATCACGATAGAAGGTTTTTAGAAAACGAGTGATTTTGAATCGTTTGAAATCAAATATATTGAGAGATTTTTTTTTTTTTAAGATTAAACATATATATAGAATCTTGCTCATGGTCGCAAATAAAAGAAATGAATTCCCCACAAATCAAATATATATATAACTAATAACCTTCTATTTAGTAAGACTAGTAAGGTTAAAGTTCATCTGTAAACCCTTAGAATACGTTTTTTTGTATATCGTGGAGAAAAAAAAACGGAGCTGCTTCTGTCCAACTGACCAATGTGGCCCAGCGGGCGTGCCATTAGGTACCATCGCCCAGCATAGCAGTACTAATACTCAGATTAAAGTAGTCATCTACAATACATTGTAGGAGAGTGTGGTAGTAGTAGTAGTATTAATGCTCCATTGTATGTGAGTATGGGTGTGAGTGCCAAAAATACCCGTCGGTGAGTTTGTGTTTGTAAAATTCACACACCATCATTTTCAAAATAGTCAGTTTTTTTTTTCCCATTTTTTTTCGTTTCTTTCTTCTTTCCCCCCCATTCATTCAAACACAGCAACTAATATTATAAATAAATATATAATTTTCAACAAGGTTATTCTAAATCATTCTGTTTTTATTCTTTCTTCCCTAAATATTTTTATTTCATTTCATTTCTTATCTTTTGATTTATTAATATATTCATCATGACCGATCAAACAAAACCAAGGGGGATTCTCAGAAACAGAACAGAACACCCAAACATTTTGCCCGGGGCCGAAACACCCGATAACGCCGTGATTGAGAGTGGTGACGCCCCAAAGTTTGACCGACACGCGGTACTTCTCAACACAAAAGCAAATGCCCAGATTCACGCGGTCGGGAATGCCATCATCAAGAAGCACCAAAACGAACTTGCAGAAGAGCTCACCAAAAAGGGGAAGCCTGTACCCGCATCTCTGAATGCCACCACCGCTCCAACAGATGCAACTGCTGGGTCTGCAATTGCAGGTTCCACTGAAAATGGCGAGGATGGACACTTACCAGAACACTTGAAGTGGGATGAGGTTAATCTGTATTTGACGGAGCAAGAGAAGAATGCAACAATGAAGATCACGGAGCCAAAGACACCATACCAGAGCCATGCCGGATCGACCGAGTATTATAAGGAAGATGATGATGATCTTTTGGACGGAGAGGAAGGTTTAATTTTGGGAGAGCCTGAGCTGCCTGTGCAAAGCGATGCGACTATAGAAAATGACCGAATTGTCAAGGACGAGTCTGTGGTGAATGAGCCTGAAGAAGAAGAGGAAGAAGAGACTCCAGAAGAGAAACACAAGCGATTTGAAGAGCTTCGTAAAAAGCATTACTTTATGAAGGGGGCAGTTCTGCATCATCCCAATGCTGCTGATGAAGAAGACAAAGATGATGACGACAACTAAAAACGAAAACGAAAACGAAGGGGATGATGATGATGATGGGGCGTTGAAAGCAAGCCAAAGCAAATGCTACCGCAAACTTTTGCAAATTAACGACCACCTCTGTATCTACACACATCTGTTATTGCTACTACGACTCATGATTATGATGATATATTGCTATTGTGATATTTACTATACTACACATATTATTATGAATAGCTTATAATGAGAATTAATTTTTGTTTATGATGATTGAATTAATTTTTTTTTTACTATTTACAACACCTATTTGGACTAAAAAAACCGCTCAAAACTGGAAATGGACTTTTTATAAAAATAACAAATTAAACAAGAAATCAATTTACTTCCAGAACCAGCCAGAAGTGCCATCGTTCCCCTTACCATCATTGGGAGAATTGTTAATCTTTTCAGTTACAGAAGCAGTACCATCATCGTACCATTTCTCAATGACTTTTCTCGTTTCCAGCGAGCCATCATCCTTAGTGACAGTTGTTGACGAGTAAGCAGACGAAACCACCTTTTTGTTTTGAGCCTTAGCTTCTTCTTCAGTAATAAACTTGGGTGAAGAAGTAGTCAATTGACCTGACTGATATTGCTGAGGAGATTTATCGCCAAACTGACTGTCAAACTGTTTTTGCCACTCGGCGCGTTCAAGACGACGCTTGGCCGCAATGGCTTTTCTAACGGCTGACTTCCAGTCCAAATATGTAGTAAAATCTGAAAAGACCTGTGTTTCAGTTAAAGTTGAAGATGTAGAAGGATCAGTGGTGTTAGAAGCAGATGCATAATCTGCATTCTTGGACTTTTCTAAAGCCTGATCAAGACGAGCTTGGTCAGAAGAAGATTTCGGGAACAAACAGCGCCAGACACCCTCACGAGTCCACAAAGAAGTGCCCTGAAGCTCCTTGCAGTTGTCATACTGGCGAGTGGAAGGAACAGGGAAAGCCCAAAGGTTTCTAGGCTTGGATTGATCCAATTCAATTGTTTGCGGAGACGTCAATGAATCACCTGTGGTTGTAGTCAATGAACCTGAAGCTCCAACATTTTCGTTACTCTCTGAATCACCCTCGACTTGGAAAACGTCCAATGAAGAGTTCCAGTTACGGCTGTGATTCCATTTCCAAGGAAGCCTTGAGAAGCCACTGTCTTCGTCTGAAGAGGACGAAAACCATGGGTTATGTTGGAAAAAGTTATCTGCACGTTCGCGGAAAAACGTGGGGATAGAGGTTGAGAGAGTATCATCAACTGAATCTGACCAGCGGCCTTGGTAATCATTGTACAATTGTGAGGCATTTCGGTACATGCGATCGAGTGTTTTGTCGGTCAAATCAATAAAGTCGGAAATGGGCGATAAGGAATCGTCCTTGCTGGCACTGGAGCCAATGTTATCCTTCTTGTCATTATCGTTGGTCATTGTGTAAAGGTTATGAATTCGTGAGAAAGAAAGAAAGGAATTTAATTGCTTTGTATACTATGTCAGTATAGGTTTCAGTGAAGTGAAAATGGTGGGTAGTGATGATCGTGTGAGGTTTTTATATTGAAAGAACAGATAGAAAGAAAAAAAAAAAAAAAAGAAAGAAGGAAAGAAAGAAAGCAAGAAATGGGTGAATTTGGTCTATAAAATTTAGTTTCCCCAAAGCCCATGATCTCACGTCAGCCAGTTACTTTTAAGTGTTCCGCACGCAAGTCAACTTGCTATTCTCGGGATTCTTTCTCTTTTTAGGTTCTTTTTTTTTGGACTTTAATAAGGCAAATTCAAGAATCTTCTGGTAACTTGATGAAATGAGTAAGTAGCCACACATGTAACAGGTTCCAGGTTTACATGAAATCAGTCTTTGGTCAGGCTAGCGTTTATTTTATTTTATTTTTTTTTCATAAGAAATGAAGAAGAAGAAGCAGAAGAAGCAGAAGAAGCAGAAGAAAGCTTTCTTCCTTAGAAATAGGACGGACAATACAGTTGCAAGTAAGCAACTTTAGTTATATATACTCTTACAAGTTACTTAAATGACATTTTCTTTATAAGTTTAACAAAATACACAAACATGAAAGTAAAAAAAAAAAAAAAAAAAAAAGAAAAAATGGTATTATTCTCTAAAAATCTTCAGGCTCATGGAAAAATGAGCGGAATGTGATAATCGTTAAGTAAATCAATGAACCACCTACCAGGGACATGATCATAGCGGGTGTTCCAATGATGTTATTATGGGCCAGCACAATAGGCAGAGCAACACCGCTTAAGACCAAAAATCCTGTGAAAAACCGACCGAAATCGACAATTGTGCTAAAAGATGGTTAACGTTAATGTTAAAAAATTTTTTTTTTTTTTTTTTCATCACAAAATTAATAAATTATGAGAATAATATTCCTTTACTTACTTTGTGGATTCGCTCATGAAATCATCGTGAGCCTGGTATTGGCCGCAAATACCGTTTGGAATGGGAGCTATCAGAAACAGACCGACTACTGACAGTGGTATCCAGTTGTTGAAAAGTGCGCATGAGAGAATGATGAGAATGAAGCCTGCGGCTAGAACAGTAGACAGCGCGATAATCTTATATAGAGGACTGACGTTCATGATGGTAGTGGTAAATATATATAAATATAAATATATTTATATATTGTTATTATTTATTAAATCTGAAAAGGTTGCTGGTAGCCTAGTCTGGTTGACGAATAATTTGTCAGGTTGATAAGATGATACAACTTTTTTTTTTTTTTTTTTTCTCAATGAGAATATTTCAAGCCCAAAAAAAGAATAATAAAAGGCTTTTGTTTTAAGCTGCTTTAGTAATTGCGGGGCCCCAATGGTTGGTGGTAGTGTTTAATGGTACTGTTGTTGGACCTAATATGGAGTTAAATAGGTTGTATGGATTTATTTCAAGCAGAGTAAAGCGATAAATACGCGTTTTTTTTTTTCTGTTAGCGACGAGACTTTGCTAGTGCTGGCGGATTTCTTTTAGGCTTGAACTTCATAGGGTGGGGTAGGAAGGCGTAGTAATAATAATTATTAATACTAATAATAATAATAATAATAATAATAATAATAATAATAATAATAATAATAATAATAATAATAATAATAATAATAATAATAATAATAATAATAATAATAATAATAATAATAATAATAATAATAATAATAATAATAATAATAATAATAATAATAATAATAATAATAATAATAATAATAATAATAATAATAATAATAATAATAATAATAATAATAATAATAATAATAATAATAATAATAATAATAATAATAATAATAATAATAATAATAATAATAATAATAATAATAATAATAATAATAATAATAATAATAATAATAATAATAATAATAATAATAATAATAATAATAATAATAATAATAATAATAATAATAATAATAATAATAATAATAATATAATAATAATAATAATAATAATCATTAATATATTTTTTAAAAATAAAATAGAAAAAAAAAAAAAAGTTACAATATTTGTTACAGTAAAATATGTAACATAGAAATTACAATAAAAGTTGTAACATATTTGACTTCACACACTTCCCACATAAACAGTAGCTCTCTGCTTACATAGGAAAAAAAAAAAAAAACAAGTCGCCCTCCAAAACGAACCCGTCAGGCTTTGATGTGCAAAATCGCCACCACCACCTTGCCATTTCCGTTCCACCCATATTATTGCCCATCTCACTTCATAATTCAAATACTCCTACAAAACAACTCTCCAGCTTCTCATCACTTATCCACAATTAGGAATTTAAAAAAAGGAGGCTCTTTTTCACAATGGTACGCTTTCATTTTTAAATTTTTATTTTAATTCTTTCCTTAAAAGACTCAAATTGCATCTTTCAACTCAAATAATATACTTTTTCAGTGGCAATTTCTTTACTTAAATGTACTAACCGCTTATCAAAATTCTGTTTTTTTTTTTTTTTTTTTTTTTTTTTTTTTTTTTTGATTCAACATTTATTTCTAGTTTAGAAACTCATACGATAACGATGCTGTTACTTACTCGCCCACAGGCAGACTATACCAAGTCGAGTACGCTCTGGAAGCAGTCAAGCAGGGTTCTGCCTCTGTCGGCCTCGTCTCCAAAACTCACGCTGTTTTAGTCGCCTTAAAGGTATGTTTATCATTCACAAATACAAGCCTTCATATTGATTTAAAGTCACAAATTTATACTCACAAATTATATTTCATTTAGAGAAACACAGAGGATTTGGGATCATACCAAAAGAAGCTAATTGGCATTGACACACATATGGGTGTGGCCCTCGCCGGCCTGGCCCCAGACGCCAGAATTCTCTCCAACTTTCTCAGACAACGAGCCATGTCTTCACGTCTTGTTTATGGCCGACCATTACCTGTCTCAAGAGCTGTTCACTCAATTGCCGACAAAGCCCAAGGAAACACACAACAATACGGCCGCAGACCCTACGGTGTTGGTCTTCTCATCATTGGCCACGACAATAAGGGCCCCCATCTGTACGAATTTCTCCCCAGCGGCTCAGTCCTCGAGTACTTTGGTACCGCAATTGGTGCCCGATCCCAAGCCGCAAGAACATATCTGGAGCGCAACTTTCAAGAGTTCCCCGATGCTACCCTTGAACAACTCATTGTTCATGGCCTCAATGCTTTGAGAGACACTCTTGCCCAGGACAAGGAACTTACACCCAAGAACACAAGCATTGCCTTTTTGGGCGCAGATACCCCATTCAAGATTCTCGATGATGATCTCGTAACCCCATGGCTGGACCGTTTGGACTCCCTTTCTCGCACTTCAAACCCATTGAACACCACCACTGATGAGGCTCCAGAAGAAGAGCAGCAGCAACAAACAGCAGCTGATGATACCACTGAAAACACAAGCTCGACTGATGCTTCTGCTGACCCTGATGCAATGGATACAACAGAGTAATTTTAGGGAGTGATGTTATCTAGGATGTATTCTTTCTTCTAATATATGTAATTTATCTCTCGTTAATTGTGTCGGTTTTAATAAAACGAATTCCTTATCTATTCCTTACAAATTAGAAACCCAACTAGAAACATTTGGATGAAGAAAAGAAAATATATCCACAGTAAAAAACCAAAGATTTTTGAAAAAAAAAAAAAAAGGTACTGCTGCTAATATTGTCTCAAAAATAAATTCTTATACTTTGAGTGTTTCACATATACAGAAACCTTTTTATATATATCCACCACATATTTCTTCTTTAACATGGCAAAAGTCAAAAATCTCATTTTTTTATTTTATTTTTTTCTTTTCTTTCTTCTAAATCCAAATAGTTCATGCTGGCCCTTCATATAAAGTTTGAGTTTTTTCCATAAATCCTAATAGTCTTCCCCAATGTCTTTTCTTTATATTCATCTTTTCCCTTTTCCCTTTTTTTTTTTTTTATTTTTTTATTTACAACCTTCTCACCCCTTTTTTTTCCCTTCTTTTTTTCATCTATACTTTTCTCTTTTATATTCCTATTTATTTACTTATAAGTAAATAATTTTTATATCTTCAAACTTTTCTCCCCATTTAGTTGTTCTTTTTTTTTTTTTTTTTTTTTTTTTTGTCATTTGTTAATACCCCCCTATAGACTGTTTTTAAATTTCACTGCAGTGTAGATAACTATCTATTATCCATCAGCAGTATTTATAAACTCCCAACAAATCTTATGAACACTTCAAAATGCCAGTCGTCTTTCCCTGTGTGGTCTGGAGACTATTGTGATTTGCCGCTTTACTTTGTTTTGGTACGGAAACACTCCCCAGATCAACTCACTAGTCTACCTACCCCAGCTCAATCTTCTACCTCACTTTCAAGGCGATCTTCTCTTGTTGCACAAAACCTTTTTCGCAAGAAAAAGTCAATAAACAACTTCAATGGGCACTCAAACTTATCCTCACCTTCCAGTTCTTTAAAGAATGGTGAGACAGCTAATAGTCAAGAACTAGCCGTTTACATTTACCAACTCATTTTGGCATTGCCCAATGCGTACCGCGATCAGTTCAATGCCCCATTCCCTCAAAATATCGAAGAGTATATGGATTCTCTGTTGAGGGTGCTTCCTAAAGAGTGGCCTGAGCTGGCAAGCTCTGCTGCATTAAACAGAATGACGGCTCTCCGTTATCCTTCTTTTGCCTCTTTCCAACACTTTTTGTGGGAGTTTCGCCGTTTAAAGCTAGTGGCTCAATGCAGCGACCGTAAGGCTTTTTTGATTTTTCTTGCAATCATCCCCACAGACCTCCGAATAGCCATATCTAGAAGTGGCATCAACCAATATTCCCAGCTTATCCGTGTAGAAGAATATGACACTCCCTCAACAAAGGTTCTTATCTCTGATCCCAGAAATAGAAAGTCTTTACGGCTCGATTTGCACAAGGACCGACTACTCTTTGCCCTCCACATTCCTTCACGGTTGTTTAACAAGATTATTAAATCTAAGCATAAACTCATCGACTCTATTGCAATGTCTTGGGCAAATTTGTCTTTGGAAAAAGATGGCACAACCGGTTCTCCCGCAATAATATCAAAGTACAACCCTCGAATTAGTCAGATTCTTTATGAATCGGAAAACGGAACCATTAAGTCAGAAAATACTGGTCAACAACTTTCCAAAAAATCACCATCATATGTTCACATTACTTCTAGCTCCAAATCTATGCCTCTTTTTGTGCGGGCCGTTACGGAGAAACAAAAAAGCACCGGAAACACATCTGGAAATACATCTGAGGTGGTAATATGCGACAATATTATTTTTTACAATGGAAAGATTCATTTAAACCAAGGTTTAATAACAAGTATTATTAAACACTGGTACCACTGTTTCACTTCTAGTATTCAGCAGGCTGACATTCAAATCTTTGATTTGCTAGTCGGAAACAGCTTTAGTTACAAGCCGTTTTTCGATTTTTCAAATATCATAAAAGCTAAGCCCGATCGCAATTCCAAAATCCGCGATACCAGCAAAACACCATTCGTTTCAAGCAATGAAATCAATAAAACTCAACAACAGCAAACCATACGTAAGGAATCTGGTGGGAAAAACACTCAGGCAAATAATGCGTCCTTTTCTCAAACTACAGGATCTGTGGTTGAAGAAGAGGGCGGAGACGAGAGTTCGGGGTATTACCGACCATGGCAAGTTGTGAAGATGTCATACGTTAGTGGAGCAACCTTGTCTGAGTTTTCCAAACCTCTTCCGGATATGTTTCATTTTCAGAGCAATAACAACAGCAACAGCAGAAATACTAGTCGAAGTAACAGCGGCCGAAGCCAAGACAGTCACAAAAACTTTAGTTTGGGCAACAAGAAAAACAGCGGAGGGATCTCGAGGGCTGGAACTGGATCCTCCCAACACACGTCCCACAGTAATGGTGGTACCAATGAGAAACAATCTGCGAGAGTAGGAGTTCGTCGTGCTGATTCACACATTTCAACATCTTCAGAAGCGTCCTCTTATTATCCTTCATTGTTTTCAGAAACAGCAAGCTCAGGGACTGTTTCTTCAACACACTCGTCGTCATCTTCCATTGAAGAAGAGGACGACGAAGAAGAGGAAGAAGTACCGCCTCCCAAGGATATTATCATAATCACCTGCTGTGAGACACTTGAAGTATTTTTTGGAGTCATTGACCCATCCGACCCACCAGCAGCCATTATTCAAACTGTGCTTATTCCATTTGCCCACCAGTATGGGTATCCTCTCGCAGTGCTTACTGACAGATCTGCGCCAGCACGATTTTTCACTTCGCAATTGTTTCAAAAGTTTTGGAAAGCCCATGGCTCGGCATGTTTTCATCTATCCACCCAGGACCAAGAAGGCACAAGCATTGCAGAAATTCATATTTCTTTTATCAAAACATACCTGGCTTGCTTTGCACATGAGCTTCAAATACAAAAGTCCAAAGTTTTAATTCCTGGCGCATTGGCCAGAAACACAAGTCGGAGCGGTAGAACTAGCACCCATCTCATAGGACAGCAAAACAACAATAGCAATAGCAAGAGCAGCAAGAGTAACAAAAAGACCAATATCGTCGATGTTAGCCTGTATCGTAAACGACTGATGGCTATAATAAATGATTTGGTTTCTTATTATGACACAAGTATTGATGTCGCTTCTCCAACAAATGGGTTTGCACAATATATCCGAGCTTGTGCGGCGGCAGCAGCAGCCAGAAACGGGTATCCAGAAAACATTGTTGGGTATTACACTGGGGAAATTGGAGATGAGGAAAATATGGGCAGACTTTCAGACAGCGACGATGACTGGGACTCGGATGACAGCAGTAATAATGGCACAGAATTTTTTGGGTCTGTAAAAAATAACGGTGGAAGTACCAACAACAACAATAACAAAAGCAACAATACTAGCGAGAATAATATTTTTTACACAACACTGAGCACGGCGCTTAAGACGTTCACCAACGTCTCGCAAATGTATTCGACTAAGTGCATGCCTGCATTTGAGCACCAGGTTTCACAAGAAAACCTTGTTGACTGGCCAATTGCTGTGCCCTGGAAACTAGCACCTACAACAGATGACAGCAAAAAAGCTGGTGCAGAGAGTACAGAAGCAGACGGTTTGGGTAGACAGCGATTGCCGACTTACTATCACAAAGACCCTAACCAAGCCCCAACGTTAAACAGTGCCCAGATTTATGAAGAATATAAGCGGCCTCTTATGGCAAACGGATTACCTAGGGAATCAATTTTCCGCAGGAACACTACCACGGCTGCTGTTGGCAGCAACAGAACCCATAAGCGCCCACTCGCCCAGAAACCATTGAGAAACCATGTGGTGATTCATGGCAAGATTATGCCTATTGACTCTATTCTTGGGTACTGCGAATATTTGAGTATCCCGTGCTTTTTGATTCAAACAAATTGGGGACTTTCTTGGGTAACAGGATTTCAGCTCTCCGAGTGCTCAAATGATTTGCAAGGCTCCATCAAGTCTATTTACAAGATTCGTGACCAGCCTGTTCCAGAAGCACTCAAGTTTTTGACTAACCAGGAAGCATACACCACTCAATTTTTTTAACATGGCTATATTGTAAGGGCTGGTCCTAATATTTTTTTTGGTTCATTATTATGGGGGAAAGATTAAAAAAATTAAAAAAAAATTATATATTGCTTTGTAAAAAAAAAAAAAAAAATTAAAAGAATGTTTTTATTTGAATAATTCAACCAAATTATTGGGTTCCCAGTTGCCAGCCCGTCTTCTTCGCCAATAGTTTTCTTCGCCTGTCTTGAGTTTCCATACACTCTCATTCTTGTCGAGCTCGAAAAACTTGGGCACATAGGTTTCGTTTGCATCCTCCATTTGCTTACGTCGTTGGCGCTGCATTTCTTCTAAATGTAATTTGAGTTCCTCAGCCTTATCAATTCCACATTCTTCGTAGATTCGCTGATCCGGACGTAGACGGGAATCTGTTGGCGCCATCTTCTTGTTTTCAACTGAAGTCACTTCGTTGAGCGAAGCTGCAAAGTCAGTAAACCCAAATCGCTTTGTGTGATTGTCAACAAGCTTGCCGACTTCCCACACCTTAGAACGTCCACCACTAGGAGTAAGCATATCCAGGCTTTGTGTCCATTTGCCCTCCAATGCGTATCCCTTGATAGGAGCACCATTGGAGTTGTAAATGACAGCTCTCAAGTCTTCGCTTCTCCCGGAAAACATGCTACCAGACTTGTACTCAACAACCACCTTACACCCAGTTGAGGAAACAACCACTAAAGATCCAACAGGCTCCACATACTTTTCACCAGCAATCACGTTGCGCAGAAATGTGGTAGGTTGTTCCCACTCAAACACTTCACGGGACGGCAAATGTGTCAAACGAGCGGTACCCCTATTATTGATTTCTGCACTTTTACCCCAAAACTGCTGGTGAGGATTAGGTGAGTAGTGCATTATCCAGTTGGACGATTCAGCTTGGATTGCCATAATAGGTGGACGGTGGCTAACTTTTTCAGTGATAACACGAATACCTTTTTCTGGACGAACCATTTCGTACGTTTCTCCTAGCAACGGGTTAAAGGGTTTGCGAGCAGAACGTTCCTTAGCTCGACCTGATGATAAGTAAGAGTTAGCAAATGCAGCTATGGCAAGAAGACGTTCTGGTGAGCCTTCAGGATAAGTAAATGCCTTATCCACAAGCTCCGAATATTCAAATATTTCACACATGCGTTGAAGAATGGTGACAGGCTCATTAGAAGTCACTGGCATCGCAATCATAGAGAGATCCTTGCCAACGCTCTTACGAACAAGTGAAATCAAACTTGGAGGCGAAGCAACCGATAATGGAATAACATGACGTCTGGTTGGAGGTTTGGTGATTTCATTAAGAGGATACAAGTATGGCTCGCCATCAACATTTTCAACTTCAGCAATCTCATTCATAACAGCAGGAAGATGTGTCGTGACTGAAAGGTCACCTTCATCATCAGACGACAAGGAATCATCTTCGTCATTTTCCAGCATACCAACCTCTTCTTCAGAGCTAGAAGAATTCTCTTCCTTGTCAATGTAAATAACACCGTCATTTGTTTGACCAAACTCCTGTGCATCAAAAAATTCGTCAGTAGAATACAAACTAATGTTTCCATCGCTGACCCGTCTGACAATTCCTGGATGAATTGAGGTTGCATTGGGTGATAAAATTGGTGTTGCTGCTCTAGAGGTACCTGGGGAAATGGCCAAAACTGCGGCTGAATTTGAAGGAAAAGACTGAGCAGCTTCTCTGAAGGCAATTGCAGCAGCAGCAGCGGCAGCGGAAGCAGCAGATGCAATATTAGACTGGTCATTCCAAAGTGCCTTCAAATCCTCAGTAACCTTATCAATAGTCAAGGATAAATCTCTGAGTGTATTAATGACGGAATTAGGTCCTGCCACTGGTGGAGGTGAGATACTTTTAAGATCAAGCTTTGCAAGTTCATCTAGAGAAACCCCATTAGAATGATCTCCATCTAAGATTGGTGACTTGGGAAGGGGTGGGAGGGTACCAGTTGTGGAAAGATTTGTTGAACTCTGGTTATTAGGAGAAATTGCACCGTTGATGCTATAGGGGGAGAGAGTCTGTCCTGATTCAGAAGGTTGAATGGCTGAAGAAGAAATAGTTGACTGGGAAGACTCCTCTTGGGTTTGCTTAGAGCCTCGGCGTCTCCAAAATGAAGATCTTCGTTGTGGTAGCGAAGGCTGAAAAGAAATTGATTTTTCTTGCTGATCTGCAGCCTCTCTAGCCTTAATGGAAGCTGAATTTAATGTTTGGATAATTTGAGACAAGGATTCTAAATGCGAGTCAGTAATGCCAAAATTAGATTCCAAGGCGGGGTGATGAGCGGGGCCCAAGGTGGCAGGCGGCAACGGTGATGATGTCTGTTCTGTTGTCGATGGAGTGGTGCTTGAAGATATGAGAGCTGTTTTCAACAAGTTCTGAGAAGATTTTGATGCAGAGGCATCTGAGGAATTCGCTGATGAAAGTCTGACTACATCTAGTGCTGAAGTCCATGTTTTGAAATCTGCCTGTGTAAGGGCCTTTAAGTTCCAAACTTCCATGCCAGAGTCAACAAAAATCTCAAGAGATCTGGGCATAGCCGTGATGACACAAAGTTTGATGGGCATACTTCCACGGAGCACCGCGGATTTATCAGATAGATAATAGTTGAGGGTTCCGTACTTATAATCAAGCAGAAAGAATCTACGTGCGTACCCCTGGAGTTTCTTACGCTTCTTTTTAAGCAGTGTACCCCAAAGATTTCGACCATCACTCATAGACGGCGGTGCTTTAAGATCTCGTTTTTCCAGTGGCTGAGTTACAATTGTTACGGATGATTTCCGCACCGACGCACCCGGTCTTCTTGATGGCGAGACTGAGCGCCCTCTGGGGAGTAAATTTTTCTCTGACAGAGACCCGCTGGAGGAAGCAGCTGAGGGAAGCAGCATGGAAACAGGTCTTGTCGACTGAATTTGTGGACCAGAAGCAATAGCCAAAGCCTCCAAAGCTCCAGGAGAATGATTGCGGCTACCATGATTATTGTGGCTATGGCCATGGCCATGGCTGTGATTGCGACTGTAGCCATGTCCAAGGCTGTGACTATGGCTGATACCAAGGTCTTCACCAGGAGAGTGTCGAGTAGATTTAGATATAGTATTAATTTTATCATTATTGATATCCAATTGCTTTGTTGATTGAGTCTGTGTACTGATGGCTTGTAGACCTGGCGAAGAAGCCGGATTAGCCGAATGTTGTGAATTTGATTTTGCGGGATAAGAAAAGTTTTTAATGGAATTTGGCATGCCGTCATTGACTTTACTGCCATTTGTGCCAGATGATGAAGAAGAAGAGGCCACAGTGGATGCTTGTGAATCAAAAGCGGCAGAGCTTAGAGAACTTTGGAGAGATGTGGAAGACACACTTGCAGCGACCGGATGGATGCGCAGACTGAAGAGTACGGTTTTAGCAATGCTTTTGGAAAATGTATTATCAAAGACCAAAGCATACGTACCAGTCATGCCCGGAAGAACGTCAAATTTTCCCTGAAGAATCTCATCAGGATTACACCTGCCATGCCAATGGACTTGTTGGAGGCCAGATGCTTGCAGACGGTCCTTGAGTTCTTGTTGAGTGATACTAGAGGAGCTGAATTTACGCGTTGCAGACTCTGAACCCTCTTCGACTTTCTTGGAAACCCTGCGGTACAGCCCAAAGTTTCTAAAAAAATGAATTGGTTAAATAAAAATCAGGGAGGGGGGTGATTTAAAGCTTAACATACATTGAGCGTTTCAAAGGTTGAACTTTCCAGGTGATGAAGGCTTCGTCCGAGACTTCAGCCCATTTTATCAGGAAAGACTTGGAGTGGATTTCAAGGGACTCCATTGTATGCTTAATATGATAACAAGAGAAAAGAAAGGATCTTTACTTCTTTTAAATGAAAAAAAAAGAGGGGGTAAAGAACTGAAATTGAAAAAAAAGGAGTAGGTTCTGTTTATGCTCAGAGAATAAAAAAAAAAAATGAGACCTGAAACTGTTGAATCGAAGCTCTTTCAGTAGGTTAAATCAGCATTAAATTTCCAACTCTTTTCCACTTGAAAAAAAAAAAAATAATTAATAAAATCTATAAAAAAAATATAACAGCACACCTAAGGAGGGGCGGATTGAATGGAAACGAAGTAGCTGTTGCTGTTGCTGTTATTGTTATTGTTATTGTTATTGTTGTTGTTGTTTATTATCGTTATTTGTTATTGGTGATGGTTTTGTTGATGTTGCTGACTGGAGGTTTTCGACTTGTTTTTATAAAATTTCTTTTTTTTTTTTGTTTTTATTTTATTTTCTCCCATCCTTAACCTCTTACGTGTAAATGCCACTGCCACAGCATCGAGCCAGCAAAATTATTCAGCCGCCGCCATCTATGCTTAGAACAACAATACATAATGATGTGTCGTTCCATATTTATTATTATTATTATTTTTTTTTTTAAAAAAAAAACAAAATCCCATCTTTCTTTACGACCCGGATGTTTCCGCTACCCCCAGGTTGGCCTGTCGTGGATTTGGAGGGGTATTGGCCAGTATTTGGGAACCGACCGGGCTGGCGTTGTTACCTTCATCCAGTAGCCGCCGCTTCACCCGATCCAGCCGTTCCTCAACCAAAGCCAACGTCGTGTTGACCGCTTGCAACTTTTGTCGGCACACATTGATTTTGGCTATCGGAACTTTCAACTGTTGCGGCTTGGATGCCCGCCCGTAAGATTCTAAAACTGCTGTCAAGATGTTGAGTTGTACTGTTAGTGCTACTTGAGACTCGTGCAGACTTCGTAGGCGCCAGACTGTTGTATCTAACGCAGGTCCCAGGACGCTTTGGATTGCAAGTTCAAACGGCGGTATCACTTCTTCTTCTTCTTCCTCTTCTTCTTCTTCGGCGTAACTTTCTGGGTCTAAGTATTCTGGATCTGACTGTGATTCAGTTATACTTTCATTACTTCCATGATCACGACTCAGATTTTGGTCCCCAGTGAAGTTATTATCGTTCTTGGAATTATGGCTGTGAATATTGTCACTCGGCGCTAATCTCTCTGTACTTGAAGTCATTGATTTTTATCAATTTTATTATTATTATTATTATTATTATTTTTTTTTTTTTTTTTTTTTACAATAAACCTATTTCTTTCTATTCCCTAATTGCCGGCCAAAAAAATATCAATAAATTCTTCTTTATCCCATTCCTTGCTGCTGCTTTAGTTTAAACTAGTAGTGTATTTGTTTCTTTTTTTAGGTAAAGTGGTTGTGCTGTATGGAACGTAAAAATGTGCTCGTTTGGTTTGCTGAGGTTAAATAATATTCCAGTGCAGGAAAATTCTAGACTGGCTATATTAAATCCCAGTAAATACAACAACTTAACCCCTTAACTGGACTCAAACTCCAAATTAAACATAATTTCTTAATTTGATTTTAGATTTTAGATTTTAGATTTTTTAAAATTTCAACATTTCAACATTTCAACATTTCAACATTTCAACATTTCAACATTTCAACATTTCAACATTTCAACATTTCAAAATTTCAAAATTTCAAAATTTTTTTTTATTTCATATATTCAATACTTATACAACTAAAAATGATCACAAAAATTAAATCATAGGCTATGATTACCCCCGAAAAAAAGAAGAAAAAGAAAAAGAAAAATTCAAACTAAAGCGAAAATAAATATCCTTCACATATAAGATCAAACCAAATCTAACCCATTTATTTGGAAGGAATGTCCTTCTTGATGAGCTCAATTTCAGACTTGGTTTTAGAAAAGTCGGCTTGGGCAAGAGCTACCTTATTGTGAGAAGGATCGTAAACAATGTAAGCAGAACGCAAGACATTGTCACCAAGAAGAATGTAGTCGGCACCTTGGGGAGTTGCCTCAAAACCAACCAAGCATGAATTTCTGGGGAAAGCAACCGAAGAAACAACAGGGTTGACAAATTGCTCAATAGGCCACAAAAACTGGTAATTAGGGACCTTGATACTCTGACCTTGGAAATCGAACTGCAAGTACTGGGTGATATTGCAGTCACAGTAATATCTCTGGTTAATTGTGAACGAAGGATTAGCGTTCAAGTTGGTGTGTAAGTTAATCAAAGCATCATTGGGGAGATAAGACAAGGTAGTACCAGAGTCAAGAATGGCAGTCATGGGCTTGTTAAGAATGTTAGAGTTGGCGATGCCCTGAGCACGAATGTTATTGAGGGTAGTACCGTAATGAACAGGGTGGGAAACATCCATAGAAACAAGCTTACCACTGTACTTAGAGTGATCAACAGCACCAAAAAGAATAGAACCACTGTCGCTGCTAATATCATTAAGATACAAAGAGAAAGCAGGAGAGCTAATGTGACCGTTCTCGTAAAGCTTGAGAGGAAGGTTAGCGTATTTATTGCCAGCCTTGGAGGTGATCTCAGCTTGAGGACGGCCAATACCAACAATACCCTGAGCAGAGTCAGTGTTATCAGCGATACCAATGGAAAGATCATTGATTGTGGCTCCACCAATAGAAAGGTTGTCAGTACCCCACTTTCCGGTGACTTGGCCAATACCATAGGTGATGTGGAAGTTGGTGTTGTTGCCCTTCCAAGTGGTAGACTTAGACTCATCAAAGAAAGACTTGGGGCCACCCTGCTTACCGGTGTACTTGGAGTTAGGAGAGAAAACCCAAGTATCAGAAGAACCAGTGTCAAGTAACAGCTCAACATCCTGAGCAGGTGTACCGATCTGAACAGTGGTGGTGTAGTAAAACTTTTTGTTGTTGATCTTATCCTCAATGGCGTTTCCAAGGGCAGTGTTGCCATCACGACGTTTCAGTTTGCTTTCCTCAGAAAGAGAAATTTCAGAACGCTTGACATTAAGCAAAAGGGCACCAGCAGGAACTTCGTCTGCAAGAGCGCCAGGGATGGCTAAAAAGGTGGCAATGGCGAGAGCTGAAAATTTCATTTTATAAAGAAAAGGAATGACAAAAAAAAATAAGTTGATTATAGTACCAACAAACGAACGAATAAGCACAGAAAAAGGAAAAAAAAAAAAAAGGATAAAGGAACGAAATATCTTTTTAGATAACAAAAAAAAGAGAAAAGAAATCTTTCATTCCAAAGTTTTTTTTGGATATTTATATTGTTTATTTCTGGCCTGGCCAAGTTTTATTCTATCTATCATGAAACACTCATTTAACTGAAAATATACTCGCCTATTGTTCTTCGCCTATTGATATCGCTTGTATACACAGGAAAAGACACGGCTAAAATTATTTTGATTATTTCTTTTGATGAGATTAATATTAAAAAAAAATACTCCTTTTTGCTAAAGAATTGGCATTTTCCAAAATAAATAAAAATGTTCTGAAATTGTAATCACATATCCCTGCTAAAAAGGCTCATATTTCTCCTTTACATCTCTTTAAAGTTACAAACTAAAATCATTCTAAAATTCTTTTAAATTTGATTTTAGTTTTAAAATTCTTTTCAAAGTTGAAATATCATTTTCCTAGATTACAACAATTAAACTAGATGAAGGTACATACCTTAAAAAATTTCCAGGTGTTTAAGCATTTAAGAGCCAAATTTTATTAGCTGGATTTTTAATTATTTCACTAATTTAGTAAGATTTTTACATTATTGTTTTATTTATTTATTTATTTACAAATGCAATACGCTATGAAAGAATCATGCAAATTAAACGAACGCTTTCATAACCGTAACAATCCGATAACATGACTCTCGAATAGAAGAATAATGACTTACATTGGTTACAAAACTTAAACTGCTACTTGATATTTTAATACCATAAATTTTTTTGAAAAATTACTTTTTGACATGGTTTGTATTAAAGAGAAACATTAAAAGTGGTCTAGCTACTTAGATTCTACAAAAGCTTAGAAATCAATAGAATAACAGAAAGAGCTATAGGATGCAATATTTTTCTCTCTAGCCTAAAAGGCGAAATGAAATGACTAAAAAAAACAGTTAAAATATAAACTTTTCTAGATTTATATTGTTTTTTCTGATCTAATTCCGTTTTAGAAGATGATCATTTATCATGATAAATAATAATACTTTATTCAATAAGCGATAGAAAATACTTCAAGTTCTATCCGTTTTTCAAGAGAATATTTTGCATAAATTCACAGTAAATAAATTTATTTTATTTTATTTCTTCAAAGTTTGAATTTCCTGTTTATTAATATCGTTCATTTTCTCTAATAATTTGTTCTAACTTCCAAAATAAGAAAGCAAAAATTTTTTTATTCTATTTGGAAATTAATTAATAAAACACAGTTGAGGGTACAATTATGCAAAAAAAATATAAAAATATAAAAATATAAAAATATAAAAATACAAAAAGAAAATAATAAAATACATTAATATTGTTCAAAAAATTAAAATAAAATAAATTTCTCATTGAATAATTATATTTAGCTTGAAAAAAAAAAAATAAACATTTATCATATTAAAATTATTTATAGCTAAGTGAATTTTAATATCCTCAATGAGGTACAAGATGAGTACTTACTCTTCATTAAAGTGCTTTAAAGCATTTATATATGGTAAATTTACATTTAGATGTAATACAAAAGTCTATTATTACATATAAAACAAACTCTTGTTTTTTCATACAATTGAATAGCAAAAAAGATCAAGAAAACTGCTTGGCATATATATTTGAACATCTTGTAAATAAACTGTTCCGCTTTTTGGAACGAAATCTTTAGCATCTAAGGCAAATACTGCAAGAGTTTTATAGCCCAAGGTCAAACTAAACTTTTAAAGACCAGATGTCTCTTCCTGTATGCCTGAAAAAAAAAATTCTTGGAGATTCCTAGTTTGGTAATCGTCCCTCTAAAGGTATCCATATGTAAAGAAATATACATAAAAATCGCTTGTGACCCTTGTTCGCTTGCTAAAAATACTTTCCAGTAGTTTCTTCATTCGGACCTTATCTAAACATAAGCTCTTTATATATTAACCTTAGGTTTAGCTTAAAGAAGCTAAGGGTTCATAAGAAAGAATTGTTTTTTAAATAAAATACTATCATTTAAAATATATAAATCTCGAAACTTCACAACATTATTTATATTTTTTCTCTTTAAAACCCTTTTTCACTAATTTTGTTTAATTCATTTTTTCTTCTCTTCTTAAACTCCATATTCATTTTTTTCAAAAAAAAAAAAAAAAAAATTAATAGCCCAAAAATAAAACATCAGAATTTTTAAATAATTAATCATGGGGTACGGATGGAGTTCTAGTAATAAGGAGGAAACTTCTGATAAGACTTGGAGCTTTCCTGATGAAGTTAATACAGATGAAAATGAAATGTATGAAATCACGCCTGAACAACGGGCGGAGATTTGTGCATTGATGGGGAAAAATATTAATGATATTGACACAGCAACTGATCTTGATTACATTATTCAGGGGATATTTAGTCTTACCGACGCACAGGCGATATCAATACTTCAAAAAACAATAGAAGAGCATGAAAATGATCCAAATTTTCCAGAATACACACAACAGTATCTTAAACAACTCATTACAAAACAAGGTTTCACTACCATTTCTGAGGAAAACTATTCTTTTTCATTAAGACTAGAAGCATCACTAATACACTTTCACTCTTCATATCCAGAAGTTAGAGCTATTTCTGATCCTACAGACAATCCAGAAGAACCAGCAGAAACATGGAGGGTATATCTTTTGGGAATTATTTGGGTAATGGTCGGCAGTGGAGTAAACCAGTTTTTTGAGCCAAGAATGCCACCAATATCGGTGCCCATGCCATTACTCCAGTTTCTAGTCTATCCATGTGGCAAATTGCTAGAAAGACTACCTATCTGGAAACTTAATGCTTTTGGGAAAACGTTTCACCTCAATCCTGGTCCATGGTCATATAAAGAGCAATCTCTTACTACCATAATGTTTGGTATAACTTCATCCATGGCTTATGTTAGCGACCAAATCTTTGTTCAAAAGTTACCCATGTTTTACAATAATAAATGGGCCAACTCGGGCTATCAATTTACTTTAATTTTATCGACTCAGTTTATTGGATTTGGTCTTGCTGGATTTGTTCGCCATGTTTTGGTATATCCTGAAAAGTGCATTTGGCCAACAATTTTGCCAACAATTGCTTTGAATAGAGCACTAATGGTTAAAGAGACTAGTGAAAACATAAACGGTTGGACGATATCTAGAAAAAAATTGTTTCTCTTTGCGTTTCTTGCCATGTTTTTTTATTTTTGGCTTCCTAATTATTTATTTCAGGCCCTCAGTACATTCAACTGGATCACATGGATTTCTCCTCATAACTTCAACTTGGCTACAATTACCGGTAGTATCACTGGGCTAGGCCTGAATCCATGGCCAACATGGGATTGGAACGTGGTATCCTCACTTGTTTCTCCTTTATCAACACCATTTTTTGCAATGGGGAATAACTACTTGGGAACTCTTCTTGCAGGAGTTGTCGTTATACCGGCCGTTTACTATTCAAACATGTATTACACAGGATACCTTCCAATCAATTCTAGTCGCCTATTTACCAACACAGGAGAAGAATATTCGGTTGAACAAGTACTGACAAATAACATTTTAGATAATGACAAATACCAACAATATTCTCCACCTTATTACACCGCAGCAAATTTGGTGGTTTACGGCGCATTTTTTGCTTTATACCCAGCTCTTATTGTTCATACATTTCTATATTATCGAGATATTTTGTGGAATGGGCTAAAAGGAGTGTGGCAAAGTGTCATAGACCGACAAAGTCAAATAAAAACATTTGCTGATCCGCAGAGTCGGATGATGTCGCAGTACAGCGAGGTTCCCTTGTATTGGTATCTTATTGTCACCATGTGTGCATTAATTCTTGGAATAGTTTGCGTTAAAGTTTATCCCACGGAAACTCCAGTATGGTCAATCTTTTATGGCTTAGCAGTGGGTATGGTTTTCCTTATTCCCATTGGTCTTTTATACTCTATGACTGGTTTTTCGTTAAGTTTGAATGTCCTAACAGAGTTGATTGCTGGGTATGCATTACCGGGACGTGGCGTGGCATTGATGATTATGAAGGCCTTTGGTCTCAATACAAATTTACAAGCAATTTACTTTATTCAAGACCAAAAGCTAGGACATTACGCAAAAATCCCTCCACGCTCTACTTTTCGGTGTCAAATCATTGCTACTCTGGTTCAGTCTTTAGTGGTACTTGGCATTGCAAATTGGCAAATTAGACACTATGATGGAATTTGTGACGAAAAACAAGAACAAAATTTTACGTGCCCTAACGAATCCATTTATTATTCTGCATCAGTGATTTGGGGTGTTGTTGGGCCCCGAAGAGTGTTTAACGGGATGTATCCAATTCTAAAGTGGTGTTTCTTAATAGGGGCTTTTATTCCGCTTCCATTTTATTTGATTCACAAATATGCCCCAAAAAACTGGACATTTTTAAGAAGACTAGATTCATTGCTTATTGTTTTGGGCTTTTTAAATTTCGCTCCATACAATTTGACGTACTATACCACAGCATTCTACATATCTTTGATATTTATGAATTACATTCGCAAAAGATATGTCCTGTGGTTTCAAAAATACACCTATGTGTTATCTAGTGGTTTATCAGCGGGTATTGCTCTCAGTGCCATTATCATATTTTTCTCTGTTCAATATCACCCAAAGACGTTATCATGGTGGGGTAACGATGTTATGTATAAAGGTATTGATGGCGACACCTCTTATAGGCGGCTAGAAATTCCGAAAAAAGGGTATTTTGGGCCAGACCCAGGTTCTTATGTATATTAGTTTTAATAGTATAAGTAGCAAATTAAGTATATTAAAAAAGTAGATTTGAAATTAAAATTAAAAAAAAAAAAAAAAAAAAAAGCAATAGGAAGGACTTGATTTAGTCACACCAAATAGTGTAAAATAAATTTAGATTTAAATATTTTATAATCATTAGTAATCATGACAAAATTTACTCGCACTACATCCTAACAACTGCATAAACAATCATGACAACATCCAACAATCCCTTTTATTTTTTTCTTCATAAAATTTGGGTTTTACCTCCAAACTAAGGCCAAAAAAAAAACAAAAAACAAAAAACAAAAAATAAAAATAAATAAATAATAAATATAGCGATCCACACGCGACAAAAATAAGTACAGGATTATATCGGTGCCTTCGAACTGTTTCCCAGAGCTTCCTTCCTGCTACAGATATATTTTTTATTACTAGGACATATATTAACCTGTGGATCATCTTAAGAACACATTTTTCCCACAAAAAAATGCATAGGTTTTTGAAAAGTTTAGCATTACTCGCAACACCTGCCCATTAAAATCATAAAAGTAATACGCCATTCTTATCAGTTACTTTCATACGCGCATATATTTACTAGAGAAAGGTTTCAAACAAAAAAGAAGTTAAAGAAAATACACATCTGAGTTTTCTATTTTATAATTTTACTATTCACGATACGGCTGGTCACCAAGACCCAAGTTCATGATCTGTTGCTGAAAAATCAACACGTATCTTTTGCATTCAACACATATTTATCTTACTTATTACTCCAAGCATGCCGTCGTCTCATGACGAGAAGTTTGATTTGGCAACTTTTTTCCCAGATCGAAAGAAAGGATCACGCTATAGTTCATCATCTTCTTCATTACGACGGTCTTCGTCGTCTTCTTCTTCTTCTTCTTCTAAATTTAGACCTCGCAGTTCCTCTTCAAGCTCATCGTCATCTTTACTATCCTCAAGCAGACACACCAAATCTTCATCTTCAAATGGGCAATTACATTCGTCTTCAACTTCTAACCACCGCACATATGACGAAAGATTACCACCGACAGGATCGCGTGATACCGATAAACGTTCTTCGTTAATAATAGATTCAAAAACATGGAGAGATACCCCAAAAACATTTAGCAAAAATGATTTGTTTTTTCATAAATTAAAGCAAAAACCAGAAGAACCCCAGAGTCATTATTTGCCATCTCCACAGTCATCATCTACATCATCAACATCTATCTCTACACCTAACGGCGAAAGTAAGAGATCAATAAAGCAGCAGGAGGTACATGATCACAAAAATTTAAATCCAACAAAACGAGCAAACTATCAAACTGTTTATGATCCTGACTTGAGTCGAACTAAAAGTGGTGGATCTAAGCCCAAGGTTCGATATAACGGCGAAGGACAACCAGATCCAACAGACCCCCGTTTCTACAAAGGTATCAGGTATACTCGCTCGAAAGGTGGGAAAAAGGAGTATTTGAAAAGTTGCGTTGTGCCTATTTTTATTGTAAGTAATAAAATATCTTTGTTTATTATCAGTGGCATATTAACTAATTAATCTCTCTTACAAATAGAAAGATGAAAATACCATCGCTCCTCCTCCTGACACAAAATTGTTAATGTCCGGTCTATCTACGTTGACGAAAAAATCCACCATTATGTACAAACTTTTAGAGTATGGTCCTGTATCAGACCTCGAAATGGCTCATGATCAAACTTCTGGAGAGTTTTTGGGCGTTTGTTGTTTTAAGTTTGATGGCGAGTTGAGTATTTCCAACAAAATCGCCAACAGGCTTATAGCAAATAATCAAAGTGTGTTTATTGATGCAAAGAAACCATTTATTCAGTTTGATGAGAAAGGCTTGGTGAAAGAAAGAATTATTCACGATATCATCAAAACTAAGAAGGAATACTATTCTGTATCAAAAGAACTGAGAGAAAGCCCAGGAACTTTTAGGGACTTGAATAAAGCCGCACATGGCCAAGATGATAAACCAGGATCACATAAAGAAGTGAAACCTGGCATTGTTCGACGAAGGATGTCTTTGAAAAGCGGAAAATTACCTGTATTTTTTGAAGTATTAGAACCTTGCATTTTTATCAGCAATCACTATATTTCCACCAGAGTTAAAATAATGCCGATAGTAACCTGGTTTTCTAAACAAACAGAAGCAATTTTTGTTTGTCCAAGGTTCTTTATTATTGTTTTCCGGGATCAATGGGTTGCAAGGAAATGCTTTAAGGAAAAAAATAATACTCAGTTTGGCCAGAATGTGGTTCTTATGAAGTTGTTTTTATCTGGACTGACTGACATTGAAGCTAATGAAGCGTTTGAAGCAAATGAAGCGGTAGAAAGAGAATCAAAACTTCTCCGTGATCAACTCAAAAAAAAGGAGCAGGAAAAGAATGCTCGAAACCTTCTACCGCCAGCAATACCTGCTGAGATAAAACGGTCGCAACCTGATTATACCGACCGACCCTCATCACACCTGCTGATGGAATCACAAGTAAGTCCTCATAAAAGCAGGATTCCAATTACATCTACATCTTCAACTACCGCCGAAATTTCTGTAGAAGAAAAATCACCCTCTTCCAACAGATTTAATCCTCTTCCATCATCTGTTCTTTCCTTACCTCGGTTTAAAAGGAAAAGTACGATCACTACATCAAGTAAGCTTCAACTTACTCCAGCTGCATCTAGAGAGAAAGTAAGCGCCCGGCCAATGAACCATGGCCTGAATGACGATTCTTCAGATGAAGAAGACGATGACTCAGAGTCGGCGACTCAAACACCTATATACCCTCAGGCAGCTTCAGATACATCTGAGTCTACTGCTTTCGGAAAACCCGAATCCTTCCCATTGAAGGAACCTGAAAAGTCACCAAAAGGTTCCAATGAGGAAGAAGAACCTTTAATTTCCAAGTTGAACAAATCCAAAAGACGGAATTTAAAAGAATTTTTACATTATACTTCTTCTGAAGGAGAATCTGACGATGATGATGATTTGCCTGTATCTAGACAACACAAGAAGCTTAAGCATAATATTGATGATACATTGAAAACACCTCGACAATTGAAGAATAAACTTAAGAGTGCTCCTACTGATAGTCAAATCACGCCTGAAGAGTCTCCAACAAATGATGCCTTGGAAGAGGTCAAAGAAGACAAGCACCGCCAAATTTTTGAAAAAGATGGAGAAATACTAACCAATGTTTTGGTTCCTCTGATATCACCTGAGGAAGAGTCTGAGGATGAAAAAAGAAAGCGACCCAAGTTGAAGAAACTTGAAGAAAGCTCAAAAACCGAAACGATTAAGTCACCAAAGTCCGAAGAACTTGATGATAAGGATGTTTCAGAAAATTATGATCCAGAATGGGATGGTATGTTTGAAGAGCATTCAATTTCTCAAGAGATTATGAATCCTAGGCTTGACTGGGAACCGTCTAAAGGCCGAATGGAGCCAGTTTGCATGGATGATTTTTCCACGTTACTAGATTTGGATGGCTTTCAGTCGTTTGTTAAGGATGATGAAGATTTTGAACTTTTGAAGCAAGTTTTGAAAGGTGTTGAAAGTGAAGATATTGGCCCGGTTGATTTTTGGTGCTGGAACCAAAAGGAGATGAAGTCTGTAAATTATGGGCGAGAATCAGTTGGAAAGCCTTTGTTGGTTGAAAACGGTATTGAAGAAACCCTTCGGTGGTCTAGTAAAACAGGGGCTAGCAGGAGTGATGGGTTTAAGCGGATTGCAGACAAAGACAAGGCTGCGTATCTTCCCCACAGACGCAAGATCCATGAGCCTATTGACACGATTCGAGAAGAGCCAGATACTTCCACGGCCAGTACTGCGGCAGCTGCAGCAGGTGGCTCTAATTCACGTCATAACCGTGCAAGTAACCGAAGACTTGCTAATGACATTAGTTTGCAAAAACAAATGTTGAGTAGTGAGACGGATATTCTCAACTTTAATCAGCTCAAGAAACGCAAGAAGCCGGTGAAGTTTGCACGATCTGCAATCCACAACTGGGGGTTGTATGCAATTGAGCCAATAACAGCCAACGACATGATTATTGAATATGTTGGTGAGGTTGTGCGGCAAAAAGTTGCTGAGCTTCGAGAGAAGAAGTATTTGCGGTCTGGAATTGGGTCTTCCTACTTGTTTCGGATAGATGAGCAGACTGTGATTGATGCGACTAAGCTTGGTGGTATTGCACGGTTCATCAACCACTCATGTACGCCTAGCTGCACTGCTAAGATTATTAAAGTTGAGGGCAAGAAGAGAATTGTTATTTACGCTTTACGAGATATTCAGGCCAACGAAGAGCTGACCTATGATTATAAGTTTGAGCGGGAGGTGAATGATGAGGAGCGTATTCCATGTCTTTGTGGATCAAGCGGCTGTAAAGGCTATTTGAACTAAATGGTATGGAGGGTTTAATGACTTTGCTATTATTTATGTATACTTAATATGATATTATAATGACATGCTATGATGATAAAATAAACTGCTAATGGGTGGTGGTTGTGGTGGTGGTGATGGTGATTTTTGTCTGACCATTTGGATGTCTGAACTGGTGTGGTTGACCACACAGTTACCGTTTTTGGAAATGCAGAAGTTGGTCTCCAATATCATGTGCGAGATTGCTCAAAAAAAAAAAAAAAAAAAAAAAAAAAGAAAAATTAAAAATCCACGGACGGTTTTATGTGCACTCACAAAAAAATAAAAACCTCTTTGGATATATATAACTTTTCTTTCTTTCTTTCTTTCCTTCTTTCCTTTATTATCAAAAAATAAAAAAAAAACCTCTCATACTATATTTGCTCACTTTTACACTTCAAATCCCATCTCCCATCTCCCATCTCTCATCTCTAGCTTATTTCTTGAAATCCAGAATCATCTATCTATACTACAATGCTGCCGTCATCACTAGGCAAGCGTCCACGCACAGCCGATTCGGCCCAACCGGCCGCTGCCGCCGCAGGCCCCACAGGACCAATACTAGCAGTACCAACAGACAGAACAGACCTTAAAAGGCAGTACTTCACTGCCAATGCACACACACTTCCAGGGTCTAGGCCAGATTCCGGATCCATCATTGTCGACAGTTGCTTCAGTACTTGTTTGAACGGATCTTCTCCAAGACCTACAAAAAAGGCAGCCACCACTAGGCTTAACCGAGGGCCTGGGTTCAAACATACTCTTCACAGCTACATCACTACCAGTCCAGACGTTGATGGTCCAGTCCCTAATACTGCTCGTTGTCAGAAAAGTAGTATATCTCCTATAGAATCTTCTGACACTATGGTAGCGGTTGCCACTTCTTCTTCTGTGACATCGGAGGTAGCTGAGGTTAGCGCTCCACCATCACCAACAGGGTCCTTCAGTTCTTTAGAGTCCATTCTATCGGATGGTTACGGATTGGATTCTTGTGGGACTATGAGCCACCTCAGTAATAGTATGGGAAGCTTAGACTTTGCTTCATGTTTCGCTGCCTCTTCATCATGCAATGAACCAGATGCTTCTGCTTCTGTTCCTGTTTCTGCTTCTGCTTCTTCTTCTACTTCTGCTGCATATAATAGAAACTCGGTTCTATCATCGCTGATGAAACCTGGCGGGACTCGGGGTTCATCGCACCATAGACTTTATCAAAAAATTGCACGTAGTAGATCTCACAACCGAACAACAAATCTCTTGCACAATCACAACCATCATCACAGTCATCATCACAGCCATCATGGTCACCACAACCATCTTTTCCACCACCACCACCACCACCACCACAGTGGACCTCTGATTCATCGATGTAGCTCTACATTGAAGACCCAGGCCCAGCTGGAGCATGCGCAACAGTTGATTTTACAAGAGCAAATGCTACATCATCATTTTCACCATCACAATCACAATCATTATCACCACCTCAGCCACAACCATCACTTGAGCCATCGCCAAGACCCTTCGTCATCGTCGTCATCGTCGTCGTCCCGAAGAAAACGATTGGCTAGACGACTGAGCTCGGTCGTAGCATCCTTCCCCTCCTCTGCATCTTCCGGATTGGATAGCTATCCCGACTTGCCTTCTGCTCTTCTTCCTTCTCCTCCTTCTCCTTATTCCTCTTCTGCTTCTGCTTCTGCTTCTGCTTCTGCTTCTGCTTCTGCTTCTGCTTCTGCTTCTGCTTCTGCTTCTGCTTCTTCTCGTCTTTGCCATAACTACCACATTGCATCTTCATCAAATTTATCCACAACACCCTCTTGTTCTAACTCCTCCACTTTCTCTTCCTCTTCCTCATCCACATCGTCATTGCTGCTGCACCACTCTAACGCATCGCTGCCTGCACTGCCTAAATTGCCCCACAATAAGCGTGTCTTGCTCAAAACTCGCCACTTGCGGACGCCTTCGCCTACCTCCTTATCCGGACCTGAGTTTGCTAGTCACAACACTCACCCTCAGCATCCATCTTCATCGTTGACTTCCAACCCTGTGCATATGAGTCATCACAAAAGATTAGGCCGCTTTGCTGAAGATGGATTCCATAGTCCAGAGACAGAGACAGAACACGATGCTGATAACGAGTTCTTTGACGATGCTTACTCGGATGGCATTGACAGTGATGTAGAAACACGGTCAATGACTTTGGAAGTTGTTCCATTGGGTACATCTCCTTTAGTCACATCAGAATTAGCTGACAACAGTGACAATAATAAGAATCAGAATCAGAATCAGAATCAGAATCAGAAGCGGCACCAGCAGAAGCAGAAGCAGCAGCACCGTCGTGATGGAGCTGTTGGAGATGTTAATTGTTATGAGTTTCCTGGGACCTCTGGTCCTGGAGGTCTTCCACCTGGGACATATAACTTTAAAAACATGCGCATGGCGCTGGCCGACATGAACTTTCCTCCAATGCAGGACCCAGATTTGGTGGAGATATTTCTTAATGATGCTGAAAAAAATAGCGATTATGGAAATGACGAGGATGATGATGAGTAAGTTTATTAACGATTAATATTGCATTGAAGTGTGATTTTTTTTTTTTTGTTTGCTATAATTTGAGCAAGCATTCTATTTATTTATTTTTTTCTTCCTTTTGATCCTTTAAAGAGTAATGTAATATAGTCAATGCCTGGAGCTTATTGACTATTAACCAGTCTGTTCTTTCTATAATTTACATAAAAATATGTATATACTTGCAAGTTTATAAATATTTTTACATTTAATTTCTATTCATTAGACTTTGACAAAAAAGAATATTGTCATCGATCCCTCAACAGAAGCAGCTCATTGTCTGGAAATAGTGTTAGAATGAAATAAAGGCAATATTACTACACTAACTAGTCTTTCACTATCATCTTTTTCAGAGTTAAATTAAATTCATACTAAGTTTAATATAATGTTTAGTTATTATCTTGTTGATGCCCTTGTTTCTTTGTAATTCTTTTCTAGCATCTGATACGCTGCCCTTTTTTTTTTTTTTCTTGTATTATTGATGAACTTCTTCTTGAGTTAAACTTTTTTTTTTTTTTTTTTTTAACGGAGAAAAACATTAAATTTTTAAATATTTTTTTTGTGTGTATATGGCTTTGCGCCGCACACTTCCCAATATGGAAAGTCCTTGATTTCTTCCCCTTTTGCAAAGTCTGTGGAGTAAAGATACTCACTTTTTTTCATTCAATAATAAAAAAAAAAAAAATATCAATATCATCTTTTATTTCTATATGGAATACAATAAAAAAAATAGCAAAAAGACTAACTAAAGCTAATAGGACCTTTTTGCAAAATATAAATATATAAATATATATATATATATATATGTCTGTGGTCAAGTCACAAAACTCTCAATAACCAACATACTTCCATCCGGCCACTCAAATGCAACTGATCAATTGCCCTCTTGTCCAAAAAGCTCAGTAAACTCCTCCTGCTTCTTAATCTCATCCTTGCTAACAGTCGGTTTGACAGCCTTGATAGCTTTCAAAAAGTCCTTGATTGTCAGCGGTGGTTCATTTAGCTGATGGCCGTCAATATCCATCCAGCTCATCTCGCGGCTCCCCTGATCGCCCGGCGAACATGGCGTATACTTGGTCTCAACTTCACCTGTTTCCGAATTCTTGACTTGCACGGGCTTAAAGTGAGTCGCAGATTGAATCTTCCGCACAGGTTGCATAAGTGCATCACGTACCGATACTGCCACATCATGGCCTGAGTACCCGTCCGTCATCTCTGCCAACAACCGGTAGTCTGTCGGCGTCAGAGTGCAAGGTGTATCACCCACATTCAGCTGGAACATGCGGGTACGGGCTTCAATGTCTGGTAATGGGATATACACTTTGCGCTCAAAACGACGGCGCATGGCTGCATCAAGCTGCCATGGAATATTAGTGGCTCCAAGAACAAGAACGCCACCTTCTTCATCTCCAGTAAAACCATCCATTTGCACAAGGAGCTCATTCTTCAGACGGCGTGATGCCTCAGATTCTCCCTCTCCACGAGGACCGCACAGCGCATCAACTTCATCAATGAAGATAATGGATGGTCGCTGCTCACGTGCCAAAGTAAAGAGCTGCTTGATTAAGCGCTCAGACTCACCCATCCACTTGGACACCAGGTCCGAAGAAGAAACAGAAAAAAACGTAGAATTGGCCTCGGTAGCCACGGCCTTAGCCAAAAAGGACTTACCGGTACCAGGAGGACCGTAGAGAAGAATACCGGCAGCAGGCCGACGATTGCCCTTGAAAAGCTGGGGGAATTTAACAGGCATAATGACAGCTTCTTTGAGTGCATCTTTAGCGCCCTCAAGACCAGCAACATCGGACCAGTGAACATTAGGTTTCTTGGAAAGAATGGCACTGGATAAAGCACCTCTCAGTTTTTTCGTTTCAGAGTCCTCATTATCGTCCCCATTGTTTTTCCTAAAAAAAAAAAAAAAAAAAAAAAGTTTGGTTAGATAAAAATATAAATATTTCGTGGCAAAATATAGATAACGACATACTTTGCTTTGGTCGACCCGTTTGAACTGGCCTCAGATGTTTCCGTTTTTTTCTCAAGTTTATTAAGATGATCTTTTAATTGTTCTGCTCGATCCAAATATTCGTAACATTTTGTCTTTATTAATTCCTTCTTTTTATCATTTTTCTCATCTAAGTAGTTTAACAAGACGCGTTAGTTATTATTATATATGCATAAAAAATAAATAAATATCCACCACCATTCATACATACACTTAATTGCAAGCATGTAATAATCCAGGCCTTTAGTATATAAGTCGTAAGCTTCCTTGTATTTGCCGTTGGTGTCGTTTTCTATGGCTTCTCTAGTGAGATCCAAGGCTTTTTGTAGAAAGTCGACGGTAGCCATTTCTGATAGCGGGTGTATTTAGAGATATGTCTATAAAAGTGGTATCAAAGAAATTAAAGTAACAAAAAAAAAAAAAAATAAATAAAAATAATATTTCAAAAGTCTTTAACACCAAATCAAAGATTCAAAAAAAAAAAAACAATATAAAATAAAATAAAATAAAATAAAGATTGGGGTAGAAGGGAGGAGGGGGAAAAAAAGAGTGTGTGTTAGAAAAAATGTCAAAATCCTTCAAGGACCAAATAAAAGGTTTGTAGGTAATGAATGGCTCGCAGATGAAATTTTGGAGTGTGCAAAGAGAGAAAAAAATCCTTTGGTTAGTCACGGTTTTTCGTTTAATCATGGCGGCGAAGGGAAAAAAAAAAAAAAAAAAAAAAGTTAAATTAAAAAGATCTTACTAATGATTATGTAAATATTATGATTTATATCTCTTTCTTTTCTCCACCGCTCAATGCCCTATTTTATCGCCAACTAAGCCCTTTTAAAATAAAAAAAAATCACAACAGTAAGAACTCGGTATCTAAAAAACATTCTGCCAAAATATATAATATCAATAATAATCCACCATGGCACCATCGAAAACTTTATCTAAATCACCTGCTCAACTAAAAGAGCGTGAACTTCAAATTTCGCCATTATATATCCCCAATATTGTGTTCAATAAGCTTGTACGTTTTTATATATATATATATATTTTTACAATATAAAAAATATTTATTAACATATACATTCTCACAGACTATCTCTTATATCCGTAATGTCACTTCCTTGGCATTTGGAATTTGCGCAGGAATCCTTCAATTGGAATCTATCTACGGCTTTCTTTTCTACTTTGTCGCCAGCACATTGGTCTCTTTTCTGATACAAGTTTTGGTCGTGGGCAGTTCCCCATTAAGCTACTTTGTCACCCCAAAAAGTGATGTTTTCTGGGCTGAAATTGTCTCTTGTTTATCGAGTTATGTCCTAATGTGGACTCTATTTTACGGTCTTGTAACTGCATAAAATCTTTTTTTTTAAAAAAAAAAAAGGAAAAGAAACTGCGAAAAAATATATGATGTTATAATAATAGAATCCCAAATTAGGTCTTTAATACGCTTCTTATGGAAATCTGCACGGTTATAGTTTTTCTCCATTAAAGGCTTTAAGGAATTATTTTTCTAACGTTTCTCTATATAAAAAATTGTTCGCTTATTACTTCCATTGACTAACAACGTAATCTCTAACACTTCTAGACTCTTCAAGGCCAATACTCTTCCACAACGCAGCAATAGAGCCCTGGTTGTCACTATCACGTTCCAAATATTGAGCCAATAAATACCAAGCTTCTGAAGAATTGAAACCATGGCCCGAGTGAACTAAGGTTTCTAAAAGGCCTGATGCACGAGCTATAGCAGCCTGCTCATCCTTTTCAGATAAAAACAAAACATCCATAGCTGCATCATTTGCATAATAGTCTGGTTTAGACTGGCTTTTGCTTGTAGTTGAAGCAAGTCTAGAGTGGCCATTAGCAATCTTGGTACTTTTTTGAAATTCAGACTTAGTAGAAAAGTCGTCTTCTTCTTCACCATTTTCAAAGTCATCCTCGTCATCTTCATCATCACTGTAGTATGGTCTAAATCCAGAAGATGGTTCTTCAATATCAACATTTTCAAAGGGATCCCTAAATGAATTCGTTTGATTAAGTCGAATTTCTCGTTGAACTTCTTCTTCAATCTTTTTCCGTTTTTCTTCCTGGCGTTGCTTTAACTTTTTGTTTAAATCAACATGATCTAACACTAACTGTGAAAAAGCAATGATCGCTGCTAGATTATTGGAATCTTTTTCTAATGCAGATTCAAATTCCTCCATTGCATGAAGAGGTCGATCTTTAAGGATTAAAAGACCCAATTCGACATGAGAAGCAGGAGTAGGCCCATTAACGTTTTCTGCTTCAATTAAAGCTTCCTCAGCATCCTTATAAAGCTCTGCTCGTCTGTAAACACTGGCTGCCCAAATCCATAATTCAGCCAAGTTTTTCTTTTGAAGAGCATCAGATGGTTTAAGAACTTGTGGAGCAGGTCTTTTGGAAACTGGTTTGTTAACCGTGGGAAGGGATAACGATGGCTTGGGAAATTTTTGGTTTTGACTCTGGCTCGGGTGAAGATGTGGATGAGGGATATGAAGTGAATGATGTTTTTTGTTTTGGTTGTTAGAAGAAAGCCTTTTTATGCTGAGCCGGGAAAAAATAGGCCTTAATGATGCTTGGTCTGATACGTGATTCGAAGAAGCAGCACTAACGGTGGGTCTGAGATCACCGTTAGAGACTGCTAGAGAAGTGGGACGAACTTTTATAGCATTAACAGGAGCAGATTCCAAAGCAGTGCTGGGGTTATTGGCCTCTGGAAAAAGATCTCCGAATAGAATAAATACCTCCGAAATAAGCTCTAAAGCTCTATCAATTCCGTAGACAGCTTCGGAAATCGCAACATGTGTGATTTTGATCTGCAAAAAGCTGCTCTTTTCAGATGTAGTAAGCGTATCTCGTCTAGCATCAATCATATCAATTGTGTTATTAATTGCGTTTAAAGCCTTATCATAATCCCCTAGAGAAGAAAGTAAAAGAGCCATAAGATGCCATGATGCATAGTTGTTTGAATCAAGAAGAAGAGCACTTCGAACAACCTCCAAAGATTTAGGAATCTTAGATATTCTTGCAAGAAATAAACCATATCCGGCAAGAATTTTAGCATCACTTTGGCCGTGGGTATAGAAAAGACTCTTTTCAAAAGAATTCACTGCCAAGATGAAAGATTGATCACGTTCTGCTGTGGTGAAGGCTTGGAAACCAAACAGAGAATAAGCATTGGCAATTGAAAACCAAACAGTTGAAAGCTCAATTGAAGATTCTGCTGGCCTATATTTATCGGCTCCATGATAAGAAGAAACGTACTTTTCTTTCGAAAATGCACTAGCTTCTTCTTCGGTGTAAAACCAGCTGCGGAGTTTATCAGCAGTTTCTTTAGCTTTGAGACCGTCATGCTTAACCTGAACCAAAATATTAATGGCTTTAGTAAATACCCTAATTACCGATTTATCATCGTCACCAAAAGCAGTAGACGAAGAAGCAGTCGGCGGATCAGTGACCAAAGTCTGAGTGGGATGTGGTGACAATGCATTTTCAATGGGTTCATTTCCAGAAGTTACCGCAATATTGTTATTGCTCAAATTGCTCTTTTCTTGCTGAAGACGGGCCTTTTCTTGATATGAAACATAAGTATCAAATGCCATCAAAGATTCTTTATGCTGACCAAGAGCAGAAAGAACGAATACTAAATGTCGCATAATAGCACATGAATGAAAGGTTTTGATTGTTGCACGTCTAAGTATCACTAGCATTTTTTCAGTTTCTTTATTGTCTTCTGGTGTATAAACCTGTTCAAGAGGATAGGAAAACTTCATTGTTTTGCGCCAGTTTTGCATGATTGTTTCTATAAACTGTTCAATGTTTTGATTAGATTCAGAAGAAGTTGACTCTTCTGTGGACTCAAAAAGAAACTTTTCAAATAACTTTGATAAGTTTTCAACATCCTCTTTCGTTTGACTATTGGGGTTACTCTGAAGCATGGCCGAAGAATATATGAAATGTATGTTGAGAATACTGATTTTTCTTTGCGGGCCATCCAGTCGGTTGTAATATTTAGAAGTAGTAGAATTTTGTGATAACAATCCAGCAATTTCTTCATGGCCACGAAGAGCTTTCAGAACCAGTTCAGAATTGTCCCATTTATATGAAGCTGCAAGTTTCCCAAATCTATAGTAAAGTTGTTCTGCCCAGAATAAAAGTCCCGGACTTGACCCTATACTAAGGGACATAAATGGAACTGCAGTTGTATAAATTTCTATTGATTGGTCAAATTGACTGAGTGCTTCATAGGCTGTTCCAACAATAGCCAAGTGTTTGATAATCATCACCTGGGTATATTTGTTGGTGTAGGAGTTTAAACCGTTATTAAAATTTAAAAACTGTGAGAAATTAGATGAAACTTCCACGACAATATTATACTTTTGCAAAAGAAGAAGCGCATGTGCATAAACCGTAGAGTTGATAAAAATCTGCTCTGGGCTTAGCCCCTGATTTAATTGTTGAGAGGAGTTCTTTTGGAGTTTTTGTTCGTAGTCGTCAAGCGACTTGGAAAATGGAACGCTTTTAGGAGCAAGCAGCTCTATCCCTTGAGAAAATAAACTGCTCTCCATTTCAGCTTCAATAACACTGGTTTGTGCAAAAGCTATTAAGAAAAAAAAAGGTCAGATCCAAAAATATGTAGTCTAGTTTTTGATTTCCATCATGACATACCAGCATTCTCGGGTGAATGTTTGGTGACTTTTCGAGCAAGCTCAGGGATTTCAGACCACCTATATTCAGAACGAGCTGTGTCAAGCTCTTTTAAATAGTACTGTGACTTCTCAGAAGGTTTCGACTAGATTACCAAAAAAAAAAAAATAAAGATAGTTAGAAATATTTTTCAGATAAATGAATAAAAGTTGGTAAAACACTCTCTCGAAAATCAATCCCAATGTACCACTTGGTACACGTGTAGCTGACAAGAATAGCTAATATATTGGTCTTGAAAAAGGCATTGTACAAAGCTTAAAACTCAATGAATAGTTTCAAAAATTAAAAAAAAAAAACTTACAAATACCATTGTCGCTTAAAACTTTCTTGAGTCAAGATGTTTTAGAATGCAAGAAACTGGATAGGTAGTGTCAATAGGCAAAGGTTAGTACTTGGTCAACCAAATTCATAAAAAGGAGGGTGTGAAAGCAAGAAAAAAGGAAAAGGTTTTGGACGTGGGTGGTCAATTTTCATATCGACCGTAAGTTATTAATAATTGAGTCACGTGGTTTGTGATGCCATCATGATAACTTGTTCCTACGGCTGTAGCAAAAAAATTTTTTTTTTTGCCGTTTTGATTCATCAGCTAAAGCTTTGAAATCAAACAGCTTTTTTAGAATAATATCCAAAATGTCGTCTGAACTTATAGAAGTAAGTTTATAGTATTTTATTTATTTCTTTATTTTAATCTTTTGATTTTTTTATAGTTAGTTGGGTTTTTACATGCCCCCCAGCCTAATGTTTTGTCTATCGCCTTGGAAAACTTGGTTGGATTCTCTCAAGCTCCTTACATTCATATTTTCAAAACCAACGATTTTCAACCCATCAAGGATCTCAAGCACTTAATCCGTAACCAGCGATCTATTACTATTGTTAAAAATGCTTTGACTATTCTTATTAATCTTTGTGACGACTCATCTATTTTGGAAGACCTTTCAGCTGATGAATCTCTTATTCAGTTTGTCTCCAACTCTATCCTCGATTTGTCAAACCCGGCAGCTGACTTGTTTTGCATGCTTCTTGCCAATTTGGCTAAGAGAGATACCATCAACGCTATTTTCAAGTTTAAGCGAAAGGCTCTTAACGAGAAGTTCTCTATCATCAAATCAACTGACCCCAATAGTTCTGAAAAGGCATTAGGGTTTGGCGAAGATGAGCTGGAAAATATTGAAAAGGCTAGAAATAATCGTGAAGAAGCCTCTGCCAAGGTCTTTGGTCTTCCAGGAGAACGTGATATTATTGACTGCTTACTTGACTGTTTTGTTAAAGGGCATGATCGTGCTCTCAATGCCTTAGCAAAGTTTGATTATCTGGCGTTTTTCTTCTCTGATCTTTCTAGATTTAAGGAAGGTAGAATGCATTTCATTACTCCCAAGTTTGAAAAGGCTGAATATGATGTCGTTAAGAAAGAACTTTTACCTGTTGAAACCGGTGAAGAGGTTTATCCTATTTCAAAATTATTAGTTTTTTCCGAAAGCCCTTCCAAAATTCGACGCGAGGGTGTGGCCTCTACCATCAAGAACTGCTTGTTCGACGTTTCTTGCCATTATACATTAATTTTCAATCCCTCTATCAACATTCTTCCTTACATATTGCTTCCACTCGCTGGACCCGAAGATATTGCTGAAGATGAAATGCTTGAACTGCCTGATGAGCTACAATTTCTTCCTCCTGAAAAGAAAAGAGAATCAGAACCCGCTATTCTCACTACGTACATTGAGTGCTTGATGTTACTTTCTACCACTAAAGATATCAGACAATATTTGAGAGATAAGTCTGTTTACTCCATCATTCGCCAACTTCATTTGAGCGTGGCTAACGAAGAGGTTCAAGAGGTAGCTGAACGTTTGGTTAATGTTTTAATGCGTGATGACCATCCTGAAATTCAGGATCCTGAGAATATTGATAAGGACCCTAATGAAGACGAGGATGAAGACGAGGATGAAGACAAGATTGTTGAAATCCTTTAAATAATGAACTAGAATATGTGTAATGATAAAAAAAAATCCTTAAATTCTTAAACAGTTTACTTAAACTTTTTAATGCATAACGCCCATAAAAATATTCAATAAATTAACAAAAAAAAATAGATACTCATTTTTTTTTGGTATGATAAAAAAAATACTAAATAAGCTTAAAAAAACTAAAACCTGTTTTGGATATCTGATTAGTGTCAGTTTTAAAGATTTGCTAGATTTCATATTAAATTAATAACAAAAATCGGCATTCCAACTTTAAATATTATCACGGAGAACTAAATATCCCTCGTGTAATCTGACAAGACGCTTAAGATGTAACTTAAGCAGTTTGAGGTTTTCAGGATGTCTTTTGAGTCTATTTTTGAAAACAGCCAAAATCTCTTTGGCGTTTAGTCTCTGGCTACGAACCACTTGTTTAACTTCCTCCTCTGTAATCAAATCCGCACCGTTAGATACAGCACTGGAGCCTGAGCTAGAATTTGATGAAGAGCCTTCGGCAGGAGTTGAAACAGCAAGAGAAGTAGATGGTTTGTTGCCAGATGAAGTGGGCTGGCCATTGGCTGCTGAAGGATTTGCAGCAGCACCATTAGAAGCTGCTGCAGTAGCAGCAGTCGATATATTAACTGAAGGGTTAGCAGATTTCACAGAAGTCTGTACAGCAGTGCCAGAACCTTTATTTGCACCCCCAGCATTCGATTTGTCCTTGACTTTAAGTTTCTTTGTTTTATGCTTGAGGCCGTGTTCTTCATCATCCGATAATTCGGCACGACGGCGCTTGAGGCCAGGGTTCCAGAGATCAGGCTGGAATTGTGCCAGTTTGGCAGCAGGTAAATTCAAGATGACCATTCCATGAGGAAGATCATGGTGCTTCTTTGAATTTTTCTTCTTCTTCTTTTCCTTAAGTTTTTTGTCTTTGAGTTTCTTTTTAGGCTTTTCTTCACCATTAGCAAGAGCTGCAGGAGTTCCCTCAGTACCTTCTTCTGTTTTTACCGTCACACCTTCAGTCTGTGCGGCTTCGGTTCCAGGTTCTTTCTTTACCTCTGTGCCATTAGCACCCTTGAGTGCACCACCAAGAGAAGCTGGGTTGTCAATTTCTTCTTCTTCATCACTGCTCTCCTCTGTAGCGTATGGATTAGAATCATCATCAGTTTCATAATTGATGTTCTTTTCGCGCGATCTCAGGTACTTAATCATATGTTTGCCTTGTTTGTCAACCTTTCTGTCTTCTTCTTCTTCTTCTTCTTCATTTTCATTTTCGTTGAAAAGAGCCGAAATCTTTGCACTTTGGTGCTCTTTTTTGATTTTGTTTTCGACTTCTTTAACCTCGTCCTCATTGCCTTCCATTATTGGAGCCTCTTCATCATCTGCAAATTCCTCATCAAAATCGATATCATTCCCGTCATCGTCTCTTCTCATCTCATCAACTGTGGAGGAATCTGTAGTTCTAAATCTTCGGCGCATATTAGTAGGACGCTTATTGGCCGAGTCCTCTTCGTTCCCAAAGTATTTCATTACCCAGCGATTTGGCAGTTCACCTTTTTCCATTTGCTTTTCGGCCTCTTCAGAAGTCAATGTAGCATATTTGTTTCTAGGTGTCATCTTATACCATTTTTCAGCTGGCACCATTTTAAACCCATCGTTATCAAAAACAAAAAGCACATAAGCGTCTGTCTGTCCTGCTTCATAGTTACCAACCCATGTATTCTTGCCGTCAAAATCTTCTAAAATCCAAGGATAATACTCTTCATAACGAAGTTTACGAGCATTGGTATCACCAAGAACGACTTGTTTAGTTTTCTTTTGAAAAAGATGCGATTTACCACGACGAGCACCTCCATCTGGTGCAATAAGAGACATATCGGCTTCTTCTGAAGGAGTTTTTCCCTTTTGTTTTGCGTCATCTTTTCCATTTGCTGTATCACTTGTTTTAGATTCCTCATTTTCTGTTTTAACCGGTTCTTCTCCAGTTACCTTTTCTTCAGTTGCGGTTGGTTCGGCTAGTAAATGTTTAGGAATCGGTGTTGTAATACCTAATCTCTTATTGCGCTCTTCAAGCTCTGCCAAAGTAAGTTGGTTCTGCATATTTCTGGGATCTTTCCTGTGTAATCGAATAGGTTTCGTAAAAGTGCCAACTGGATCTACCTCACTTTTAGAATGGAACCTCATGAGGTGATACCGAAGATCTTTGATATCATCTTCGTTGCACGCGTTGAGATTATATTCGCGATATTGTGTTTTGTCACTAGATTTTGAAGAATCAGGTTCGGCAGCAATCGCAGATGCTAAAACGCTGGTGGATGGTTGTGAATTAAGTAGCGGTTTTGTCTTCGTCACTATAGGTTTACCGGTACCGGGCTTTTTGATTAACGGACGCGACGGTCTTCTTAAAGGGTCCGCGTTTCTGGCAAAGCGACGCTTAGGCTGGATTAAAGGGTTGGACATCTTTGACAGATTTTATGATGCAAATGGCTTTGATTACTGGGATTGTCTGGGTGTTGAAATGCTTAGGGAACAGGTTCGAATTTTGTGAAAAGAGCGAGATTTAAAAGTCTTTATAAAAAAAATATTTTTTTTAATTTTTATTTTATCTTTTTTTTGATTCCAAGTGTGTTTTTGATATTTTTTCGTATTTTTGATTGATTTTTTTTTTTTTTTGGTTTTTATAATTAAATGAATTAATCTATTTAGTAAAAAAAATTTCGAAAGAGTATGGATAAGAAAAGTGTCTTTTCTTGTAGATTAGAGAAATTTGAAAAGGAATCAAAAAAAAAATGCAAATAAGGTAAGAATCAAATCAAATTTCTGAAAAAAAAAGAATAAAAAACAAAAATGAATGAATAAAATATGATATACTGGAACTTTCAAATCTCACGAGCCCGAGTCAAACTTGTAGTTTATGGTATGCGTGAAATTATGGTATATCGTATGAAATACGGAAATTGGCTTTTTAACGATTTGGAAAAAGATCGGCAATCAGCTACTTGCAAAAATACGCTCAAGTTTTGCCTGAGAAACAAAATAAAAAGGGTTGCTTGCTGGAACGATGCCTATGATAAAACGTAGTGGCAAAAAGTGTCCAACTTATAAGGCTAACAAAAAAATTTTGAATAGTAAAAGAGGGTGGTGGTGATTCAAGAGCTCAATAAAAGGTGTGGCATTTTTTAAAACTAATCTGTCAGTTATTTGTAATACAAGTTGTCACATATTTTTTTAGTCTAAAATTCATATGCATGGACTTTTAGTTTGTTTCATTAAATCATCCGGTTATTTTTTGAATCTAACAGCCTTGTTCCATATGTTACGCATGCATGATAAACTTTACTGAGTAATAATAGGACTTTGAAAAAGCCTTCGCCGAAATCTAACAACCATATATTTTTGGTCAAACCCCTACAAACTCATCTAGTTATCAAACAAAAACTCATACAAAAATCATTAACAGTCATGTCGCAAACCTTTGGACAAAAGCTTAATTCTCTTCTTCATAACAAGGTCTTGTAAGTTAGACAGTTTATATTAGTTTAATGTTTGTATGTACATGATAGTTTATTGTCTAACATACTTTTTTTGCTATTGTTTTGTAGTATGGGCTGGTTCACCGTCACCTTTGGGGGTATCGGTATCTTTGTGGCCTCTAGAACGTATGTATTGCTTCTATTTTAAACTCTTCTCTTTTTTTTGCTGTTATTAACAATAGTTTAGTTATATGAAAGGTGTCAAACAAGATCGATTTAATACTTGTATGTTTTTTCTCCTCGGCCATCCTTCATAGTATTACTAACGTCAATGTTTCTAGTGGATGATACCGATTATGTTGCAGGTGCTTATGAAGGAGCACCATCTGCTGAAAGAAAGAGCAAGTACGAAGCAGGAGGTCATAGTAGCAGAGCTGTAAGTATTTGTACCGATGCACTGAATGTTTGTTGGGTATTATTTTGATTTCTAACACTACACTTATAGACTCGTCAACACGGAGATATTCTCCACTATGGCGGATTCTTTCGTCATACACCTGACAAGCCGGCAGCCTCTGAAGAGGCTTCAAAATAAAGTAAACATCAAGAGTTATCCTTAATTTTGCTTTCAACTTCTGTGTTTCTTGTTTACATTTGCAGCTGCATTAAATACTTGTACATATCCCTAATTTATTTCAACAAATGTAGATTGCAAATAAATTTACCATTCAAACATTGAAATATATAACTTTACTAAAAATTAAAAATTAAAAAAAAAAACTAGGGCTTGGGTTTTTTAATTCCAAACTTCAATCTAGAAAAGGCACTCGATGACTTTTCACCAATACCCGAAATATGAAGCTTATCAGCCAACCCGTGTGTTTTGTTAGAAACTTCCGAAAATGCTGATGTCAGTTTGCGAGGTTGAATTGAATTAGCAGCAAAATGCTTGACCTTGTTTGCAGCAATCGAACCTGTTGTTCCAAGAACACCACTGTTCTTTTGCGATTGAGGAATAGGTGCTGATGATTTACTAATAGTTTTCATGTCTTTAGAAGCAGACACTTGTAGGATCCATGTCTGAAGACCCGAATCATAATCAGCTTGAGCTTGACGAGCTAGATCAAAAGCAGTTTTCCGATCAACAGATCGAGGTCTTGTCAAAATTCCTTGAAAGTCTAAAACAGGGGGTCGGTTGAGAAGAGAGGCTAGTGACTGTTGTCTACCTACAGGTTTTGGAGAAAAAGTGGAAGGATCATTGATGATTAATGAGCTCGACCGTCTCTTCGCAATCTGCTCGCCAGATATAACACGATTAGCTGGTGTTCTAAGAGATTGCACAGGGGAGATAGTGGGAGACGAATCAACAATCATTGATTTAACCGCAAAACTGTTTGTTCTAGAATGAGTAGAAGGTTCTTGTGGTGACTTATTATAGGATTTTACTGAAGAACGATCATCCTCTTCTAGAGTAGAACTTAAAGTAGAACGTGAAGGCGAACGTGAATGAGAATGGGAATGAGAATCATTAGTTGTATCAAGCTTTGGATTATCACCGTTGACCACTACCTTAGGAACAGGCGGCATTGAATAAGAAGTAGTCGATTGTTCTTGATTATTTGACATATTGTCGATGGATAGCTCAGTTTCCTTCTTGTCATTGTAATCAAATGCAGGAGCTAATGCACCATTATCGCCCTCTTTCTGATTTTCAACAATAGAACTATTAGAAACTGATCTGTTTGATGAATTAAGAGGTTGAGTTTGAGGGATTCCCGTAGTAATAAGCTGACTAATTGGCCGAGAAAGAAGCTTAGAAGAATCTCTGTATAGCTCTGCAACAACAGGGTCAGGTACGGTAGGACTTACAGGTGATTGAATTGCCTGAGGTGTTAATCCATTATCGTAGGACAAAGTAGGTGTTCTAAGCTGAGTGGTATGTATAGATGCCGATGGGGTTTCAGATGAGTAGTTTTGTGTCTGTTGAGAAATATCAGGAGATTGTGCTCTACCACTGGGCAAGTTTTGAGAAGAACTGCCAGAGAATGACTTCATAATCTGTCTTTCCAATGCATTCTGTTCTGCCGTTACAGGTGTTTCATTTGAGTCATCCGAGGCATGGCCGTGCTCCAAATCTTCAGTAACTAGAGCTGGAACTGAACGTGTTCCAACATTTTCTCTTTGATCTGGTATATCATATTTATTTCGAATGAACTCACCTGAATTTGATGAGTTATTAGTTTCCTGTGAACTTTGGGGAGCTTCTTTGCTATAACCTTGAACAAAAGGTTCAGATTCTGATTCTGATACTGATACTGAAGCAAATCTCCCGTTATTATAATTCAAATCTTTATTTTCTACTTTTGGAGTAAAAGTAGGATTTGTTGATGAAGGGCTAGAATCTTCGGTGGGTTCAGAAGAAAAATCCAATGGCCTCCATCTCCCAACTTTTGAAATAGGTGACGTGGGTCCGGGTATTTCTTGTTTAATTTGATCAAAAGTTGGAGCACCACCTTCTGAAGGATCGGGAGTGAAGTTGCTGTTCTGACTGTTGCTATTACTCATTGACGGAGAAGAATGAGCATCAGAACTGGTAGGACCTGGCACTAATCCAGCAGAGCGGAAATCATAGGAATCTCTAAAAGAATATGAGAAACTCTGAGGAGATTTGCGTCCTGTTGATAAAGATGCCGTATCGTCTGTTTCATTACCAGCGTAAGAACGCATCGAATCGGAGGCAGTAGAAAAACGGCCACCTGGAATATGGAAGCGGCTGGCAGGCATTGGAAGTGGGGATCCTGGTGAATCAAATGAACTTGAGTTCGTCGTATTAAAATTATCGGCATGAGGTTCTGGAGTGGATGAGCGTACATTATCCTCATCAAATGAAGGCGCTGAAAACGAGGTAGTTCTTTCTTTATCAACATCAAAAGTAGTAGCAGAAATCTTAGGAGAAACCCCATGGCTTGGTTGTACTTGAGGTGGTGATGGAGACTTATCGTTAATGGTAGGTGTACTAGAAACTGAGTTATTACTAAAACGATTCTCCTTAGAAAGCTGAGGTGATCTAGCAGAATAATCCGACCATGTATTTATGTGGCTTGCTGATTTTATTTCACCAGAGTAATCTTCAATATTATCCAAAAAACTCTCATCGTTTTCAGAATTTTCCTTTGCTTCGTCTCTAGTAGAAAATCCAATTTCTTGAATAGAACCGTCATCTGAATCATCTGCAGGTTTTGTCAATGTTTCAATAGTTGTAGATGATTCAACAGTACTAGAAGAAAAGTTTCGGGATGTTGTTGTGTTAATTGAACTTTTAGGAAGAGGTTGAGAAAGTGTTGTGACTTTCGATAAGTTGTTAGTTTGAGAAGATTCCGGAGGAGAACTAAGTTCCTTGTTGTCATCATAGTAGTCGTCAAGATATGATGATATCGAAAAGTCACGCTTGTGAGAATTTGCGGCCGGAGGCTTGGCATCTTCATGGTCAAGTCCAAATGAGTTGGTTTCATTATTTTCGCTTGTAGGTTTGGAAGGTGTGTTAATCTCTGGTTGCAGGTGAGTTCTAGATTCTTCTTCACTTGATTGAGAAGGTGGAGTGACGCCTATTGAGGGCAATTGTATATTAGATTTGTTGAGATTGTTAATTGTATTCAAGTCCTTAGAAGTAGCTGGTACATCTAGACTGGTAGTAGAAGAAGACTTGAAGTTCTGGGAGCTGGTCTTTGTGTTTGTTGAATTAGGAAGAATTCCTTGGGCAAAAGAAGGTGATGCAAACTCCTCAGTGATAGACTTTGCAATATCATCTACAGAAGCAGCTTCATTTTTATCGTCGTTATAGCCTTGAATGTCTTGTTGTTTGTTTAGTGAGGAGGCTCTAATAGTAGAGTTGAAATCAGAAGCATTTAAGTCTTGGGTAAAAGAGCCTTTGGTATTAAGGTTTTGCTTAAAATCATTTGTATCAGATTTATTTTCAAACTTTGATTCTGTTTCGTGAGAAATGGTGCTTGAAAGATAACCAGGCTTGTTAGAAATAGTCTGATTCAATGTATCAGAGGTTTGGCCATTAGATACGCTGGGAGACAAAGAAATGGTAGGCTGAGAAGTTTTTATTGGAACTCGTGACAGTGGTTTTCTGGTAGGCCTTGAGGATAAACCTCCAAGTTTATTTCTATCGGCGCTAGCTCCAAAACCACCCAAAGCGTTTTTACTGTTAACGATTGGCTTTTGTGTAGATTGAAGATTTTTGGTAAAGGTATTATTATATGCTCCTCGCAAATCTTCAGTAGAAGGCTGTTCAGCAGCACTGTAAAAACTATTTGTACTTTCGCGGAAAGCGTCATCCTCGTCGTCTGAAAAGTCGTTATGGTTGGTTGTAGAAGAAGAAACAGTATGTTGAACGTTTTTAGCTAAACTTGAAAGGGCTAAACTAGGGATGGTAGCTGAATCAGGCTTGGGGCTATTGGATGGCTTGGTGGTGTCATATGAGTTAGAGTGGGGCGTGGCTTCTGTAGGTCTGTCGTAGAGCTGAGAAGCTACAGTGTTTTGAGTATCTGGGAAACGAGTAGCAACGTGAAAGTTTGTCTTAGAAGAGGATATCGATTGACTCTGAGTGATAGAAGGCTCAGAGGAAAAGCTTGTTGACGAGTTATTATTTAAACCAGAAGAAAATGGGGGAGGACGGTCCAATGGTCCATTGTTGTTGTTAGGAAATTCAGGAATATCGTTAGGCATTTGAGGGAGTGGTGGCGGCTCATCGTCTTCGGATTCAGTCCTAAAAACGGGAGGCAAAAAAGACTAGTTAGAGAAAGACAAATACGACTCTAAAAAACAAAAACAAGAAATTTTTTCTACTTGAAGGATTAAAGAAACATACCAGTCATATTCGTCATAGTCAGCATCTTCTCTTTCTTTTCTAACCACCCATCTTGTAGATTTTTTGCGTCCTACAACAGGGTTGAATGATGAGAGTGTGCTAAAAATAAACATAGAATTAGAACCATGTCATAAGCAACGTTAACCAGAAAAGAAAAAAAAAAGGTATACCTGTCACGATTCGGTCCAGCAGCTGGTGGTGGCATTATAAATGGATTTTGTATAAGAAATGTATGCTAGTGTTTATGGATTAATCTAGGGTGTTGTAGTAATGCTGATTGAGCACTGTCTGTTTTTATGGTGGAGATGTTTAAGGGGAAAAAAAAGGGAAAAAAAAATTTGAAAGGGACAGGAGGTTTTTTTTTTATTTTATTTTATTTTAAAAATAGCATTTCTTGCAACAAAAAACCCTCCCAAGGAAAATGACGTCGCACGTTTCAATTTTTTAGATAGTTTTTATTTATTTATTTATTTTTATTTTCCATCTCTTACAATTCCTATAAATTCATTCATTTTTGTTTAAACGGTTCCTTTATATTTCATTCTTTCAGTTAAAAGATTGAATTTTAAAAAAATTTTGATGATTTTTCTCTGGGGAGAGGTCCCAAAATATCTTTAAAAAATCGCTTTTATTCAGCCACTTCAGTATTCAGAGCCCCAATGTATTTCAGTGCCTTCATACTCCAGTGTTAAAATCTCCACAATAAAAAAAAAAAGAAGAGGTAATAAGTCTACTCAAGTGATATTGTTTTGGCCTTACGGCTAGCACCATGCCTCCGAACCTCGGCATCCATCATGCTCCGAATGGATTGGCAGCCTGAAAGTGAAAGTGCAATTGCTGGCTCCAGACGATCCAGTGGCATTTTGTTTTCTAGCAGTAAAAGCGAAAGCCGTTCAGTGGTCTTGCCAATTACGCCCACATTAACAAATGAAACGTCTTGCTCCTCAGCATGGCAAGGATCTAAAAGTGGGTTGTCTCCGTACATAGCTGTCGAGCAGCCAGAAACATAATCCTTCATTGAAATGCCTGCATCAATCAAAGCAAGAGTTGCTGCATTGATACATGCTGGCAACATCCCGCCATCTTCGGCCACCACATAGAGATTAATGTCAATGACAGTACGGGGATACAAGTGCGACAGCACTGCTTCTTTAAATAGCCGTCGTAAGCAAATGCACATCTCTTGTATCCGACGATCATTGCGAGCTCGTCTCTTGCGCTCAGTAGTGCTAAATGGTGGAACTGTAATATCAATGTTTAGCAAAACGCCATCATTGCTTGTTTGATTGCGTCCATCTGGCTCACGAGGGCCCTTAGCTATGCACACGACCTTTGTGAGACCCTGTTCAACATATGACGATCCATCAGCAGAATTAGGGTGTGTATTGATTTTACAACTAAAATGCCGTAATTCGTTCCATCTTCGGCCATCTTAAAAATTGTTAGGAATTGGGATCAAAGTGTCGCAAGTATACAAAAAATAAATTAATAAATAAAAGATGGCATACCTATGCGTAATCCCTCAGGAGAAAAAAGTTCAAAGCGCGACTGAACCCAACATTTGGCGGTTAGATTTCATTAATTTCAAAAAAGCCATTTATCACTAGATTTTCACATACCATTATAATTTGAAATCTCTATTATCTATGGTTCTTGTGTATATTGAAGCACAGTTACTGAATTTCAAAGTTGAAAATCTTTGCTGGTAATTTTTTTTTACAATCATGTGATTATATCCGGGTAACTTAGTAAGATGTATGCTACTTTATGAAAGCAATTTGGTCTTTGTGTGTACTCTATTTCGTTCAATATTACGAAGACCAGTCAGCCTCCAAAAATTTTCCTTTGCCAGCACACTGATCTCCACACAACTTATCCCCAGCATATTGATAAGGGGGTATTCATTCATCAGCTATTACTGCTGCGTTCGTTATTTTAAATTATTTTTTTTCCTCTCGCAAAATATATAAATAAAAAAATGGGTGAAACTACTGGACCAAAAGAAGTCATCTACTGTGGAGTGTGCTCTTTCCCACCAGAGTACTGCGAGTTTGGCGGTACCGTGAAACGGTGTAAAGACTGGCTTGAAAAGGCTCACCCTAGTCTTTACTCTCAACTCTACCCGAGCAACAGCGACTCCGTCAACACTCTGCCTATGTCGTCATTGTCTTTGGAAAAACAAGAAGAGCTTGATCGCAAAATACAAAAGCAGCAAGCTAAGGAGGAGGCCAAGGCTGAGCGTGAGCTGCAGAAGAAACTCGCATCCAAGGTTCTGATTAACCGTAATGCCCGTTCTAAGCGTAAGGTTGTCATCACAATTCAAGGGTTAGAAGTATTTGATATCGACATTAAGAAGCTCTCAAAGACTTTTGCTTCGCGATTTGCTACTGGAGCAAGTGTCACCAAGTCTGCGGATGGGAAGGACGAAATTGTCATTCAGGGAGATCTTGGAGATGAAGTTGAACAATACATTACTGATTTATTGGAAGAAAAGGGATTGACCGAGGTTAAAGTCGAACAAATCGAGGACAAGGGCAAAAAGAAAAAATCCGCTTAAGAGTTGAAACAATGAGCAAAGCCAGCCCAGGAAAGTTTCTAAGTGGTATGTAATAAGTTAGAAACAGCCGCAGTTACTTTTTTTTTTTCTCTTAAATATTTCTCTTAAATACACCAAGTGTGTTTTGCTTTTTTCGATTGGTTATACACTGAAAATCATGTTTAATTGAAATACTTGAGTATTGTATCAGTCCTGAAAGTCTTAATGTTAGCATTGAGTAATAAATGAAGCAATAGGCTTTTTTACAACCACGTAGTGGGCTCATTTTAAACTTTGATGATTCAAAATTGATAATTTTATAATTTTATATACGTTTGATTGCCTTATTAAATTTGTTTTTTTTTCAATTTTGTTCATTTTAACTATATCGATTGATTTAAGTCTACAATCGGTTAAACCTATTGATTGATTTCGTCTAGATGTATGAAAAAGAATAGTAATATATTATCATTTTTTGAATTCAGGTTTAAATCGTCGAAGGAGGTTTTGCCTAAAGCCTTAAAGAAAGCCGTGCACAACATCCTTAAGTTTTTCGTATGTAACAAAAATAATGGCACTCGAAGGGGCTGCGCGAGAAATGGTAATTCCGCAGCCGCGGTATAAAGCTCGGATACCTCCGACCTTGTAGATTCTTTTTCCCATTTCAAAGAACCCCATTTGAGGAGTTCCAGGTTTGTTAATCATGGCCTCTGTCTGCATGCGAGACTTGATTGTATCGGCGGGGAAAAGCGAAAGATTGAACATGACACCAGAGCATGCACCAGCAATCATGTTTTCAACGGTGGTGTTTTTGTCACGCTTATAGAATTTGCGAAATGCTTGGTTCACGTACTCGTATGCACCAAACCAAGCTGCAGAACCTCCGGCCTCTCGGAGTAAAGTTCCGGTTTGTCCGCGCCAAAAACCGGCAACACCTTCCTTGCGGTAGACATCCAAAATCAGGTCAATGGGCCCCTGGACTTTAGCAGAAGGAGTAAAAGTATTAGTGTGAATTTTTCGCGATGAAACAATTCGCGAACCAGGTGGCGAAGAAGTGTTTGAAGCGGGTGCACTACTATAAAGCATTTGAATCTGCATTCTGCACTTAATGAGCTCGATTGGAGTCAAAATGAACGAGGTCACACAGCCAGAAAATGAACCGCAAAGAAGTAAAATATGGAGAGGAAGAGGCTGTTTATTTTCTTCATTAAGAGCTAAAGTTTCTGGATACCAATGCTTTCGGATAAACTTTTGAGCTGCGTTGTAAGTTAAAAAGAGGGAAGCATTTTCCAGTGCAGCGCCAATAATTGGCGAAGCCATTCCTCTGTAAAATCCCATAAACCCTTCGTTTTGAAAAGTCTGGCGGATACAGTCTACTGGGCCCTTGAACTGAGGTGGGAAAGAGTCAGGTTGGGACTGGAGACGGACCTTGACAGTATCGAAGGGATGTTCAATGATTTTTCCAGCAGAGCCTGCCACAGAACCGCACAGCACATCAACAAGGTTTTCCAGTAAAGGATTCTTGTTTTGTTTTGCTATTTCAGCAACGACAGCAGGGTCAAATGGTGTAGAAAGTGGTGCAGTCGTATTAAGTCGTTCTTCTTTGTGAAGAGAAGAAGTAACCGGGAAATCAGCCATGGTTAAGTAGGTAGGTCGGGCGTAATAAGATGAAAAAAAGGGAAATTGCCAGATATATATCTAGAAAAGTAAAATAGAATCCAGTATCCCAAGATAAAATAATTCTTTTTTTAGATTTTTTTTTTTTAAATTTTTTTTTAAAAACTTTTTAAAAAATTTTGAAACTCGGTGCAGCTACCGTAGACAAAAGAAAAAAAAAGGAAGTTTAGCAGAGAGCTTAATGGCAAGAAATTATTATGCAATAGTGAAAAAATTGCGTAAATGAGTTGTTTGAACCAGCTAATATAAAGCCAAAGCCGTTAAAAAATAAAATGTGATTGCTTTTTTTTTTGCCTTAAAAGTTAAAGGGATGTTCTTTTTGTTAGCGAATGCTATTCAAGAAAACGTGTGTATGAGTCAACAAGAGAAGCTGGCTTCAATGGCATGTAGGGCAAACGTCGTTAAAACCGGAAAGCTGAACAAGTGAATGAAAGAAAAAAAGAGTGTACTGTCAGTATAAAAAGAGCAGTTTGTTAAAAATTTGCTACAATGATATACCGAAAAAATAATGAGAAAAAGAGGAGTAAAAGAGAAAATTTTTTATTTTATTTTTACGCTTAGAATTTTTTTTTTTTTCTGAGGCAAAAAAAAAAAAAACCGTTGAAAATTTCATTTGTTTTTTGGGTCTTCCCCGGGCAAAAGTTTTAGGTACCGTTAATTATCAGCACGTGAAATATTTAGATTAAAATCACGTAATAAATTGTAAATATTTATGTAATATGATGCAACTTCCGTGATTTTTATGCCAATAACTTTAAGTAAGAGAAAATTTAAATTAAGAAAATCTCCAATTACAGGTCTCTTGGTTCTCAGATCGATAAAGAGTGCAGCAAATTGCTATAAATGATGATGTATATTACAGTGAATCATCTATTATTGAACGCATATGGCATCCGTATGGACATGACATGTATGTATGAGTTTTAATATAATGAATTTGCTTTGGCTTTTTCAAAAACTAAATTAGCGACATGTACGAAAATCCAAGAACTCCACATCTAACCGCTAAATACTAATCCCCCCGGATTGTCCCTGTTAATCAATTACGAGTTTCCCACAAAAGAAACTTCGTCCTTATATTATTCTATGCCAACGGATTAAATCTTGGGCTTGGACTGCCTTGCAAATTCTTCTCCGTACTCGGTCCTCCACGAAATGCCCAGGAATTCATCTAAAACTTCAGTGGTATTTTTTCCGGGAACCAATGGATAGCCCCCACGAACACTCCCCTTCTGCTTATCCGAATCTAGCTGAACAAGTTGTTGGGGAACCTCATCGGGTGTAGCCAAACGTCGAACAGGTACTGCACAACTGTTTGGGTACTCGTCGGCCTTCTTTTTCCAGTATTCTATTCCATGCTTTTTGAACTCTTGGGCGAAAATATTTCGAAGTGCTGACCAGTTATTAGAATCATCTCTATCCGGCAGTTTTGGCACATTTTTGCCATAAAGAAGCTCTAAGAATTGCTGGTAAAACTGTTCTTCCATTGCACCTATTGAAACATACTCTCCATCATCCTTGGTTGAATATATTGTATAGTAGGGACAAACATAACCTTCCAGCACATTCATGCCACGAGATGCATCCCATGTGTTTTTAAACTCTGGCTCCGGGTTTTTTGGGTATGATCCGTATTTTAAATAGGATGCATATTGGGTAAGGTATCTTAAAGAGTGAACCACATTAACGTCCACAATAATGTAGGGTTTTTTGCTTTCGCCTTTGTCTTTTGAAAGAGCATAAAGGGTGGTCATGATTGATGCAAAAGCTGGTAGAGCTAGCGCACCAAAGACGCCCAAAATGTTTGCAGGAATCGTGGGCGCTTCATTTGGTGGACCAATGATTCCAAGCACACCTGATTCTGCTAGAAAATTAATGTCATGCCCAGGCATCTTGGATAGCTTCCCAGTCTGGCCATAGCCAGTCAGCCGAACAACAATTAATGGCTTTTTACCTGCAGGTCTGTGCTGAGGTAACACTTCGAACCGCTCCAAGACACCTGGTCTGTAAGGATCAATAAGAATGTCAACCTTATCAGACTCCAAAATCCTACGCAGTACTTTCTTCCCGGATTTGTGTCGAAGATTTAGTGCGATAGACTCTTTACCACGTGTAAGTCGATCAGGATTACTAGTCGACGTTACACGATCAACCCTAATAACTCTTGCACCATAATCAGCAAGAATCTGGCCGCAAAGAGGACCCGGAGCTTGGGCTGAAAGCTCAATAACCGTTAGGTCTTTCAAAGGTTTTTCCAGCATATTTGAAGGTTGATTACCAGGTAATGATGTGTTGCTTTGAATAAACAAAAGAGTAAAATTAAAAAGAAGACACAACAACAATAAGAAATCTATTTTTTTTTCTTAATGCCAATATTAAAAGATGGTTTCTTTCAACTTTCTGAGCTTCGGCATTAAAAAATTAACTTCTTGAAAGCCACATTCTAAATTTTCCGAAAAAATCCCAAGATGGAATGGCGTCTTCGGCAATCAGATCCGAGTAACGTGACTATATTTGACCGAGGCACGTGAAAGGTTCAAGATAGAAATAAAAGAGATATCTTTAAGAAGTTTCCTGAATATGAAGAAAAAAAAGTTAAAAAGTGAATAGGAAAAAAGAATAATCTTTGGTTTAAGCGGTTTTTTTATAGTATCAGGTCCAACTGATCCTAAATAAACAGCACCAACCTTATTTTATTAACCAGATTATTGGACCCTAAAGCGAAAAGAAAACAAAAAAGCGTACCAAAGAAAACTATACTCTAGAATTTGTTCATTAAAAAGTCTCGTTAATATGAGCATTGGACAAACAATTTTAGATTCAAGCGATTTAAAATGTCTTTCAAATTTAGATTTTAAATGTAAGCGAATATGTTGATCCGGGATGCGAGGCTAAGTAATGAGACTTATCGATACCAATCTTGTTCATTCTCAAAGATCAATAAAATATTGAACCATCATACGACATGTTTACAATAAAGGTTTAAAATTGTCTTAAAATAGTAGAGAAAATACCATCTATCAAGAGGCTGATTTTCATTAAAAATAAAACCCCATGGTATCTTGAAATAAAGTCTAAGCTCAACTTCAAGCAACTTTTTAAACTTTTTAAGACGGATTTGAAGATGGATAAATAAAAATAAAAGGTATATGAGGAAAGGTCTATTCTTTAAAAGAATTTTAAAAGTCAGATCAACAAGATACAAACAAAAAAAGTAAGTTTTTTTTTTTCAAAAGATATCTCAATTGTTCCATTAATCTAGCAGTGAAAATCCAAATGATTTTATATCCAGTCGGGTATACTTTAGTAGATGCTGGGGTCACTTCAGCTCCCAACATAGTTAGTTATTCATCATGTTGCTGAAGAGACTATTCCGACCTCCAAAAAAAAAAAAAATAACCCCCTGTTCCTCGTAAGCTGGCATCAGGATTTATTTTCGGGCTGTTAAAGATGCAATGTTGAAGCCAAAATTAAAAGTTTATTATTAAAATGAAAAGATATATAGTATGGACAAGAAGGATAGCGCAGATGCTGATGTTATACAATTCTATAACCCTTGAATAAAAGCAAACAAACAAACAAACAGACTATTTCGATACCACAAGGAGTGGTGAACCATGCGGAGGAAGAAAACAGAGAAGTTTTGAAGCTTACTGCTCATGGACTCCCCAATCAGGTTATACTAAAAGAAAATAAAAACATAGTCGATGAAAATGAGGTATTTGGTGAAATTGCAATAGTTGAAAAGGATACTTAGGGGTATAAATATTCAAAATTTATATTCTTTATAAACAACGACTGATTTTTGTTGCCGGCATTTCTAATACATTAAATATTGTGCTAAAAAAAAAGAAAAGAAAAATAATTATTTTAAGACAAAAATGTAGAAAAAAGCAACTTCTTATCTGCAAAGGTCCTCCCCCCCACACTATTTCTGAACTAGGTACTTTAGTTAAAAAGTTGATGTTATTTGACCAATTTAAATTTGGAGACAATTGTAGACTGAAATTTTGAAAAGAAAAGAATTAAAAGCTGCAGAAGAAGCTTGTTATTGTTGGGGTTTCCTTGGAGATTCCAAGTAGAATGGGCATATATTAGTATCGCCGTGCAGAAAGAATTGAGTTGGAGTTGCAGGTAAACAAATCGATTTGATTTCTTTTTCAAGACGACATGAAAAAAAAAAAATCAAAACAAACATCAAAAGTAAACAAACAACTTAAACAAGCTCAACGGGAACAGTCAACTTCAGGGATACCCTTAAAAAAAGTTTGTCGCAACTCTCCAAGTACACTTTGGGGAGCCATTAAGGCTTTTAAGGCGATGAGAACTGCAAGTTTTGTTTACACCAGGCACGTGCCTCGGCGCCGAGTATCCAGTTTTGCACAACAACGTTTAATGTAACAGAAAACTTGTTCATTCTTTAGAACTTACTTGGAAGCTACAGATAGAAGGTTGGGAGATAAAAATAAAAAACGGAATCAGATCAATACATGGAACATCTACAACATTTATGTCAACAAATGATTGACCCCCCAATTGCCGTTCTTTTCTTGAGGAAATGTGATTAAGCAATGCACTTGTGTTTATGAAGAAAAATGGAAATGAATCAGGTAAGTTTGGTACCGATAGACTGATTCTTTTTGATTCTTGCAAGCTAGTCTCAGGGCCCATATTCCGGGTTACTGGAAACACAAAGATTAAAGTCCATCCGAAGTGAAAAGGTAAACAGAAGACGGGAAGTTCCCTATTAGGAAATTAAAAGACTAATGTATCCCCAATATTATTAATAATAATAACAAACAAACAAACATCAACTAAAAAGATCAGGCGCAGATATACATGCGTTCTGTTTAGATAAACACATCTATGTGACTTTTCATTACTGTTAAGGCTACTAGTTATTGAACATGGTGATTTTACATTCTCTAAATGATGAGTTATTTGCCCAAATTTGTTATTTTTGATATCAATAGGACTTACGTAAATGCCTAACTTGAAAAAAAAAAAAAAAAAAAAAAAAAATACAGTAAGAAATAGCTTGCTTTGATAAGATCAAGTCACTATAAGTTGAGGTTATTGATACGACCCGGATTTCTATCACATAGTGCAAAGTGGCCGTTTCTTTTATTGTGAGGACCGGGGCTCTTACCATGCACTGTGTGGTGTGGTTAAAGGTTTTGAATACACCTAGCAACCAGTCAAGTTTTGTGTATGGAGACAAAATACTTTGATTCCCATGCCATGTGTTATTCAAACAATCGATTGTATCTAGTAGTACGTCTAGAAATAGTCTATTGATTTACCCTTGGATTTTTCTATTGGATATTGAGAGTCTTACAATGTACAGTTTTGATTCTTAGATCACTGTAGCACTGACGGGCAATACTGGACTTTTCAAAAATTTATTCAGTTTATTTTGCGGGTTATATTGTTATATTAATTCTAATTGAAGATCACCTTTGCTCTAACCATTATTTATATCTATAACTTGAATATATATCTATTCATAGGTTATGAATCTATTAATAAAATGAATAAACCCTGAGGATTGTTTATGACTGCATTTTAACCTTACTTTTGAAAGTGTGAATTCTTCAAGGCAGCGTTGAGAAATTTTTTTGAGATTTAGAATTTTCAAACTTTTATATATCCATGTCAATCTTTATTTTAATTTTATTTGAAGAACAGGGAAATAAAGAAGTAAACAGACTCAAATACAAAGATATATGGGAGACAAGGGTAGAGTAATATATATATTTGTTTTTATTTGTTTTCATACAAACGAGTGTAGAAAACAACATTCCAACCAACACATGCATCTTAGGTCTTATTGAAAATGCTTTTTTTTTTTCTCGGTAAGTAGGACATACTCACACTGGATAGAAAGACTTTTTCTAGATAGGATTCAACATGATGTTTACTTTGATATATGCCAATGTTGCATCGATAAGCGGTAAGAGGAAGAATTTAATTTAGAATCAGGGCGTGTAGTAGGCTTCTGGACAAAATGCCAGTCCATTGATGCTTGTATTTTTATTGTTGATTCTTAGGATTTTTGTCCACCTGGTTATCAGCTTGATGAGACCCACTCTGATTTTGGATTTCATTTTTGGGTGCTTTCTTGGGATTTACTTTACTCGAGCTACTAGGTAGAATCTCTCTTCACTTGAATTAAACAAAAAAAAAAACAGACTCAGGAACAAACTCCAAACTTTCCAATGTTTCAATTTAGAACTACGAGTAGATGCAATGTTATTTATTACTAGAATTCTTTGATTCCCAGCTACCTTTGTTCTTTAAAATCATGTTCCTTGAACAAAAAAAGGCTGTTTTTTTATTAATACCCGAGACATTATCTCAACATGTTGCATCTAAGGTGAACACACAATGATACATTTGTGACAAAAACTTGTGCGGACTTGTTTGTTTTTTTCCCTTTAATGTTTGTTTGTTTTTTTCTTGATTCTCAAAGAATGCTATGAAAGATTACTATATATATATGTAATGCTAATATTTAACACTCTCCAAGATAGATTGTCTATGTTCCACTGGATTGCCCATCATGAACATAATGCTGATTGAAGGTTTCTTTTAGATCAAATCAATTGTATTGCATATTTTCTCACTTCCACTAAATTGGAATAAAAACAAAACAAAGTCCTAAGCGGATTTGTCCTACTACGTTAACCTAAAAAACATCTTCCATCATTCCTTCGGATAAAAAGAATATTCATTTTTTTTTTTTTCAAGCTCAAACATTTAAATGGTTAAGGAATGTACATCAAGATAGACTTTTCGGGCAGAGATGGTGATGGGAACATTTATTCCGGGAATCTGGATTTTGAAATATATTTAAGAAATGCTCATTTTAAGACTGCAATTCTTGTAATCTTTTTCTTTTTTTTTTTTGAAATTAATTATTATTATTATTATTTTAATGTTGACATTTTCTGTCAAAATATAGTAAAAGTACATGCTTATATTATAAATTAAAAAAAGATAAACAAATGAAAAAAAAAATGCAGTAATGACATGATGGAAAATAAAAATAAAAAATAGGGAGGTGAAAAATGCATTTTGGGAATTCACTAAGAGAATGGACAACAAAATAATGAATGAACACAACGTTTCCCCCCCCATAGCGCCGGACGCTAACTAACGTATATGTATACTCATCTCATCCCCTATTTTTTTTTGTTATTCATTCCTTCCGGTTTTCATCCTCTCTCTTGCATAAAAATGGAATCCATTACCCATTTCACATAAAGAACTGGCGTGTTCGGCGCTTCTCAACCGGAGCATTGCCATTACTGAGTGTCTCCAACTCACATGCATGTTTAGCACAGTAGAGGAGTTTGTTGCAAACAAAAATCAGGCTATTGCTTGGATTGGAGCTGCCGAGAGTTGCTGTATTGTCAGCCTTGTTTTCAGGGTCTTCTTCTTCTTCGGGCCCGCAATCGGGTACCAGAGGCACTGAGCATGTCGTACACACAGCACATGCAGCATGGTACCGAGAATGACCGTCGTCAAGACAACGGCCTTCAACACCTAGCGAGCAGACTGTGCAAATGGAATCATTGACTGTGTGGTAACAGAGGTAGCAGTAAGGCATGTCGTTAAGAATGTAAAACTCAGTTTCTGTAGAATTTGATTCCACTGAGGAAAGTTTCGAGAGCACCTGTAGTGGGAGTGAAAAATCTTGAGTACCACAACCAGAGCATGAAAAGCAAGCGCGGTGCCAGCGACCTGAGAGCTTCCCATCGCGGGAAGATACTGACTTGCCGGTTATGACTTGGCCGCAGCCGCGACAAGGACCTTTTTTGGAGTGTTTGATAGGAGGTGCCGATGACGTCGGTGTGGCGCAGGAAGCTAAGTGAGAAGGAGGGGCAAGAGTCGGAGGAGCAATTGATGCGATATTAGGGGTGGGTTCGTTAGTGTGTTCAGAAGAGGGCTCTCCGTTAAAATTTTTGGGTGGTCGTTGTTGGATGCTAAGTGGTAGCGTGACTTTGCTAGTTATTGGTGATGGCAACATGATGCTATCAATGGCACTTTCGGTTGAGCCCTGCGACAATGGCGCTGAGAATAGTGAGGATGTAGTTGAGGACGAGCGTGACGTATAATCAGAGAATGTGCTAGCGTGGGCATTTACGGGGAAGCTTGTTACGCTTGAATTGGTGATGGGGGTGCTAATGTTGTTGTTGTTGTCTTGGAGGCACAGATTCTCCCTAGTGTCTAATGCCCCCTGAGAAACCGGTGGTAGATTGGTCTTGTTCTGGAGCGGTTGCACAATGCCCCGAGAAATTAGGGGGAGGGGGTTTTGCAAGTTTTGCGGGCCATCTTCACGGTAAGGGAGAGGGAGACTAGCGTCATCCCATTCTTGGTCTTGTTTCCGTAATTGATGTTTTTGTTGGTAATTCTCATCTTTGACATTGAGATTCATAGCACTAAGGGGTGCAATTAATGACTTGTAGTTTTTGTCCATGTCCATATCACTTATATTGCCAATATGAAGTTTCATGTAATCGTCATTCTTGTTAGACTGAATAACTGCGCTGCTGTAGATAGACGAAGAGGATGAGAGTCTTCGGGCGTTACTAGACAATGACGAGGTGACAGAGCTGGGATCTGTTTCAGATTGACGGGTGGAGAATGGCGGAGTGCTATCAGGCTGAGAGCTCAGCGAGTTGCTTGTGATTGTGGAGTGTATTTTCCCGCCAGAGGAGTAGACGGAAGTGGGCGAGTACGTCAAGATGCATGGCTCTAGTGTCGTCGTTTCTGCAGCAGTTGTGTCTGTGGGCTTTATAGTCTTGGGAGTTGTGGACCCCACGCTACTGTTATCGGCGGATGAGGGCTTGTTTGAGTTTAGATAGGGCGCATTAAAGGTTTCATCATCAACTGGGGGGGTGAGCCCTTGGTTTTCCTGATAGTGGGGGGTAATTTGGCTGCAAAGTTGTGACTCGTCCATAATCAAGTCATTAAGCTTGATTGTAGGAGTTTCTTGAGTGACCTTAGTACTGCTGAAACGGCCACTTCCATCCGATGGTACGCGAATAGTTGTGATTGGGAAGGTCGAAGTGCTGGTGCAAATGGGGTTGGAGATAGAGGCTTTATCAAAGGACGGGTTAGATGGCGATTTGTGGAGAAACCTCAGGAGGGAGGGCACTTTTTTAGAGCTTGAAGTGGAGCTAGTCGACGCGAATGAAGAGATAGGCTCTAGCTGAGGCAGTGAAGGTCGTTTGGACATCTGGCCAATGCGCGGAGGCATAGGGAATGAAGAAGATGAAGAAGACGAGGATGATAAAGAGGATGAATGGCCTGAGCTGCGAATGGAGAATTCAGGACTAGTGCTGCTTAGAGGAGGTTGAGGGGTTGTTGTGTATGCTTGAAAAGTTGTGAATGTTGGAGAGATTGGGGATACAGGTTTACTAGAAGAAGCCAACGATCCCTCGCGATAAACGTCGAAACCAGCGCGTTCATAAACGGAGGGTAGCTGAACTCCAGGCACAAATGGAGGGAAAGCATAGTCGAGGGTTTTCCATGGAGTTGATTGTTCGAGATGGGACTTTTTAGTGGAGCGCACGGACTGGGCTTTTTGTTGTTGTTGTGGTTGAAAGTCCTGATCGCTAAGGTTGAGCGGCGGTGGAGGGTTTGCAGAGTACATTTTCTTTTAAGGATGGAAGGATATTCTGATGGAGGATGATGATAAACCAGACCAGACCAGAGCAAAAGAAAAGACGACGAGAATGTAAAAAAAAAAAGAGAAAGAAAAGAAAGAAAGAAAAGAAAGAAAGAAAAGAAAGAAGGGATAGAAAAAAAAAAGACTTTTTTTTTTTTGAAAAGAAGGATTTTTTTTTTTTAAAAAAAAATTGAAAAGTCTTAAATAACAGTTATGATATTGACGGTTTTCACCAAAATGAAGTTGGCAGCTGTTTGTGGATCCACGCATAACCTTTAAACTTTTTAGGACATGCACACAAGGCTTTTCGCGTTACCCAAGAAGACCGATGCAGTATTTCAATAAATCAGAAATATAATGATAATTATGATAAATAGATAATAAATTAAATACTGAGAATCAAAAAAAAAAAAAAAAAAAAAAAAAGCTCAGGTTGGTTTACAGACTTTTTTTTTTGTTTTATTGGGGAAGTCTTTTAAGTTAATAATAATAACAATTCTCATTGAAGTCTCATCTCCTGAAGCATCTTTCTCTATCTTTATGACTTTATTTAGGTCCACGGTGAAAAGTTTTATTTTTTTTTCTCCTGAATTTTGTTCATCATCTCCTAATTCCGACTAGCACGATATGCCTGAAATTCTAAAAGCAGATCCAAGTATCACTCAAAGTTTCTTAATACGTCTTCTATTCACTGTGCATCAGTTGTTTTTTTATATATATATTTATATTTTGCTTGCATGGGCTTTCTTCTTTATTTCCAGTTTTGTTTCCATTCTTTCATTGGTTGGAAACTTTTCAGACTTTCTTATAAAATTCTTATAATTTATAAATTTAATATTGAAATGTTTAAAGGAAATTTTTTTTCTTCCCAAAATGCCAGACTATTTTATTTTTCATTTTTACTCTTTTTTTAAACATTAAAATTCTTACACCAATTGACAATTAAAATAAAACAAATTCTAGTCTTTACAGGTTCTCCTGTCCAAAAATTTGCTTCTTTTTTAGAAGATTCCTTCTTCCCCCTACATCAGTCTAGTAGAAGCATAACTGCAGTAGTAGTATGATAGTGATTTACACAGGGATGAGTAGGAAAACAGCATACTCATTACAATATCCGTTATGATGATATTTCTAAAATTTTAAAAGCAGCAGCAGCAGCAGCAGCAGCAGCAGCAGTGGTGGTGGTGGTGGTGGTTACTGTAATAGTGGCAGCAGCAGCACATATCATTTTGTGTGTTGGAAATATCCAATTCAAAAGCAACAAAGCCTCCTTCTAACAATGAAAAACTACGTAGACTTAAAGATCCTATTCACACGACCTGTAGATTGGAAAAAGAACAAGAACCATGATTAAATAATAATATTTTTTTTATTTTTATTTTTATTTTTCTATTTTAATTATAACTTCCCCTTGATTCAAAATAATATTTTATTTTGTTGGCTAATAATTTTGAGTGGAGCTATCCGCTTTTTTCTTTGAGCCAAATGTAATATCTCTCCACGTTTTATTTTAACATTACTTTGTCTTGCTAGTCTATTGAATAGATGACATTGAAATAGTAGATTTGGTATCGTGAATGGACTCTTCCATAGTAAACTAATTATTAAAACAGATACTATTCTATTGTTTTAAAAAGCTGCTAATTGAAAAAAATCTCATATGTTAAATCTGGATAAATTTTTTGATAAATATATTAAACCCCCACTTTTTTTTTGGTAAACTTGACTTACATTTACAGATTTATGAAAAAAAAAAAAAAAAACTTCTTGACATATTGATATATTGATATATTCTGTTGTACCCATGAAATGACTTGGGTTTTAGTCATCTTAAGACGCGGTTTTTTTTTTTAAATTAATATTTCCAATGCTACACGACTCATTTCTGGATCATTCTTATTATCATTAAGTGAAGACCAAAATCTTAACCAGTTAATGTTGCAATGAAGACTCGTTGCTTTTAATCAAGTTTGATGGAGATTATAATATTTCTTCTTTTTTCTTCTCAAATCAAATTAAAAAAAAATAAAATAAAATAATAAGTCCTTAACTCCCCCCTTTGATCACCAAAATCTCTCTTTTTCTTTTTTTTAGAGACTCTTGGCACAAGCCGTGCAACCGTTCTTTTCCTCATTTGATTTTTTTTATTCTTTTTTTATCTGTTATTACAATTACAAAACCTTTTTTCTTTCTTATAAAAAACGCGAAATTTACAATTTCTATTCGATGAACTCTAAAAAAAAAAAAATATAAAAAAAGACGCGACCGCGTTTTGTCCACAATTCTGGTTTGGTACAATGAAATTTTTTTTTTCCCGGGCAAACATCGAGTTTGAAAATTCATTTAATAAGTGAATACACTTTTATTCCAAATGATCCAAACAATTATTTTCATCTACGCCTCATTTAAATTCCTTAATCCAAAATATCCAAAAGTCCAAGATTTTTTTTTTCATAATTGATACCTTTTGAAAAGATATTATATTTCACGTAACACTTTTATTTCTCCTTGGTCCCGGCTGTTGACCACTAAACTATCCGTCACCCGTATTCGTTTATTCACTAATGTCATTTTCTCTGCTTTTTCCGTGTATTTTTAAGCTCACAAAGAAATGGTAGGAGGTGATTAGTCGCGAAAAAATAAAACCTTAACTTTTTTTTTTCAATGTTGAGATGACTCAAATATATTCACCTTTTTCTTTCTCATCGTGTTCTTTTTTTTTTTTTTCTATTTTCACTTGTTTGCATTTCGCACTAGGTCATGATTGACAATATTGAAAAACTCAACTTTTGGCGTGTTAACAAAGAAGATTTTAGATCTATCTTTCACGCTTTAATGTTTTGTTAATGCATCCCTTTCATAGAGTGATGAGCCCTTCCCCTAATCTTTCAAAAAAAAAAACATATGATAATTATTATAAAAATCATCAAAGGAATAATATCCCGGTAGACATCTAATTATATTTTAGTAAAGTAAAGTGAAAATAAAAATCAATTCCTAGATGTCTTCTAACTTGAATCTAAAGGTTTTCAGAATCTAGAACATCCTAATATAAATAATATTATTGATCCTGATGATATATACAACGATAACTCTTGAATAAAAGTAAATATATAATTATTTTTTTTTTTTGCAAAGACGTAATATACCCCTAGCTAACCCCAGATAATTCTGCAATGCTCATTTAAATAATGCTCATCTGAGCCGTGATCTCAATTCATGCATCGCTTATCTCAATAGATTCATCTGATTTTTTATAAAATTATATTAATTTTTTATTTTTTGCACTTTACAATGATGTGAACCCTCTAGGAGTAAACTTAGTTTCACTAGCTAAATTCTATGAAATATTTTACAATAAGTCTTCAGAACAAGGTGTCTTTTTTTTCTTTAAAAAAACCATTTTATTATTATGGTCAGAAAAAAAAAAGAAAGGGGTTAAGCTACGTGACAAACCTCTGAAAAAAAAAGAAAAAATAAAATAGGTTTTTACTTTTCAGAAAGAAGTGAAATTTTTTTGTTTAACTTTTCTAAAAAAAAAAAAATAACTTTGAGCATTGACATTTCTATGAAAAATGATTGAAAAAACCTTGCAATTCTTAAAAAAAAAAAGTCAATTAGTATGTTTCTGAATCTGAATCATAAAAATGAAAGTTAAATGCATTCTCCACTTTTTTTTCTCCTTGATTCAATGCTCAAAATTAAGGTACAGGAAAAAATCATCTTTTTACCAAAAAAAAAATCCATTAATCAAAGTTCAAGTTTATCAATTATCAAAAAAAAAAAAAAAAAGAAAAAGTGATTATGAACTTTTCAATTAAAAAGTTTAAGATACGGGAAGAAAAAATGGAGAGAAACTGAAAAATGGGTTAATACCCATCATCAACCCAAATTGAACCGTTTTAGGATATCGATTGGGATAAGACATTGAAAAAGTTACACCATAATAAAACTAGTTACCCAAAGTAAGTATACCAAGTTACTTATGGTACCTTTAATCGATGCGATTTTGGTCAAGTCTAACCGATAATATTTTGAGTTCCGAAATCCTGACGTAGAACCCTAACCTTCTTAATCCTTAAAACGTTTTTGGTGCAGCTGAAGTTTTCTCTCACCACAATCAATGCTTCCCCGCCGAAACAGGAAGGTATCACAGCGGTGTGTGACCTTTATAATCGTACGAATTTCGAATGGAGAAACAAAAAATGCAGACATATATAAAAGAAAGAGAAACGAGAAAAAAAAAAGATAAAGAAAACGTCTTTTATATCCTATAATACTTCTTTTATACTTTTTTTTTTCTTTCATTCAACCATATTCGATAATCTTGAATGAATGAAAACAAGGAACCTTCTTCTGGCGATACTTCTTGGACTAAGAAGAACAGCCATCCACCCCCAATTCAAGATAGCATCAATCAATCCATTGTCTCTCTAGCTCGTCAATATACCAATGAGTTTAATGAAAAAAATGAAGCCTTGTCAAATAAAAACAATACAACATTGACTGGGGAACCCTTGACAAAAACTGATTCCGAAACCAATCCATTCATTGATCGTTCAAACCCTCTTCTTGATCCCTTTAGCGACCAGTTTAGCACCAGAGAATGGACGAGCCATTTAGTTCGATACAAGGACCGTTTCCCAGATAAATACCCTGTTCGTACCGCTGGTGTTTCTTTCCGCAACCTGACCGCGTTTGGATACACCTCAGGATCTGGGTTTCAAAAAACTGTGGGGAACTTGGTCATCCAAATTGCAACTCAGATCAACAAACTTTTGGGTAATAAAGGAAAGAAAATCCAAATCTTAAGAGACTTTGATGGTTTAATAAAACCTGGTGAAAGTTGTATGGTTTTGGGCCCTCCTGGAAGGTCAGTTGACTTGATTTCCTTTTTATCCGTTTTTTCTCCGTTTTAACTCCATTTTGGCAAAATATTTAGTGGTTGTACAACCTTTCTTAAATCCATTGCACAAGACACTTATGGATTCTATCTTACAGAAGACACACAGATTAATTATCAGGGTAAGTTTCAAGTGTTAAATTTTTTTTGTTCCTACAACCCCCAATTAGGGCTAACAATACAGGCATTACCCCCGTGGAGATAATTAACCACTACCGTGGAGAGGTCATCTACAATGCAGAGACGGAAATTCATTTTCCAATGTTAACTGTGGGGGATACTCTCAAATTTTCTGCACTAGCTCGAACTCCTCAAAATAGATTACCTGGTGTCACCCGTGACCAACATGCCACACATGTCCGTGATGTCGTCATGGCATCTTTTGGTCTCTTACATACAATGAACACCATTGTTGGAAATGATTTCATTCACGGAGTCTCAGGAGGTGAACGCAAACGAGTAAGTATTGCAGAGGTTGTCTTGGCTGGAGCTTCGCTTCAATGCTGGGATAACTCTACAAGAGGTCTTGATAGCGCTACAGCCCTTGAGTTTGTCAAAAACTTGAAAATCAACTCTGATATTTCAGGTGCATCTATTCTGGTCTCCATTTATCAGGCATCTCAAGATGCATATGACTTGTTTGATAAAGTCACTGTTCTTTACAAAGGTCGTCAAATTTACTTTGGATCTACAACTAAAGCTAAAGAGTTCTTTGAAAAAATGGGCTACTATTGCCCCCCACGTCAAACCTCGGGCGATTTCTTAACATCTCTTACCTCTCCAGCAGAACGTATAGTAAAACCTGGCTATGAAGGCAAGGTCCCATCTACTCCTGACGAATTTGCCCAGTATTGGAAACAAAGCCCAGAGTATCAAGAGCTTATTCAGGAAATTGAAGATTGGAATCGTGAGTATCCAATTGGTGGACCTTCAGTTGATCAGTTTAAACTATCAAGAAAAGTCCAGCAATCAAATCACATCAAAATCACCTCTTCATACACTTTATCATATTGGATGCAGATCAAATTGTGTACATACCGAGGATTCCTTCGTTTAAAAGGTAACCCTCAAGTAGCCTTTATAACCATTTTTGGTCGCTGTATTATGGCCTTAGTCATTGGATCTACTTTTTACAACCTCCAATGGGATAAAACCTCTTCCCTTGTCCGACGAAACACTGTGCTGTTTTTTTCAATCATGTTCAATGCAATGTCTTCAATTCTCGAAATTCTTGCTTTGTATGAGCAGCGCCCAATTGTTGAAAAACACAAACGATATGCGTTTTATCATCCCTCTGCTGAGGCCTTTAGTTCAATTATTTGCGATCTACCAGTAAAGATTTTAACTGCCATTCCTTTTAACTTGATTATTTATTTCATGACAAATTTACGGCGTGGCTCTGCAAAAGTACCCGGTACCAACCAAGGATCAGACCCTGCATACTTTTTCATTTTTTTACTATTTTCATTTTTATGTCTCTTAGTGATGAGTGGCATATTCCGCACACTTGCTAGTCTTACCAAAACAATTTCACAAGCATTGACACCAGCCGCTTTGGTCATCCTAATGCTGGTTACCACTACCGGGTTTGTCATCCCTAATGTTGATATGCACCCATGGTTTCGTTGGATTGGCTACATTAATCCAATAGCTTACAGTTTTGAAGCTTTAATGATTAATGAATATCGTAATAGATATTTTACCTGTGATAATCTGATACCTTCCGGTCCTAGCTACAATTCTCTTTCCATATCCGACCGTTCTTGCTCAATCATTGGATCGGAACCTGGAAACCCTATAGTTTCTGGTACCGCTTACATTGAACAGTCGTTCGAATACTACACAGATCACATTTGGAGAAATTTAGGTATTGTCATTGCCTTTGGCATTTTTTTTTACTTTACATACTTTTTCTTTACTGAGTTTGTGGCCAGTGAACGTTCTCGAGGTGAGATTTTGGTTTTCCAATATGGTCATAAGGGTCTTACGGATGATGAAGAAACTCAACTTGAGCAACGTGACTCTCACCATAGCATTACCACAGAAGCTGATGCAGCAATAGATAAACAAAATGGCATATTTGCATGGAGAAATGTCTGCTACGACATTAAAATAAAAGGAGAACCACGCAGACTTTTAAATAATGTCGATGGCTGGGTTCAACCGGGAACTTTAACAGCCTTAATGGGTGCCTCTGGCGCTGGTAAAACAACGCTCTTGGATACTCTTGCTGATCGTGTAACCATGGGTGTAGTTACAGGAGACATGCTTGTCAATGGAAAGCCTCGTGATGAGTCTTTTCAACGGAAAACTGGTTATGTACAACAACAAGATGTTCATCTTGCCACATCCACTGTCCGTGAAGCTTTAATTTTTTCAGCCCTTTTAAGACAGCCTGAAAATATTCCTCGCAAGGATAGAATCTCATACGTGGATGAGGTTATCAAGGTATTGGAAATGGAAGAATATTCTGATGCCGTTGTTGGAGTTCTTGGAGAAGGGTTAAATGTAGAGCAGCGCAAACGTCTTACTATAGGTGTTGAATTAGCAGCCAAGCCTGAATTGCTACTATTTCTCGATGAGCCTACCTCAGGTCTTGATTCACAAACAGCTTGGTCCATTATGCTACTGATGAAAAAACTCACTAACAGTGGTCAAGCTATTTTGTGTACCATTCATCAACCTTCTTCTATTCTGTTTCAACAGTTTGATCGGCTTTTATTTTTAAAAAGTGGTGGTGAAACTGTGTACTATGGAGAAATTGGTGAAAATGCTAGCAAAATGATTAGCTACTTTGAGCGCAATGGCGGACCTTCATGTCCACCAAATTCCAATCCTGCTGAATGGATGCTTAATGTCATTGGTGCAGCACCAGGATCTCACAGTGACATTGACTGGTTCCAGACATGGCGGAATTCCCCAGAATACCAACAGATTCAAAAGGAACTTGATTCCATCATTGAGGACTTTGGGCCAGTCGAATCCGTTCCAAATTCTTCAAAAAAAGAACATATTAAATCGTTTGCAGCACCTTTACCTGTGCAATTTACATTAGTTTGTAAGCGAGTCTTCCAACAGTACTATCGTTCTCCTGTGTACATTTATTCGAAAACTGCCATGTGCCTAGTAGCTCCATTATATGTTGGATTTACCTTTTACAAAGCCAAAAACGATGTTCAGGGCATGCAGAACCAAATGTACTCTACTTTCATGTTTTTAATGGTTTTCAATACGCTAACGCAACAAATAATGCCCCACTTTGTCACACAGCGGTCCCTTTACGAGGCCAGAGAGCGGCCCTCGAAAACCTACTCGTGGGTGGCGTTTATGGTTTCCAATTTGATTGTGGAAATGCCCTGGCAGACTCTAATGGCAGTTTTTTCCTTTTTTTCATACTACTACCCTGTTGGATTTTACCGCAACGCGGCAGTAAATGGGACGACCCACGAACGTGGCGCACTATTTTTTATGATTCTTTGGGCTTTTTATATCTACACATCAACATATGCCCACATGATTGTTGCAGCACTAAATAGTGCAGAAACAGCAGGAGCAATTGGTGTTTTATTGTTCCTCTTCTCTTTAGTCTTCTGTGGTGTCTTGTCGCGACCCGACCAATTTCCTCATTTTTGGATCTTCATGTACCGGGTCTCACCCATGACATATATTGTGGGCGGTTTTTTGGCAGCTGGTGTAGCTGGGAATACAGTAATTTGCTCAACTAAGGAAATTGTACACTTACAGCCTCCATCTGCCAATATGACATGCGGCGATTTTCTGAATGCTTATGCCCAAATGTCTGGAGGTGCCGTATATAACCCAGACTCGTATTCTGATTGCGAATTTTGTTCCATGGCCAAAACTGATGATTTTTTAGAGCTTTTGGGAACACCTTTGAGTCATGCCTGGAGAAACTTTGGTATAATTATGAGTTACACGGTAATCAACTGTATTGGAGCTATATTTTTCTACTGGCTTGGTCGAGTGCCAAAGCACCATAAGAAAAAGAAGAAATAGGCCATGTTGGAGAGTTTTTAAATTATAATATACAGAACACAGCTAATGATTTTTTTTTGAACATGAACATGAACATGAACATAATAATTAATATGACATATATAACAAAATTTCTATAACTAGGCTTTGAGCCGATGATTCCTCAAGTTCATTGGCAAAAAAATATCCTATAGTATAGCTAGTCTTGCTAAGTTTAAGCACCCTAACTCTCTTGTTCTATGCTCTTTTGGTTTTACTGTTGCCAATACCTGCCAATCTGCTTAGATACAAGTAGAAAGTGGGCCCTGACATAACGACTTGCTACAGCCGCGTAAAGGCACCTAAATATGTCAGTGTTTGTGAATTACGAATTGGTTCTAATGAAAATTTGGGGTATAGTTCTTGAAAACAGAATAAAGGACTATGTTTCTTAATTATTTTATTTAATTTTTTTTTTTTTTTTTTTTTTTTTTTTTTTTGGATTGGATTGGATTGGATTGGATTTATAAAAAAAAAATTAAAAAGTCATATTTGGCTCTATATGGCTTTATGAAAATATCATTATGGCTTTTTTCACAGTCTGGCGACAAGGATCAGGCGCAAATATGGGGAAATGTCAATAAATCAATTGAATTAATTGGAAATCAGTTATATAAATTTAATTTTTTAAATAACCAATAAAAAAAAACTTTAAGTATGATTTTGGTTTTTTTGCTTGATAACTACTTCGCTTATTGAAATCCTCACGCTTTATCTTCAGCACCCAATTATTCAAACGCAAAAATAATATGTTATATTGTCCCTCAGTTGTAGCTTGTGGCTCAATTATTGATAATAGATATATCTGTAATTTAAATGTTAAAATCTTCAATGATATTTGATCCAAATTGATTATCTATTTCAAGTATAATATACGACGTATCATAACCAAAGTCACAGGCAAAAAATTTAAAGCTCTGGTCATTCATACCGTATTTTTTCTTATTCTCCTACTTTTTTTTTTTTTTTGAGCTCATGTAATTTGTGCTATTTCCTGTACTTTAAACAGTGCCACAAAAAATCTCTTAAATTCTTTAACACCCGTGTGTCTGATGAACTTTGCACTTGGAACAACAATTACATTTGTGGTTGCTAATGTTGATATGCGCCCATCGTTTTGATGGATTGTGTTATTTTTTTAAGTCTTTGATGATTAACGAGAATCAACATAGTTACTTTACTATGTAGTAACTGCATAATTCTTTAAGGGTTGGATACGAAAGCCTATCAGCTACTGAAAGGTAATGGAATATTGTGAGATTTAAATCTGGAAATTCAACTGCTTCTGGTAATTTTTATATTAAAAAAATTTTTAATTACTAAACCAGTTACAAGTGAAAAAAAAAAAAAAAATATGGGTATTGTAAGTGAAATACTGTAATTATATAATTACCATTATCTTTAGGCTTAGTATAGTTTATTTTGTGGTATTCTGTAACGGCCAGATGAGTTTCCTTGTTTTTGGGCCTTATATATCAGGTATCTCCTATGACATATATTGTAAGTACATTTGTGTTTTTTGGTATAACTTGCAATGGGTATTTAAAAGTAACCCAAAACCAGAAGCAATTTCAAACTGTCAGTTTTGTTTTATGGCCCAAACAAACCATGACTTTTGGCTACTACAGGTTCCATTAACTGAAGTTTAGAGCAACTTTGGTATTCTCATGTGTTAGGTAGTGTTTAACTGTTGCCTGTATGTTATTTTTTTTACTGGTTTGAACAAAATACTTGAGACTTAAACCTTAACCCTTAAAACTTTTTTTGTGTGTTAATGTAGTAGACTAATTTGTCAAAGAAAAAAAAAAAGTCACCTTCCAATTAAAAAACTGCACACTTCCCACCCGCTTATATTTTCCCCCTTTCTCCTCTTTCTTCTTCTTTTTTTTTTTTCTTTTTCTCCTTTTTCCCGCTGTAACCAAACCAATAATGTTTAAATATACCAGAAAGGCAGTCACTTTCACCACGATTCTAGGTGTGGGTGGTCTCGGTCTGTACTTTGCAACTGGCCGAGATGCGCGTGCATCTGCTCAGAAGTACGCTCTGGGACCTGCTGTGCGCGCCGTGCTGGACGGTGAACAGGCCCACAAGTTTACAATTGAGGTCTTCAAATACCCCAATTTGGCACCACGTATTCCTGCTGACTGGGATCAGACTCACGATCCCGAAAAGGCTCTTGAGGTGACTCTGTTTCAGCATTCTGCTAATAAGAAGGTCAAGCCTTTGACACTCCAGAACCCTGTTGGTATTGCTGCAGGCTTTGACAAGAATGGCGAAGCCATTGATACCCTATACAACCTGGGCTTTTCATGGGTCGAAATTGGCTCAATTACTCCTCTTCCACAGCCCGGTAACCCCAAGCCCCGTGTTTTTAGACTGGAAAGAGACAATGCTGTGATTAACCGTTACGGATTCAATTCGGACGGTCATATTGCTGTGGTTGCGCGTCTTAAGATGCGCGAGTCGGAACTGCCATCCAATGCTACTAACTTTGCCGGTCTGCCTAACCGTGTTTTGGGTGTCAACCTTGGAAAGAACAAGACTGGTGACGAGGTTCAGGATTATATTAAGGGCGTTGATACCTTTGGTCCTCACGCTGATGTACTGATTGTCAATGTTTCGAGTCCCAACACCCCTGGTCTGCGCGACTTGCAGAGCGAGGAAAAGCTGACTAACCTGTTGCAGACTCTTGTTGCCCGCCGTGATTCCCTGCCTCTTGAATCTCTGCCTCCCATTGTTGTGAAGATTGCTCCTGATTTGACTTCCCCGGAAATTGAGAGCATTGCTGCTGCTGTTAAGGCCAGCAAGGTTGACGGCGTTATTGTTTCCAATACTACTGTTCAGCGTCCCAAGACTCTACGCTCTGGTTCTGAGCTGACTACCCAAGTTGGTGGTTTGTCAGGCGCCCCTGTTAAGCCTTACTCTATTCAAGCTCTCAAGACTCTGCGCAAGGAGCTGGGTAAGGATGTTACTATTATTGGCTGCGGCGGTATTTCCGACGGTGCTGATGCACTTGAATTTGCACGCGCTGGTGCCGACTTTGTTCAATTGTACACCTCGCTTGTGTATAAGGGTCCTGGTGTTGCTGCCGAAGTTAAGGAGGGCATCATTGATGGTCTCAATGGCAAGAAGTGGACCGATGTTGTTGGCACCGATCTGTAGACGATAGATTATTCTTTTCTTTTCTTTTCTTTTTTCACCTTTTATGTTTATCCTAGTGTACAAAATGCATTATTACAAGTTTCTACGTGGGACGGCTCGATCTCCTTCAACTGCAAAAGAGTCTTCTGGGGAAAGAAGCTCGTCGTCAATGAAGTTTTCATAGTCATCGTCATCATCATCTCTTCCGAGTTCGAGAGTGTCATATGGCTCACCGTCAGGATGCTCAGCAAACTCGATAGTGCGGATATAAATTGTGTAAGCAGTTGCAGCGGCAAATATGGCTGCAAGAAAGATTGATAGGACGTCGACAATCTTGGTTGCGGTGTCCTTTTCTGTGCCTAGGCGAGCAATACGGTCGCCTATGAAGATGTGAATTAAGAGTTTAGGAGAGGTTAGGGCCGTTGAAAGGAAAAAGTATCGTGGGGTAACTGAAGGAATTGAGGCCAGAGCTCCATTGGAAAGCGAGTATGGGAGAGGACATAGGCGGATCATTACAAGTAAAACAAAGTTATCACGTTCCATGGTTTTTGTAAGGGCTGCAAATTTTCGGTTCGAGTGGGCAAGACGAGACGCAAAGCCTGAGAGAAGGTAGCGAAAAGTAAGAAACGAAATTGTTGAACCGATGAGGGTAGCAGAAGCAAGGAGCGGCCAGCCGCCCGGGAACCCGTACATCATTCCACAGAGCGAGCTGAGAGTTGAGTAACCTATTAATGGTGGGAATGAGATGAGAACAATTAGGCCAAACATAATGTATGGCCCAGCTGGGAGTTGTTTCCACGATTGAGCGAAATCCACGAGAAGTTTAAATATTTGTTCATGGAAAACGAGAAATAGGATACCAGCGGCCATGACGCACACAGCGCCTACCAGGATCATTGCACGGTTTGCCAGAGACATTTGGAAGTATAAGTTCCATGCTTTTGCTGCGAGTTGAAATACGGTATTATGTACCTGATTGAACAGGTTATGTACACGGTCCATTGCTGATAAACTCCCTGTGTGATTGTTGGTTCTTCCAGAGTCTACTAAGTTATTGGTATTGTTGTTGTTTTGCGCAAAGTCTCGGTAAGCAGATGCAGCAGGCATGGTTGTGGAGCGGTTTACAAAGGGTGCGTTGTATGCAGGTGATTCAGTGTTGAGGATTTCGTCGTCCAGAGATATGGGCATTGTATAAGGCAATCGGGCAGAGAGCAGACTGGTTGTCATGTAAAAGGAAGTTAGTTTGGGAAGGGTGAGTATTTAAAGTCTGATTGTGGTGGTGGTGGCAGTGGAGATTTGATAGATATGAAAGGTTGTTGTGTTTTTTGAATTTTACGTGGATAGATAAATTATATGCTCAGCCGTTAATTTTTTTTTTTTTTTTTTTTTCTTAAAGACGGCTGAAACACTAAGGGGATTCTGAGGTGGTCATATCTAAATCTAAACCTAAATAGGATTAATTAATTAATAATTATTCTTATAATAATATAATAATAATAATAATATTGATGAAAGCATCCTCTCCCAAGTTACTATGAGTGGAAAACTGCTTAGTGCAACTGGTTTGGTATTAAAAAAAAAAAAATAAAAATAAATAAATAATAAGAAGCTGTTGCGGAAGCTATTGAGCAAAGCCATTCTCATCATGACTAGAGCGAAAGTTCCGTTCCACGTGTTCCGACTATAAGGGTTTTATAGGGAGCCGTGCGTAAATAAAAAGAGGGAAAAAAGAAAAAAAAAATTTTTTTCAAAAAGGACGAAGAGGCTATGCTATAGAAACTTTGAGTTTAAATTTATTTATTTATTTTAATTAAATTTATTAGAAATTAACAAAATTATAAAGTTTTTAATTTTATTTAATTGTTTTTTTTATCAAAGAAAAAAATTCAATAAAATAGACAAAGTTTAATGTTGAGCCCCAAACTTTTAAAATTTATCCCTTTTAAGTTCTAATGTGTACTATACTGTTTGGAAGTCAACTTTTGCATAGCTACTCCATTGGCCAAATGGTAAGGCATCTGCCTCCTAAGCAGAAGACTGCGGGTTCGAGTCCCGTGTGGAGTGACGTGTTCTACAAATATAAAATCTTTTAAATTTAAAAAAAATTTCATGATAATTTAAAAATTTTTTTTTTCTTTTTTTTTTTTTTTTTTCAAAAATCTATCTTTATTTTTATTTTATTTTTAAATCTCTATTGTAATCCAGCCTGGCCATGCAAGCTCATCACGAGCCAAATGACGAAGACGTTCAAGAAGAAAGCGCTCAATTTTCCCCACGTTTCGAAGAACAGGGCCATTACCTTCACGATCTCCAATCTCGGAATCGATCTTAATGTCTTTGATAATTTCCACACGGTCCTTCCCAGACAATGACACAGGTTCACCATCTGCATCTGCATCACAGATAAAACTAAAATGAATACGACGGTCAATGTATGCAAGAGCTGCAAGTGAATTGATTTCTAGTCCACTCATAGTTAGTTTTAATGGTAATGAGACAAACTTTGGAGAGGGGTAATTGAGCAGCAGGGTGGTTTCAATTCCAACCTTAATATCGCCTTTATACATGATATGAAGATCCAATTGAACATCCATTTCACGGGCAGAGGATGGTGAAGGAGCAGTGGAAGATGACGAAAAATGTGTTGCGCGTTTTGCTGATGAAGAGGATGCAGATGATGTAGAAGATGCAGAAGCTTGTGGGGGGATAGAAATTGGTGATTTAGGGATATTTGACTCAGGAGAAGAAGAAGTCAATTGAAGTCCTGGGGTATTGATACAACTCGTTGTGCTTGAGTCCGAGCGGTATGTAGGTGGTGCTGATGCAAATGTAGGTACTGATCCATGTGGACCTAGAGCCGGACCAAAAGCCGGGGTATTTGCTGCTGTAACGTTTGTTGAGAGAATGTCCGAGGCTGCACCCCCGGAACCTGCCGGGTTGGCTGCCGCATACTCAGATATTCGGTTATTGCTGGTGATATCACTGGAGGCTTGTCCTGGGGTACTATGAGGAGGCCCAATGGGTGAAAGAAGTGATTGCATGTTAACAGTTGAGTAAATTGGAGAGCGGAATCCGCGAATATACTGAAGGGTAGTTGGAGAGTAAAGCCCTGATGTTGGAGGTAGTACACCACCATATTGTGTATGTGTAGGAGTCATTGGAGTGTTGTTTCCCTGTGGGATTGCATCAGTGTTGAGAGGAGTACTAGAGCCGGGATTAGAGGGCATAACTTCAGAACCAGTAGATTGAATTAAAGATGTTGTGGGGACTGATGCTGAAGGTAATAAAATTCCGTTTGCATCATAGGCTGGAGGGCCGACGGTTGATAAAGAGGATGCAAAGGGGGTTGCTGGTATTGGTGTATGAATTGCCGGTATTCCTGCTGCTGCTGCTGCTGCTGCTGCTGCTGCTCCAACAGGATGAATCTGAGGACTTGAACCTGCTGGTCCAATTATAGAGGCATCAGTTTCTGTTGGCAAATCGCCTTCAAGAATTCCACTATCATCGTGATCATCTTCTGTTAAAGTGGTACCATCTTCAGGTGCGTCTTTCCTTCGGTCATCACCAATGGCTTCTTCAGATTCTTCCAAAAGTTCTTCTTCTTCTTCTTCTTCTTCTTCTTCTTCTTCTTCCTCTTCTTCTTCCTCTTCTGAAGCATCTTCATAAAATTCAGGGAATGGATCGCTGATACGTTGTATGACAATATCTGGAGCAACACGGCCCAGGTCAAAAGAAGTGACTGAGATAGACTTGAGGTAAGAAGGTAAAGACATTTCTTTAAATCGTTGATCGAGAAATAACCTGATAGACTCAGATAGTTGGTCGCCGCCATCTTCGAGTAGTGAAGACCAATTGATTTCAATAGACATTATAATATATAAAAGTATATAAGTATTTACAAAAGATTTAATAATTAAAAAAAAAAAAAAATTTTGCTTGGCTCAGGCAGGTACGTTTGGACGGGACGCGTACCGAATATTGTGTGATGATAGTATAGGAATTTGTTATTGTTATTGTTGTTGTTGTTGCTGAATATTGTTTAACATTGTTTTTGTTTTTTGTTAACTTTCATAATAATAATAATATTAGACTTAGACCAAACCGTTAGGGTAAATTATATAAAGTTTACATAATAATGAATTACCCTGTCTTGTACTACCATAACGGTTATCCGTTGAAAACCTTGGGCCAGCGCACGTCTTTGTAGATGGTGGTAGATGGTGGTGGTAGTGGTGGTAGTGGTGGTGGAGAAAAAGAGAAAAAAAAATTTTTTTTTTTTTTTTCAGCAACACCAAAACTTTTTTTTTTTTTTTTCCTTTCTCTTTTTCTTCTTTCCTCTTTTTCCTTCTTTTTTTTTTTTTTTCCTTCTCTTCAACATCATCTTGTTCACCTGAACTTTTTTTATATACTCACAACTTCACAAGAATCAAAAATGGGTTTCTCCGATCTTACTTCCGCTGCCGGTACGTCTTTGCAATGATTTCAATTGCTGGGATTGGTTTTTTTTTTTTTTTTTATTCTATTCTCTCCATATATATATATATATATTGTATTTTTGCAAATATTTTTATTTCAACTTGCAAACAATCCAACAATTCATCAATGTTCAAATCTTCATTCATCCATTTATGAATCAATCCATTAATGCATCAATCAATCTATCCATCCATTCATCTATCTAACATAATACCTATTATTAGGCCTCAAGTCCCTCGACTCTTTCCTCGCTGACAAGAGCTACATCCAGGGGTATGTTTATAAAAAAAAACAAAATTTTTAAAAAAAAAAATTACAAATGGCAATCCATTTAAGTTAATTAAATTGAATTCAATTTAATCTAACTTGTGATTCTTTTAGTACCGCCGCTTCCCAGGCTGACGTTGTCGTCTACAAGGCTGTTGGCTCTGCCCCTGATGCTGAGGCTTACCCCAACGCTGCCCGCTGGTACAAGCACATTGCCTCTTACTCTGAGGAGTTTGCCACCCTCCCCGGTGACAAGGAGGCCTCTGCCAGCTCTTTCGGTCCTGAGGCTGCTGCCGCTCCTGCTGCTGCTGCTGCCGAGGAGGAGGACGACGATGAGGAAGTCGACCTCTTTGGTTCCGATGATGATGAGGAGGAGGACCCCGAGGCTGTCCGCATCAGAGAGGAGCGTCTCGCTGCCTACGCTGCCAAGAAGGCTGGTAAGCCCAAGACTATTGCCAAGTCCCTTGTTACTCTTGACATTAAGAGTTGGGATGACACCATTGATCTTGATGCCCTTCTTAAGAAGGTTCTTGAGATTAAGATGGACGGTCTTGTCTGGGGTGGTGCTCAGTTCATTCCCATTGGTTACGGTATCAAGAAGATCCAGCTTAACGTTGTTGTTGAGGACGAGAAGGTTTCCATGGACGATCTTTCTGATGCTATTGAGGCTTTTGAGGATGAAGTCCAGTCTGTCGACGTTGCTGCCATGCAGAAGATCTAAGCTGCTTTCAGAGAGAGCTTTGGGTTTTTTTATTTGGTAATGTTTTTTTTTAAATTGATCTGTAATTAATGTTTAAAAATTTTTTTGTTGAAAATGTATATATTTAATAATTGTAGGATTGAATTGTTTACCAGTAGGTAACATTGTAGTAACCTAGACAAGTTTATAACCTTGTTTAAATAATTATTTTTTTTTTCCCTAGTAAGTTGTGACTTGTGTTTGTATTCTGTAGCAACGGTAACTAGGCAGTAAGGAAGGGAAGGAAGAGAAAAATCTACATAGAACTTTTTTTAAAAAAAAAAAAAAAAAAAAATGAAACTTGAAACTTGAAGGTAATTTTTATTTTTATTTTTATTTTTATTTTTTTTTTTTGGTGGATCTCCTTTATTTTTTTTTTTTTAAAAAAAAAAGATTTATAATTGGTGTAGCCTTTTTTTATTCATTTATTTATTTATTTATTTATTTATTCATTTATTTATTTTAAAACTTATTCTAATCAATTGAATTTTTTTTAAGAGTAAAAAAAGGTCCCACAAGTCTTCTGAAATGGGAAATTGGCGATTCTTTTGAAAAAAAAAAAAAAAATAAAATTTATATTAAAGATAAAAAAGATAAAAAAAAAATAAAATAATATTTCAACAATTATAAACTATAAACTATAAACTATAAACTATCTCGAAACTCATTTTCCCCTATTCAGTTGGATTCTATCAAATAATAATAATAATAATAATATTAAGAACCCTTCTTGCCAATTTAGAAACAAAGAAATAAAGAAATAAAGCAGGTTTTTTTTTTTTTTTTTTATTCTTCAAATCATACAACTTTTTTTTTTTAGGCGTTTCTTAGACGAAATGTCCAAAAACTCTACTGAAACCTCCTCTTCTTCTTCTTCCTTCACACTGAATCCACAATCTTCTCCTCAACCATCTCAACAACCGTCACAGCAACTACTCCTTCAACAAGAACTACCACTTACAACAACTGGTGATCCTACTCAGTTCCATTTTCTATCATATCGTGGACGCAAGGATCAACCACCTCTATATAAAGCTGTAACTATGTCGTCTAGTCCTCCCAATAGCAACAGTAGTAATGGAGACCTAAGTGGTGGTAATGATCCAGAATTGTTTGTTGCTAACCCTTCTATCACAGCAAACTCGTCATCATCATCACCATCATCAATCTTAGGAAAACCAAACGAAACATCCCAAGATATCGCCATTGAAAAGGGACTTTTATCTTTTGAAAGTGTCAACCATACAGAAACTTCACCTAGTAATGCTTCTGCAGGTTTCACAAATAACCATGTAGTATCATCATCATCTTCATCATCATCCCCCATACAAACAACTACTTTAACACCACCACCTCCTCCAAAACTAGCTAATTCTCCATCGAGTTCTAGATCAACTGCAGCTCGTACAGATACTGAAAAAGATTCACAGATTGTTACCAGCTTTTATTACGACGACGAAGTTTATTCAGATGCTAGTAGCTCTTTTATTGAATACCCTTCAACTCTATTAGCTCAACAACAACAACAACAACTACAACAACATTCTCCACTTTCAATTGAAAATTTTACAACAACTAAAAAAGAAGAAAAAGAACATATTGCTCCAACCTCTGATGAATACGATACCGAATTTCAAAATACTTCTTTTGTCTCGTCTGTGGGTCCTTCAAGCTCCACCCCGCCCCGCTCTTCAACACCTATCAATTCTATACATCCTCTTGTTTCTTCTTCTTCTTCTTCAACTTCACCTTCACCTTCTCATATTCATCATTCCTCTTCTTCTCCTATCCATCATAATTCTTCCTTTCCTATAATTGAATCTCCAACAAAAAAGCAAACGGAAAATGACTCCGAAAATGACTCGGAAAATGACTCGGAAAATGACTCGGAAAATGACTCGGAAAATGACTCGGAAAATGACTCGGAAAATGACTCTGCTTCTGCTTCTGCTTCTGCTTCTCCTATTACTTCCAAATCTCTTATTTCATCCAACCAACAAAAGTCCTCCTCACCTTTAAATATATTTTCAGCACAGCCCCTCAGGGACGAACAGAATAATGCAACATTGACTTCTACAGAAAATCTATTAAGAGCACTTACTATAGACGAAAATGCAGCTAGTAATAGTTCCCTGTCTAGTGTAGTTAACTCTAACGCTAATACCACCAATGACAACGTCAAGACTAACTTATTGAAAAACGATTCTAACGAAGACTGTCTTCATCCTCGAACAGTTTCCAGAGATTATTATACACCAGTTAGCAACTCCCAAAAACTATTAGGAACGGATTTACCCATTGTCACTAACGAAGAGAACCATTCTGGAAATACGCATACCAACAATGACTATTCGGGTATTGAGCAGCATTTGGAATATGACCAAGACGTGGTGCCACCACAAGAAAACAGTGAAAACAATGAAAACAGTGTACTTATCCACGACACTGCCAATCCGGGTACAACAACTCCTCCAACGTCCTTAAACACTCATCTTCGGTCAGTGGATTCCATCCAATCTTTTGGCTCAGTCATTCCAAATTTCAATAACAAAACCTCGCTTCAGCAACGTCTACTTCCAAATGAGGATCTTTCTGGACGGCTTTCAGTAAAAAGTGGCGGGTCCAATAATGCGGCTCCAGAGCAACTTCCCAAACTTGATAGTTCCATAATTTTACCCGCTCATGATGGTGATGACAATGAAAATGACAATGATGATTTCGACTCTGATTCTTCCGATGACAGTATACAGGACCGTACTCAACATATTCTTCAACGTGCGTCTTCCTATAAGTTTTCACTTTCACCATCCGATAATGAATCTTCCTTTGGCGATACTGCTAAATCAGATGCTCCCAAAAAGAAAACTCCTAGAGGACTTAAAGAAGAGTCTAAGGCTATTGAAACACTTCAACAGGAAAATTTCGAACTCAAAATTCGCATTGTTTGCATGGAGGAACAAGCTGCTCGTAGCTCCGAAACCGGTGTCGCCGAGCTACAAAAGCAATTAGTAGCTGCCCAGGCTGCTCGGATTGCCATGAAGCATGAAAATGAAAAACTGCGTTTAACAATCAGTACTCTTAAAACTACCCATGACGATGATGCTTCTTACAATGAGACAATTCTAGAGCTACAAGAGGAACTTGAAGAGTATAAACAATACAACTCTCAGTTACAAGAAGAGGCAGAAACACTACAAGAAGCTCTTGAACAAGCTGAGGAAACCATTACGGAACAAAATGAATCTATTGAATCATACCAAAACAATATCAACGAGCTTATAATTCAAAAGGAACAACTTGAGGAAGATTTGGCTTCCGAAAAGCAATCAAAGTCATCCTCTCATCACAATCTTAACTCTCTTGCTTCTAGTCTTCAAGCTCAAAATATGTCACTACGCAAGCAGCTCGACACACCTCAAGGTAATGGTAGCACAACATCATCATCATCAACACCTCGGAATGCCACCCGTGTTATTGAGCAACATTTTTACAGTATCCAACGTGCACTTAATATCCCAACATCCACTTCTGTTTCTTCGCCCTCTCGTTCAGGTAGTCGGCCCGGTAGCCGGCTTAGTAGCAATGTTTCAGGTAGTACTGCAAGTCTTGTTGACCTTGTTGACATTAGTGACGAAAACTCTGTACTTTCAAACATGCTAAATGAAATTCAAGCAGCCGCATGGGATGTTTCAAACAAGTACCGCGATTGTCTTTCAAATTATGAGGGCTTACAACACGAATACGAGGCTTTTAAAGAGGCTCATGATGAAGAAATTGCCGAGTGGACTAAGTTTAAGGATGATAGCACTGACAAGATTGATTTACTAGATAAGGAGATTGAAGTTCGCGACCTCAAAATTGCCGAACAAGAAAAGTTGTTTAAAAATCAAATGAATGAAATTAATGGCGAGATTGAAGAGATTTCTTCTGGTAAAGATGACAAAATCCTTGCACTTATCGATCAACTTAAAGTTCTTCAGCACGACTATGATACTGTTCAGATTGAATTGCGATATTTTAACGATGATGTTGACCAGCTTTCAAAATCACTTTCTCAAAAGGATGATGAAGTGCTTTCCCACAAGACTAAAGTGGAGTCATTAACAAAACAACTTGAAGAAAAGAAACAAGAAATTGCAGCCAAGGAGGAGGAAATCAATCTTAAAGACCAAGAAATTGGAGCAAAAGAGCGCAGGTTGGAAGAACTTCGTGTTTCTTACTCAAATATCAAAGAGGACGCCAAGCAAAATGTTGTCGAAATTAAAAACTTAAAGGAGCTTGTCAAGTCCTTACGTTCAACCACAGACAAACTTGAAATCAATACTCTTTGCGAAGGACTTGATGCCGTCACTATAAGCACTACAGATGCCCAAGATCTCATTGAAGACATTCTCAGACGCACCAAGGACGCTTTGAACAACTCTGTTGCGGTATCTGTAGAATCTCTTCGCGATACTCTAGACAATATCTTTGAAGATTACCGCAACATACCCGTTTTGACTGCCAAGCTTGATGAAACAACCGCACAAAACACTCGACTTTTTACCAATCTTGAAGAGCAGCGAAAACAAGTTGTTGAGCAACGCAAGAACCTCGAGGTCCAACAAGAAAAGTTGCAAGCTGAGTTGGAGGCCAAGACCAAAGCTGAAGGTGATTTATTGACACAGATCGAAACTGTTGAGTCCCATCACAGTGCTAAAGCTAAACAATTACGCGAAGAGCTTGAGCAAAGCCAGAATGAAGAGCAGATTTTGCGTGAGGAGCTTGATGGTGTGCACCAGGAGTTGACACAAGTGCGCACTTTATGCGAAACTCTAGAGGCGGAAAATACCCAGCTCAAAAAGAAGTTGACTGATGAGGAACGCCTTACACCTGACCAATTCCAGCAACTCAGTAACGACTTTGAACATATTGCCAATAAAATGGGGGAGCTGGAGACTGACCGTAAGGCTATTGTCGAGGAGAATGACAAGCTACAACAAATACGTGAGGAACTGGAACAGCAGGCTGAGACTCTACGCAAGGCTGACCACAACAACCAGCACACGATTCGCGACCTTGAATCGCGCATTACTGATATCAATCATCGCAACGACGAGCTGCTGGCAGAACTCGAGCATAAGAGCGGTAAACTTGTTGAAATCTCTCGCGAGAATGCGGCACTTTTGCATGAAAACAATGTGCTGCGCGAAAGCTATGATGAGCTGACAGGGCAAGTGGACGTGCTTGAACAACAGATTCAAGAGGCATCATTTAACTCTGACGCTGGAGGTGCTGGTAATTCTCGAGCTAAGGATCACCAGGCATACCGTCGGGTTTTGGAGCTGGAAGAAGAAGTTCAGATTTCGCGGGAACGAATCAAGGGCCTTGACAATGAATTGCGACGGTACCGTGACAAGCTTAACCGACGCGGTGCTGAGTTTTCTTCTGTGCTACGCGACATTACATCATACTTAAGCAAGGTTCTTGACCCTGAGTGGACCAACAGCGTGACAATTGCTGTTGAAGAGATTCATCGACACCCTGGGTCGCCGATTGAAAACTTTTCGCGCATTGGCAACCTCATTTGTGATGGGTTCCGGATACTCGAGACCAAAAAGCGCAAGTACAAGTCCATGGCTGAGCGGGCTCTTAGAGACAAGTCGAATGGAAGTGTACACAGTTCGTCGTCAAGTACTGATGGCGGCAGCGGGGGCAATGGCAACAAGAAAAACAAACCTGCATATGAGCCTTTATCTAACTCAATTGCTGCACTCAACAATCTTGAAAACAATGCACAAATCAAACAACTCTCACAGAAATATGAGCTGCTTGACCAAAAGACAATCGATACTGTTGGCGGCGACATTGCACTCAAGGTCTGGCAGTACCGCTTTATGGACATGAAGAAGCGATACGAGATGGAGCGTGAGCAGCGCAAGCTTGAGTATGAAAACTATAACTCGTCGGTGCGTCAGCTTGAAGACCGATACCTACACGATCGCAGCAACCATATGCGCTACACGTTCCGCTCGCCGTCAGCGTCTGGAGTGCCAATTTCTGGTCGAGTCCAGGACATTAAGTCAAGCATTGAGAAAATTACAGCTGCAGAAGCAGCATCTGGGCGTATGTCGCCATTGCTGATGCCAGTTCAGTATGGCGGCGGCGGCGGGCCTGGGTCTCGGTCATTCTCACGGACTTCTGATCGGTCTCACTCGTCATCTGGCGGTCACCCCCGGTAATTTATTTCTTGTTTCAATTTTTTTTTTTTGTTCTTCTTCTTTGATTTGATATAACCGAAAAGTACCTTTTTTTTTTTCTTCTGTAATTTGCAAACATTATAAAAAAAATTTATAGAATAGAGAGTTTTTTAAAGATTATAATGGAGACTTGAAAGAAAAAAAAAAAAAAAAAAAACAATGAATTATTTTTTTTGAATATTCAAAAAAAATGGGAATATGCGAAAATGGTACGGCTGAAAATAGTTTGGTGTGTAATACCTTAATCACAATATCGACAATCAAAATTTTCATCACTCGACAAAAAAAAAACAAACAAGTACGAAAAAAACAGCAGCAATGGCAACAGTAGATAAATCGGCTGCGGCTTCAGGGCAATCATCAGCTGCAACTCTCAAAGTAAGACCTGTATTTCGAAACATCCTAGAAAGTCCCTATGCACCCAGCTCTTGGTAGGTTTTAAGCATTCCCAATCACCCAAGTTCTGTACTAACTTGATTCCTAAAGGCCCCATGTTCCCACTGAGGATGCCAAATCAGCCTATGACATTCTACACATGGTTTTCCAGACATCTCTCCATCATTTGGATATGCCGGATTCCAATACAGATTCTTTGTCTGCGCGTCCCGTTGTGATTGGATTCAACAATACCACGCGCGCACTCGAGCAACAGGCCAAAGCTCCAGAGTCGTCTGCAGATCCTATCGAACTCTTACTTGTGTGCAAAGATGATATTGTGTCCGAGCTCGCAAGTGCACATTTCCCTGGGCTATGTGCCGTTGCGCGGGTCGCGCGGCTTGTCGGGCTCCCACGGGGTAGCGCACAAAGTCTTTCGCTTGCATATAACGGCCCTGAGCCTGATACTACCAACCTTCCATCATTACAGAAGCGTAAGGTCGGTGATGACGAAGAAAAGAACAAGTCTAAGAAAGATAATAAAGAAGATAGTATAGATAAAACTTCTGATTTTAGAAAGACAAAGTTCAAGCATCGACGGCGGCCAGAAGTCACTGTTGTGGGGGTTCGCAAATCTGCACGAGTAAAGTATCCGCTGCTGGGCAGTTTGAGCGATATGCTTGCAGACCGTGGGGTTGGTGCCGTCACAGTTCCAGAAATTGTTGCTCAGATGGATCGTGAGAAGGTGAGATATAAGTCAACTCAGATTGCGACCGTCAAGACGACGGCACCGATTTTGGGCAAGAAACAACAACAGCAGGCTCAGAAACAGGATAAGTCTACAAAGAATAAAGAGAGGCAACAACAACAACAACAACAGTCCCAGAAACAGGATAAGTCTTCAAATAATAACGAAAAGCAGGAGCCCCCCAAGAAGAAACAAAAAATTACGAGTTAAAAAAAGCACATTTGTAACTACAAAAGCAAATATACCTATATTAATCATTTACAAGAAACGCGAAATGAGACGCGGGAGATGCGAAAAAGTGCGAGCAGTGTTGCAGAGCGCTGTAGTGGGACTGCATTTCAGGATTGCAGGGCGGGCAAGCGTATGGAAACGCTTATTGAGAGTTGTGCGATAATACTTGGGCTGTTTAAACAGCAATGGGTATTTTTGTTCCGCCAAAGCATCTTAAAAAAGATAGTTAGTAAAAGTCATAATAGAATTCATCCAAAAAAAAAAAAATACTTACAATTGGAATAAACACCAGTTGCATTGACAGATCCCTCACTTGCCTCCAGCTTCTTGAGAACAGATGGTGTAAAAAATCGCGACGGAACGTTTTGGGTGAAATTATCGTATGCATTTTCCTTGTGATAGCTGACTAGCAGACGCTCTTTTGCTCTAGTCATGGCAACATAGAGCACACGCCGCTCTTCATTTAGCTCTTTGGGCGACCCGTGAGTGCGAATGTGCGGGTACACCTTGTCGTCGGCATTGACAACAAAAACCACACGCCATTCCCGACCCTTTGCGGCATGAACTGTTGAGATTACAAGCTCGTCGACGGTGGGAGTAATGTGGTAAAACACAGAGCTGGCCAGCAACTGCTCTAGGAATGTGCGCTCTGTGTGACTCTCCATTTCCCAAGCGACGTAATCCTTGACGCTGTAAAGATATTCAATAAACTTGTCAATATTGCGCAACCGCGAGCGGTACGTCCGTGCATACTTGAGGCGCACCTTTTCCACCAGTTGGAGTTTCCCCAGACAGTACCGCAAAGCCTCAATAACTTTTTCAAGACTTTTGGGGTCCTCGCGCATAATTTGATGTGACCGGTCAATCATTTCCAAAAAGGAGTTAAGCTTCTCGCGCTTTGCATTTGTGATCCATGGACCAGGATCTCTCAATGCTTCTATAAGCGAGATTTCTAGCTCTGTCGCTCTATTGATTGCGGTTTCCAAATCCTTGGGTGCAATAAACAAATGGTATCTGCGAATCAGGTTTAGCACAAAAAGGTTTCTATCAGGGTACTGTAAGAATCGCAAAATGGTATTGCACACACTGGCCTCGTCGGTTTCCAGCAACGACGTCCCGCCAATTACGATTGTTCTGGTCCCGGATCCGCTTTGGATCGGGTCTGCAATCTCAGAAGCTATGCGACCTGTTCGCGCAAGCACCACGATATCATGTGCCGGTACTCCCTGTTCCATTAAAAAGCGGACGGTACACGAGACCCAACTCATTTCCTCTGTTGCAGTTTTAAGTACAATCAAGCGTGGCGGGATGCTTTCAATCATGTTTTCAGCTAGGTATGATTCATCAGCTATTAGACTTTTTGAGTGCTCGCGCTGGTTGTCGTGAGAAATGAGCTCATAAGCTGCGTCCAGAATGGGCTGTGAAGAGCGGTAACTGCGGGTCAAAATGACTTGATCGACTTTAAAATCCTGACGCATTTCTTTAAAAATAATAGAGTGTGCGCCCAAAAATCCAAAGATGTTTTGGTCTGGGTCGCCTGCAGCATATAAAGAAGAGTGTTTAGCCAACCGTTTAATGACGTTCCAGAGAGGTTGTGAAATGTCCTTATAAAGTTAGAATGAATGTAAAATTATGAAATAAAACTTACCTGGAACTCATCAACAAGAACTGAATCAAGGTCATTGGCAACCTCAGGGAAGTTTTTGAGAAGTTTTTCGGTCAAAATGATGAGATCATCGTACTATATTTGTTAGGAAACAAGAGTCTGCCAAAAGTGGTTGATACTCACATCAAAAAGAAAGGCCTTTCTAAGCTCTACATTGTAAATCTCAAGAACCTCTTTTTTCAGCGATTCTGGTACAAAGTTTGCAGATCGTTTATTAAGTTTGCTATCTAAAGCTGCGTGAAACACTCTTTTGGCGACCTTATAATCTTTATCGACGTGGGTTTTTTGGATTTTGCGAATGACGATCTGATCTAGTTAGCTAGAATTTTTTTTTTTTTTTTTTTTTTTTTTTTTGGGCCCAGGGGTTTACTTACTCCTTCAATGTATTCCTTGTCAATCTTATTTGCAATGATTTGGACTTCGGGTAGATCTATAAGCTGGCCATGGCGCTGAAGCATCTCCTGACAGTATGAGTGCACAGTGTGAATTCGCAGTTGACTTCCAAGGTCTTGTCCAATGATGTCATTCACACGGGTCCGGAACTCGTAGATTGCACGATTAGTATATGTCAGTACCAGGATCCTATTAGGAAGAACTCCTTTGGAAAGAAGATACAAAACTCTGTTGACTAGAGTTAACGTTTTGCCTTGAAAACGTGTCAGTTTGGTCATATTTGCAAATGAGCTCAAAACTTACCAGTTCCTGGACCAGCCAGAACTTGGACATTGGCATCCAATGGCTTAGTGACAGCATCAAACTGTTCCTGGTTCATGGAGATATCCACTTCCAGCATTTCCTGCTTAGCAGTTTCCTGTTGAGCAGTTTCTTGCTGGTCGGTTTCAGTCATTTTTTGTTGTTGTTGTTGTTGTTGTTGTGGGTTTAAAGGTAAAGAAGAGAAAACAAAATAGTACTGCGCAAAATTATTAATATACACGTTATGGGGTTTCAATTTATTTATTTTTTTTTCCTTTCATTTATTCATAATTATTTAAACATTTATAAACATCTATTCCTCCATCTCGTCACCGTCATCACCCTCAATCTCGTTGATGGCATACTGCTTTGCTTCCTCGAGCAGCGCCTCAGGAACGTACTGGTGGACGCCGCCAGTAGCAGAGGTGCTGACCCAGCTAATTTCCAGCTCAAAGTCCTTGTCCTTAGAGTCTTCATGAGCCAAGTATATAATCTTTGCAGCCTCCTTGACAGCCTCTTCCGCCGTCAGGTTTCCAAGATCGAGCTTTTCCAGCTCAGAGGTGGCTGTTTGACGACCCTTGCCCGTGGCAGCACCGCGGTACCCCTAAAGAGAGTTAGTATTGTTACTTTACAAATATCAAAAAAAAAAAAAAAAAAAAAAAACCTACCCAGTATGTTCCGCTAGGTTCAATCATGTAAAGGTGTGGTCCTTCGCTATCGACACCGCCAACAATGACAGTGACGCCAAAAGGTCTGACTGAATTGTAGAGAGTGTAGGCTTGTGCGTAGCCACCCATGTGATCTGCTAAGGTAGAAACGGGGATCTGAGACTTGTATAAATCTCTCCAACTTCGGGCATCGTCGCGTCCTCTATTGACAAAGTGTCTACCATCAGGCAGTAATCCAGAGTATGCCTTAAAATGTTAGAATGGGTCTTTAGTGTAATAAAAATTACTTACCACACCGACGTGTTTGTCAATGGTCTGGAGTCGCTTGTTGGAGCCGGGCACTAGAAGCTTAGAACTGATAATCTTTTCAACGGCGAAAACGACACCGTCCTTGAATTTGATACCGATCGAGGTGCCGGCATTCTCGACTGCCTTCATGGCATATTCGACCTGGAAGTTTCTTCCATCTAAATAATTAGATTATACTTAATTAAAAAAAATAATAAAGGATGAATAAACATACCAGGACTGAAAGTACTGTTGGACAAATCGTAGCCAGTTCCAATTGAAGTCTACTTAATGTTAGAATTGTCGGTGGCGTTGTGTGTTGCCACACAATCAAAAACAAGATGGTTTAAACCCATTACACCACGTACCATTATATATTTCTAGAGACCTAACTGAGTATTGATTTTAAGATAATAAGAATCGATGAATTTATGAGATTCACAAAAGTAATTTGTTTATTCAGATGATAGATGGAAGTTCAAGAAACGCTGGTGGTGATGATGGCGGAGAAGAAATTTGGGCGGCTGCAAAGAAAAAAAAAAAAAAAGGGGAGAGAATAAATGTCATTACTAAGTCTATAAATTGTGATTACGTAACACCTACCACTTGGCCCCCAGAGCAAGTGGAGTGGCAGCAACTGCAGCTGCAGGCGACTGCGATGACGGGTTCAGGATATCGTCAATAGCATGGTACTCCACGGACAGTTGGGTGGAATCAATCGAAAGCTTAGTAGTCCAATCGCTAGCCTTTTGCTCGATAAAATCAGCCCAGTTGGAAGCGTCAATCTGAGGCATGTTTTGGTAGAGATCCTCCAGCTGCTGTTTCCATTCCTTTTGGTTCTTGTCTTCAGGAACGCCAATCTGACCGCCACCATTGAGACACCCACCAGGGCATGCCATGACTTCAACATAGTCAAGCTGGGACGGATCACTAAGCGATTCACCAGACTCCTCAGCGGCAGCTCTGCGGCGACCAGCCCCGCGAGCTGTAGCTCGAGCAGTAACCTTTGCCCGCACCGCTGCGTTTCCTCCTGGTTTTTTGCCAGTCGGCTTTAATTTCCGCACAAGATTTTGAATATTTCTAAACCCGTATATCCGTGCTGCTCTGAAATGTACTTCGTTGTCTTCAGAAACTACTCTTAACTCGACAACATCTGCATTTTTGCCGTTAATTATTTGGATTTGAGTAGGCTTGCTGATTCTGCCTTGAACAGCTGCTAAAATATAATCAAGATAGCCTCCTGAAGAAGACCCCATGTGTGAAAGCCATTGCTCGTTGGCTGGCCATAGCACTGGTGAAGGTGCTACTGACTCGCGGGTATCCTTTAGTGATTCAAAAGACATTCCTTCATTCATCAGTAGTAAAACAATCTCTTTAGCTGTAATAACGCAGTCAACATCTCTATATTCAGGAACACTATCTGTTTCCTGGCCAAACTCCGGCCGTGCAGCTTCCAACTTTTTATCAAAGCATGGCATAATACTCAAATGGTAAACTTTGTCCTTGGAAACACCAGTTTCCTTGTGAATCAAATCTTTTATCAGGGTTCCTGTAATTTGCTGGGGTGATTTGACATGCGAAAGATATGGTATAATGTGAGGATGGGTTTTTTCAGCATAGCATGTCCATCCAGGACAGCTGCTGCAGAGAACTGGTTTGCCGATAGATTTGGTAGAAACTTCTCGGAATGATTCAGCAAGAGAAATTACACGTCCGACCTCTAGTCCAACAACGTACTTGAATCCTAAAGTGTCGACTAACAAGTTTTGAAGTTTGGCATCCACTTGGGCCACGGAGATACCGTAGGCAGCTGCGAGAGACACACGGACTTGGTGAGAAATAGAAGCAACAAAAATTTTGTCTGCTGAGTTTTTCAAACTCGAAAGAAGTTCTTCATGGCTCTGTAAAGATACCAGCACGCTTTCTGCGGAAGTTATGCAACCACTACATGCAAGGCAGTCACTGAGAGAGATCTGTGCCTTTTCTAAGGTGGTTGATTGTCCTGATTCCAAGGTTTCTGTGGGGACGCCGTCCATGGAGATTTCAATCCTTGCATGGGACGGATCTATAGTTTTTTTAGTTTCAACTGGCTTGATGCAAGCAACACCAGGACTAATAAAGTCGTTGAGATCATCTGCAGATAGTATCGCACTCATTGTTAGTTTGGATAAGTAAAAGACGGAAGTTTAAAATGTTTATATAACTTTTTTATTGAATTAATTTTTTTTTTTTTTTTTTTTTTTTTTTTGGCAAATCCAAATGACTAATGGCACCTGGCTGATCCAAAAAAATTATCACAATTAATAATCAGTAATCAGTTGCATTTTCCAGAATATATATTCCACGTGATCAATATCCTCTTTTTTATGTCAGGATTGCTTGCTCAAGTTTTTAAACAGTGGCGAACCTCCAACTTTCTTATCACCAACCCAAACACAATCATGATTCGACGTGCGCTTTATGGTCTGGGGACCACTCCAATGGCCCCCCGACCTTGCTTATTCAATCCGCGTCTTACTAAAACCACTTTACTACGCTTCAATTCCACGACCCTGCCTGCCAGTGCTGAAGATCTTATTAAAAAGGGCCAAAAGGCTGAAGAGCAACAAGAGCAGGACGAGCAGTCCCATGTCCAGGAGACCACTGGTGTCATTGAGAAGAACTACCGCGAAGGTCTTCTTTATTTCACAGAAATGTATCCTGTTGTTCCTATTTCCTATGAACCTGCTTCTACAATTTTGTCCATGGTCTTTGGATTGACCGAATCTCGCGTCAAAAACATTCTCACGAGCCATGCTGTTCCGTCTGATTTGCCTGTTACTTTTTCCCAGATTATCCCCCGTTATAAGGATGGTGGTGTTTTTGCCAAGTATAAGATTGATAAGGATGCTCCTCCTGAATTGTCGACCAAAGATGTCGAGTCCATTCTGTACACTCATCTCAAGGAAAACCCCTACCGGCCTCTTTACAACCCGCTTAACAAAGTCAAGGCATTCCCCGTTCGAGGTGTGCCTTGGATTGAGGACTTGCGCCGACGTGTGAGCCGCAAAGTCCGTGTGGTTTTTGAGGGTGATGATTTGTCCCAGGAAACAGTTTACTCAGTGCTCAGAAGATATGGTCCCATCAAAGACATTACGTCTGTTCCTTCCAAGGACACGTCTGCTAAATGCTTAGTTGTGGAGTATACTCGCAAGAAGGATGCGTCTACGGCCCGAAACTGTGTCAATTCGCTGGTTGTTGGTAACACCAAGATTCACATTACTTATATCCCTGTGGAAGGTGTCAATTTTTTCCAAAAGACTATTGTTGATCACCCTCGTATTTCCATCCCGATTTTGCTTGCTTTGTTGGCCGCTTTTGCTGTCTTTGTCTTTAACCCTATTCGCGTATGGTTTATCGAGCGCAAGGTAACTGGCGCAACTTTTAGTTCTACGTTTGACAACTATGGTTTTGTCAAGTGGCTTCGTACTGTGACCCGCTCGACGTTTTCCACCTTGAGCCGATACCTCCATTTAAATTCTGACCGGTACGCGCCGTCCTTTGAGTCACTCTGGAAAGAGCGCCAGCAGATTGTGCAGCGGTTGAGACAATGGCTTGATGAAAATGTCAATACGTTCATTGTGGTGACAGGCCCCCGGGGTAATGGTAAGCGCGAGCTGGTAAATAAATTTGTGGTGAATGACAGGGGAAACGTCTTGTCAATTGACTGTGACCAGCTTATCAAAGCTCAAAACGACCCGGCGTTTATTCGGATTGCAGCCAGTCAGCTGGGATACTTTCCAGTGTTCCCATGGATGAACAACCTGGCCACGTATTTTGATTTGATTATCCAAGGTTTGACGGGTCAAAAGTCTGGGTTTGCAGAGTCGACAGAGCAGCAGTTCAAGTCGATGCTGACAACGACTGTTGCCGCACTGCGTAAAATTGCGCTTGAAAAATATCAGGAGGCAGCCAAGGACGAAGCAGTCCGTGCAAACAATGGCGATGCTTGTGGTTACACTCAAACGCATGCAAGCAATTACCTAACTGAAGATTCATATTTGCAACTACATGCAGAAGTCAAGCCTGTGATTGTTATTTCGCACTTTATGAACAAGTCTGATCAGTCACGTCAGTTTGTTTACAAATATCTTGCTGAGTTTGCGTCGATTCTTGTGCAGACCAATCTTGCACATGTTGTTTTCATTACCAACGACATGGCCTTTGAGTCTGTTTTAGCACCTGCTTTGCCCAACCGGTTGTTTAAGATTGCTACTGTTGGCGATGCTGATCCAGACGACGCCAAGCGGTTTGTTTTGAATCAGATTTTCGAGGCCAGGGAAACTGCACGTGTGGCTAGAGCTAATACCCTTGCGGCGGATGCTGACCAGCGTAGTAATTATCAGTCGCAGAAGCTAGATCTTGCTAAGGAAAAGAAGGAAGAAGAGAATATTCAGAATGCCCGCAAGGAGCTTGAGAAGAAGAAGGCACAGAGCGTTGGTATTGGTGGCCAGGTTGTTGGGTTTGTGAGTGGGATTTTCTCGAGCTCCAAGCCTGATGATTTAAATGAGAAGCTTCTTGAGCAAAAGAAGGGGTCTGGGTTGCAGCATCACGAGTCGTCTCCTGGGTTGATTTTTGAGGGAGATGATTTCAATCAAGATGCAATTGACCGGGAGTTCCCGTACCTTGATTATGCACTTGTGCCTCTGGGCGGACGGTTGACGGACCTGCAATCGTTTGCACGACGACTCAAGTCTGGACAAGCACCTTTAGATGCCGCAGAAGATATGGTTGATCAAAGCGCGGCAGAGATTTTGCAAATGTACTTGTTCCGAACCGGACGTGTGGGCAATGATAGCCAGGGAGAGTGGACGCCTGAGCAAGTATGGACACTAGTCAAGGAACTTGGGCAGTTATCGAAGTACCCGTTTACGAGGGAGCGACAAGTTGCTTTGGCCAAGGTCGGGGTTGCACCTGGGTCAGACCGTGGAGGATCGAAAGTGAACCCACATAGTAACATTGCGTACGTTCCCAAGGACTCTGAGCCAGAAATATCAGCCAGCTATTTGTTTTTAGACCCGAACTTTAAGACACGAGACCAGCAAAAGGCGCTACGAGCGCTGCAGCAAGCAGAAATGGTGAACCTTGTTCACGATGGGGGTCGCAATGTGGCAATCAAGGCAGGAAAGCCATTGTACCAAGCCGCGTTTAAGGCAATTACAGAAGACAAGGTGTTATATGCGATTCAGGAGAGTGCATTGCTGGAGAGCGCGATTGCAGGCGAGACGCGTAAGATTGAAAAGTGGGAAGAGGAACTGCGGTTGTTGAGTAAAACACCGTACCGCCGGGAAATCGGGGAGCGGGTGACGTACTTGACAGGGAAGATGAAGCAGTCGCAGGACAAGATCAAGGGGTACGAGGTGCGGTTTTTCAAGCAGCGAGATGTGATGGGAGGGAAGTAATTAAGTAAGTAATTAATTAATTAAGTAAGTAAGTAAGTTTTTGAATTTGAATTTGAATTAAGATATATTTTGTTATTATTATATAAAGGATTAATCTAGGAAGTTGTTTGTGAGGATTTCGTAGAGCATTCGTTGGCGCAATTCAGGCATGTCACGCTGGGAGAAGCTGGCGAGGTTACCGTTACGGGAAAGAACCTCGACCATTTTGCAAACAAAAACACCACAATCGAAACCGTTTTCCTGTTGCGGACATGGCACACGGTCGCGGTGAGTATAAGAGTCACTTGGGGGAGGGTTCATTTCTGGATGAGTATCGAGAGTTTGTTGGTGCATATATTCAGTAAGGTGGGTCAATGCTTGGGAACCAGCACCATTCATGGAATCATAAAAATCAAAAGTATGTGCTCGGTTGTTGATTACAGCAAGACACCAGTGGGTATTGTGACGGTTGATAGGGACAAAAACATAATCGACGGCGGTAACGTCCACACCTTTACGCTTAGCCCAGCGGCGCACGCTTTGGTACCCAGCATCCTGGAGTCGCGAGTAGAAATGGGTACTGAATGCAAATACAGTGGGAAGTAAAGTATCCGTAGAAAGTGAAGGTGAAGGTGAAAGTGAAGGTAAAGATGACCGAGCAGTTACCATGCTAAGATAAAAATCAATCACATTGTCATTTAGCCACGCGCCGGGTCGTAGTGTGCATGCATCGTGGACTGAAACCGAGATACGGTAAGCATCTGCGAGAACAAGTCCTGGGTCGCGTTGTTGCCACACCCATTGGACACGGTTACGTGCATCTTGTGGGAGAGGTTTAACGCGTTGTAATTCTTTTAATTTACGTTCTGCTTCTTCTTGTTCTTGTTTTTCCTTTTCGCGTTTAGCTTGAGCTTCAAGTCGTGCCCGGTTTGCTTCTTCTTCACGCCGCAGACGATCGATTTCTGCCTGTTCTCGTTGACGTTTTTCAATGATTCGCAGGTATGTTTGTGCGAAAATAGCAGCAGAAGGTTCATTTTCTGGAAGCTCGATTGGTGGCTTAGAATAATACCATTCAAACGCGTAAGCCGGCGCCTCGATCTGGCGAGGAGTGTAGCGTTGTCGTTGAAGTTGTTGTTCACGAATCCATGCATGATCATCGACCTGGAATGCACGCGCAGCAAGTGGAGCGGTAGAAAAAACATTGTTAGAACTGGTGGCAAGTTTTTCCGGACGTGAAAAAATGGCACCGCCACCTACTTTTGTGGGGAGAAGAGCACCGGAGAGTGGAGATCGTTGCTGAGTTGTGGGAGGGTATTTTGAAGGTGTTGTTGAGGGGGATAGAGCTGGAGAAGATATTTGAGAAGTTAAGCTGGATGGGTAGCGTAATTTGTGACGCCTAATACCAC